GGGAAATTTGGCTGTGCGCGGAGGCAATGAAGTAGGGGATGGAGAAGGGGGGATTTGCTTACTGCCACAATGGAAGTCCAGCTCCATGAAGGCAACGGGCGAGTGGATGCGGAAATAGTAGGGGTCGTCGTCGCCGTGAGGGCCGATCCAGGCGAAGTACGTCTCTTCGAGGTGCTTCTTGAATAGATTGACGCGGTGCTCGAGCACGGGGGCCGGGTAGTACTCATTGAAGGCCTTGTAAAGTGTGACGATCTGCTCCTGCTGGGCGGGCGGGAACTCCTTGACCGGGCATCCCTCTTTTTTGGTTTTAATCTTAATGTTAGCCCTGACGCTCTTCTGGTCCACGCATGCGTTGTATATATCGAATGAGGAAATCTTGATCTGCAATAGCAATAGCTCGCAACTCACCAAAAGGCACGACCCTATTGTCCTGCCTCGCGCCGGCGAGGTGGCGCTCGTCGAACGGGTTCCAGCGGTCCGAGGGCAGCGAGTCGCCGTCCATGCCCACCGATAGCGTCGCCTTGGCCTGCAGCTCCGGGCTCAGGCTCTGCATGAGGCTCAAGCTCTCGAGCTCCTCCGTCTTGAACAGGCGCAAGCCGCTGTGCGGGCCCTCGTCGATGCGGTCCGGCTCGGCGCCCATGAAGGTCGGGCCGACGACCATGCGCGGGCCGTAGAAGACCACGGCGAGGCACAGGTGGTGGCCGAAGAAGGTGTAGCCCCACGGCTCGGCCGCGCTCGGCTTGCCGAAGAGGCGGAAGTTGTACGAGTGCTCGTTGAGCACGCGGCGGCCGTTGACGAGGTGGCCGAGGAAGCCGTTGGTCAGGCAGCACGCCCACGTCTTGTCGAACCCTTGCGGGCTGAGGCTGGCGCGCAGCACGCCGTGGACCGCGTCGCGCGTCTCCTGCCCGCACTCGTCCAGCCGCAGCCCGCCGGGGTTGACGTACAGCTCCGGATTCGACCACAGCCGGATCGCGTCGTCGTCGACAGACGGGTGCAGAGTCCGCGCCCGCTCCTCGGCCGACAGCAGCGCCAGCAGCGATTCGGCCGCCTGCGCCGCCGCCTCGACGGGGGCGCCCTCGTCGTCGGCCCACTCGTACACGCCTTCGCGGACGCTGCCGTCGGCCGTGAAGCCCACGTACGGCTTCTCCAGGTTCTTGGCGTCCAGCCGGTTGATCAGCCAGGCCGGGGCATCGATCTTGCGCCGTGACGCGCACCAGCTATGCGCGTCGCAGTTCTCGATGCCGGCGATCTTGGGGTGGTCCGGCTTTGGGATGATCTCGCGGAAGGGCACGGCGGCGTCGGTCCGGGGGCGCGTGGGGTCGGTGGCTTGGACGTAGCCCGAGTCCTTTGGTGCGGCCATGGTGGGGAGGGCTGCGATGAAGGTTGAGCGTTGCTTGCGCGTCGAAGTGCTTCTCAATGCGGGGCGTGTATATAAATCGATGGGCATGGGTCCGCAGGCCCAGCGGTCGGCATGTTGGCGCGGGAGAGCTTGCTGCTGCTGATGCAGCCCCGAAAAGCCGGCAGCCCTCCCGGGGGCGGAGGGCTGAGCAGCGGACGGGGGGAAAGGGCTCAGGAAATCGGCTTCTCGTTGCGGCGGACACGAGGTTTGGCGGCGGGGAGTCGTAGGTCGGCATTCCCGACTCTCGAAACTGCGGGGCCCAGAGAGCGACAGAGAGCGGGGTGCGACCGGGGAGGCGTCAGCGGGGCAGCCAGAATCGCACCATCACTCGGCATTGCCACCCGCCGCGACCTTCTAGCTCCGTACGCCTTCTCGGATGCCGACCCTGCGCTCGGAGATAAAATGCACAAGAGCCAACAGGGCTTCCGCTGCGGCCTGTAGAATGAAGTGAAATAGCATCCCATCTGCGCCTGTCCTACCTTTTGCTCTACAAGTCAACGTGACACAGACCAGCACACTGTCCAGCCATGGCGCCTCTTGGTCCTTACAAGCTCGTCACCGTCAACAACGCGCCCGAACGCGCCAAACGACTGATCGGCCGTGTCGTCGAGGATGTCAAAGACAAGTACACCATCATCCATGCTGGGAACGCCGACGGTAAGCCATGCGGGCTGTGAGCCATGCACCCGTGCCCCCGGCCATCGGCTCACCGTCTTCTAGATATTTCCAAGGTCGACGAAGTGGTGACAGAGATCAAGCCGGACCTGTTGGTGAGCTGTCCCACGCGTCCAGATCGACGAGCAAGAGAGTGCTGACGAGTCCGAGTTTACCGCCTCCATGTGGACGCCCGAGCAGAGCAAGACGGCCCACGACACGGCGAGGAGCATCGTGCCGAACGTCAAGACGTTCGCCCTGCCCCAGGGTCTGCAGGTCGAAAGGGGCCCGGACGCCGTCGTTGACTACATCAAGGAGAACCTGCCTGCGCTGCTCGAGGGCGAGGCGAGCAACGCATGAAAAGGGCTGGCAAGATTGGGTGCCACGGTCGCGTGCGAACAATACTCCAAATTACCTTTGCACGTGACGATCGTTGGTGGTTGCGCTGAGGGGTTGCTCTATATCAGCAATAGCTGAGATTCAGGGTCCATAAAGCAGGGGACTCATGTTGGTGCAAAGCTCGTCGATCGTGGGGGATGCATTTCCTAAAATAACCCTATGATATCAAAATAGACAGTCTCCGAACGAACAGAGTAAAATAGATTCCCAATGGGTAATGAGGTCGCGCTTTTTCCACCAACTCCGCAGCCGGGCATCTCCCGCTCTGATCTTGGCCGCTATGGGGCATCCCTCTGTATATGGGCAAAAAAAAGAAAAAAAGGGAGAATAAGGCCAGGTATCCAATGGACGAACAATGTGAACAGACGTTAAGAGAAAAGCGGTGCTAAGTAAGAAGTAGAAAATGCTGCCACTGTTAGAAGTCGCCCATCATCATCCATCCTGCGCCTCCTAATAGGCCCACGACGACGGCAATGGTGAGAATCGCGGCGCCGGCCTTGTCGCCGCTGCTGATTGCCGTCAAGGTCGTATAGGTACCATCCGTGCTACTGGCTCCCGATCCGGTTCCGGCGCTACCGTCAGATTTACTGGTACCACCAGTCGCATAGGTGACCGGGGGATCAAGAGTGCCCTTGTCGATCATCAGGGAACCGACGACTTGCAGCGCTGCCATCTGCTCACCGACACCGTAGGTGCCATCCCATGTTGTTGAGTTCCACTCACGGCCGCACGTGTTGCCGGCTGTCTTTGCGGATCCCGAGCACTGGGCGGCCGCTCCCGCCGCCGACGCGCGGAGCTTGGTGTAGATTTCCTCGTAGAAATCGGGGATCATCTGCGCTGTCAGGGCAAGCCAGCGCACCAAGTAGGCTTTGAACGAAGACTGATCGTAATCGCAGTTTCCAGACGGCTCACAGGTGACCTCGACCAAGATGTTGGCAGTCATGTAATCCGGGAAAAAGGTCGAGTACGTGGTCTTCAGCAGGTTCGAAGCGCGCGTCTTCCAGACGTCGTTCTCTGTGTGATTGTACAGGAAGGCACACCCGACAATGAAGGTTCCGTAGTTGTATGTCCATTGCGTGTGATCGGCCGTGCTGCAGTTATTCGTCACGCTCGTTCCGTCGTTGATGGTCCACGAGTCAGTGTCGAGGATCACAGTGCCGGCAGCCCAGTCCCACATCTTCTCCGCCCAGTCGCTGTATGTCGTGTTCCCCGTATAGCGGGCGAGACGGGCTGCCAGCTGGAAGAAACCGCCGTTCGAAATGGTGTTTTTGTAGTTCCAGCCTGCGTTGAACGAGTAGATTCTGTGGTCGCGGTGTTAGTGGGGAATGACCAAAGGGCCGCCGTCGCAGGCAGTGGTTGCTTACTGCCATCGCAAACCACCATCACAGTTTGCAGCATCCCAGCGCGCGGCCTGCTCGTTGAACACGGCCTGTGCCTGGGCGACCCAGGAGGCGGCTTCGTCGCCGGGGTCGGAAAACTTGAGCTCGGCGGCAGTCATGGCGGCCAGAGCCCAGAAGAGCTGATCGTCGTTACCCTCGGTCAGGGTCTGGTTGGTGGGCATGTAGTCGTTCTTGTCGCCGGTCTGGTGGATCAGGGCCTGCTTGGTCTGCGGCAGGTATGTCTCGTCGCCGGTGTAGTACCAGTACTCGACCATGCTCATGAACATGGCACCGGCCTCCCACCAGTAGTAGGGGTCGGGCAGGTTGCCCGGAACGTCACCGGTGTTGTTACCGGTGTACCACTTCATCAAGCCATAGGCGATCTCGGAGGCGGCATCTTTGATCGAGTCGGTGCTGTCGATGTCGATGGCGACAGCGTGTACGTGGTTCAGAACGAGCGACAGTATCCCCAGGATACTCCAGGGCGAGGTAAGGAATCTCATGGCGGAACGAGTGACATGGAGGGGAGGGCTGGGGAAGGGCGCGCCGGGGATGATGAGAGAAAGACGGGTGGGCACAGCCCGGGGCACATCAGGGAGGATGCGCGGCGCTGGGCGCTGGCTTGCATCGCGTCGCTATCCTCGTACGTCCGGCCGAAATTGACGCGTAACGAAATTCGTCGGTGCGCGGGCCTTAGTGGGTCATGGCTCAGGAGAGCATGCGAGTGGTGGCAAGCGGCGCTGGCGGGCTGAACAAAAGTCGCCAGCAGATCTCGCGCAGCATGATCGGCAGTGGCTGGACGAAGTCTGCGGAGGGGTTGGAGTGTGCGAGGGCGAATCGCTGGGCAGAGCGCCGTTGGTGGGTTGGCGTTGCTTGGGGGTGGCCGAGGAGTGACAAGCATTGCTTGGAGAGGAAACTTGAGGCTGCGCGGCTCGGCCACGGCTCCCTGCGACAGACGGCGGTCCGACCATCGCAATCACCCGCCTCTTCAACACCACGCCAAGCATCATGCCCACGCCCTGCTGCCCGCCTGCTGCCCGCCTGCTGCCCGCCGCCCGCCTGGCCGCGGGCCGGTGTCGCGGAGGGTTGGCGGTCCCCTGCGCCGCCGGCGCTGGCGACGACGCGGCTGCGTGGCCGCCCGGCGCCGCTGCTCCACGGCCCTCGGCGCTCCTGCCGCCTCGTATCGCCGAACCTCCCTCCTCTTCACGCGGCTGACGGCGAGCCTTGCGCTGACGTGTCGGCCATCCTCAGAACTTCGGATTTGCGTGTGGAAATCGTCGCTGCGGCTTCCCCTGTCTCCGGCGCGCGGCAGCTGTGTGGAGGAGATTGAGGGTCTGAGTCTCCCCTGCCGCTCGGACGGTGTCAGCCGCGCTCGCGTTCCAGCAACGAGACCGCGCGGATTCCATGCAATCCCTTTGCAGATGCACAACCTCAGCAATCAGCGACGCCGCCCGCCCGTCTCCACGGCAGCCATGTGGTACCTGATGGGCGCCGGGAAGTTGGGGCCCGAGCATCGTGCAGCAATCTAGTACCAAGGTGCTTTTCCGCTCGCGACCCCACGGTGCGGCGCTTGACATGGGCAGCAGTCTCCTGCCGCGGACAGCTCCCCATATAAGCTGTGAGCTGCGAGCCGTGGCCGCTCACTGGGCCGTCGGCTTTGATTGCATCCCTCCGTTCTATCGCAGCTTGGGCCCCTTTTGTTATCACCACGACTCATGCAACCCTCTCAAGACGGAGAAGTCTGCCGCCTGCGCCAGTCATGCTGCGCAGCGACAGAGAGCCTCATGTTCGAAAACTTTTCTCCTGCCGCGCCGATTAGCGGATGCTCTCTAGCCCCACGCGGCATAGCTCCGTAATGCGGATCCAAACAAGCCGAACAACAATCTCTCGGCCCGCTCCCCAGCATCTCCTCTGGTGTTAGTCCCCGCCTCCATGACGCAGTAGAGTGGGATGCCTACAAGTCTGTTATCTGCCGCACTGCTATATGAAGAGTCCTACGCCGCTGCTGACCGCGCCCGGCTCTGCTCTGTCGCGGCCAGCAACCCGCCAATTCCCACGTGCCTGTCTCTTGCACGGCTCTCGCTTCACCTGATTGTTGATCGTAGCATTGGCCAATCCAGCTGCGACCAGGTCATTGCTCGTTAAACATGTCTCCTCGTTCGTTTCCTCGTGTTTTGCACGCCTTGGCTTTTGCGGGCGGCGCTCATGCCATCGTCAACTCCACCCATCCTACTCTGCTTACCGACATCGGCGAGATCTCGAAGCATTGGGGTCAGATCTCTCCTTACAGCGACAATGCCGCCGACGTCTTTGGCGTGGAAGACGTTGGCATCCCTGATGGTTGCCAAATCGAGCAAGGTAGGGCGTTTGGTGCTGCACCATCATGTAGGCTAGGCTAATTCGTTCAGTTCACACCATGCAACGTCATGCTCACCGCTTGCCCATTCACTGGGTTGATGATGGAAACAACAACTTGGACTTTGTGTACAAGCTGGGTAACTGGTCTGCTGCGTCTAACGCTACGGGCTCGTTCGCCGGCCCCCTGGTCTTTTTGAACAACTACCGCTATTCTATGCCATCCCTTGGTCTTCTTACCGGCCAAGGTGCTGTCGAAGAGATGAAGTCCGGAGTCTCTTTCTGGGACAAGTACGGTCGTACGCTGTATGATGCTGAAGTTGGCCAATTGACCTACGACCCCAAATATCCCAACGGAACTGCACGCGACAAGCCCCTCCTACGCACAACTTCGCAGGCGCGCATGTACAACAGTATGCTGAACTGGGCGATCGGGTTTTTTGGCCCTACTTTCAGAGCCGACCCAGACCAATCCATTCCGACGCTGGGCAACTGGACGGACAACTTCGACGTCCTGATCATTCCAGAGGGCGGTACTGAGAACAATACCCTGGCCTCCTATGACAGCTGCTTCAACGATCTTGAATCAGGTATTGGCGACATTGGAGACCTAGACGTTTTCAAGTATCTCCCCGTCTACCTGCAGGACGCTACGAAACGGCTGCAACAGTACGCCCCTCAGGGATTCACCTTCAACGTCAACAACACGTACGCCATGCAGATGATCTGCGCCTACGAGATGCAATACATCGGCCAGTCCGACTTCTGCGGCCTCTTCACCGCCGACGAATGGACCGGCTTCGAGAACACGCTCGACATCGCGTACTACTACGACTACGGCTTCGGCAACCCGACGGGCCGCGCCCAAGGCATCGGCTACGTGCAGGAGCTTCTCGCCCGCCTGCAGAACCAATACATCACCTCGTCCAACTCGTCCGTCAACTCCACCATCACCGACAACCCGGCCGACTTCCCGCTCGGCCGCCCCTTCTACGCCGACTTCTCGCACGACGACATCATCATCTCCGTCCTGACGGCCATGAGCGTCGACTATTTCCGCGACGCCCCCTCGCTGACCGAATACCCGCCCAACCCGGACCGCCACTTCAACCTGGCGCGCTTGACGCCCTTCGGCGCGCGCCTCATCACCGAGGTCGTCGGCTGCAGCGCCGCCGACCCGCCCGCCGCGAGCGCGAAGCGCACCTTCTACACGCCCGGGCAGTACGGCTACGACGCGGCCACGGCCACGCACAAGTTCGTCCGCATGCGCCTCAACGACGGCATCGTGCCGCTGGACAGCATCAGGGGCGGCGCCTGCGCGGGGCGGACGGACGGCCTGTGCGCGCTTGACAAGTTCGTCGAGAGCCAGGAGGACTCGTACGAGCTGAGCAACTATGACTACGCGTGCTTCGGAAACTACACCCTCGACGACCCTACGAACGCTCATGACTATGATGGAACTATTAGTGAGCAAAACTGAGAAAGAAAGAAAAGAATCCGGGTCTGCGTACGCAGGTAGTAGGTAGGAGCAATGGTGCGGACGTAGACGTGAGTTTTATTGACTGAGCATTCGCATCCGGACAGTGGATTCGATGACCTAAGTAGGGTGAAAAGTTTCTGGGTTTAATCATTCTGCACCCCGCTGTGGCTGGATTACCCAAGGTTAATTCTTAATATTTTTCTTGGGGAATTACTCCATTTATCCTGCAACAACTATTTTACTTCTACTAGAACTTTTGGGGACGGCAACAGCCGCACGAGATAAAATGCCATCGAAAGATGCATTGAAGGCAACTTGGTGGGTGCCAAAGGCCCCATCGACGTCTTGGAAGAGCGCGAACGGGGGTGTAGGCGCAGGACACAGAAGCTTGGGACTTATAGCCACAATTTGTTCTTGGGTGCCTGGTTTCCTGGATTGCCCGAGTGCCAAAGGTCTACGCTTTATCCATGCTGACAAGCACTAATAAAGCAATGTTCATTATTACAATGATCAACCAGATCAGGACTGCAATCGTTGCTGTAAGCCAATTGTTGCGCATCTGGATTTCCTCGACGGAACTGGTGGACTGGTGCTCCCCGTGCTCGGCTTGTGCCACGATGTCATTTCCAGGGCGTGCATCGCGGTCGACGGCGGAGACGGTCATAAACTTGTTGCGGCAAGTGAAGTAGACAAGAGGAGCGCTGACAAAGGGCAAGATGACACTGAGTGCTACCTGTGAGCCCTCGAGAGCATCTGATAATCCTTCGCGGCCGACCGCCCCGGCGACGATGATCGAAGGAACAATGCTGATGCTGCGGGTGATGAATCGGCGCTTCCATGGCTTGCAGCTCCAATTCAGCTGTCCCTCTGATATCATCTGACCGGCTATGGTGCAGACAATGCCAGCACTTACACCAGACAGAAGCAGAGCAAGCGCAAAAATCGTGCCAGCAGCGGGCGCCAGCGTTGACGATAGAAGATCATGGATGCCGAAAAGGTCAGCAGACTCAGCGCCAGGCGTTTTGTAAAGTGAGGAGCCGGAAACTATGAGGATGGAGGAGTTGACGAAGAGCGCGAACGTGAAAAGGGAAATTGCTGTCTCAACGACGGAATAGGTCAGGCAAGCCTTGACCGCCTGAATAGAAGGGCGGTATTTCGAGTGAGATACGATCGATTCCGAGTCGGAGTCGAGGTTGTTGTTTTCCGCCGCGGCGGGGTGTTGGGCAGAAGCCAAAAGCGCTTCATCGAATTCGCGTAGGCGCGGCTGAATGATGCCCGAGCCAAGATACAGCGAGTGAGGCATAACGGTGGCGCCAAGGATGCCGCAAGATTGGTAAAGGCTGATTGTATCCGTCAGTTGCTGTTCTTGATTGGACCGTCTCGTGGCTAAACTTGCCCTTTCGATTCAACGATGGCCTTGCTTGGCAGATATCCTTTGAAAACGTCGCCCACCGACGTGTCCTTGATGAGGCTGAGCTGGAAACAGAAGCAGACAACCACACCAAGCACAAGTAGCATCACAAAATATTCGAAATAACGCACGGCGCGCATGGAGCCTGAGGGTCTGTAGAAAAGCAGGATGAGGAAGACATCGACAATGCTGATGGCGCAACCAGCGACCAAAGGTACGTTTAACAGGACGTTCAGGGAAATTGCTGTCCCGATGACCTGAGATGAGTTAGCTCCAACCTGACAAGGGGCTTCGCGGGGCCGTCTTAGATGAGCGTCTGACGTGGCATCTCACGTAGTTGCGGAACCTATGTGTACGACGTGCCACCAAGTGCGGGGACTCTACCTCAGCAATATCCGTAGCGATGATGGCCGACTCGGCGAAGATGTATAGAATGATATTCAGCCAGAAGGGCAAGTGAGCACGGCAGTTCTCAGCCAAGTTCATGCCCGTGACCGTGCCAAGCTTCACGCAGAGAGACTGCAAGAAGATGGCAAAAATGTTTGACATCAAAATGATGAACAAGAGCTTGAAGCGGTAGGAAGCACCAGCAGCAACGTCCGTAGCATAGTTCCCTGAGCAGGTCAGCATTGCGGCCTCGGCGCAGCGGAGAACACATACCCGGATCGATGTATGCAACCGCCACCATGAACCCTGGTCCAACAAACTTCGCATACTTGTAGAGCACATCTCTGGTCTGAAGTAGGAGCCCAGAGAAGCACGATCCACTTCGGCCTGGCTCTCCACTTCCTTTGTGGTCACGCCCAGCACACCCGACATTCAAGGTAGTCGCATGCGCACCAGAAGCCGACGAATCTTTGGGTGCGGGCCGGTCTTGCGACGCAGCAGCACCCGCGCTCATGTCTGCTTTGGCAGGACCCTCGGGCTGGATCCTGGAGCGCCCGACACCCCGCCGCTGCAAAGGGCCGGTGTGAATGTCGGGGGGCTGCTGCGGTTGTTCGATGGCGCCCTCGTCGGAGCTGTGGCCGGAGCTCTTGCGCTTCTGGCGCTCGTTTGCGATATGGTTCAGGTCATTGCACGTGGTCGCTTCGGCGTTCAGCGCTGGGGGGTTCTGGTTCCAGTCGGGTGGAATGTCTGGCTCGACTCTCGAAGGGCAATTCATGATCGGGCGATGTCACTGCTGGGCGGGAGCGTGCTCGTGCTCGTGCTCGGGCTGGCATAAGAGTGTGGCGGCACCTCGGGTATGCAGGGCGATTGCGGCTGCTTTGCGGGGAGCTCTGGGATGGAGTGCGGGAGGAAGGAAAGGCACGCGAATCAAGACAATGGCTGCTTCCGGTTTCTCGCGACCTGCGCCATGGCCTGGACTTTTCGGTGCGCTGCCGGAAGGCACGGCTTCCGGGATTGCCCCGCGCTGCAGTCGCGACACTGGGGCTGTGGAGCAGCGCCGGAGTGCGTATGCGCCGAGTGATGAGCCATCATGGTGTCAGCTGTTGCGGCGCGGCTCTTGCTGGGAGCTGTCGCCGCAGGAACAAAGAAGCTCCCAGAGGCGATCGCGCAACCTTGAACCCCGCGGCCCGGCTTCCGAACGGCTTGCCCACTTCCATGCCCAGCCGCCGCCGCCAAGCGAACCTGACAACAGACTTTGCCAGCCAACCACGGAACACTGTGCCGACAGACGGCAGTTCGTGCCGACAGACGGCACAGCAGCCGATCTGGCCCACGGCGCTGCAGCCATCAGCGTGCGGGCAAGCGGCCGACAGGAGCCCGGCACGGTGTCGCGGTGCGGGCAGGCCTGTGGAAGGCAGCAATAATGACGCGCCCGAGGGCCCGGTCGAGCTAGCCCGAACAGGGTCACGAGATGTTATTCAGCTCAGCTTGGGCCTGCCCAGCCGCACACCACCACCGCTCTGCTAAACACTCACCCGCCGACCGCAAGCCTCAGCTCCTCACCCCCCGCCAGGCATGCTGCTGTGCTGATTGAGCCTGGAGACCAACGAAGCGGGGGCGACAATGGCCCAGTCAACGCGCCAGCCCCGCCAGACGCGGAGCAGCGCCGCTTGTGACTCGTGCCGCAGCAAGAAACAGAAGTGTGGAGGCGAATGGTGACCCCCGCCCGCGCCAGCCCTGCCGGCAGCATGCTAACCAAGGCAGGCCGATATGTGCCCGGTGCCGCGAGACGGGCAACGAATGCACCTGGCCCCCGCAGCTGCAGCGTGGCCCCGCGAAGGGCTACCTGGAAGCCATCGAGGCCCGTCTTGATGACGTTGAGCACATTCTCCTTCAAGTCCTACCTCTGGTCCCCTCCGAGCAGCTGCTGAGCTCCGTGACCTGTCACAACGACTCTGCTCGCCACCTTGTCGAGAGCGGTCAGAAGCGCTCCACCCAAGAAAAGAGAGCTGCTCTTGATTACTGGGCCTCGTTTCCTCTCAACTCGCCTCACGCCGTATTGGCCTGGTACAATGACCGCTCGCGCCGTGACTCGGTCCGGATTGCGTCGCAGCCCACACCTTCAGCCATGGACATCAGCCCGACTCCCGGCGGACCCTCCCCCGACACATCCAGAAGCACCCAACCTCGGCTTGCCGAGGCTCCAATGGACGACGTAAGCCATCATCACCCAGAGTCAGCCAGCTCGATGCCAGGTTCGTGGCCCAGTCATCATTTGCCTGACAAGGCACGAGCGCCTGACCCACAGCCAGGGAATACTTCAACAAGCTCTGCTCGGGATCAAAATGCCGCGGCCATTCACCAACACATGCAAGGCCCACCGTCCATCTCTCCTTCGGCAAGTTGCAGTAATTTTGAGCTCTCCGGGGAGTTTCACGCAAAATTCCTCTGGTAAGCAGCGAGAACCTCGTCAAGTCTACACACATCAACAAAGGACGTCAATCGAGGGACCACGTTGAAAGCACAGAGATCGCATGCCAGAGCTTACGCTGCGCTTGTCCTGGCTGCGAGTGTGTACGACGCTCCACACAGTGAATGTCAAATGCAAACGCATCGCCTTCGTTGACGCCGCTCGTTGCGTCGTGTCAAAAGCTTAAACCAAGCTCATCCGTCTGACATGTCGACCTTATGGCCCAGCCCATGGTCGATACTCCAGCGCTCTGTCCAGTAAAGATCAGAGCAGATGATTCCAAAACACATACAGCGCTGTCCATGCCCGCTCGCATCGGTGCCGAGCATAGTCAGATCACTTAGACATTTCGAACGTCACGTCCGCCCAAAAAGAGTAATTTGCGTAATCCTAATTTGTTGTGTTTGGTTTGCCTGGAACGCGCCGCGTCTGCAACTGCATCGAAGTCTCCCGCCACGTACTTGTTTCGCCACAAACAGACACGATGATGCGAAGTCATATAAAATTCCACGCTAGCCGTCTTACTGAGAAGCTGCGATCTGCGTTGGCTTCGACATCTATGGTTAGAGCTTCTCGACTCGCAATAGTAAGGCTACCTACAAGAAAAAAAAATGCAACGATGAAGTACTACATGCAGTTAACAGCATCGGGTCGGCTTCAGGGGCCAGAAAGTTCAAGCTGCTCTCGAGATGAGATCCAGGCGTGAGATCGTCGGCTCATATTAAGATTGCTCCCGGGGTAGTTGGGGCCGTTGACCCCACGTGGCTGATGCACTGGTCTGCTCCAACCAGTTGTGGCTAATGTGTAATATGGAGGAAGCGGGTGCTGCGGTGGTGTCATGGGCGCGGCAACGCTCTCTCAACGATCACCCTCTCGCTTTCCCGATGCGGATCGTGTGGCTCTAGTGCCTCAGTCGCTACCTCGTATCGTTTTTGGCAGGCCGTTGCTCAATGCAAGCGAGCCTGCTTTCTGACTTGGCGGATGCGCTGTGGTGATACAACAAGCGAGCCGAGGAAGTGGAAAACACAAAGCCGAGGTCCCTCGCTGGGTGCGGGTCTCTTCATCTCCACAAAACAGCGGGCAAGGAAAAAGAAGCTGGGGGTTCCTTTTGCGCACGAAAAGAAGAACGGGACGATTCCTTTTGCAAGCAGAGGAGAACAGTGATGACACGATAGACTGCGGACCGAATCTCGAGCCACTGGTGGTTTCAGCCTTGTAGCCTCGGCTTGTTGTTGAAGGAATCAAACGCCATTCGTCTTGCGCGGGCAGACGCTAGACGCCGGAAATGGTTGCGGCTGCACTAGGTACACCAGGGAACCGGCCAACAGATACAGGTTACGAGGATGGGATCCCCTGAGCCACATCGGATAGATTGCACCTTAACAGCGTTAAGGTGCAATCCCGGCAGCGGCACTCCCGACCAAAATCGCGAGCCGAGGTAGCGTCTTCCAAGCCGCCCGGAAGCCTTCCGGTGAAACAGGTCCGAAACCTCCACGTCTTGCTCCTATTGGCCAGAGCATACACCATTTACGCCCCTGCCGCAGTGGGCCGTTGTTCCCAGCACAGGATCGTCCAGCTCTTGCCGTTCACGATAGATGAATCCGCACCGTTGAATGCTTCTTCTGCACAGCACCCTGTTCCTGCATCCATCGTTGCCCAACCGCGCCATGACCCTTTGCAAGGTAGCAGCCTCGGCATCGGACCATTGGAGCATTCAGGCCTTCCAAGACAGGCCAGCTCCTTCTCGTTTCGATATACCCAAAGGAGTTATTGTTGGAGTCCAGGGTGTCGATCGAGAGTAGTGGATACGCGTTGGCTAGAGGGGCTGCATGGAAGATGTTTCCTTCTGCTTTGACTACCACAGCCACAAGATGGGTCGTTTCAATCATCACTTCTCTATAAAGGCTTCAACCTTTCCGTCGAACCTGTTCTTGCACTATCACTCACTTCAGCATCCTCTCTTCTCTTACCCTCTTTTACCTGTGCAGGCTCCGGCAGCTCTTGTACCGCGTCATTCTCTATCTCGATCATCTCGAAAGACTTGACGCTGTCGTTCCTTCCATCCTTACAAATACATAACTGCTTTTCATCATCATCATGAGCAACATTCTCCTCGCAGCTGTTTATGCCGCCCTCGTGGCTGGCGCTCCTGTGCCCCAGGCCATCAGTGGCTATGGCATTTTGCCCACCCCTGGCGCCGGTGGCGAGGGTGGCCTTCCTTTCCCCGTCCCGACTCCTGGATCCGGCGGCTCTGGCTTCGGTGGCCTTGGCGGGGGCCTGGGTGGTCTCGGTTCCATTCCCACCCCCACGGCCGGTGGCCTTGTGAGTTAGCCCGTTAGGAACTAGTTATGAAGATGCTCACATCTCTGTAGGGAGGCGGTCTCCCGTTCCCGATCCCCACTCCCGGCGCTGGCGGCTCCGGCCTCGGTGACCTGTCCTCGCTTCTTGGTGGCTTGGTAAGGATTTCTCATGGTACTGCCGTAAGAATCAAATACTCATTCTTTCGCAGACCGGCGGCCTTTCGATCCCTACACCAGCCGCTGGCGGATCTGGCTCAGGACTCGGCGGACTGGGCAGCTTTGGCGGCCTTGGCTCTGGTGTTATCCCCACAGGCACCTCTGGGTCATACGGCGATGTCGAGAAGCGTCAGCTTAGCGGATTGAGCGGACTGGGTGGACTGGTAATGCATGGCACTTTCTGAGACCCGTCTACATTGTCACTGACTGTCCTCTAGGGCTCTTTCTCGGGCCTGGGCGCTCTCCCCACGGGACTTTCCCTGCCGACACCTGGCGCGTCCAGCGGCCTTGGCTCTCTTGGGAGCAGCAGTGGCCTCGGATCCCTCGGGTCTCTGGGTGGGAGCAGTAGCTCGGGTAGCAGTATTCCTGACCTCGGATCTCTCACTGGCGGCTCAAGTCTAACTGGTCGCCAAGCATCTGATACGTCGGGCCTCAGCACGCTCTTGGGTGGCTTGTCGGGCGGAAGCTCATCAGGCTCAAGCTCGTCAGGCTCTTCTGTTCTGAGCGGCCTTTCGCTGGGCGGAGAGTCTACTTCGAACGGCCTCGACGAGGATTGCAAGGCGGCAACTCTCATCTTTGCTCGTGGCACCACCGAGACGGGTAACATGGGAAGCGTTGTCGGACCCGGGTTCGGAAGCTCTTTGAAGGAGCAGCTTGGCGACGGCAAGGTGGCTATCCAGGGCGTCGACTACGCTGCTGATGCCGCTGGTATCGCCACCGAGGTCACTGGTGGCGCGGGAACCACAGCCATGGTGGCCGATGTCCAGAAGGCGATTCAGAAGTGCCCCGACACGCAGATCATCCTTTCCGGGTACTCTCAAGGCGCCATGCTCGTGCACAACACCATGAACAAGCTCACGGCGGACCAGGCCAAGAGCGTCAAGGCTGCCGTCACGTTTGGCGACCCGTTCAAGACGCAGGCTCTCAAGAACATTGACGCGAGCGCTTTCCGGACCTTCTGCGCCAGCGGCGACGCTGTCTGCGGCGGCGGATCTACTTCTGGCAGCGCCGGGTCTGCTTCCACTTCCGGCCACTTGGGCTACGGCGCCGATGCCGACACGGCCGCCCAGTTCGTCAAGACCAAGGTTACCGTCTAAGCAGCCAGCCTCGCCATCCACAAGACACTCCCTTTTCTTTTGCTCGGGTCAATGGTTGTTGCCTGTTGTATTACTTTCTGGACATTATTTTAGTATTTGGTTTAGTTGGATTCAAACACAGGGGACGGCATCATCAGCATAGCTCCTGTATCACAATCAATCCCAACGACACTCATGTTGATGCCACATTGTGCACTACTACTGGCGACTTGTCCACGTAATGCGAACTAACGATGGCAAAGACAAGTGGGGTGACGACAGTTGTGGCCGAAATAAACTTTCGTCTGCGACAAGGAGGCTTGGTCATCCTTCCTTTTTCCTGAACAGTCGCCCCACTGGCGCTTGGACGTCGCACAGCATTCCTTTTTGAGCACCCCTGGCTTATATTTAATATCGACAAGGTCGTACTCGTCGGTTCCAGTTGAAATGCACTAGCCAGCTGCTATGTCTCGCGTCAATTCCGTCAAGCAACCGTGCAAGGATCTATCTAGTTCGACTCCTTGATTCTTCCCCTGCACCCACGTTCGAATATGTGTTTCAGCTGCCAACTGATGTTCTTGCCAACTCCTCTACTTCGACGGCACGTCGATGCGCTTACTTATCCGACAGACACGTCTCCGCACTTTATCGAGCCGTCATCGTCACACCGCGTCAGATCCGAGGTTTCGCCCTTGATGCGACCAATGAAACCAGACTGTGTCCTGCTCGATGGCGGAGTCATCCAGTCATCCCCCACGTTCCACATGACATTGATATGACCTCCTGAAAGACGGTCCTCAACACCACTCACTTCCTTCCCCACCCGACACCATGTCGCTGCAAGTCCCCCCGTCTTCCTTCGACCGCCCCGCCCACACCCAGCCTCTGGCGCACCCGCTGGACCCAATCACTGCTCCGGAAATCCAGAAGGCGGCGAGGCTGTTCAAGGACTCCAATCCGAACAGGGACCTCCATTTCAAAAGGATTGCCCTCATTGAGCCACCCAAGGCCCAGCTACGGCCATATCTCCAAGCCGAACTCCGCGGACAGAAGCCTGCCCCCTTGCCGAGACGCGTAGCTGCTTTGTACCTGTTCCGCGGCGAGAATGATACTTTTGCTGCCGAAGCCAACCTTTCCAGCGCCACGGTTGAGAGCGTCAAGAAGCTGGACAGCCGCATCCATGGCCAAGCTGACATTGACGAGGTCATCGGCATGAGAGATCTGTGCATGGACCATCCTGCCGTCAAGAAGGAACTCGACCGTCTGGCATTGCCCCCCACTGCACGCGTGCAGTGCGACACCTGGCCCTACGGCCGTGATTCGCCCACCGAGAAGCGGAGACTGATCCAGGTAAGTGCCGAGTGTCTATGCCAACGCCGCATTGGGTAGATTCTGAATCGTGTAGTGCTACATGTATGCCTGTGGCCTCGAGAAGGAACACCCCGCGTCCAACGTCTATGACTTTCCTCTCGACTTCTCTCCCGTGTTTGACATGCATACCAAAGACTTAGTCACCATGTGTTACCTCCCTCTCGGCTCCGAAATCGAGCGGAGCACCCCGCCGCAAGAAGGACATATTCCCCACAAGCCACGTGAATTCCACCCGGACCTCCTGGACACACCCATCCGCACTGACCTCAAGCCACTGCATGTGAGCCAGCCGCAAGGAGCGTCTTTCACCGTCGACGGCCATCTGGTTGCTTGGCAGAAGTGGCGGTTTCGGCTGGGGTTCAACTGGAGGGAGGGCATGGTCCTCCACAACGTGACCTACGACGGCCGCGAGTTGTTCCATCGCCTAAGCCTCGCCGAGATGTTCGTCCCATACGGATCCCCCCAGTCTCCGTACCACCGCAAGTCAGTCTTCGACCTTGGCGACATCGGGGCAGGTGTATGTGCGAATGATCTCAGACTGGGCTGTGACTGTCTCGGTCTGATCAAGTACTTCTCCTTTGTCATCAACAACTCCCATGGCGACCCGGTGGAGAAGCCGAACGCAGTGTGCATGCATGAACAGGACAACGGGATCGGCTGGAAGCACACCAACTCGCGGACGGGACAAGTGACCATCACGCGCTCTCGCATCCTCGTCCTGCAGACCATCATCACCGTGGGCAACTACGACTACATATTCTCATGGCATCTCGACCAGGCCGCCGGCCTCCACTACAACATTCAAGCCACCGGCATCTTGTCCACCGCACCAATCGCACACGGCGCCCAAGTCCCATGGGGGACCGTCGTCAACGACGGCGTCGTCGCCCACTTCCACCAGCACAGTACGTAACACAACAAGGCCTCTCTCCCCTCCCCCCCCCCACCGACCGACCCACCATCCATCCACTAACGAGCCCCCACCCACAGTATTCTGCCTCCGCATCGACCCCTGCCTCGACGGCGACACCAACTCCTTCCAGGAAGAAGACTCGGTGCCGCTCCCGCCCGACGCCGCGACCAACCCCTTCGGCGTCGGCTACGCCACGACGACGCGCACCCTCGCGCGCTCGGGGCCCTCGTCCGCGGCGCCCAACCGCGTCCACAAGCTCGTGAACCCGACCTCGCTCAACCGCACCTCGGGCCGGCCCGTCGCCTACGCCATCCACAGCCCGCCCCGGCAGCAGCCGCTGCTCGCGCACCCGGACTCGTTCCACGCCCGCCGCGCCCAGTACGCCCGCCACCCCTTCTGGGTCACGGCCCACCGCGACGGCGAGCTGCACCCGGCCGGCGAGTACACGTACCAATCGCTGCCGCCAATGACGACGACGGGAGAGAATGGGAAAGACGAAGACGAAAACATCCTGCCGGACAACGCAGACCTGGCGGCGTGGGCGGCGCGCGGCGACAAAGTCGACGGCGCCGACATCGTCGTGTGGCACTCGGTCTGCCTGACGCACAACCCCCGCCCCGAGGACTACCCCGTCATGCCGTGCGACGCCATGACCGTCGCCCTCAAGCCCAGCGGCTTCTTCGACGCCAACCCCGCCCTCGACGTGCCGCAGAGCACGCAGGACGCGAACCGGAGCGTGCTGGTGGCCGATGACGACGATGCCGGGGCGTGCTGCGGCGGCGCGGTGGGGAAGGAGAAGGAGAAGCCGAAGGAGAAGGAGAAGCCGAAGCTGTAGGGCTTGGGGATATGGAGTTTTCCTTATTTATTTTATTTTGTGGTGGTACTGTAGTGATCTTGAGTGCAAGAAGCGTTTTGCGCACTGGTGCGGATTTCGGCAGTCCTGTTGAACAGTCACAGTTGTATTTCTTCAGTCAGTCGGGGGGAAAACAGTGAACGTGATAGCAATGGAGCAAATCCTAGGCTAATGAAAACGCGAGGGTGTTATAGTTCGCTGACTGCTGTTTCTTTTAAACCCTTGGTGAGAGACAATCGGTCAAGTTCTGGAATCAGATGAATTCGTTCAGTGAAGAGCTGAAACTAGTCCTTGGCCAAGTTCTCTCGTTCAGCAGCTGTCATTCCGTGGTCGTGATGTTAGCGTCCTTTGCGAGGGGATACACTTGGTGATGACGCGACTGTTGGATCGGCGGCCCCTCGCTTCTGCTACGTCAAACCTCTTCCTGTGGAGGCCTGGAATGTGCCAGTCTGAATGTAAGCGTCTGACTGACCAATTACGCTGGGCGTATACATGCTTTGCATGTTCACCCACGTCTTTTCCTCGAACAGGAAACTCGGCCAGCAACGTTTCGCGGTCCTATGGGCAACGCCATATCGAGCATCTCCGGATTCCGCCGCGACAAACAGGCAAAGCCAAGCACCAGCCCATGACGGTTGAGCAAAAGAAAGCGCTCACACCGCCGGCGGTACTGCGGGCAGCGCCATTATGCGGTCCAAACACCGGACGGACCCAGACGCCAAAAAAGATAATTTCACCACCCACCCCAACAGCAACAACAAAACAGCAAAAAGATGAGTCGGGAATTGAGCCCAACGCGGGGATTGAACCCGCAACCTTGAGATAGCACTCTAGGAGTGTTTAAGAGTCTCACGCTCTACCGATTGAGCTAGCCGGGCGGCGGTGGTGAAGAACTCGGATGAGTTCCTACCGATTGTTGATGGAAGAGCCACTGCTACTGTGCTTTATACATAGCATGATGCAGAGAGTAGCATGGCTTTTACTAAAATGCCTTGGGAATACATCCAGGAGACCAGGGGCCGGCGTGGACGAGGTGTCGAGAAATTTTTTCCATCGATTACCGGATCGGGATTAGCTCGGATATAGTCGGAAATATACGGACGGTCGTGCACTGAGCGACGCAGAAGGCTGCAGAAGAAGTTGGCCTCCGGTGGTCCTTTCTGGCAGTTGAATAAGATATTCGGACGTAGATGCTCGTGTCAAGGCTGTACCGAACTACCCACGTGGGATAGATGTAGGTCGTTCAATTTTATTTGCAACCTACCGCGGCAACGTGCTCCTGTACCCAAGATATCAGTAACGGCAATACAACCGGAACTCCGCAAAATTCACCAAATGGTTCGGTCTAGTACGTGGGAGTTCAAGACAGTCCCTCCGCAACCCGCTGTGCCACAAAGAGCGGAAAGCAAGTCAGGACTGAGTGCACATAAATCTATCCGTACCGACTGTCTCGCGTTTCGTTCCGTATTGGGCAACGCTGCTGTGGAGATAAATACTTGTCACCATCCAGTGAGGGCTTGACCACCTACTCTGTAACAGAATCTCAGCAAACATACTGTGTTCTTCGAGCCCGGGAGCTTTCTATTCGATGAGGTGGAATCAGCCACACTTCGTTGAGTACCTGTGCACTGACCTCTTTGCTTCCGAGAGCCAATGTCTATGTTAAGGGGGTATCGTAATAATAAAACGACGCCAGTCTATATCATGCCTTCGCTTTCCTCTCGCGCACCTCACTCCACTTCCTGTCTATGACCTGGAATATGGCAGTAACGGCTTTCATCGTAGCTTCGTCGATGCCGCGCTCTCCAAATCTGTGCTGGATCTTGTCAGGATGCCAGCGCACACGCTCTGTCTTGAGTTGTGTGGCAACCTCATCCCCTTCAAGCGGTACGCTGCGGAGGAAACGTTCCACTTCTTCCTTGGAGACGTGTTTGACTTTGCCAGTTTCGACAGGCCACGGCAACAGGTCTTCTACGGCGACGTCTCTGTCCACAGCACCAGCTGCGATGTCTTCCCATCGCTTAGTGTATCTTGCCCAGACCTCCTTCCACTTCTTTTTCGCTTTCCGTTCCTCGCCTCGCTTCAGGCTTGCCTCCACGCTTCGTTGGAAGCTGTCATGGTCCTCATGCATTCGGCTGGTGCGTTCGCGCTGTGCATTTTCTTCCGCCTTCCTTCTCTGGCGTTCCTTGTCCTGTCTCTCGCGCTCTTCGAGTATGTGCTGGTGCGATTTCTCCCACATCTTGCGTCGGACATGCTCGGCGTATTCCTCATCCGTCATGCGCTCCAGCTCTCCTGTTGGCGTTTGTTGTTCCATGGGGTATGTGTGGATGGGCTGGCCGTAAACCCCTTCCCAATATGCGGCACCCTCGTCATCGGCAAGAGCATCGAAAAGAGACTCGCGGAAGGCGGCATCGGGATCCATGTATTGATCAGACCGCGTGGTGGCAGTGTAGGCGTCATCATAGGCGCTCGGGTCGTCATTCACGGTATGCCTCCGACTATGGTGGCGGTGACGGCGCCCATGCCGTTGATCATCGTTTTCGCTTTTCCTCCGCTTGTGTCTGTGGTGGGAGTCGTAGTCGTCGTAATCTCGGGAACGCTTCGATTTGAACTTGAACTTGGTAGGGCGCGCAGCGCGGTATTCGTCGCCTTTCGGGACGTCGGCGGGCTCTGAGACGTCTGGTGAGGCCATGGTGTAGGTGACGACCGCGGGGGAGGGTTGCGGCGGAAAATTAAACCGCGACGAACAAAAGTGGCGGCTGAAGGTGTTGAGTGACTGGCCTGTACCGCAATAAGGGTGGTGGATCAGCTATCGCGGCAACCTATGGCTGGGGCAATGACATACCTAGGGCATGTGCGTCCGCCGCACTTTAGCCGCATTACGTAATCTCCAGCGGCTTCCCATCACCCCAACGACCCTCCACCCTGACAACTTTCCTCGCCTTCAGACCGCTCACATGGCGAGCCTTAAGTACGGCCTCAACATTAAAAAGCCTTCGCAGGCGCCTGCGAGAGGCAAGCCAAAGAAGCCGCTTTTTGGCGACGACGAATCCGATGACGAAGACGCGAAGCCCACTGACAATGTCGAAGAGATTGGCGTGTTTGACCTCGACGACCCAACCCCATCTTCCAGTGCACGCAAGCCATCCAAGAAAGACTCCGGTCCCTCGAAACCCCCGAAGAAGCCCCAAATCACGCCATATGGCGACCTCTCCGCGCTAAAAGAGTCGCGAAAGAAGGCGGAGGAAGCGGAGACTCTGGATTCCAGCATATACGACTACGATGCCGCCTTCGACGCGCTCCACGCCAAGGATGCCGAGCGCAAGAAGAAGGACCGTGAAGAGGCCGCTTTGAGAAAGCCCAAGTACATGGAAGGCCTGCTCGCTTCTGCCGAGCTTCGCAAGCGCGACCAGCTTCGTGCCAAGGAGAAGCTGGTGCAGCGAGAGCGCGAGGCCGAGGGCGATGCTTTTGATGATAAGGAGAAATTCGTCACGGATGCATACAAGAAGCAGCAGGAGGAGATGTTGCGCTTAGAGGAAGAAGAGAAGAAGAGAGAAGAGGAAGAGCGCAAGAAGCGCGGCCCTGGCATGTCTGGCTTCTACCGCAGCATGATGAACGACGAGGAAAAAAGACATCAGGAAGCCATGGCAGCAACCGAGAAAGCTCAATCTGGCCAAGTCGAGGCCCCGGCTCAAGAGGAGGACGAAGAGAAGAAGCGAAAGACCGACATCCAACTTGCCAAGGAGATGCAGGAGAAGGGAGTCGATGTCATCATCAACGATGAGGGTGAAGTTGCGGACAGGCGACAGCTACTCACCGCCGGCCTGAATGTTGCGCCGAAGCCCAAACAGCCGGTCGCAGCACCTGCCTCTGCCTCTCGCCCGGCTCAGTCACAACAACAAGCTTACCAAGGCCGTGGCTCGAGCAAACAAGCCATGAGAGAGCGTCAGACGCGGATGGTCGAAGCTCAACTCGAGCAGGCTGTGAAGCGTGCAGCCGACCAAGAGGCCGAGGAGAAAGCGAAGTTGGAGCACGCAGCTAAGAGTCGAAAGACTACAGGCGACATCAGCAGCGCGAAAGAAAGATACCTCCAGCGTAAGAGAGAGGCTGCGGCTGCGGCTGCGGCTGCGGCTGGCAAAAGGGACTGAATCGACCGAGCTTCGACGAGGCTTTGCAATTATTTCTCTCAAGCATCACAGTCGACTCCGAACGGCTTTGGTAAATTTAGCCAAAGGGTGCATAAGACCTGCATACAGTAAGTCGGACTTTTTGTGAAGCATTTTTGCATTTTCATTGCCGTGTTCGCTTCGAGCAACATACATTGGGCTGCGATCAGGGATGGCGCTGCGTCTTGATTTCCATCTCGCAACCGTATCAAATCGAGCCCGAAAACAAAGAGGCTGCCACAGCGCGCCTCGTAGCACAGTTCGCTCATTACTCGTAGACGAGCTGTTTAGCGTCTTCGAGTATAAGTGTGTGCTTACATGTCCTGTTCTTCTACCTGCATGGCGTTATGCGTAGTTCCTGAGGGCTACCACGTCACATGGATGTCTTAGACGCGCGACAGAAGAACATCAGGCTGACCTGTACTTTATTAGGCTCATATGCGTAGCGCGAGGCTGACTTTTTGGTGGAGCAACCAAGGTACCTGGACTCAGCCTTGGCTTCTGTGCCTGCGGCAGGCTTCGACGGCCAGCCTCGATGCAGCATTCACGCAGCGTAAGCCGGATCCAGGCCGCACAGTTGGCAGAAGTGCGGCAACACATTCTCAGGTCGAGCTGCATCACATGGCACCAACGGTGGAGCGCGTGCCCCTATTGTGGCGTGGAGGAGGAAGGGGCGGGCAAAGGCAAAGTCGATAAAAGCGCATACTCGAGCTGTACAGCGTAAGCAAGCGGCACCTGCAAATAGCAACTTGCAGCACCCACGCCCGAAGCGGGGTAACGACCGGATGGCGTAGTCAGGCGCCCCAGGCACCCCGACCTACAGTGGACTCAGAACAATAGATGGATACCGCTACTTGGCCGTTGCAAGCCGCCGGAAACGCGCGTGATGTCGTTAATGCGCGGACGGTGGACTGGGAGCTTGCCAAGAAGCCCCCGTCCCGGCCCTGGTCGATCGAGCGCTTGGCGGCTGGGGTTGCGTATGTACGCTGCGATGCCTGGCAGCCTGGCAGCATAGGTAGGTAGGTGCGGGGAAAGTATACTGTGCACGGAGAGCGGGCACTGTCAGCGGCGCCGTGGCGGCGTCCACGTCTGCAGCCCGCCGCCGCCATGGCCGGGAATGGCTGAGGCGCTGCATCGGCCTGCCTGGCACGGCGCCACTCACAGCACGGCGCGGCTTGTTTCGACTGCACCTAACTCGGCCGGCCCACTGATTCGAATGCCAATTGCCGAGCGCTGCGGGGGCGGCAGCGACGGTTCCATCACGGTTCCATCACGGACGCGAATCCAGGCAGCACCAGCAGCACCACCACACACGCTCGCCCGTCCCTGCCCGGGCTCTGCTCATTAAAGGCTAACTGCTAAGGTTCACGACGGGCGACAGGCAGCGACGCGTCTGGCCCGGCAGGTCCGTGGCCGTGGCACACGGGGCGGGTGCTGCGCCGAGACTCGACGGCAGAGCGCGAGCCCGCAGAGCGCAAGCCCGCAGCCCGCAGAGCCCGCAGAGCCCGCAGAACGCGCGGTCGGCAGCCGGCTGTGGCGCCGCGGGCGAGCGCGAGCAGTAATGTATTCGGGCCATCCCAAGCACGCAAGCCGGCCATGACGTGGCCGCGAGGCGACTGCACTGATCGCTGGTGATCCACGCCGCGACTGACGACGCTGCGAACAATCGGCTGTAGGCCCGATATTAAGTTCCGCCCCCCCGGCTTTGCAAGAGCATGGGGTAGCGCAGCGACCGGGGTGCAAAAAGTCACACAAGACCGACGCCAGAGCACGTCGTCCGCTCTAACCTTCTTCAACCGCTGCAGTCGATTACACACGGCGCCCATTAGCCCCCCAGGGCCCAACAGAACAGCTCGCCCGGCCCGCATGACCTTGTCCGCCCCGAGCGCGCCGCCGCTGCCCCAGTTGACGCCATTGACCGCATCTCTTGCGAATTGGGATACAAGATCTGGCTAGGAAGGATCCTCCGCCCTCGAGCGCCTCCTTGGTAGGGTCCCCCATCGTGCAAATGAGCTCTTCCCGCAATCGCCTAGCCCTCCCGTTCCGTCCCAAGCCAAGCTTGCAGCCATACCATCAGCCCGCATCTTACCCTGTTTGTTCTCGGAGAAGGAGCCCAGCTAACTGGCTGCCACGCGCATAAGCTCGTTATCGCCCACTGCTATGGCGGTATTCGGAAAGGGCTCCACATGGCATGAGGATGGAGGCAATGTCTCATTTGCTCCCGAACGGGAGCCCCTCCTCAAGCCGCCAAGGGCTCGAGCCAGAGCCAGAGCGCAAAGGGGGACTAAATATGTCGTGCTCCTGCTGTTTTGTGGCGGTAGCCTTCTCGTCACTGCCTGTTGCTTTCTCCCCGGCTTTGCTGCATTCCTGACCGCTCGATACGAGAAGATGCTCTTCTTCGCGCAGCAGCTGCGGCTGCTCATAGCCTCCTTTTTTGTGATTGGCAGCTCTGCTCAAACTTTCAGCCCCATCACCCCGCCGTCGTATCCGTTGGCTGTCAAGAACCCGTACCTGTCAGGTGAGTACGCAATCCCGGAGCATGTGGAGGCGCTGGCTGGGGGCATGGTGGGGAGTGTTGCACCCCGTCTGAGCCGTTGGCTGTTGCAGGACGTCGCGATTAGCAGCCGTTCGTAGATGCATCTCGGGAAGCTCGTCACTCATTGGACCGCTCCCCACCCTGCCCTCTTGGCCTCGTGCTTCAGAGCCGCACCTTCGTCCTGCATCATCAGCTAAGACAAACCCAGCATGGCTCCCGGGAGACCAGGCATCAGATCTGCCATCGGCGCAGCCAGAGTTCTGGTACGCCAACAAGCTGACATGGGCCGTCATCGCCCGCGTCGATGGCACCGCCTACAACCTGTTCGGCGTGCCTGAGCCCGAGTCGGACTCGCAGTCTGCCACTGTCGTTGGTGGCAACTTCACTTCCACCCACACCTACTTCACCCTCACGGCCGGCGATGCAACCATCACCCTGGACTTCTTCTCCCCCGTGTCGCCCACCAACTACCGCCGTCAATCCATGCCGTTTTCGTACCTGACGGTCACGGCGAGCGGCAACGATGGCGCCACACCGTCCGTCCAGATCTACTCCGACATCGACGACACGTGGACTGGCCAATCGGATTCCACCACCTTTACTCAGCAAACATCTGGTGACACCACCGTATACCAGATCAGGAATGACAACCAGGTTCCCTATGGCGAGCTGAACGAGATGGCCCGGTGGGGCTACTCGGTCTGGGGCGCCAGGGCCGACTCGCATCAGACCGGCTCTCCCTCCACAGTCCGCGGCCAGTTCATCAGCAACGGCACGCTGACTAACTCGACCGAGGCCTGGTCGGCTGGCGCTGTGGCCGGCCTCGCTTTTGACCTTGGCACCGTCAGCTCCGCCACGAGCGCCGTGTATGCCATCGGCTACATCCGCGAGCTTGCCATCAACTACAGAGGCGACCCTTGGACCCCCTACTACCGAGCCTACAACCCCAACTGGGCTGGTGCCATCAACCACTTCCTCGATGTCCACGACGACAGCGTCACCGAATCCGAATCCATCGATGCGCAGGTCCAGAGTGTTGGCGAGTCATCTGGCGGGTCGAACTACACGGCGATTCTGGAGCTCTCGGTACGACAGATCTACGGCGGCATCGACATCGTCATCGACAACTCGACTCTCGACACCAGTAAGCCATGGGCTTTCATAAAGGAGATCAGCAGCAACGGAAACATCCAGACCGTGGACATTATTTTCCCTACCTTCCCCTTCTTCTACATGTTCAACCCGGCATTCCTCAAACTCCTCCTCGACCCCATCCTGACCTACATTGATACCGGTGAGCATCCCCACAGCCTTATTTTGGCTGGCACGTCCCCATTTTGGCAAGCATGTCACTAACTCGAGGCAGGCGCCTACCCTCAACCATACCTCATCCATGATTTGGGCACCCATTACCCGAATGCCACCGGGCATGACGACGGTCTGGACGAGGCCATGCCTGTCGAAGAATGCGGGAATCTCCAGGTCCTTGCTCTTGCATACCAGAAGGGTACCGGCGACACCTCTTTCACGTCACAATACGCGGATCTCTTCAAGAAGTATGCCGACTACCTCGCCGACAACGGTCTTTATCCCGACAATCAGCTCAGCACCAACGACGGCATTGGTGCCTTCACCAACATGACCAACCTCGGCGTCAAGGCAGCTGTCGGTCTGGCCGCCTACGGTGAGCTCACATCGCAATCCAACTACACGGACCTGGGCCGCTCCTTCGCCGACCAGATCTACGGCACCAACTCGAGCGGCGATGGGCTGGGCACTGAGATCTCGGACTCGACCAACGCCCCGTTCTTCACCCTCACCTACCAGGATCCGACGTACTTCATGGTCTTCAACACTTACCCGGACAAGCTCTTCAACCTCTCCGTCTTCTCCGACGAGTCGTACACGGCACTGTCGGACTTCTACCCGACAGTGCGGCAGCCGGCGGGCATTGCGCTCGAGGGCGCGATCCAGTGGGCCAAGACGGACTGGCAGATGTGGGTTGCGGCCATCACCGAGGCGGACACGCAGACGGTGTTCGTCGACGATCTGTACACATACATTTCGAACGGGAAGAACACGGCGCCGTTCGCGGATCGCTACTACAGCGACGGCGACGACATCGGTCTGGCCGGCGCGAACTTCCGGGCCAGGCCGACGCTCGGTGGGCACTTCGCCATCGCTGCGCTCAAGCAGGGTGTGTTGGCGTCGTCATAGTGAGGGGTTCGCTATCTCCTATCTAATGCCACTTCGGATACCAATTCGGCTATTCCGATGACGGGTGTTTCCATTGCCTGGGAGGCGTGGACATCGGCACTTTCTTCTTCGAAGCACATAGACCGTTCTTATGGGAGCAGCACAGTGTGGATTAATTGACCGTCCGAGGGAATCATGGTTCCCGGACACGTTGGTCATGGAAGCATTTGGAGGCTGACATGATTCTTTTTACGATGATTCTATTCTGTACGATCTTTTGGGTGCGTGCGACGCGCACAATGGGAATTTGAAAAAAGAAAAAAAAAACAAAGCTGACTTGGTTGTCGGCGATGACTTGGGGGCTTGAAAGAGACGGAAGGCAAGGTTTAGCCGTAATGAGACTCGGCACTTTCGGTCTGCGAGTAGGGCTAGTGCAACGAACGTTCAACAAAATAACATGAATCTTTTCCAGCTTCCTTGCTTTCCCCGCGTAGTTCTGTGATCCGACCATGTATAGTCCAAGGCATGCTGAAAAGATACTGGACGAAGCGGTTGCACGCTGTTGCGCCCGCGCAGGTGGCATTGGAGCCGCTGAGAACGAAGGCTTCACGTTTGGCCAATCGCTTGCAGCACGATTGGGTAGCATTCGTATGGGCAAAGCCCAATCTACAGGGGCCCCCGCTTGGAAGCCAGTCAAAATCAAGCCCGGGTCGGGAACGTGTGTGCTAGCGCTTTCCCCATCTCCTCAACATCGCAGATCCGACAGCTCCGCCCAAATCGATCGGAAACCACATCGAGCATGTCGGTGTATCAATCAAGTTCGAGCGCATCCCCCGTCGACGGGCCACGGCGACACAGCTGCTGATGGATGAGGCAGGAGTCGGCGGCGCGAGCACGAAGCGCGGGCTGCAGGGCGGCGCAGAGCGTTCGCTGGCCGAGGGCGATGTGCGGGAGATTCCCATGGGGACGGCGTGCAAGGCGGCGCTGCGGCTGGGCGTGCATGGCTTGGGCTGGGTCCTGCATCGACGCACCAATGCCAACGCCAACGAAGCCCACACACCCCCAGCAGCCAGCAGCCAGCGCCCACACCACGCCCGGGGCGCGCACGGAGGCGGCGCGGCGCGGGCCGAGCAGTGCGGCGGCGCACACACACACACGCACAGCCTGTGGCAGCGCCTCTCCACGCCGTGGCCGAGGGCTCGAGCAGCAGCGGCGGCGGCAAGGCGGCGGCGGCGGCGGCGGAGCTCGAGGGCGTCGCTGCCCGGCTCTGGAGCGCCGCAGCGGCACGGCGAGCGCGCCAGATCGCCAGGCTGCGTTGCACTTGTGCTGCTGCTGACCAGGTCTAGACCGCTTGCGCCGCCCCCTTCAATTCGGTGTGCAGAGGCCTTTCAACACGCCGCTCTGCCTCAGCCCACCATCCCCAGTTGCCTCCGCGCACAGCGCCCGCCGACCCACCACCTCTTCCCCCGGCCGCGCCATGACCAGAGCCGTGAAGCCGCGGTGCCGCCAGTCGCACAGCTCGGCTCCAGTTCTCGCCCGCCGCCTCCCGCTCCGCCTCCAAACCCCCGCCGCCACCTGAGAGCCGTTCCAGACCCTGCGACTGACGATAGTCCCCCTCACCATGGGCGACTCTGCCCAGCCCAGCCATGACCATGTGCGCCCGCCCAAGCGCCAGAAGTCCATGACCGTCATCGCCTGCAATTCCTGTAAGCGCCGCAAGTCCAAGGTGAGTCCCGCCGCCGGCCCGCCCTCTTGCGCGACGCTGAACACCAGCGCCCGCCCAGTGCAACGGCGCCCGGCCCGCCTGCGATCGATGCTTGCGCTTGAACGAGGAGTGCCACTACGAGCTCGACAGCACCATCAGCCGCCAGGATGGCCTCAAGCGCCGCCTGCGCGAGGTCACCGCCAAGTCGGATACTCTCGACGCCCTGGTCAGCCAGCTGCGCTCTGCCTCCGACGCCGAGGCCGCCGACCTCATTCGCCAGCTGCGCCACGGCGCCGACGCCCACGAGCTCGTCGACCGCTCCGCCGCGCCCTCCGGCAGCAGGCTGAGCAGCAGGCTGAGCAGCGTGGCCGAGGAGGACAATCACCAGTCGTACCCCTCGCCACCCACCGAAGACTCGGCCTCCAAGCTACCATTGGCGTCGGTGACGGGTGCCGACTGGAAGCACGCCGCCTTGTCTCGCACCAGCGACAGCCAGGACGACGACAAGGAACAGAGCATCGGCTCTACGCGCTCCTCGACGCCCTGGGGAGATTCTGCTTCTCCGCTGCCAAGTGGTGTGCAGCAGACTAGCGCTCTGAACGAGTCAGACTTGCCACCGCTTATCCCCCGCCACAAACGCCGAAGACTCGGCCCGCTGACCGTTTCTCGCGGCTATGTCGAGGCCTTCGGCAATATGTCGACGTCCAGCTCAATCATGGCCGGCCATTACCCTGCCGAGATCCAGAAACACCAAGTGTCCAACTTCCAGATTCCCGTCTATTTCCTCCAGCCGTGCTGGGAGCTCGACGATGCTCCTTTCTCACGTGTTGTCCAGGACTATAGGAACCTCGCTCGCATGCACTACGCCAGCAAGCCCATGCCCGAGCTTTCTCGTATTGACGTCACGTACTTCTTTGTGGACAGGGCCTTTTCCCCGGGAAGTGTCCCGTCCATTTCGACGTGGGCCTCGGAGATGAACAAAAGCTTCGAGGATGTCGACGTTTTTGTGCGCTTGGCATGTTTATATTTCCAAACCCAACTTATGATGGTACTCCAATCTGCATTTGTGCTTGCTACTGTTCATGCTGCTGACGCTCCGGCAGTGGATGATCAATCCAACCGCTGAGACGTACGCGAAGATGCCGGACTTGATCAAGCCGACCCCGATGCAGATGATGGTCCCACATATCTCCCCACTAGACACGGTGCCATTGTACGTCTGCAAGTACTCTGATGCACTCAAGAGCTGATTGTAGTATTGGAACAGACCAGCACTTCGTGAAGCATTGGTCGATGATCTCCGAGATTGGGTCACCGCGTGCGCAGGCTCGCTCTCCGTCAACTGGCCCCACGGAATGGATCAGGCCGTGGAACACGATCCTACCGACGACCACTTTTACTTGACCCAGAAATTCCTCGATCATGCTTCCACCCCCAGCAACTGGTCTGTTGGCCGCGATTTCATAGACCAATTTCCGGAGCTCATGGGCCGAGTGATGACCTCGGAGAATCCAAGATCGCCGGAGAAGTACATCAGTCCATTTGGGGAAGATTTGTCCAAAAAGCCAGCATCACCTGGATCGCTCAGAGCCTCTGTCCCGTTGTCTCTGCGCAATGCAGGTAAGCACAAGCTCAAATAAAACCGGTTCACACTTGACCGTTTTCTTTGTATTTCCTCTACAGCCCCCGAGACAGCTTCTAGCTCAATGACTACTTCCGAAAAACCTGCCGTGGCGGTTCCAGGATCAAGACGCGACCGTAAGGCAATGGTTGTTTCCACGTCTAAAAGGGGGTCGTCGAGAAAGTCTCTTTCGGGGCAAACAGCATATGGGGGCAGCATCCCTCTACATCTCAAGACGGCGGCTTCACTTGTCTGAGACCATGGCCCAGTCGCAGGAAGACTGTTATGGCCCGAAATGCTTCGCTAGCGAGGGAGAAGGAAGCCCGCCAGAAAGTACAGTGGTGGAGGCGAAATGACTACAGACATGTGGCAAGTCGCCTCAAGGACCCTCCTATCCATGGCACAAAGGAGAATTCCATAATCGGTCGGTTGAGGACGTCTTCCTTTTTTTTTTGTCGAAATTCGTCGATGTCACGTCACGCGATGTTTTCGCGAACTTTTTTGCTTGGATATACCTCCCCTTGGCCAATTCAGGAATGCGAGTATCCATTCTGCTACGACTCTAGGGAACCTGCAGCAGTTACGCTCGGCACGTACTGTATTACCAGCGGCTCGATTCCACTATCTTTCTCCGCCTTCTCGACGGCGACTTTCGCACCTTTCACCACATCCGAGCTCGCTATGCGCTTCTTCTTTGACCAGGCAGTCATTTTAAACGACAAGTACCGACACACACGGACGTCCAGAATACTCCATCGGCAATGGCGAAGTTGCAGTATGCTCAGTAGCTCATCTTGTCTACGTCGATCAAAGCGAAGCCGACTCGATTTCCTCCAGCAACCAGGCCGGATTCTCATCCGCCAGCCCCTACGCGTAAATCGCTACAATCCGCTATGCCTGCCTCTCCGAGGCCCTTGGGAACGACCGACGCGCGGTGCTCGAACTATACCAGCGTGTTCCCCCTCATCCTGGATTCGTCGAGACCGTCCAGGTCACTTTATTGTCTGCTCTGTGCAAGACTAAAGTGCAAGAAATTTGTTGTTGATAGGCGAATAGTACATGGACGGCAGACCTTCTTCTACGGAGATGGTGAGAGTATGTTTGAAGGCGAAGTAATCAGGCCAAATGCGTAGGTGCAGCATGGAGAAAAGGATCCGTTTGTCGACGATGGGCTGTCGACATCGAGGGTGGTGGCCGGATCCTGGACTTCTGTTGGTGGGAGAAGTTTTGTCTGCCGTCTTCCGACGGGTCGAAGATACTCTGGAAAATACCTACGGGCTCGGGGCAGCTATATTCTTGAGGGTTTAGTTGAAGGGCAGGCTTGAACGGTCGAGGATGGGAACATGGTCGCCGCTCAATTTTCTCCCACGCGTGTTGTGAACAGCAACGGGACTTCCAGCATGCACGAGTATTACGTCAGAGTCCAGACGGCCACGAATCTGGACCAGACCTTGAGGAGACCCTTGGAGCAAGGGTCAGTGGCCGATACGCCACGGACGCAACCGCAGTGGAAATTTTTGGCGGATTCCGGAACGTTGCTGATAGACATTTGCTCGGGGACGGAATAAGGGTGTAGCTCGGGGTCTCCAGGTTTTTAACGGTGATTATCTTGGTGGGAAAAGACAAGCCAGTTTCGGTTAGTCTATTTTTTTTTCCAGTTCCCCGATGATCATACACGAATCGGTGGAAGGAGAAGGGGGAGAAAGCTTTGTATTGTTCTCTCCTCTCAGGCGCGGCAGAGGAAGGCCGCGCGCTTTTTGGCAGAATCTACCAGGTACTGGTCTTGGGAATCGAAGTATGCTCATTTACCCCTTGCTTTCGCTCCTCACAGTGGGTGACGGAAGAGAGTGACCCACCTGTATCTATCTCATGGGGAGTGGAATCCCAGATCCGGATGCATTTGCACAGTCTCGATACTCGCATCTACATCCGGATATCTACTCCAGCTACTGATGAAGAAAGGTCGTCTTCACCCACATCCACGTCGGCATACTTGCTTTGACTGCCCACAGGAAGAATCGCTGTAGTCCAACTTCCCTCGTCACCTACTGGGTCCTCGAGAGCTCCGTGTCCGCTCTAGCTTGCAGCTGCGGAGCTACAATTGCTCGAAATTGTCCGCGGGCGGTATTCCGAATACCCATTCGTTAAATTGCGCGATCCCACGCGACGGGAATTGGTAGGAGGGGGAGGCCATGCTTGCCTTTTTCGACTGGATCTCCAGTCGAACGCGGTGGGCGATTTCGAGCGCGGCGAGGGTTTGAGTCAATTTCGACAGGAACTCGGTCGATGGCGCCTGTGGGAGCTTCCCTTCTGCTAAAAAGGCGACGCCCTCCACACGTGTGTAATGGTTAAGCAGGCGTGAGCCTGCGAAGTGTTTATCGAGGTAGGCCCAGGCGGCCGTGTCACTTCGGAAGATGGCGTGAATCTTGAGGAAGTCTTCGAGTGTGAAGAGATCCGGTCTCTGCTCGACGAGCGTGGTTCCTGAGATTCGCAGGATCTGGATTATCGATCTCGCGATTGCCCTCACCTCGACGAGCGGGTGTGGACCGAACCGTCTTCGCTGGAACTCCTCCGTGCACTTGTGAATAAGGACCCGCTGGAGATCTGTTTCAGGGGCTCGTGTGGTGTCGGGCGGCGGGGAAGGTTCTCTCCAGCGGCACGTTTTGCGCCATGCTGGTGTCGTAGAAAAGGCGCCTCGAACAGAACAGAATTCAAAGGGTCGGTGAAATGATAAGAAATGGGAGTTTAATCAAAGGATGACGGACCATCAATTTCCCCAGATTCATCCGTAGGGTTGCGGTATGCCGACGCTACTACTCAAGTTCAAAGCGACCCGGTATGGTTGAGAATCGATCATGTCATTCGATAGTAATTCACGAGTCGCTGGGGCCTAGAAAGGCAACATTATTCTCTTGGGGACTCTCCCACGCGATTGGCATTCAGAGGGTATTCAATATGCCTTCAAACGCGCCGCTAAATTACAGCAACCGTTCAGTCTATAGGAAAGCGATTTTTGAGAAAGAAAAAAAAAATTTACAGAACCAGCTCGCCGGGCTGTGTCTCCAGAACAACCTTCACCCTCTCCAAGAAGACTGTTGCTCTCTTCTCCTCACCCTTGGGCACGCTCACGCTAAATACGTTGATAGGGCTGGCGATAGCAGAGGCAGAGGGCACAGCGGTCTTTGCGCTTCTGGTCTTGACGGGCTTACCTGCCAGGATATCAAAAATATCTGCTGGCTTGGAGGCCTTGGCGGACTTCGAGGCGAGAGTAGGCAGAGCAGAGACCTCAGGGATAAAGTGTCCCCTGGAAGTTGTTGGGATCTTGTCTGTGCCGACAATGGCATTGAACAGCTCGTCAGCCGAAGGCTGGGCGTTCTTGGAGCGAGGGAGAGCTTCGTTGGCGAGCTCAGTAGCACGGGCAACAAAATCGGTCAGAGGAAGGTAGACTCCCAAGGTGTCTTGAAGGCGTTTCTGGCACTCGAGAACCGCCTTGAAGTTGATGGGCAGGGTGACCTGAGTGAGCGGTTCAGGGACTGGCTCCTTGGTGGCAGCGGGAGCTGCAGGAGCTGCGGCAGGAGGCTTCGGTTGCACAGCCTTGATGTTGCTGAGGTCCAGATGAGCCTTCTCTGCGAGGATCTTGGAAAGATTGGAGGCGTATGCGCCCTCGGACAGTTTCCCAGCGTAAGCAAGAACGTCACCCTTCAGCAGGCGGCCGTTCGGGCCAGTCGCAGGAATCTTGTCCGCATCCTCCTTAGCCAGGCCGTTTGCGCGAAGAGCGTAAAGAACCGAGGGATAGAGAGGGTAGGTCTGCTTGACGGCCTTCCCGGGAGGCGCAGCAGCCGACTTGCCGCCCTCAGGAGCCGGAGTGCTGGTCTGCCTGGCCTCCGATGGCTGGGGTTCCTTTGGCGCCGGGGGCTTCTGCTCGGCCTTGTCCTCAGCGGGGATATCCAAACTGCTGAGGTCGTCGCCAGGGTCCGCAAGAACACCGATGCGCTGGCCAACCTTCACAGCCTTGCTACCATCGCCCAACTATGCCATTGTCAGCCAGGTGCAGCTGTGAAATGGCAAGACTGCCTTACCGTAATCTTGGCCAAGATACCGTCGTCCTGTGCCTCGACGTCCATCTGCGCCTTGTCCGTCTCGATCTCGAGAAGGACGTCGCCAGCGGAGAAAGCCTCTCCTAGTTCAGGTCAGACATGTTGTGTGTTCTATATGTCTACGGCCGAGCCATTTTCCGACGGGCGCCGCATTATCCGACTCGTACCTTCTTTGATCTTCCAGCTCGCGATGTTGCCTTCAGTCATGGTGGGAGAGAGGGCGGGCATCTGGAAGCTGTGCGCAGCAGCGCTCGCGGGCGCAGGGCGGAAGCCTGACAGCGAAGTCAGCGGCGGTCAGCAGCAGTGGGATGGCGGAAGCGGACCTCTGCGGGCGACATTCTGGGGCAGCTGGCGGGCGGCGACACGGGCAGACAGCCTGCAGGCAGCGCTCAGCGAGGCCATGGCGACCTTGGAGGCAACAATGCCTCACAGGAACTGGGCGTGAGGGCGTGGGTGCGGAGGGTAGAGCTGGCGATGAGCGCGAGAGAGCGGTGCTGAGCCGTCGGAGTGTTGGGACGGCGGTGCTTGGGAAAATCCCGGCGGCGCACCACGCCCGATGCCCGTTCCGCGTCGGAGCGCGGCGGGGAGCTGATCTCCGTTGAGCTGCACCTTTTGTCCGCCGACGCGCCTCTGCTACCTGCCTGCGCGCCCAGCCCGTTCGCGCCCGGTATGGCCTCCATTTCCCGCCTGACCAACGTTGCATTGACCGTTTCCGCGCAGCCGCCATGGCCACCTGCTTCAGAGGGGCTGTCCCCTTCGCCAGACCCGCCTTCTTCCAGCTCCCGCGCTCGGTCGCCTTCCAGTATCGTCAGCCAAGTCCGTTCGCGACCCTCCGCTTCTTCACGGCGAGCCCGCTTCGCGCGGCTTCGAAGAAGGCCGCATCCCGCGTCGCAACCCCCGCGCCAAAGGCTGCTAGGGCACCTGCCGTTCAGCTAGAATATCAGTCCAAAGCCGACTTCCTCGGGAAAGGACGGAAATGGGTTGAAATCACGTCCGAGACGTTGCTTTACTCGGCGCCAAAACAGCGTGGGTTCCGAATTGCGTGCTATGCCGCCGCATTCGCCTGCTTTGGTGCTGCTGCTTCCTCGTACCAGTTTTTCTACAACGACTTGAAAGACAAGACAGAGAGGGATGGGCTTGCTAGCTGGGTCCCGCTGTCTTTTGGCTTCATTGCCGTCTTCTGGGCATTTATAGGCACTTGGCTGGCGGCAGCGCCCATGGGAATAGTGAAGTCGATATCTGTTATACCCAAACGAGGTGCTCAGAAGAGCCTAGTCCTGCGCTTCGAGATCATGCGCCTTCCCGGGATGAGCAACAAGGTCCAGTATGCCGCACCGGCCGAGGTTAGGGCCGACAGCAGCATCGCTGCCACCACCGTAGAGTACGCTGTGGCAAGGCAAGTTGTCGAGGATTCACGCAAGCCTCGACCGGATGATCCGAAGCTTCTGAAACCGTTTCTTGCTCTGGGCAGATGGGTCAGCCGATTTTTTTATAACCTCATGATCTACACCAAGATGTCAACGATGAGAGAAGGCATTGTGAAGGTCAGGATGGGGAATAAGGTCATCGGCAAGGTCGATTGCTCGGGGGAACTTCCCAAGGGTGGATATGGTAAGTACCAGGAGCTCCTCGCGCCTCAGCTTTTTTTTTTTTGACTGACGATTGTAGTAATCGATCAAGTAATCAAACCCTTTTAACTTCCCATTCTGCTACAACTGTAAGATAGATGAACATATGGGAGTGCAAAGACAGTGCCTGACTATTTACCCAACTCGCAACTGATACAAACATCGACCTCTATAGAGATTCGACATGCTTGTAGTATCTGTATAGAACAGACCATGTTGCGTGTGAAGAGAATGCCAGCTGGTGTGTTTACCCAATGGCTGAAGCCTGTTTGCTGGTCTGAATGCCTCAGCAGCCCAATGCAGTAAGCAGTCCTTGTACCTTGAGATATTCTGCAGATGCATGGCAATTTTTTTTTTCTGGCGTAGTTGACAGCCATCCTCGCGATGGCTGGAACTGGAACTGGAACCCGATCAAAGCAGCAGTGCACGGGGAGTGGACGGTCCACGTGTGCGGACAAACCTCGGCAAAATGGCCAAATTTGGAGCCCCGTACGAGGAGGAAGAGAGCCACCGCGCTCAGGTCTCCGCCGCTCGAAACAACCAGCACAGAGCCTCTCCATCACCACACCATCACAGGTCATGCCAACACCACACTGCAAATGCTTCTGAAGATGCGCATCACCGGCCGCGGGCATGCGTCGCAAGCAGTGTCTGGGATCACAACATGTAGCCAACAGAGTGGAGTACTGCGTGCTGCAATCACGGTGCCCGGGAACAGAATCATGGGAGCGCTGTGTTCTGGCAGCATCAAGGGCGCTGTGCGTGTGTGGGAGAAGATGGCTGTTCGCTTTTGGAACGGAGCGCAGGGACACGCGAGAGCGATGCGGCGGGTCGGCCACGGCAGGTGCACGTGCTTCCCCACAAAGAAGGACGCACCAACTGGCAGGAGCTTAACGGCGTTAAGGTTTTGAGCCTCAACGGTTCCTGCAGCCGATCGACGGCAGCTAGGGTGCCTGAGAAAGACGGGGAGGTGGTTTGAGAGACTTGGGGCGCGGGCTCGGGGGGCGTCTGCAGACACTGAAAACACCCGGAATCGAGTCGCGGAGGTGCGGAAACGTCATTGAATGCAGTTACCACGCGCTCCCAGCAGTTTTGCAGCGGCCGCAGAGGGGTGCGTCGCGATGGCATAAGGGCGCTCGTTCGCGCACGAGAGAGGTGGTTGATGTTTTGGCGGCGCTGATTGGCCCGCGCGCGTCGGCGTAAGCGGGTCTTGGCACCGCCGTGCACCGCGACGGCCGCCTTGAACACGAACCCAAAACACCCCAGCTCTCCTCTCCCACCCTTTCACTTTCGCCCGGCGCTGCACTGCATCGCCTCCAACAACGCCTGCGTCCCTGTCGCCGCGTCACTGCGCGTGCCCCTTCTCCACCGCCCCGTTTGCTTGTCGCATCGTCGCATCCTGTCCCCGTGCAGCATCCGCCGACGCCTCAGCTGCGCACCCACCGGTCGCAATCGCCCTCGTCCCCAACAGCGACGTGCCGCACCCTTTCCAAACCACAACCAGACTACGCTCAGCTCATTGCCTGCTTGTAAGCCTGCTGTCGCCTGCTCTTAACCCTGCACCCACCCTCGCCTTGGCTGCTAAGCTGATGTTCATCTCTTGACAGCCGCTTTTCGTCCCACGCAGTCTTGATCTTGTAGCGCATGCTCCCACCCTGTCTTCATCATGAAGGGAGGACCAAGGTCGAAGCTGGAGTACTTCGACCCTAACGCGTCGGACCCGAACGACTCTGACTTCGAGGAGAAACCATCCTCCCCACCCGCGCGTCGCTCATCGAAGAAGAAGAAGTCTGTGCCCGCTCGTAGGAAGAACCAAAAGCGTAAACACGCTTACGGGAGCTCGGATGATGACATTGTTGATGACGACGAGGATGAAGTGAGTGAGGAGTCCTATGGATCACCCAGCGCCATCGAGTCGGAGGGAGAGCCAGAGGTGAACGCCAGCGGCCGCCCCGCCCGCCACGCCGCGAAGAAGAACATAAAGTACGAAGAGAGTGCAGATGATGACATCGAATACGACGAGCTCGTTGTGGAGTCAACCGAGAGGAATTCGGGCGACAAGCGCAAGCAGAAGAAGACGCTTACGGTGAGGCTGCCGGTAAATCTACCGCCGCAGAACACGCGCAGCACGCGTGCAAGATCCACCCGTGCGGCAAGCAAGTCGGCGCAGCCCGAATCGCACGTGAGGACCCGGAGGAGCGCGCGTCTGTCTGAAGATCGGGAGGAACCATTACAGATTTCGGGATTTGCAGGCAGAGCCAAGTCTGTCGGATCTGCGGGAGGCAGCCACTCACCTCAGCGACGAACCGGCACAAGGTCCGCGCAAGGCCGCAAAGCTCCGATGAAGCGACCCAGTACCATCATGGAGGCTTCGCAAGAAGCATCTGGACATTCGGCCCAAAGCCCCGACCCCCTGCAGCCCAAGGAAGATGGTCAAGAAGAGGTGCAAGTCAGCCACGCTGCGTCCGTCACGTCAGAGATTCGCTATGAAGGCCAGGGCAATGAAGAAATCCAGTTAGGCGAGGCCGTGATTCAAGAGTCGGATCACGAGCAACAGAGCGAAGATGATGACGACGACGAAGGTCCGGTGACAAGGACCCGTAACAGACAACATGTAGGTTCTCATTCTCATTCTCCATCAACTCCGACACCAGCAGAGAAACGACCCGCAAAAGCGACAGAAGCAGCGACACGCAATCTCAGAAAGCGTAAAGCATCTCCAGCACCAGTCAAGACAGTAAAGACAGCCAAGAACGCTGCGCCCAAACTTCCAAAAATATCTTATTCAGAACTCCGAAGTTTAGGGATTAACTTCGATAAGCAGACAAGCACCGCGCGCGCATCGCAGAAACGAAATGCGGACGACAGCAGCGATGACTTCGATCCCGGCGACGACAGGCATGCCGAATCCGAAGATGACGATGCAGACTCCGAACGACCTTCCAAGCGCCAGAAGAGCTCCGGGGATGAGAGCACGGGCCGCAGAAAGTCCCAGAGGATAAAGTCTAGGAACAACTCTGGGTCCGAGGACGAGTTGGATCCGATCGAGATAGCAGATGAGGCTGCGGAATTGCATGCTGACGAGAGGCGCAATCGCCCCAGACGCCAACAACGTGTCGATGAGGAGGCCGAAGCACAAACACAGCGCGAACTCCGTCGCAAGAATCCCAACATGAACTACACGATGAAGTCATTAGCAGACGTGTACAGGGAGGACGAGGAAGGTGAAGCGGGCGATGGTGCGCCAACTCCATCGCAAGGTAAGAAGAAGGTAAAGATGCCAGGATGGCGCCCGCTCATGTCTACTGCTGGGCCATTCGGTGGACTCGGAGGATTGAAACCTCTCATAGGTATGCATTGCAGCACAGCGGCCTGCCTCTCCAAGTGTTTCAACTGACGGTCGTAATAGGGCCACCCAGATACCGGGATGAGCTTGGCCAGTATGAAGACATGGACTCAGATAGCAGCGATGATGATGTGAACCAGAGCGGCCAACGGGGACCCCATGACGGTGAGAACGCTCCCAAATCGGTCACAGGCGGCATCTTATCACAGCTAGGCCAAACTCCTAACAGAGGCTCCCGTGGCGGACCCGCCAATCTTGGTAAAATCGGAGGAACAAGCAATGCGGATGTAAATCCCATTAGCGTCGACGGAGAGGTCAACTTCGACAGCGTTGGGGGTCTAGACGACCACATTAACCAACTCAAGGAGATGGTGACGTTGCCCCTCCTATACCCTGAGATCTTCCAAAAGTTCAAGATCACTCCGCCGCGTGGCGTGCTATTCCATGGGCCTCCTGGAACCGGGAAGACTCTCCTCGCGCGCGCCCTGTCCAACGCCCTCAGCGCCAACGGCAAGAAGGTCACGTTCTACATGCGCAAAGGCGCCGACGCACTCAGCAAATGGGTTGGAGAAGCTGAGCGCCAGCTCCGCATGCTGTTCGAGGACGCTCGTAGGAATCAGCCGAGCATCATTTTCTTCGACGAGATCGACGGTCTTGCGCCCGTGCGGTCCAGCAAGTCGGAGCAATCGCTCGCTTCTATTGTAGCAACCCTCCTAGCCCTGATGGATGGCATGGACGATCGTGGGCAGGTGGTCATCATCGGTGCTACCAACCGTCCCGACAACGTCGATCCGGCTCTGCGTCGACCCGGTAGATTCGACCGCGAATTCTACTTCCCGCTCCCCAATCGCGAAGCCCGTCGCTCCATCATAGGCATCCACACCAAGAACTGGAACCCGCCTCTAGCGAATGAGTTCAAGAACCAATTGGCCGAGATGACCAAGGGTTACGGCGGTGCTGATCTTCGCGCGCTCTGCACCGAAGCTGCCGTCAATGCCATTCAGGGCACGTTCCCCCAAGTCTACAAGTCGAACAAGAAGCTGCAGATCGACGTGGACAACATCAAGATCTCGGCCAAAGACTTCATGATATCCCTCAGCAAAATCGTGCCCTCGTCACAGCGCTCGACTTCGTTCGGCGCGGCACCGTTGAAGAAGGGGACTGCACCTCTTCTCAGACCCCAGCTCGAGGCAATAAGCCAGATGATCGACGAGATTATCCCGCCGAAGAAGAAGCTGACTGCCCTTGAAGAGGCACAATATGACGACCGTGATGACTTTGGCTTCGAGCGCGAAAACATCAAACGCGACTTTGAACAAGTCAGGGTCTTCCGGCCAAGGCTCCTGATCCGCGGCTTTGAGGGAATGGGCCAGCAGGAAATCGGATCAGCGTTGCTGCACAAGTTCGAAAACATGCATGTCCAATCTTTTGATCTTCCAAACCTGCTTGGAGACAGGGACAAAACGGCTGAGGCGACCTTGGTGCAACTTTTCAAAGAAGTGCGAACTCATAAGCCTTCGGTCATCTACATCCCTCAGGTTGACGTGTGGTACGATACTGTCGGCGAGAATGTCGTCAGCATCTTCACAAGCCTTCTTCGCACCATGCCGGCCAACGAGCCGGTGCTTGTCCTGGGGACTTTGGAACAGCGTGGCGAGGGCGAGGAGCACCAGCCCAACCCAGAAATGCTCAAGTCTATATTCGGTTACTCCATGAAGAACCAGTACGAGCTGAAGCGCCCCAGTGAGGGCGCTCGTAAGGAGTACTTCCAGACCATGGTCGATTACATCCGGATGCCGCCAAAGGGATTCCCTGCCGTCCACCGCAAGAAGCGCAAGTTCGAGGAGCTCAAAGAGGTTCCCCAGGATGACCAGTCACCAAAGACACCCGAAAAGGCCTACCTCAAGGCCATCAAAAAGAAAGATCGCTATACCGTACAAGTTCTGAAAACGAGGATTTTGCCGATCCTCGAGCAACTGAAGAACAAGTACAGGCGCTTTAAGGACGGTCTCATTCCTGACAAGGATTATGAGTACCTCTGGAGGGAGCACGATCCACGGATTCTGACCAGCGACCTTCCCGTGGACCAACGCCCGGATGAGTACAGGCCGTATGAAATCGGCTACGATTCCAAGGGTGTCAGAGGCCTGGTAGAGACATCGACGGGGAACTTCTACTACAACCTGGGCTTCGACACAATCGAGCTGCGTATGGCCAACGGCTATTACAAAAGACCGATCGACTTTTTGAACGACGTCAGGCAAGTTGCCAAGGATATGCGAACCTTTGGAAAGCTGGACAACTTCGTCAAAGCAGACGAAATATTGACCAATGTCGAAGTCGACCTCATGCAACTGGAGGAAAGCTACCCAGACCTCATCCGTGCATGCGAAGAAGTGTACAAGCGGGAGCAGGAGCGCTTCAGTGCGCTGGAGGAGGAGGAAAGAAATAAAGCGGCAGCGGAGGGTCGCCCTGTCCAACGAATTTGGGCCAATGTTCCTCCGGCCGAGAACGAGTCTCACAAGCCTGCGTTGGATCGCACAGGCCCCATCAATCTTGGAGAGCCTGTCGATGTCATACATCCACTGCCTCCGATCGCAGCATCTTATCCGCGTGGGCCTAGCTCGCTCTCCAACGGACTTTCAGCGTCAGACCTGGCGGACAGCAACAAACGCCAAAGCAATGGCTCAGGCGGTCACGGCGAAGATGGCTCTCATTTGGAAGAGAGCCAAGAGCAAGACTCGCAACATCGTGACAAACGACAGAAAGTCGGTGACGACGCTCAACAGATTGCGCCCAACACGCAGACGGCCAATCGGTCTCAGCGATCAAGTCACATACAGATGGCCCCCAATACGCAACCAGGCGACTACCATAACAGTGCATCGACTACAACCTCAGGCCAGAAGACTTCGGATCTGTCGTCAGCGCATCTCGCAAACACCCAGAGCACCGTCAACGGCGTCGCTCCCGGTCAGCATCCAGACTTCGCGTCGGGTCCTGCGCAGTCTGGCGGCTCTCAGATTCCCGACACACAGGAGCCGTTCGCTAGCAGTCAGCCCACGAACTCGCAGCAGTCACAGTCGTCGCAATCACACTCGCATGGCGGTGCTATCATGCCGCCCGCGCGTCAAGAGGCCAAGATCGGCTCTCTCCTCAACTCATCATCATCAAACGAGCACCAACAGTCGCAGCCACAGGACCAGCAACAGTCCGAACCCCGACTCATCCTCGACGACGCGCACCTTGAGCGATTCCACGACGAGCTCGTGCACCGCAGCTCCGGCCTGAGCGTCGAGCAGCTCGAGCAGGTCAACGCAGCGATGATGGCAGCCGTATGGAACCAGCGCGGCGAGTGGAACCGCGTCCGCGTCATCAATAGTGTGTCGGCGGTCTTCAACGAGACTATTCGCGACATTGAAGAGGTCCAGAAGGTGTGGCCGCCGAGCCAGGAGAAGCAGGATAAGGCGTAGAAGGTGTTCTGCCACGCACATCTGCTCCTGCAAACGGTCTTTCCGGAAGCCTTGTCGTCGGCACTATCTTTACTCCCTTTGGTGCATTTTTCCTCGCCTGCCCCATTTCCTCTCCACCCCCCATCTCCCCGCTTCCTCTTTCTTCATGGGAGGCAATTCTGAGCACACGGGCGGCTCTCTCGATTTTTGTTTCTTTGATGAATTTGTCATTCCCCCACTTCTGGTTTGATCCTCTTGCGGCCTTTGGGTGACGGGCCCTTTTGCTTTTTCCTTTTTCTTTTTCTGGTGCCTAATCTTGACGGGGAACACGAATGCTTGGTGATGGGAGAAAAACGAGTGCTTCTATTTCTACTCTTTTACTAAGCAGAGTAGCGAGATCGGCTTGCGATCCACATGCATGGAGGGGTTCCCGACTCTATTGTTTTTTTTTCCTTCCCCGGTTGAGGAGATGAGTCCTTTCGAGTTTGATGGCTTTTTTCCCCCCATCCAGCGGATTGATTGATGTTGATCTTTCGACCCCCTTTTTTTATTGACCGACTTCTTGCTTTTCGACCTTCTTGGCAAGCGACATGGCATGGAATGGGATGGATTGATGGGAAAAGATTCGAAGGTCTTCTTTTCCTCTTTCTTCTGCCTCTACTTTGGCATATTGCCGACTGAGCATGACCCGACCCAGCAGAGCGGATGGACGCTGGGGCAAAAGCTTTTTTCATTCTTCTTCCATAACTTCTTCACCTCTGGGTGGGAGAGCGACCCTACAGAAACGGGGGTTGTGTACAGTAGTAGGATATGCGAGGAAAGATAAGAGAAAGGGAGATAAAAATGGGAGGCATGGTACCATGACGAAAAGTTCTCTTGGAGTTTGGCAAAGTTGAAGGCTAGCATTCCGACGAGAAGAAATTTGAGGATGCGATAGACAGAGACAATGTACGAATTTTCCGAATGTCAAAGCATGCAATTGCTATGTGCTATTTTTCGTATCTCATTATAATGCTGACGATGATGCTGGTAAGTTCGTGTCAGCTGCTTCGTCAACCCCAAACGCTGCATCCAATGTGCAATCCTTTTTTCAAAACAAAACCAAAAAAAAAAAAAAAAAACGTGTTAAACATGATTTTCTCGTCCTCATACCCCAAACTTCTCAATTGCTTTTCTTCTTTTTCGAGACATTGCCAAACCCGTTGATTTTCACGAACATGTCACCGTGCGTGCCCTACCGTCGAGCTTTGGGAAGACACCAGCGTCGATGAGTCTGAAGAGGTCCCATTCGGCGGCGGCTTCGGTCTTGAAGTTCCACCAAAACCAGCCCTGGGTTTTCTGCTCGAAAACGTCGAGCTGGGCGTTGATGTAGTTGCGGGTGTCGGTCTTGTTCTGCTCCGACCATTGGTCGATCCAGTTGATCGTGGCGCACGAGCCGTGGAACGTGGAGCTCGTGAAGCTGCCGTCGGCATTTTGCTTACTGTAAGTGCCGTCATAGCGGGCGCCAACTTCGTAGCCATTCTTGAGCAAAGGGGTGGTGTCAGTACGTGTTCTTGGATGGTGGCTGGGGTGTGCTATGTGGGACTGATGCAAGGGATGTAGTTGTTTGCTTGCTTGCATGACGATGAGAATAGGACAGTTGGAGGACACTTACGAGAGCAGGCGCGCAGTCTGTCATTGCACCGGTAAACTCGCCCACGACGACCCACTTGTCCTGGCCCGTCCCCCACGCCTGAGCGCTGCCGCACACTGCATCAGCGTGCTGCTGCGGGCTCATAGCTACCAGAGCGTCTGTGAAGACCTGGTACTCATGATGATCGACGATGGCGCCCGACACACCGTTCCCCGCCAGGAAGCCGTTCCACGTCGGCGGGTTGGCGAAGCCGTCCTGAATGACAACCATGGCGCCTTCGGTTTCCCCAGCCGCGCTGCGCACGGCGTCGAATCCCGTCTGGTAGTAAGCTTGCGTAGCGCCGCGACCGCCCGGCAAGTTCGACATGAGTGGCTCATTGAGCAGCTCAATGGCGACAACAACGTCGGCGTAGGCTGGAGCGGCGTACTTGTCCGCTATCATGCTGATGACCTCGACAGTCGCCGCGATGGAGTCACCACTCGTCCAAGCCGGCGTGTCGGTACGTTTGCCCGAGTTGTCAAAACCGTTTTGCGAGAGCGGGGCGCCGTGAAGGTCGATCCAGACTTTGAGGCCTGTCTGACGCGCCCAATCCAGGGCGCTGTCGAGGTGGTCCTGCTGGGCGTCGAGGACGTAGGGCTCTTGGTCGAAATTTTTGAACGCCCAATAGCCTGTTGCGTGTTAGTTACAAGTTCGGCCATTGAGGACTAGGTGACGAGCAGAGCAAATCACTTACCGATAGGGATCCTGACAGCGTTGAAGCCATTGTCTGCAATCTTCTGAAAGTCGGCGAGAGTGGCCCAGTTGTCCCAATGGGTTCTTAGAATATCCCTGGCATTGGGAATTTTCTCACCGAGCGTGTATTCATCCACGACGCCAGCAGACTGGGGGAGTTGCTGGAAGATTGAAGGAGTGATCCATGGCTCCAGAACGAGCCAGCCTCCGATATTGACGCCCCGGACGGGAGCTGTGCCGATTTCGTAATCACGCTTCAGCAGGGGGATGCTGTGAAGACTGTCAGCACGGTAGAAGAAAAAAAGGAAGGCAAAGGACTAACGCTGCAGCCAAGGCGAGGAAGCCAAAGCCTAGAGCATGGCCCGGCTTCATGTTGATGGCTAGAGCTTTGGGGTTGCAAGGAAGCACGAGCAGATGTGTGAAGAAAACAGGAGGCAAGTCAGCTCGAAGTCGGCAGGGCCTCCGGTGCAGAAGTGAGGAGAAGAAGGCCTTTCTGCGTGGTTGGCGATATGGCGGGGGCTGGTAAATATGGGCAACGTTGAAGAGAGAGGTGCATGGATGACATCAGGCTGGTGGAGCATAAACCGTGCCCAGCCGTGCCTTCCACAAGGGAGCGTGTGCCTTCGATGTGTGACATGGCGGCAGCGGCAGGGGCGTGGGTGTGGTAAGGAACAAGCGGGCTCCAGCTTCTTTCCTGATGCGGCAAGATGCGCGGCCAGGATGTGCTGCTCGCACCAGGGAAGAAGCAGTAGTGAAGTCACGAGTGGCATAAACGCGGAATGACGGCGCGGCGTTGCAGCGTCGCACAAAGGGCCCGATCTCGCCGGCCATCCATGACGAAGAAGAATGCGGGGTGCCACAAACCGGGCATTACTAGCAATAGTTACAGACGCCAATGAGCCCGGCCATGCCCCCCGCAAGACTCAGTCCAGCCCTGACCATGTTCATCCACCTCCAAGTCTTGAGCTTCTCGACAACCTCGCCTGCCTCCATCTCCTCCCTGACCCGCTCGTCGTTTGCAGCCGCGATCAACGCGTCAATCGTCCCCATCATCGCAAGCCTTGTCCATCCCAGTGTTGCAATAGTCAATGCGCCGGCACAAGCAAAGGTGGCACGGCCGACAGGCTGCAGGTACGCCGCCAGCCCAGAGCACAGCGTCGATGCCAGCGCCAGTGGGACCACAGTGACAGCGCCACGATGGTAGAACTCGTCGAACACAGACGTGCTCGTCGCACTGGGGAGGCGGTACAGGATTGGTAGCGTGAGCTGGGACGACGAGAAATAGATGCCTGAGAGGTAGATCGAGGACGAGAATCCCAGGATAGCAGTGGTGCGCACGAGGGCGGATGGCTCCATGGCGGGCTGTGCTGTTGTAGAACTGCTGCGAGAGGACGGGTGACTGGGACTGCAGCAGGGAGGAAGGATTGCAGCTGCTAGATATCTTTAGCCCCGCATCGTACACAGCTCCGTTCTCGGCCCCCGCTACCCAAGCACTAAAGCTGTGATTGTTGGGAACGGTACTCTATCCCAGCCCCGCCGTTGCCTCCAACGATGCGTTCCAGGAGCCGGCCAAAGAAATGATGCCAGCCACCCCCATCCTGGACTCAAAATGCCACACTAACTGTGCATCTCCTGAAAAACTTGTTCTTTTTCTTTATGCACAGCGACAACTCAACTCCACTTGTGAGCGTGCCTCGGCGCCCACGTCATGCCAATACTTTGCTATCGTGGCACCTGGTTTGTTTGCTTGTTACCGTGATTTGGTCCGGAACGCTTCAAACCCTTTCTGTCAACGGTTGTCTTGTGCTTTTGCATCTATTCATGGTGTGTTGCGTGAGGTTTCGTCCTTCACGTCCCACGAAGGATAGCTGCGTCTGGAGACTCAAGTGTATTAGGCAAGTTGAACGAGTTCTTCACACAAGCCCAACACCGTAATCTCATCCGCCAAAAAAAAAGAAGAAGAAAAAAAAAGGGCTCAGAAAAGGATCAACGCGGCTGTCGATCTCAGCTTCGACGACGGTGTCGCACTCTGCCGTTGCGGAAGCGGGGGAGGTGCGGCGAGATTAGCGGCGCTTCGGGGAACTCAGTCCGACGTGTGTGCGCGAGCTTGCAGAGCTGTCTCCTCCGATCCCTCTTCAACCCGCCATCACCAAACAAACCCACTTCGCATTACGCCCCCCGCCGCTCCCATCACACTCCGGCCTACACCAATCCGCCGCTGCTCCGTCTTGCCCGCCGAACCGACGCCCCATCCACAACACCCACAACCATGCCGCCCAAGAAACGCGCCAAACCCTCCACCACGACAGCCACGCCGCACGCGTCCACCCCCAGCAAAACCCCCACCAAAGACCTCCCACCCACCACCCCGGCCGCCACCAGCGCGACCGCCGCCCTCGCCGCCTCCATCCCCTCCGCCGAAGCCATCCTCAACGACCCGTGGACCGACGACCAAGAGACGTCGCTCTTCAAGAACCTGATCCGCTGGAAGCCGACGGGCCTGCACAAGCACATGCACATGCTGCAGATCGCGTCGTCGATGACGCGCGAGGGCTTCAGCTACCAGCTGCGCCACAACCTGCACGGGCCCGGCAGCAGCCACGACCACGGCTCCGCCAACCACACGCGCATCCCCGGCATCTGGAAGAAGCTCGCCGAGCTGTACGACCTCGACGCCCTCGACGAGCGCGAGAACGCCCACGCCCTGGCCGCGTGGCCCGACGTCGCGGACCGCACTTTCGCCTCTGCCGCGCCGCGGAAGCGGAGGAGGGAGAGAGGGAGAGGGACGAGGCGCGGGGGCCGTGGTGGTGGTGGTGGCGACGCCGACGGGGATGTTGAGATGGCGGATGCGGATGCCGACGCCGTTGCTACTGCCGAGGAGGACGAAGACGACGACGACGCGGACAGCGATGGTCGGGACGACGAGGATGGGGACGATGCGGAGGAAGAAGACGAGGGCCCGTGGTTTGAGCTGCCGGGCGACGAGTTCGCGCAGCTCATGTGGGACCGCAGGATTGCCACTCCAAGCGTTGGCTCAGGAGGCAGGGTGGCAGCGGCAGCTGCAGCTGCAGCTGCGGCCGCAGCCGCAACAGGAGGAGGCGGCGGCGCTGGCGTGCACCACGACACCGCCGATTCGGCCGAGGGAGATGGCCTGGAGAAGAGTGGCCGTGGCAGGAGAAAGCCGTCGCCCCGCGTCATGATCGGCACCGATCGCAGCAGCAGCAGCAAAGCAAACAAGCGGAGCGAGAGCCCGCCCGCGTGTCCGGAGCTGCTGCCCAAGGTGGGCGATCCCGCGCCGTCGACCATGGTCGAGCAGGACGCTGCCGCCGAGGCCGTAGACACGGACGACGCTCGCTCGCACGCCGGGTCGCCCGTGGGGGGCAGGGCCGCCAAGGCTGCTGGAGCCGCGGGTAGCGGCGCGAAAGGAGGCATGAGAGCGGCGGCGGCGGCAGCGGCGCGCAGCAGGAGCGGCAGGGCCTCGGGCGGTCGCGGCAGCAGCAACAACAACGTCAACAAGGCTCAATCCGAAGAGGAGGATGACGAAGACGACGAGGAGAGCAGCAGCGAGGAGGAAGAGGAGAGCAGCGAATCGCCGCCGGCCAAGGATGGGGGCAGGGCGGCGCGCAGCAGCGGCAGGAGGACTGCGGCGAAGAGCGGTGGCGGCGGTGGCGGCACTACCAAGAGGACCAGCGGCCGGAAAAAATGATGATAGCAGAGTGATAGGGGGGGTCGTCCTGAACGCGCTGCTGCTGCTGTTCCACCGCTGTGTCTCCCGGAAGTGTCCGGCCTCCTCCGATATGTTCGTAGCTTAATTCTTTCAAGATACCCCGCTGCTTCTCATTCCAGACAGCATAGACCAAAATACTACCACCTACCAATGCTGATCTCCCCGGTTCTTGAGCTATGTCCAGCGTGAACGCTGATCAAAGCATCAGATAAATATGGGGTAATTCATCTCGACCTCGCGCTCGGACGAGGTCACTGCACGGCACCTCAGCAAAGGATCGTCAGGTTAGTGGCAACAATATCGTTCACTACCTAGCGCTGGCTGGCCACGCGGCATGCCCCCTGGGTTTTCATCGTGGAATTGGCACCATGATTCTCAGTTCATACAACATATATGTTATTTCATTCGGTAGCTTGAACCGCCGTCTCAGTAAAAGAGAGAGGGAAAAAGAAAATGTCGCTTATTTGGCTCGCTCTGGCTCACAAGAACGAGCAATCGTTGTTAAATCTACCACTTGGCCTCCTTCTTCTCCTGGAAGGTCTTGATGATGGTGACGATGCGCTCGAGGGCGGCCAGCCATGCCTCGAGCTGCTGCTGGACCTTGGCCTCGTCGTCGCCCAGCTTGGCGTAGAAGTCCTTGCGGTAGGGCGTGGCGCTCATGGCGGCGCTGAAGATGGGCTTGATGACGAACGAGTGGTGCGGCTTGAGCGTGTTGCCGTACGCCGTGCGGAACGATTCCGACAGCTCCTGGCTGGGGTTCTTGATGTTCTCGCGCAGCGCCTGCGCGGTGAAGTCGAGGCCGCTGAGAAGAAGGAGAGGTCAGCGCGGGGTAGGGTCTTGGGGTTTGGGCATGTGGACGGAAGAGCTGGCGGGCCCGAGCAATCGGGGGGAGGAGGAAGGGCAATGGCCGGGGGAGTTTGCAGAGCTTACCGGGTCAGCCACAGCAGACCCTCAGCGGCAGTGTGCTTCTTCTCCTGGATCTCGTTGACGACGAGCGCCTGCAGGGTCTCGCTCTCGGCGGGCTTCTCGATCTGGCGGTTGCGGAGTTTCTGGGCGGCCGTGGCGTCAGCTATGAGCATCGGAAACCGGCATGTTGCCGCTGGGAATGGGGCGTGAGAGGCGCACGGTGATGTTGCCGGTCATGTCAGACTTGACGGGCTTGAAGGCAGCGGAGCCCAGGACATCTGTCAGGAGGCAGCCGGGTTAGCGAGTCGCCTTGGGAATTGGGCTGTGGCAGCGGGCGGCAGAGCTGGGGCATACCGAAGAGAGTGCTGAGCGACTCGGAGGCATCGAGGAACTCGGAGGTGTGGATGGCGTTGTCGGCAGCGGCATCGACAGGGACGTCGACAAAGGACTTCTGGATGGTGTCGAAGAAAGTCATGGTGGGCAGGAGTGCAATTGGAGGTGGGTATGAGGCAGGAGATGGCGGGTTGGGAGCAGTGAGGAGAGAAGTAGGCCGTCAGGGAGGGGCGATGTGTCTACAGTCGCGGGCCTAGCTTAGCTACGTCGGCCGGCGGTGAATGGAGAGTCTGGTGGGGCGGCGTGATGCGGGGCGCGACAATCGCCGCGCCGCGAAACAAGCGCATCGTGCCGATCGTCTCAGCGCCCTCTCGAGCTGACGACGGCCGATTCCCGCGATGCCCAGCCTAGGCCAGCAGCAGGAGAGCCGGGCGGGTTGCCCGCAATGGATATGCAGACACACGGCACATAGATGTAGCGGCGGCGGCACATTGTTGAACCGCATCCCCGCCGTTACCGGCTCAAAGTTGGCTGTCGACGAGCCTGTCCCCGCACGTCACTGCTCATAAATAGGTAGGTAGCTCCTCGCTGCTTTGTGGCATCGCAATCTCATCGCGTTTTGTCTGCATCCCTTAATATACGCCATGTCGACCGAGCGTCTCTTCCGCATTGCCTCGATTCCCGGTATGCCTCGCCCGCGCCGCCGTGCCCCATGCGCATGACACTGACGCTTCTTCAGGTGATGGCATCGGCACGGAGATCACCGAGGCCGCCGTGCAGGTGCTGCAGAAGCTCGCCGACGTCCACCGCTCCTTTAAATTCGACTTCACGGAGTTTGATTGGAGCAGCGAAAATTACCGGAAGCGGGGCTGGTGAGCCACTTGCCCCTCCGATCCCCAGCGAAGCTGCGTTGCTCACCTGTTTTCCAGGTACATGCCCGAAGACGGCCTGGAACAGCTGAAGAAGTACGACGCAATCTATTTCGGCGCTGTCGGCAGTCCTGGTGCGTTCATCCGGGTCCCCCCTCTGGGCTGGCGGGGGCTAATGTCCATGCTCTAGACGTGCCTGACCACATATCGCTCTGGAATCTGATTCTTCCCATCCGCAAGGTCTTGAACCAGTATGTCAACCTGAGGCCCAACCGCATCCTCCCCGGCACCACCTCGCCTCTCGCGAACTGCAAGCGTGAGGATCTCGACTGGGTCTTCGTGCGAGAGAACAGCGAAGGCGAGTACTCGGGTCAAGGCGGCACTTCGCACGAGCATTCCAGCCACGCCGTCGCCACCGAGGTCTCAATCTTCACCCAAGTCGGCATCGAGCGCATCATGCATTTTGCCTTCGAAACTGCCCGGAGCCGCCCCCGCAAGAAACTCACCATGGTCACCAAGAGCAACGCTCAACGCCACGGTATGGTCCTGTGGGACAAGGTCTTCTACGAGGTCAAGAAGGAGTATCCCGACGTAGAGACGGACAAGATGCTGGTGGATGCCATGACTGTCCGCATGGTCCTGAACCCGACGTCGCTGGATACGATCGTGGCTACAAATCTGCATGCCGATATCCTGACCGATTTGGCTGCCGCATTGTCCGGAGGCATTGGTATTGCCCCTTCGAGCAACCTCGACCCTACCAGGAAAAATCCAAGCATGTTCGAGCCTATCCACGGCAGCGCGCCCGACATAGCTGGCAAGGGCATTGCCAATCCCGTTGGAGCATTCTGGAGCGCCGCCGAAATGGTGCGGTGGCTGGGCGAGGAAGCTGCAGCCGATAACCTGATGAAGGCTATTGAGAACGTCATTGAAGCTGGCATAAGGACGAAAGACCTCGGTGGTTCTAGCAACACGAAGCAAGTCACCGAGGCTGTGTGCGCCGAAATCGAGAAGATCGGAAGCACATGAACTACGTCGACAAGCGACAATGACTGCATCCATAGGCAAAATAATGTGCATATAGATCAACTGATGTTCTGCCTCTGAAATGAGATTAGCCCTGTCAGGGGACCAATGAGTTGCGGTTGCCAGGTTCCGAGAATTTATAATCGTTTCAGAAGAGGGAGCCGTTGTTTTCCACATGGGTTGAGTGGTTACCACTAGTCTCTTATTCGAGATTAATCACGTATAGGCCCATGAATGACGAGCTCGATCGAGCCGGAGCCGGATGATCAGTCAGCAAGTTCGGGCGGCAGTGTCGCAGGGACTTTTGCCGGAATGACCTTTGAAAACGTTTTGAACTCGACATTGGGATCCGACACCTTTCTTATCCGGCTCCAAGGCAATACGATGTACTCGGCACGGCCATTGATTAAGCCCATCGGGATCTGGAGTAAGGGCAGCAGAATCAGCGGCGGTTCCATGTCGCTTCTTTCCCCAGGGCAAATATCCAGCCAGACGCTGAAGAGTGTGCTACCAACTCACCGGCCCAAAGTCATTGCTGTCGACCGTTTTTCTCCAGTTGTCGCCCTCAACCCACACATGGTTGTACGGCACTACGACCTTTTTGAATGGATATCTCCCCCTCGTGATGACGGTGTCGCCGGGCAGCGCCACGATGCGCTTGACGCTGAGCTGCTCCGGCTTGTGCGGGGCCCAGAAGCTGACAATGTCGCCGCGACGAAGGAGCTGTGGCGCAACCATGCGGTTGAAAAACACCTCGTCCATCTCACCCGTCTCATTGTATCGCGGCGACAAGGTCGGTGCCATCGACTGGCCCTGGACGCCTGTGACCTCGAGGACGTTACTCCGCGCGAACACCAAGACTGACATGCCGAATGCCGCGTAGTAGGCGAACCTGGCCGTCGAACGGGCGGTCGGAAGGCGGGAGAAAATACGCGCCGCCATTGGCGCGGGGCTGACGAGACGCGTCGCTGTGGTGAAGGTGGTTAGGTGGTCAGGATGCAGACGTTTGGCGGAAGCCAGCGGCTTCCAGCTAGGTACACCGCCCGGCGCATCGCTACTAGGCGTAAGTCGTGGCCGGTGATGACGTTACCCCGGCACTTGCAACACCATCCATCTCTCTCATGCAAACTTAGCAAAAGCCTTCCACGGCCGCTCTATTCCATTGCCTGACAACACGATAGCCATGAGCCGTGTCCTTTGCGCTTTTGGGCGTCGCGGGGCTACATTTGATTCTGCTGAGGGGAGCCGCGCGGCAAGATACTAGTCTGTCTCATCGTAATGCATCTTTATATGAGCCGGTGTGGATCTGGTCAGCCGACATACGCTCGAAGGATGGCCTGTTCTTTCAAACCGCGACGTGATTGTTAAGGAGTCAGTTATCGACTGCATGGCCGTCTCGACCAAAGTGTCTTTGCCGACCACGTATTTTCAACTGTCGGTTCAGATTCGAAGACTGCTGCTGTCCTCTGCTTGAGCTCGTGGACTGCGATCCGGAAGAGTCCCCGCAAAGGTCTCGCATTCTCTCACACCAGAAAAACACCCTGCAAAACCCATCTCTGAACCACCAGTGCCACCGCCCCAGTGACAGAAGCACACAGCGGCGACGAAAGAAATTGGTCTGCCTACATCTATCCCACATGGGTCATAGAGTTCCATATCCGAATGCACCTGTACAGTTTCGAAACCCGCATCTACATGCGGATGTCTTCTTCAGGTACCCATGAGAAAGATTGATTAGACCTACGTCTACGTTCGAACATCTTTCTCCAATGCCCGCATAAAGCATCGCCATAGGTCAATCTCTTTCGCCACCCACTGTGACCCCCTGACGGCAGCACTGCTTGACACATGGATTGTAAACTTTACAGTGTCATGTTACTCCAGCGCGTGCATATATTCGGAAGTAAGCAGTCTAGACCCGGCGAGCCCATGACCGCGAGCCCAACCGCGACCAGGGCCCAAAGCTCGCGAACAAAGGGACGCCCGCGCTCCACCTTCGTCCGGCTATACCACACGCATCGTAACCCACTCTCCCTTGCCCAACATGCCATGATGGCCAACCACACAGCAACGAGCGTGGCCTGGTACAAGAGACTTCGTTGCCCTTCCCATCCCCCTCCCTCCGCGAGCGGCCCACCCCCCCTCCATCGCCGCCAGCGTCTGACAGGCAGCCAGCTGGCTGCGCGCGTCGTACAGCACGCCGGCTGTCAGAAGTGCGACAGTGTCTCGCTTCGCCCGGACGCGGCAGGGCCACCCTCATCAGCCCCTTTCCTCACATGCCGCTCTGCCCGGTGGGTGTGCGTTGTACGCCCTCTGCCGCTCCGATGCGAGACCTCACTCTTGTCTCAAAACGCCACATGCCTTGCGAGACAAGCGTAGAACGGATACACACGCACAGCAGGAGCAGCAGCAGCAGCATCAGGCAGCAGGCAGGAGTTGCATCGATGCCAGCAGAAAACGAGGCAACAATGGACAATGCTTCCCCCTCCCCATGCCCTCCCTGCTCCTCGATGTCACCTTGGACCACAAGGGGCGCATGCGGAGCTAGAGTTGCCATCCTGGAACGCATGAAATGCAGAAGAATGGGCGTCTCAAAAAGCAGCAAGTCAATTCAGGTGGGGAATCTTCTTTTCCTCTAGTACAACTGGTATCACATAAACATCCTTTCCAGTCAGAATTCCCGCTCCAAGGAAAGAAGTAAACTTGAAAGACTGGCAGCAAAGATGACTGAAAGAGAGAACCTAACCCCGCCTTAGACTGTTACTCCAATATACCCCCTCTAAAGCAGATGAAATGAGTAGCCGAAAGAGGAAAGTAAGAGCCGCCATAATCCAGTAGCATGTGTGTAAATCTATCGCAAAGATCTAAAAGAAAACGATACGAATGTAGGGCTAAAAAGAGAAAAGAAATTGCCGCGTAAGGTTCTAACATTCCCCAATAGCGATCTAGAGACCGTCAGCGTACCCAGTAGAAGCGGTTGCGTCTAAACAGGTTCATGCATTGTGTGAATTCCGTTCCTGCAATTCTTGGCGTTTGACGGCGCGTTCGTGGCTCATGGTCCACAGGATCAGACAGACGCCTAGTATGCTGGATACGAACGTGATGCCGTACGCAGACCTGTAGCAGGATAGACCCTCGGTACAATCGCGATCGCCTCCATCCGTGGGTGTGCTATGAGCATCAAAGATACTGCCGTAGCATAAATTGAAGACATTGCCGCTGATCACAGGTGACAAGGTCATGAATCCCCAGTTCTGTGTCATGACGTGGACACCAAAGGCGTCTGCAACAATCGACGGGAACACGCCAAACAGCGCGCCGTAGCCCAATCCAGTAAGGCCCGACACCATCCATAGGTGGGTGGGGTTCTCGACCTTCATGGCGGCGAACTGCGCGGCCGTGAAGATAAGCGCCGATGCAACAAGACACCAGAAACGTGACATGTTCAGCTGCTTGACCAGGGCGTCGGAGCCTATCCCGGACGCCAGGCGGCCAAGGAACGATCCGATGGAGATGATGGAAACCTGGGCAAGCTGTTGTGACCCAATGAAGCCCTTGGAGACGCTGTCGTCATAATGAGACCATAAAGCTTGCGCCTTGAGGATGGGGTTAGCATTCTGTGGGATAGCGCCAGTGTGCGGGCAGAGCTTACATCGTGGCCAATGTTGCTATAGGCCGATTAGTATTTAATGATTCATCCAACGAGTTTTTCAGGCCACTTACTTGATTGTCATCAAACCGATGCCTGTCAAAAGACCGAGGACGGTGAAGAGTTGCCAGCACTCCAAAGTGCGGATCAGACGGACACCTGAGATATCTGGTCGATGTGAGTCGTGTCCATGATCATGACTGGTAGGTTTCGATGGTATGTCGCCCGGCTCAGAAATGAGGGAGGAGGATTCGGATGCCTCATTGATCGGCGCAGCGGGCGCCTCGTTCTCTGTGCGGGGTCGGGTCGGCAGCTGCCCTCGAGCAAATCTCGTGGACTGACAAGCGAATGGTTCTGCTTACCTGCATCTGAATAATAGCTTTTATCGCTGGAAACACTACTCCTCGACTTCGTGCGGTGGAGATGGTGTTGCTCTGGGCGAGCCTCGCTGACCGGGAGAGCAGAATAGGATGTTGATCCAGGGACAATGTGCAAGAAAAAGGAACCAATAAAAACCATGGCGAAAGTGGCGAAGGAGAGGAGGAGAAGGAAGCTGGATGTGTCTCCTGGGAATGCGAGACGAGAGATGCCGGTGAAAAAGAAGGCGCTGAGCCCAAAGGCGGACAGCGGGAAAGCAGTGGCAGTCCCGCGGTGATGAGGCCAGCTGAGAGCCGCTACTCCTTGTCAGCATCAATTGAGGGATCCGCCTCCCAGAGATGGCCTACCAGTCTTGAGACCTGCTCCCGAGGAGGAAGAGCTACCGACGCCGGTCAAAAAGGACAGGAATGACATTGTCGTCACACTCATGTAGCCTGGCCCGTTGTCGTACGCTGCCGCAATGTCAGCCATCGCTCATGTAATACAACCTCCGACATACCTTTCTGGAGGGGAAAATAGCCCAAGAACAAGAGGGCTGCGCCTAGGAAGGCGGCTGGACGCGGGCCTTTGCTGTCAACCAGCATTCCAACCGGAATACCGGTGGCATACATGCCAATGTTTCCCGCCGCGCCCTATTTTACTCAGAAATCGTCCGGAGAGTGGGGGGACTGAAGCCGAGGGGGCGCTTACGATCAAGTTGCTTTGGGTGGCGGTAAGCCGCAGTCTGTCCGCAAATTGCGGCGCCCATGCCGAGTAGGCATACTGGCGGGTAGTCAGAAGGCGAGCAAGGCGCCGGGTGGTGGACGAGCAAACTCACGTTGGTTCCGGCAGCGAGGGCGACAACGACGGCGGCGACGGTGGAGAGGATGCGCGTCTTGCGGTGCAAGCGCTCATCGGCGGGATCGTGGATCATGTTTGGTCGTCCGGGGTCGGATGACTCTGGGCGGCCGAGGAAGGTCTGGCTCAAGGGAGCATTGAAGCGAGTGACGTGGTGGGCGGATAGGGAGGACAGGGTCGCGGGTGGTTGATAAGGAAGCGTGGCGGGTGTTGGTGGAGGATCCTGGCAAGGCTTGGTCTGCGGGGGTTTCAGGCGCGGTGGCCGGGCGGCATGGCGGAGGAATGGGAGGCAGAGGGCTCCTGAGGAGCGGGAGACGGATTGACACGTACACGTACCCAGCCAGTGGCCATCGCGACGTTATTTGCGACAGCGGAGATAACTGGAGCTCGGGAGCTGGAGCCGCCCGCAGCCCTGCGCCGCCGCCAAGCCACAGCCCGCGTGGCTCGCCAGCTCTCCGCTGCACGGTTGCGTAACGACCTCTCGCTCTCATCACCGCCCTGCTCCAGTCGCCGTCGCCGTCTCCATCACCACCGAATCCGCCCGCCATGGGAGCTGCGCTCTCTATCCCCTTCCTGGCCCTGCCCAGCGTGGGCACCGTACGTACGCCCCGTCGCCTTGCGCGTCCCACGCCCGCCCGCTGACGTCTCCCCAGCTCGCGACCTTTGCCGCCTCATGCTGCGGCGCCGCGACATGCTCCGCCGTCTGCAGTGCCTGCGGCAAGTGCCAGAACAGGTGAGCCGCTGCTTGTCCCCTCGCGCCCTCGCGCCCGCGTCCCCGCTGACGGCCTCGCAGCATGGCCACCCGCATCGCCTATGCCCTCATCCTGCTGCTCAACTCCATCATCTCGTGGATAATGCTCACCGACTGGGCCATCAAGAAGCTGCAGAACCTGACCCTGGACTACATGGACTTCAAGTGCGGCGGCACTGAGTGCTACGGATACGTCGCTGTGCATCGCTTCAACTTCGCCTTGGGCTTCTTCCACGCTATCTTGGCCATCATTTTACTTGGCGTTAGGTCATCCAAGGACGGCCGTGCGCCCATCCAAAACGGCTACTGGGGCCCCAAGATCATCGCCTGGCTGGGGCTCATCGTCATCAGCTTCCTCATTCCCGAGGGCTTTTTTGTCTCTTGGGGCAGCTATCTTTCCCTCATCGGCGCCATTATGTTCCTGCTGCTCGGTCTTGTCCTGCTGGTTGACTTGGCCCATAACTGGGCTGAGTACTGCCAGGACAAGATCGAGACCACCGGCTCCAGGATGTGGACTTGGCTTTTGATCGGCTCCACCGCGTCCATGTATGTTGGTTCGCTTGCCATGACCATTGTCATGTACATTTTCTTCGCCCGCGGCGGCTGCTCCATGAACCAGGCTGCCATCACCGTAAGTTTAGGCCGTGCAGTCTCGTACGCCGACCGCCGCTGACCATTTCAGATCAACCTGATTCTGCTCATTTTAGCCTCGATCGTCTCTGTCCATCCGGGCGTGCAGGAAGTCAACCCTCGCGCGGGCCTGGCGCAGTCGGCCATGGTTGCCATTTACTGCACCTACTTGACCATGTCTGCTGTCGGCATGGAACCCGACGACCACCAGTGCAATCCGCTTATCCGCGCACGGGGCACCAGGCGAGCCAGTATCGTCATAGGGGCCATTGTCACCTTTGTGACGGTCGCCTACACGACTACCCGTGCCGCAACATACGGTCTGGCGCTTGGCGCTCAAGGCAATCCGTATTCTCAACTTGCCACGGACGATTACGAGCACGGACTCGTTATCCAGCAGCCGGAGAGCCGTCGGGAAATGCGCCAGGCTGCTCTGCGGGCTGCCGTGGAGAGTGGCAGCCTGCCCGCGAGTGCGCTGGACGATGACTCGGATGACGAGTCGGACGACGGGAACCACGCCCGTGACGACGAGCGCAACTCGACGCAGTACAACTACGCTCTCTTCCATGTCATCTTCCTGCTTGCCACTGCATGGGTTGCAACGCTCCTGACGATGAATTTTGACCCGACGGCGGAAAACGATGGGTTTGTCGCGGTTGGTCGCACGTACTGGGCAAGTTGGGCGAAGATCCTGAGCGCTTGGGCATGCTATGCTATCTACATCTGGAGCTTGGTGGCCCCCATGGTTCTGCCGGAGAGATTTGATTATTAAGGAAGACTGAGGGGGAGGAAGCGTTTTTGATACCAAGGTGGCATTACTGATGAGTTAATGATTCTCGAGCTCGGCTTTGTACCATACTAGAAATTGTGTTCTGTTTTTCCTCGTCCACGGGAGCCCATGTGCCGGCGCGAGCCGGGCGACGTAAAGGGTGATGCCATTCGTCAATTGCACCCGCACTCATCACGGTTGTACACGCACCAGGTCACAACTCATCTACATCATCACCACGGCGCTCACCCCGCCGCTCTAGACCGTTTTGCCGTACGCCACAATCACCTGACCGTAGCTGTCTGCGCGCCATCTCGATCAGATCACTATCACAGTGGGACATTCCCCAAATCGGGGAGAAGTCCCCGTCGCTGTCTCACTTTTGTTCGAACGGCGTGCGGCGAACATGGCACAATCACCCCGCCCTACGCGAGCGTTGAACAAAAGGCGCGAGAGCCGAGCGGCACCGGGGATGAGCATCAAGTTGGTCAAGCCGTCCGCACACACCTCGCAGCATGTATGTAGCAGGTATTCCTTCTTCTTCCCCAAGCAAGCAACCCGGGGAGGGGAGGGGAGGGGAGGGGGGTGCGCAACGCTCCAAACCATGCAACGCATGCGCGAGATAAACAGCTCTCCCTCCGCCCCCGCAGCATCAGATACACCCGGGCCAACCAACAACACGAGGAGGTGATCTCGAACGCACGGCTCTCCCCCATCAATCAGGATTCACTTCCTTGCCGCACTCCCGCCCATGTTCGCCCGCCCGCCCGCCTCGTGGACGACGACGCTCATGAAGGGTATAAGCCGCGGCGCTCGTGCACTGGCTAACCGCTGTGCTTTTATTAGCACCGGTGTGTCTAATTGATGTTTGAAACGCGCGTGCCGCGCGAACGCATCCGGGGAGAGCGGCGCAAAAAAAGCTGGCAAGGAGGCCGTCAAACGTTGTCCATCTGCCCGGCAAAAAGTCAAAGTCGTCCTCCACCCCTCCTCCCCTTGCCGCTTATTGGAAGGCCTGGGCGAGAGAGCGTTTGGAGAAGGGGGAGGGAGGGACTCGCACGGCGCGGATGGCGGGCAAAGGCCAGGCAGGCTGGGCCAGGCCGGACCTGCTTTCCCTGACCGGTAGCCAGGTCGCTGGATATGTGGGTGAGCAGCCACTTGCGAGCAGCAATATACGGGAAGCGAAGTGGTTGTTCGTGTTGGTTGAGAAGGGGGGAGGGGGGGGAGGGGGGCGGAACATGGACAGGGTCGAACGTAAATAGATGAAAGCGCACAGCATGAGGCTGGGAGAGAGAGGAGGCGAGAAAAGGAGAAGAAGTGAGGCTTGTGCACGAGGCTGTCAATCTCCAGCGCGCACACGCTCCAACGGCTGCTGCTTGGCAGGCTGTCTAGACGTCTGCCGGTGCGCTTAAGCCTGGATCCCGGTGCGTTGCTGATGCCGCCGGTGAGAGTGTGTGTTGCAGACGTTGCTGCACGCGCCTTTGCTTTTCTCCAGGACCTCACCTCGTCCCCCCGGCGGATCTCGCCCCTTGGTGCGTCGTCGCGTGGGTGGGAAGACGTGGCTGTGATTACATGCGTATGCAGGCTGCAGTTGGTCCGATTGCCAATTTGAGAGCGGCCAAGGGGATGTGTTGAAAAGAAGGAGGCAACACGGGCCGGCAGCGGCCCGGGCACCGCTGTGCTTAGCTACAGCATGCACGCAGTGGGATTGCAAAAGACCTTGCCCCTTATCCCTGCATCTTGTTTACGTGGGTGGCTAGAGTCCACAGCTCAATGTGTTTGTGTTGTGCCTACATTTGAGGATTTGCTTCAATCACCCACGCAGTGATAGTGGGCTGTTTTTTTCGCGGAACGCGCAAGGGTGAAGCCTTCTGCAACACAGTCTGCTCATCTCAGGCAAGTCCCGGTTCACACGGCGGCTCCCCTTGGTTTGTGTGGCAGACGTGTCGATGCGGGCCGGCCAGAGGCCTCCCAATGTGAGTCATCACAGTTGGTATGGAGGGTTGCGAGCTGTTTTGATTCGACAAGAGCATTTCCCGCCGTCGTACCGCCAGTCCCAGCTCGGCGGACACCGAGCCGAGGCGACAAGCTGCGTTGGGCAGACATGGCATTGCAGTAACGGTTCGGCTTTGAGGTCGTCGGACGAGGCTGCGAAGAAGCCTCATGAAACGGCGCAGGATACCGCTTCGACGGGGGTGGGGGCGGCGTATGGGGTATTGCTGGCTTCTCTGAGAGCCGGCCGTTGCTGATACGTTTACGCGAGGAAAAAGCAAGGTGAGTTCCGATTCCGCCACCGGGGATATACGTCAGTGGGCTTGCGTCTCTGAGCCCGCCCGGCCCACCACTAGTAGCCTAGCGGTGCCTGGCTTTCGGGATCTGCTCTCTCCCAGCCCAACACCGGCAAGGAACAAGGCCGAGGTGTTATGCGAACGGCGAGACTGAAAAAGAAAGGAATGCGTGTCTTTGTATGAATATCCCAGTCGGCTCAAACGTGAATACGAACAAGCCTGGCCTATGACAACGCCCGAAAGCATTCTGCGGGGGGGGCTGCACCCTGGTGGACCACCCCCACTGCATCCTTGCCGGGGGGTTGGGACGGAGCTTGTTATGCATTTCATGCCCTGAATCTTGATTCTTTCCTCATGTCCTCGTCGCAGCGTTATGTGAGTCTATCTCGTGCGCCACCGTCTCCTCTCCCACGTTATCGTTGAGCTGTGAATTTCTCCACCCGGAAAAAAGGAATTCCACTCTAATATCTGGGACGCGCTCGCAGATGAACACTATGGCCGGAACACCAGATTAGGAGATGGCGTGTGGAGCGGCAATCGCCCGTTGCGACCAACGCTAGCAGAAAGAAAGAAGAAAACAAATTCAAACCCCCCCAGATTCTAGATATGCTATCGATGGCCCGGGCCACTACCGGCGGGGCCAAGAAATGTGGTCGAGAACCACGCGCAGGGACCGAGAAATAGTAGATGATTTGTGAACATAATCTTGATGTCAGAGGTCGCAAAAGAAAAGGGAAAAATATCCGCACATGCGGACATACAGGGAGAGAAGCGGGAAACGGCTGGCCGGGAGGACAGCAAGATGAAGTAAAGTGGAATGACAATGACGCCGCCGTAATGTCCTGTATGCCTCGCCTGAACCCAAAAGTCCCGCCAGCCGCCCATCCTTCGGCCATGTGCACCGTCCTGAATCTAGTTACGCGACGCCGTGGGTCTTTCCCGATAACAAATGCTGGTATATGTATGCATGCAAAAATATGGGTATGTTGCGAGCGCAAGGAAAGTATTTCAAAAACGAAGCCAAGAAGTGCCCGAGTGCCTGGTAGGGCGAGCAACGCAACCAAGGACAGCCGCGAGAAAACGAACCAAAGCCCCGCTGTGGTCATGTAGTGTCACACGCCTGAAGCGACAAGTGACTGAAAGCGCAACTGTTACGGATCATGCAAGTATTACGGGGGGAGAGGTGTGAGCAGCTGGACGGATGCAAGTCCGGCCGTCCGAGGCGCCTCCGCACACAGCCGTGTAAACAGTGGAGCAGGAGGCGGGATGGGCCAGGAGGACCCGTCGGGGCGAAATCGCGCAAAGCCACAGCACAAGCCAAGCCAAGAAGGGAGCTCCAGGGAGCTAGATGAAGGAAGCGGAAGCCGGGAGATGCGCAGGCGCGAAGGACGGCGTATCGGCGTATCGGCGTATCGCAGCGCGGCCGGGGCCCATGTGCGTGCCGGGGCTGCAGAAGCGGGGACCGGTGGTGGCGGGGCAGGGCCAAGGCTGATGAGGCGGGAGCGAGCAGGCGGGAGCGAGCAGGCCGGAGGTGGTGATGTCTGTCGTCGGGGCGCGAGGCGGTGGTTTTGGTGCTAGTGCCCGCTTGCGGCTAGACCACCCGTCGGCCCCATCGGGCTGCACGGCGCATGATCAACGTCGTGCTGATCAGCCGGACGCGCACCACACCCTCTCTTTCACGACCGCGAGGTCCGCTGACCATACTGCTGATACGCCTCAGGCCCCGCCACTGGGCCTTGCACGCCCTCGGCCCCCATGTCCGTCCGCTGCAGCTGCAGCGCCTGTCCGCCCGGCAGTGTCGTCGTCGACCCGCCCGCTGGTTCGATATATGCCGCAAAGTCCCACGATGAGTTCCGCCCTGCCCCCGCCGGGAGGCCTGTCGAGTACTGCGCCGGCGCGTGCTGCATCGTCGCCCATGGCCCCAACGACGATCCGCCCGTGCCCAGCTGCGGTACTGACACGCGCAGGTCGGGTGGGCCTGCTGATTGCCCGAGGCCAGCTGATGTCTTGACGCTAGGCGACAGTGCCGTTGAGGTCATGCCCGTTGGGTACGCCGATGAGGTTGCTGAGCTCGACGCCGACCGTGGCGACGCCGTGTGCCTCAGCTCTGCCCCGGAGTCAGAGTGCCCGCCGCCGCCGTACCCGCTAACCACGGGCGTAGGCAGCGCGCCCGCCGTCGACGAGTAGCTTGCAGACTGCCGACCGTCAGCGTGTGTCAATGAGGCTGCCAGTGCCTATACCTACGTATTTCCCGATGATCTTCTTCAGCGCGTGCGCGAGGATTTTCCACGGAAACACTTTCACGTCCTTTTCGATGTTCCGCGGCTTGGGGTTCGGGAAGCCCATGATGACCTTGAAAAACTCTTCGCTCTCCGGCTTTGCCTTTGATACCGTCAGCGGTCTGAAGCCCTCCAGGTTCCTGCGGATCCGGTTCTTCTCCTCCACCGTGAACCGCACTGCAACAAGCGATTCGAGCAGGTAGATGGTGTCGACGCTCGTGACAAAGCACTCTTGCTTCTCCTCCCACCAAATGCAGCTGATGCAGATGCTGTGCGGCGCTCGATCTTCTGGGGCGATCGCTTCGAAGCTGGTCGTGATCGTGCTGCCCGACTGGCTCCGGCGAAATTGGACCAGCCGCCGTTTGGCCTCCCACTCGTCCCGGCTCCATCCCTCAGCCATGGCATCCAGTTCCCCATCGATCTTTAGCGTGGCCTTCGAGTTCGGATACATTGCGTACGGGTTGAACGCTTGAGCCGCCCCTGGCACCGCACCTGAAGGCTGCAGCGTGGACGTGCGAATGAGCGGCGGGTTCGCCAACGATGAGGGAGAAGACATGGCCTGCGACCGGCCCAACATCTGCGTCGAGTACAAGGCCGGGCTGCGGAGCGTCTGACCTGGGGATCCGTACGAAGTGTAGCCCGAGCTTTTGACTGGTCCCTGGATGACACTGAGTGCGGGCGAGTATTGGTATGAAAGCTTCTGTGGCTGCGACTGTTGGTACTGTGAGCCGTACGATCGCGATTGCGACTGGCTGCGGTCGTAGCTGCTTTGGTAGGCGTAGGACGTCGATGAACTGGTCTGGAGGAACGGTGAATCGGAGCTTGGTGTGTTCGAGTAGACACTCGGGGCTCTGCTTGTCCGTTGACTGAGGTACTGCTGACCGGTAGTGCGCTTCGTGGGCGAGCGCATGTAGTCTGTCGATTCGGCCGAGATTTTCCTCTTGCGCGAGACATCTTGTGGGGAAGAGGAGCTGTATGAATGGTAGCTACTGGCATCTTCGTAGGTGAAATCGCCGACCTCGACTACGCCGAGGCTCTGGCCGTACTCGTCATCGACGTTGAGTAAGAGGGGCATCTGGCCGTCGATGTAGCCGGTAGTGTCGAACGGGGGGATCTCGGCGGCAACTGCATACTGGAAGAAGGGCGGGCCGCTTCTGTCAACCTTCTGCCAGGAGGCTTCGCTCCGCTTGTTGCCAAACATTACGGAGAATCCGACGTGGGGTTGGACGGCGGCGAGATCGTAGGTGGTGCGTATGCGTATGAAGAGTTTGGTTCCATGCAGGGCTTTCCGTGGGGAGTGGTCTAGGACTTCGGGGAGTTGGCGCGACCTGGGGTCGATATATGAAGGGTACGAGGCTTGATAGGTCACATCACGCGCCTCCAGCTGGGAGGTAGAGATGAAAGGCATCTGTTCGGAGCTCGAGGGACCATGCGACTGGCGCGCCTGCGCGCTGGGGTACTGAGAGGCGAATGATGGCTGTGCGTAGCCGGGGTAGCTCTGCTCTTGATTAGGTCGTGTGGCGGCGTAATCTGTGATGGAGGGTGGTCAGTCAAATGGACTAGTCCTCACGTGTCCACGTCCGGGTCGATCCGGGCCAGGATGTGACCGCGGCGCCCTGGCAAGCGACAAGTCAGATGGGCCAGGCGCACTTACCATACGCGTACGGTTCCTGCGTCTTTTCGTAGCCAGACATGGACAGAAGCGCGGCACCTAGTGCGGTGCCAGCCAAGGCACCTCGCTCGCCGTCCGGGCCGAACTGCAGCGACGACGGCTCCGAGGGATCGCAGTCTTCGTCGACGATGACGGGCGTCTCGAGGCTCCTCGCGGGCGGGATCGGTGGTCTGTGGCGCGGACGGGATCAGCCAGTGCGTCCAGGCAACAGGCAGGCGGCAGGCGGGCTGCGGGTTGCGGGCTGCGGGCTGCGGGCTGCGGGCTGGGGCCTCGGCGGGGCTGAGCGGCGGCGGGGGGGGACGAGCGCACTCACCTGGGTGTGTGTATCATCAACGCGAGCCCGCTTGACGAAGCTGGTCGGGACCCCGGAGTCAGAGGGGTTGGGCTCCGATTATCAAGCGCTTGGAGGGAGATTCTGGGAAGTGGAGACATGCAAGGGGGGCGAGCAGGTCATGAATTTGTCTCCCAATACATGGAGTGCTTCCCAGCATGGGAGAGGGGTGCAGAGAAACGACGGCGGCCACGCTGCTGCGAGCAGGAAAAGCGCGAAATATGCCCGCAGCTGTCAGGTAGAGCGGGCGTGAAGGGGACAGCACGGGGAGAGGGGAGAGATTGCAGGGGTCTTTGAATAATGTCCCACGGGCACGATGCCGGCCTAGTGTAGCCACTGCGACAGCTGTTTCGGGCAGCGCAGAGCGGGCAGGCCGTGACAATAGCTTTGCCGGCGCGGCAGGAACCTGGGCCTGGGGCGGGTGGTGATGAAGCCAGCCGCGAGTCTCGCGAACGTGCAGCGCTGCCGGGGAGGCGTGCCGGGAGGACAAAGAGCTCGCAGAGTCGGCGGGCGTGATGGATGGTGCCGAAAGCGAGCGGGTGAGACTAGCTTCGATGTATGCGGTCTGGATAGAGGAGAGGTCAAACCGGGCAGCCGGGAACGGGGCGGATTGGCTGGGTCTACGGGGAGAGCTTGACGGGTGTCTGAACATGCAAGGAGAGCGAGCGGATGCGGAGGGTGTGAGTCGCGGCGCTGCCGTGCCTGGGGTGTGTAGCTGCGCAGGACAAAACACTTACACAGTAAGCGGTAAGCTTTCACTGAGTCAGCCTGCGGCCGAGAGGGGGTGCAGAACGCGCGTAGGCGGCGGGTCGTGGCCGGCGCGTGCGGCTCTGCGCCTCAGCTGTCAGGACGGGCGGCCGGGGCGCCACGCGGCGGGCTGGAGGTGGAGCCTAGAGCCTAGGCGGGCTGGCGGGCTGGCAGCAGGGCAGGGCAGGCGGACGGTGGACGGATGGATGGATGGGGGAATGCTCTGGCCGGCCTGAGCGCCGAGTCACAATCCGGCAGGCGTCGAGATATGTAAACGAGTGACGTCGAGGAAACGGACGACCGGCCGCAGGCGGGCACGCAACGGGCGCGGGCGGGCATATATCACCATCACCACCGCGTGCGTGAAGAAGGGCGAGCCGGGGCCGGTCAGCGGGCAGCGCGGGCCCGGCAGGCATCGAGGCTGGTATGGCGCGGCGCGCAGCCAATGCGCGTGCGCTGAGGCGCTGCTGATGGTCAGCGCAGCGAGCATGGACAGGTCACGGGCGTTCCGGGGCGAAGGGATGGGCATCGGGGCGCTGGGCGGAGCTGGGGGAGCACTGGGAGCGGCAGTTTGGGATGGTGGTGGTCAGTCCGACCGAAGCGTCAAGCGGCTTTGGCCCAGCCTGCAGGCACCCCTGCGCGCTCCACCGCCGCAACTCTATCCTCCACCATGCGCCGTTGTAGATATATTGCGCAGCGCGCGCCGTTGCTTTTGCCCGGCGCAAACCCACCGGCCGCGTTTGCCCGGCGGCGCGCACTCGTCATCGCGGGGCCCTGGGCCCGGCACGCCGGCGCTCCCTTGCGTTTTCTTTACTTAGATCACGGTTGCCCGAGGCGGTAAGCCAGCTGAACGAGGCGGCTGTGTCGATCTCCGCGAGAAGCGGGCGCCGGGGGCCGCGCTGCTGCTACGCCACGATCGCACTCGCCCAGCAGTGTGCGCCCCCTTCACGCCTAACAGCACCAGCTTATGCAGGCACCGTCACCAGCGCAACCACCGCCCCCGGCCCGCCCGCCTGCCGCCGCGCCGCCCCAACCCGCAGCGCGGCCGCAGCGCTTCTGCTCATCTCGCGGCCTGCGCGTTGCGCCATCCCCACCGCGCGCGCGCGCGCCCTCGGCCTGCCCTCAGCCTGCCCGCCGCCCGCCCTCAGCCTGCCCGCGGGCCAGACCACCGCGTCCCCCCTGATCACCGCCCGCACGCGCCGCCTGCCCGGCGCCGCGCGCCCTCACCGCACTCGACGGCCGCCGCCTGCCGTGCCCGCCCCATTGGGCATGGCGACGGCGCGAGGCGGCTGCACAGGATCGGTGGCGGCGCGCTGGCGACGGGCAGACGCGAGATGCACCGCAGCACCGCGCCCGCCCATGGCCCCGGGTCGCTCGCCTACCGACAAGAGGTGAGACCTGCATCTGCTGGGAAGAACCGCTGCGCCTGCCCGTCCACCGCACCGCGCTCCTCGACCGCTCTTCTTTGTCAGCCCAGCTTGCAGACCCCGTCGATCAAACTCGCCCTGCCGTATCAGACGAGCGGCATCCAGAGCAGCCCGCTCTCCTTGCGCGCGCTCGCCGTCCATTGCGTGCCCGCCGCGGCGCCGCCCGCCTCCCAGAACGGAGACGTGCAGCGTAGAGGCCCGCCGCGCCGCGCCGCTCCCCTCCTCGCATGCTGCGTTTTCGCCCTGCCGGGCTCCGGCGTCATGGCGAGCGCACCCGTCGCCCGCGACTTGCTGGGCCGCCGCTCTCGTGCCCGGGTTTTTTCGTCCAAGCTGCTTCCATTCTTCTCTCCGGCGCGTCGACCCTGCGCACCGCCGCGGCCTGGACGTCGAGCTGCCCGCTGCTGACCACGCACCACGCACCACGCACCTCCCCCCGAAGCTCTTCCAGGCGACCTGAGGGCACTGCTTGCACTGCTTGTCCTCCAGGACCGGGCGCTGCTGGCACCTCCAGACGGTCCGCGTCTGCATGGGAAATTACCAGATACCTGGTTTGGCCGTCTGCATATTGACATTCCAGCAGATCCAGCAGCCGGGGCGACGACGAAGGTCTGCTCGCGGCCGTCCATGGCTGGAATGCGAGCGCCCCGGTTACCTCCGGGAGCACGGCGGCCTTCACGACAGCAGCAGCGCGCTTGCTCTGTGAAACCACCCTTTTGGACCTGGTTGTCGGTTCGCGCCGGGCGGTGGTCATGCTGTCCTCCATCTGAAGTGACGCAAGGATGCTTTTCCAACGGCCAGGTTCCGAGTGCCGATGAGTAAGCTGCCGTCGGCGAGCACGTTCGTGGGCGCTCGTTGATCGGCTGCCCTCAGGGCGAGTGCCGCGGTCGAGGGTCGTGTGGCGAGCAGCCGTACCACGCTCCAGGCCGGGCGGTCGCAGGATCCAGACAACCTACATACACAGCTCGCCGCTGGCCCTCGGGCGTCGTCTGCCTCGGGCGTCGTCTGCCTCGGGCGTCGTCTGCCTCGGGCCTGCGTCATTGACGGCCCCTGGGCGCGTGCGCGAGCCGAAGACGCCCCGACTTGAAGATGCCACGGCGTCATGAGTGCAATGGCGGCGGCGGGGGTGTGGCGCAGCAGTGCCAAACGCGTGCGTGCGCTCGCGTCGTGTCATCGTCTTCACAGAGGCCCGGCTGCGCGCTGGGCTTGGAGGCATCGACGCGCGTCCGAAAGCAGGCGTGGCTAATACGAAGGTCCGGGACTCCGCGAGAGCAGCCGGCGGCGCCAGGACTCCTAACGGCTCGAATTTAGGGCGTTCGGGGAAGGCAGCCGAGCGGACGGCGGCGGGCTAGAGAGGCCGTGCGCGGCAGCCGCAGGCGCGAGCCGGCCGTTGCAGGGCGCTTGACGGAAAGATGGAGCCAGAGCACAGGCTCGGGCCAGGGCGACCCTGGGCGACCCTGGGCGACCCTGGGCGGCGGCGTCGGCGTCGTCGTCAGTCGTCGTCGTCGTCGTCGTCGGCGGCGGTGGTTGCACGTCAGAGCCGTTGAGCGGCTGACCGGTAAGTCGGAAGCGGCTAGTGTGGCCGTTTACGAGGGCGGGCCTGGCATGGCTGGCATGGCACGATGGCGACAGGAAATGGGTTTGCCGGAAGCACTTCCTAGACGCTGCCGCTGACGCAGGAAAAAGGAGCGACGGGCCGGGGCTGGCTGCTGGCTTCAACACGTTTGCGGGAGATGCGCGGCCCGACATGAATCGCGATCTTCCTGAGCATCCACTAATCGCCCGGCTGGCCAGACCACGATTGCCCAACCAGCGGCCCTGTTTCGCGGAGCACTGTCGCACCGCCAATTTCCACGCCTCCCGTGCATTGATCTGGGCGAGCCACGGAGCCAGGAAGGAGCCGCCATCCTCCAGGGAGAGCCGCGCTCCTTCTGGTAGGTCGCAACCGGAGCCAAGCCCGCAATGTCTGCTACTCATTGAGCTGCAGCCGCCGGCCAACTCTTCCAGCCTGCCCGTCGTATTCGCCCGCCATGCACACCACCGGTCAGGACGAGCGAAATGGATGCCCAAATAAAGGGGAAGGCTGTCGGCCATTGACAGGCTGCCAGCCCGCCCGCCGCCCTTCACCATGTCCAACCCACTGCCGCTCTTGGCGCGTCGACACAATGCGGCCCTCAGCTGAGCCCAGGTCGCGGTTGCACCACCCTTCATTGACTGCCTCGTAAGCCAGCAGCCTGTGCTGTGCTGTTGTTATGCGCATGTGGAGGTGCACCGATGTGGCCAGCATTTCATCCACCAGAAGGACCCTCCCCCCGCCGTACCGGTGCACCTACCAGCCGTGTCCATCACAGGAAAATCGCTGTTTGTGAGTGGCTGTCTGGCCGCCACCGCGAATGACTGGTCACACCTTGGGCTTGATTTTCGACCAAAGAGATTGGTTGCTGCCCGCCTCTTTTCCTTTCTTTTCCTTTCCGTCTTGTTTTGGCGGCTCTGCACAATACCGCCTCCCGCCAGTGTGAACCGTGCCCCAAGTCATAGGCACTGCTTCGCGCTGTCAGCAAGCGTCCGATCTCTTAGCTACCCGTCTCACACTATCCCGCCCGGATGTGCTCCCGCGGGATGCTGAACCGTACCATCGCTGCTGCCCGACGGCTTGCCACAGCCGCGATCAGCCTGCCCCACACTATTGACGACCTTTTCAGTTCCATCCGCATGAAACAACAGTGCTAGGGGAAACAGATTCCTTTCGCCCATGCGCCATATCTCAGCATCGTCCGGTCGGACCGTGCGGCCGGCGGATTCCGGTCCGACGGGTGGCGGCTGGGACAATGAGCTGAGGCTGTTTGGAGGCCATGAGTAGTCGCGCGAGATGCTGATCTGCGCGATCGCCCTGCCGTTTGCTCTTTCCTGCCTCAATCCCAACTGTTGACTGTGTTTTTTTGTTTTTTCTTGTTTCTTCCCGGTATGCTTCGCAAGGAAAATGCCGGTTTCTCTTCCCTACGACCCCTAACCCAAACTTCAGGTTGCAGTCTTGAAAATTTTTACGCCAATTTCTCCGTCTCTCCTGCTTCTAGATCGGCTGCTTTCTTAGACTGGCTCAGACTCCCGCTCTGCCGTGTAGGTTCATCCTCCTGGTATCACTTCAGCGCGTGCTCCAGCCGCGAGAGCGGTCAGTCGGCATGGCTCAGTGTAATCCACCCCACACATTCTAGTGTCTATTCGGTCTAGATGATCTTCCCCGCGCTTTGGTACATACAAGGCCGTTCATGCCTTGGCTTGTCACAATACATCTAATTTATTGCTGATAAGGAGTGGAGCGGGAACATCAAACCACCCTTTCGGCAATGCGTTTGCCAGAGGCGAAGTGGGATCTCTGAACTGACGCTGCAACTCTGACTGCGCTACAGCCAAGGTCACCGCCCGTGTCAAGACGATGCTGTCTTGGGTGCGGTGCGCGTCAAGAGCATGTGCTCAAGCTCCATTTTGTGGGGGCAACGACGATCCTGAGTCCAAGTGTGTACGCACTTACGTACCTCGCTGACCCACTCGCTAAATGTTGACAGCTACTACATGCGACGAAGAAAGATAAGCCTGGCGTCAGCCTTACTTGAGGTGGCGACGGCAAAACTATTTAGCTTTTTTCTGTTTGCCACAAAGGGACACTCAACCGCCCTGATTTCTGCACGTTAACTTCCCTCTCTCTTCCGGAACGAGCGAGACGTTGGAGATGAGAGTTATGTAATGTTTGTTACAGTCAGGATCGAATGTCCAGCCATAGCGTACCTGATAGTAACAATACTTGAAAGTGACTCCCTTAAAATGCCCAGAACCTTACCTGAGAATTTCCGAATATGGAAAATGAAATGATTTATTTTTATTATCTATTGTACATGCTTGTTGGGCATGCTGTGAATTATGGGGTCCGCGCCACGTAGGTCTGGCGCAGTGTTGTAAAATCCTGGCTGTTCTCAACTTTACACGAGCACGACCAGCCTGGGTGCGAGGAAGCAGTATCCTCTGCAAGTAGACGCAGGATGTGACTGCTGCAGACTCTGGACGTGGAAGAAGCCTCAACTCGATCTGACATCAGACAAGCAGCATTGATATACTTCAGCGATGGAGCCACCACGAAACACGGGGCGAATGTCAATCAAGCCCCGCCACGTACGCGCGAGTATAGTGCTTATCTGACACCTTCTTGCGAGATCTACGCTGCACAAGTCTCACGCTTATCGTATCAACGAATCGAGGCTGGCGATAGTCTGTACTATATACCGGCACGTTCCGACCCAATCATCGCCAGACATATCAACAACAGCCAACGGCTCAAAGTTCGATGCTTGCTATGGAGTGAGCATAACGCAACTTGTTTGAAGCAATTACAAGAGGAAGGCGTTCATCCGAGCAAATTTACGCCTGCTTGGGAGTGAGATGGGCGGTCAGTCATAACCTTGACGTTACAGCCGGAAAAAAAAGAGTAACCCTCTTACGAAGTGCTTCCCACTCCCACCTTTGGTCAAGTTGCCGAACATCGGGTAGTCCAACTCATTTTCGGTCCCGTCTCTGATGCGCCAAAATCACTTTCTACCTTTGACCTCTCCTTGTCCGCACATCTTTATTGAGCTCACTTTGTATCTTTGCGCCACGCACAATGCTCCCGTTGCCACTCTGTCTTTCCCGTTCAATATTCACGCGATCCCACGGCTACCGCTCCACACTGGACTGTCTTATCAAGCCGTAGAATCTAAAGACCATTCCATTTTAAAATAATGTCTTCCATCAGACGTCCAGATCTCGGCCACCTGCAAGGTCCAGTAGAGAAAACAAAAGAGAAACCTAGTAAATGTCTCAATCTCGCTGATTTGAATGAAGCCAGCAATTTCTCCAACTCAATTCAGTCATAGCCATGGAGATCAGTGCGGTGGGGGACCAACTGGATCTCTTCCAAGTGCACAGTCTTTCTCGTGCTGTCTTGTCAAGGAGACGTTCCAGTGGATCGGAGTGTCTGAACCATACCCACTGCCACAGTGTTATATGACATCATAAGAGGAGCACCCTGTGGGAGGGAGGTGGCTGTCGGAACGATATCTCAGTTGCAGCTTCCATTTACCGCAACAGCTATTGATGGGCGCCATCTACTCCATACAAGAAGAATTATGTTGGCTTCTATTTTGGGGGGTTGCTATTCACGAATTCTACCGCCTGCATTATATCGAGAAGCACAGAATCTCTGCTGTGTTCAGGGCATGCGATTACTACGACGACTACCATTTTTGTCCACTACGAAGAAACGACCACGTACGTACAAGGAAAGAGGTATTAAGCCCATGTATTCCTTGCTGACGGTGAATATACGGACAGTGAGCGCCATGAAACGCGCTTTGCCGACAAACGCCGCCGTCCTGATATGTTTCGGTGATATGTTGATAGATTTTGTCCCGCACTACCTCAGTCAATCGATTTGGACCACGTTAACCCACAATCGGTCGGAATAGCACGAAGATATCGAGTATTTATATAGAGGGGAGCTTCCAAGGGTCCGAGGCATCGGCATCGGCTGCTAGTGTTAAATACGGCGACTACCACGCAGCATGACTGGACCTATAGATGGCCCGAAAATTAGGGTATGTTGAATGCTGATGATGCACTTTGTGTGTGGTAATCAAGAGGCTTTGGATACAGGATGAATGGTATTTAAGGGTGAAAAGGGTTGAAGAAAGGTTTACTAGAGAGGTGGAAATATGCACGTAGAGCAACGAACTACAGTCATTTTCTTAAACAAACCCTACTAAATAAAATATTGAGTACTACCTCAGTTACTTTAAGTCAAGAACTTCGGGGAATGAAAGGAGAACAATGCATAACGAGCGATATCATGAAATCACCCACGGTAGAAATAGATTACTGCTAGATCTAGAAGTCTTTGGACAATAATGGGGGCGGAAAGAGAGGATGTTATTATTAGGCGGGGGGTTGATGAAAGTAGGGGAGGATAAGGGTAAGCTAATGAGGCTATCTACTTTGTACATGGGAATCAATCCTAGAAAATCATCGACAAAGCAGGGTTTAATATCAAACCTCCAGTAGAGACGGCTTTTCTGAGCCTTTGCCCATAGCCTGTCAACTGGATCTTTGACAAATAGGGCCGAAAATTGTGAAGGTATCTGAGAAAAGAAAATCGGGAACCTGTCGTCCAACCATCAAGACCATAAACCTTCGTTTGACCATCTCCTTGCGCAAAAATTCGTGGACAAACCCTACGCCTCCGTAGAGGCACCATCCCAAAAGAAGTATATTTTCCTCGTTCGTATGGATTCGTGTAGCCAGGAAGGGAACCGTGCGATGCCAAGTCGGCAAAACCATTAAGTCTAGCTCGATGACGATGCACATTAGAGTCGAAGAGAACCAGCACTCTTCTTTGATAACATGAACTTCAAGCGATGTCGTCCCCGTGTCAACGTCTAGAACGCAACACCAACTCCGCTGTACACGGATCGTCCGCGTGGTCCCTCTTCAAATTCGAGCTCGACATACTCGGGAGGGTTCGGCATCCTTTCACCACTCTCAATCTTCTTGTCGTCCATTCCTTCCACGACAGCGCTCCAGCTCTTGCCCTGCCTCTCACGCAGCTCCAGTGCGACACCAAAGCTTGGAACACCAAGGCTGCGAGTATTCACGCCCTCAGGTAGCGGCGCAGGGGCCACAGACACGACTGTGTCGGGAGTAGAGCTGCGGGCGTCTGAATCGTCATCATCCGCCTCTTCATCGTCGACATAATCACGGATCGTCGAGATGGTGTCCGGCAGAGAGAGGGTGGAGTTGGTAGGACAAGTGGCGGCAGTGGAGGCGAGAGATGGCGAGGAATACGGGCAGTATGACGCCTCGGACTGAAGCGCGGCAACAGAAGGGCCGTGGTAGAAGGGATCCGTGTAAGTGGCGGTGATAGAAGAGGCGAACGAGTTCAGGGTATCATCTGTGGCGGTGCGGCTGTGAGTGAGATTCGAGGAGGCGTAAGTGCGAAGGGTGTCGACGGAGCCGTTATTCCGGCGACGCTGCATGAACGACGCAAGGCGGGATTTCGGGGTGTTGCTACGATTGGCGCCGATCGGGGCGGGCGGGTTGGGAAAGCGGATAAGGAGGTCGGTTTGAGAGTTGCTGAGGGACGGCATGGCTGGGGAGTCGTATGTGGAAGAAATTCCGCTCTCGACAACAGGCGAAGGCGGGACGGAAGGGAGCGGCTTCGAACTGAAGGGAACGGAAAGTGCAGATCCAATGTCCGACAGAGTTTCGGAGCGAACATGCATCTTGAAGTTGGGAGCAAGAGCCGGGACGTGATGCTGCTTCGGAGAGTTCGATGCGGCCTTCATCGCGCGGCGTTCCTCGACAATCGAGTTGAGCTCGCTGATGGCATCCTCCACGCTGTCACGAGGTGTCCTGTAGGAAGGCTTCTTACGGAGACTGCGGGAGGAGCTGAGCGGTTCCGTATTTGATCGCATGCGTGGGGTAGGAGGTCCCGATTCTGGGAGAGGAGATGCCGGCATGGGGAGAGGAGATGCAGCATTGCGGCCAGAAGCGTAGAGATCGGTATTGATCGTCTTGGGCCTCTCGAGAATGGGCATTGTGCTGGACCTCGCAACCACAGGACGGAGCGGAATATCGATCGTTCTGGTGTCGGCACCGTCGTCGCCGAACCAGCCATCGACGTAGGAGGGGATGGGTTTCCGGGGCACAAGGAAAGCCGGTTCAGAGCACGTCGATTCGGTCCTGTTCCGGACGTGGGCTTGACCGGGGAATGCCAGGTTTTGCGGCTTCCTGTCCCAGCTGTTCCTCGTGAAGTCGGGTAGCGGCGATAGTTGGTTATCGGGGGTATATATAGACAGCTGCAACGGACGGAAGGCCGGTTTCCTGCGTAGGGTCGGGCCAGACTGAGTGTCGACTTGCACGGGACGGGCAGCTGGGGCGGACATGGCCACAGGCGGTGGTGGTCCGCTGCCATCTATATGGCGGAAGTCGGTAGGGCCAGAGATCTGGAGCCGGCTGGTCTTTGCCTTGGCGGAACGCATGTTCAAGTGCGGGTAGCCTGGAGTGCGTGACTCGACTTTTCGACTGCCAAACCACTGCCTCATTGATTGACCTGCCGATGGTTGCGGAAGGGGTCTTGACGACTCTAGAAGGAGAGGCCGCAGAGACCGCGGTTGCTCTTCTGTGATGCTCCGCCTCCGTCCAACATGTCCTGGAGCGAGTCAGCGGCGTCGACGGATCTGCAACAGGACTGGAAAACTCACCGGGATTAGATTGAAAAGGGTCAACCTCTTCTTCTGACCGCGAGCCAGATGCACAGCATCCGGCGAAGGGGGATGAGGCCAGCCATCCTTTGGTGCTGTCAGCCTCGACGGAGTGATGTGCTCCCATATTTGGCTTGAGAAACTAAGAATACATCGCCCGGGCAGCGATGAGAAGGCAAGAAGACGCGGCGACAAGTCGCGGGTATAGAAGCGAAGCAAGAGAAGACAGAAAAGAAAAAAAAAAGAATAGTATTCGCAGCGCACGCGCAGCGAGGCCAGCAAGGAAAGACGGAAACAGAAGGAGCGGGGGAGGAGGTGGCCGTGAAGAGTCCGGACTCTCAGGCAGAACTAGCAATGCGGCGGGCTTGAAGGTAAAATGGACGGAAAGGAAAGGAAGGCGCGACGAGCAGGGGCATCGTGGGCTTTTCAAAACGGCAGCTGCGGGACCAAGTGCCTCGACCAAACGACGATGCGAAACAGCGTGCCCTGCGCAGGAACACGCTCTGCCGGGCTGCGTTCATCGGCGACGGCCCAATGGACGGTGCGCGCCTGGCGCTGGGCGAGATGAACGAGATGCGGGCTGCGGCGGGCGCTCCAATGGCTGCGGTCCACGACGGGTGCAGCGTGCGTGGAGCGTCTGCGATGGTGTCGAGTTGCGGGCGAGAGGGCGCATGATTGGCTGGCAGCCCCTGGCGCCGCACCTTTGGCGCCCGCGCGCTGCTGCAGCCCGTCGCAGCCCGCCGCCGGGGCTTGGCGCGCTCTTTCAGAAACTGCTGCTTCGCCGCTCTTCGCCGTGGACGTGGCCGCCGGCCCACCGTCCAGAAGCTCGTCTGCCTGCCAATCATGCCCGGCGGGTCCGCCCCATGTGCTGCGAAGGTGCCTCTGGCCGCCCGCCCTGGCCTTCCAGAGCCCCCGGCGCGCTTCCGTGGCAATCATCCGCCCTCCGCTCTCCACGCTGCGTCGATGCGGGAAGTGCTTTGCCTTGGCTGGCCCTGTCGCCGCAGCATCAACTGGCCTTCCCGCCGTCTCGCCGCGCCCTGCTCCGCTTTTGATGTGCTGCTGCCCCAGGCCGCCCTCCCACGCTCCCGTCACACGTTTCTCCATTGCTGCTGATCGCGACAGCCCTCCGCTGCCGCTCGACGACAAACACCGACCGTCAACACGTCGCGCCTCCCCCCGGCTCGTCCCGGCCGCCGACGGCAACAGAAGCCCACGTCCGTCCAGCGTACCTGCATTAGCCTCCCGGGCCCTCTGCTTGCCGCACACTCGCCCACATCTGCGTCGCCACCATCGTTTCAGACCCTGGATTTCCCGGCACTGACCACCGTCGGCAACAGCAAATGCAACTGCAACACCACCAGCGCGCGTCTTGCTAAGCGTGGTCGGAGAATATGTGAAGACACGCCCGAGGCTGATGAATGCGAACACAGTGTCGGCTGGCAGTCGCCAGCCGGTGCAGTGCAACGGCGGCTACCACCGGCCGGCAGCTCTCTTCCTTCCATCTGAGCCAAACCCGGCGTGACTGGTGAAAACCCTCCGGCCACCGGCCTGAGGCATACAGACCACGCATTGCGTCTGCTGTGCCACAGGTGGTTGTGGGCAAGAGCCGTAGCGTACAGAGTAGCAGCCATGCCATCCGCATAATTTGCTGCTCGCTCCTTCGCGCTTCTGCACTTCTATTTACGGCACGGAGCTCGCGCCACATCGCGCTCCACCTGCTTTTGTGGTGCAGAAGCGCCCGCCTGTGCATGCGGCGTGCCGCTGATCGTCCGGCCTCTCGCGACTGCTGCTCCGACGTTGCTATATTACGTGCAGCCCCCTCTACCATAGCCTACATATATAGAAACGCACCGCGAATGTGCTCATGATTCGCCTGCCCACCCAGACTCTGTTCGTGACGTGTTTCGCCTTTTGTCTACGACGTGCAATCGTACTGGCCGCCAACCTTGATCCTTGGACACGCTCTTTGTCAGGGTCTCGTTTGCGGCGGTTCCGACGACCGAAGGGCCACGGCTATTGTACAGTACTATTCGCTATTCTGCTCTTGGTCCGGTCACCCGACTCTTTCTGTCAGTAGTTGTTTTAGGTTGATGGCGTGCTACACCTGCATTGCTGGCATCCCCCGGGTTGGATCGAAAGGCTACGAGGTGCGGAGCTTGATGCATTATCCGAACCTGCGAGCCACGGCTGTGTGTCCCATTGGGGGCGTGGGAACACGTCTGCGGCTGTTCTTCATTCAGAGGCAAAGGTATCATCTATCGGTATTGAATGGGCCGCAACTCACTTGAGAACGAACAGGCGCGAGACACTTGGCTGCTTTGACTAAATGACGCGCAATATCAAGTACTTGCTTCGACTGTATAACGTACATCTGAATCACTGCAGCTCCAAGGAATGACTGTCGGTTATGCTTCGAAGGGTATCGGCGATGTCTTCCTGTGCCAACGCCAACGCTATGCCTGAACCCATGGCGGATCTCCCCCATTGCGGACGTCAGATCCGAATGCCTCAGGTCACTCCGCCGACCGTATTGCGCCGAATGTTACAGAAAACCCAAATTCATGGCCAGATTCTAAATGACACGCCTAATCATCCCTAGTGCTCCAGATGCTGCGCTCTTCCCGGAAGCTACCGTAATGCGGGCTCGCCAGAGGACGGTCGTTGTCCTCGTTGAGATCGCGCCTTTGCCACTGCGTAGCCTCCTCCGATTCAAGACGCGTCTCGTCAGTCCGGGCCGCCGCTTCCTCGCCCTCTTCAACCGTGAAGGGTGCATCTAGGTTGTGCTCTCTCTCCGGTTGGTTCGGCTGTGGGTGGTCCGGATCAAAGCCCTCTCGAACCTCTTCCTCCTGGTCACCCTCTGGATACGTGTGCCTGTGTGACATTAGCCCCGTATCACTGACAACTCTAGCCATTCTACTCACACAAAGTGCTTAGGCTCCGCTGCGTTCCAGCCAGGTCCACCCTCCTTACGGGCTCTTACGCGTTCCACATCTTCCGCATCATGGTCCTCGACAACCAGGTCTACGAGTTGACTCCGGCCCGACTTAGCTGACTTCACCGAAGTGGTGGATGATGAGGTATCCTGTCGTCGTAGTTTGCCTGCGCGCGATTTGGAGCTCGACGACTGGCCTGTACCGTTGCTGGTAGTGCTGTCGCGGTGCTTTCCCTTGATAACCTGCTCCTTCACATCCTGGATCTGGCTCCTACGGCGCCGCTTGTTTTCTTTTGTTGGTTGAAGGAGATTCCGGTTAGTTGACGCCGTGATCATCTTTGGGGTATGATAGAGTCGGTCTTCACGCGATGCATAGTGTGCTGGTATCACCGGATACTGTGATAATGTTAGCGTCGGACAAGGCTGCGGATACTTAAGCCACTTACGTTCCAGTCACCGAATTCTAAAGCCCTGGCATTTGTGAAGAGGCGCTCGTCTTCGGGGTTGAGCTCTGGATCTTCCATGTCGTCTTCCGTGGAACCGTACTTTTGTGCTGCTTCAAGGGCTCTGTGAGCACCCGGACTCATCCCTCTCGCCCGACTAGACGACGTGACGCTACCGAGCAGAGGCGTCCTGCTGTCGCTTCCGGGCTTCGGAATCCAGTACTTTCCTTTGCCGCCTCTCTCATAGCGCATGCCTTCCATCATCCGAGCAACACGAGAAGCCGATTCCTCGTGGGCAAGCACGTTGTCACGGGCGTCAAAGTAGCGATACTCATAATGCTTCCCAGCGAAGGTATCCTTGGTGTCCTGGATGAGGTCCACGGCACCAAAGGCGTCCCGCAGAGCATACTTGACGGGCATTCTCGCGGCAGATATCGTGCGGTCAGCATAGTCGTGCCACGAGAAGGCGTACCAGTGAGCGATGGCGAAAATGGGCATCTCAAAGCAAATGAGGGCATCTTGAATGGATGCTGCCAGGTTGTCAGGCGTATAGCCCGGGACATCGTCTGGAAGGGCGCCAAGCCAGACCAGGATGGACAAGAAAAAACCCTGCCAGTAAGAAGCGAAGATGATACCCTTGATGCACAAGAATTTTGGCATGGGACGGAAGGGTTTCAGATCATGTGACATGCAGACCCAGAACACGGCCAGAGCGTACAGGCAGACTGTGATGCTGACGTTGTAAATGAGACTGCTCCAGAAGTAGCCTGACGTGATGCCGATGTAGCCCTCCTGGTACGTGCCGGTTGCCTTCATGATGATGGTGGCAATGGCGAGTATAGGTTTTACCCATGTGTACTGCAGTATCCCACGCTTGATGGCAAGGAAGGTATGGGGGTCTGAGATGTCGATTTTCGGCAGCACGTAGTTGAGGGGCCATAAGTGGGGGACGGGGGCACGGCCGTGCATCAATATGATGAGGGCACGCTCACCGCCGATAAAGTTGAGGAGGAGCTGGAAGAAAGTGTAAATGGTGAAGGCCTGCAGGCGGAGTCAGCATGTGTCGGAGGGGCAGGGCGTGTGCTGGGAACTACCTCGTAGACATCACGGAACGGGTCTATCCAGAAGGCGGCCTTCAACGATATCAGGCTGGCCCATGATGCTGCCGAGAAGATGGGCACCCTGGCTTGGGTTAGCAGCGCAGCAGCAAGGGCGGGCGAGGGAACGCACATCAACAGTATTCGCACCACATATCTCTGCAGCAACGGCTTCCGATAGTTTTTCCTGGAGGCGTGTTCAGCGTGCTGACCGCCATTTGCGCGAGCTGATCGTATGCGAGCGAACTTACGTTTGCAGCCAGACAGAGCTGGGAGCCGGACGTTAGCAGGCGGCAGCAGAGAGGACGAGAGGGCTCTTACACGACGGTAAGCAGGCTGGCCACCAGAGCAGCCACGCCGGTCACAATGATGGCCCAGCTGCCAAACCTCCCGCCCGTGCCACCGCTGGCGGACTCCTCCCCCATTGCGGACCCCCGAGATGTAGCTGGACGCAGGCAGCGGCCGTGGAGCGGGCGAAAGAAGGCGGAGCGGCGGGTCCCAGGGCAGCTCGCAGGCGGACGCGGCAACCGGACGCTCGCAGGCAGGTGGATTCGGCGGAGAGGGTTGCGGTGTGGGCGGGGGAGGTGGGCGCAGGCATCTCCAACAGCTTGCAGTGTTGATCGCGAGCACGGGCTTCGTCATTGCTCCAAAAGGCCAGCGCAGGGTCACGCCCGCCAAGCCGCAACCGTCTGTCCCGCGCCGCTCCTCAGAACGTCTGCTGACAACCACCACCGCTGCCGCCTTCGCTCGCTCTCCCGCGCGTCTGCTGCCGCCCGCTGCCGTCCGGTGCCGCCCCATGCCTGCCCGCCCTGCGCGCGATCACCATGCACAGCGCCGTCCCGTGCTCGCCGCCCCGACTCAGGAGTAGCTCGTGCAATGGCGAGCAGCGGGCTGACTGCACAGCCTCTGGACGCTCACCGCGGCCTGCTGTGGCAGTTCCTTGTTGAGCTGCTCGTGTCCGGCATCCTCACCGTGTTCTTCCTGTTCTACTTCAATCGCCTGTTTGCGACGCTCCTCTCGTACGCCATCCGCGCCTACACCTGGCACAATTACCGCGCATACCTTGACATCCAATCGCTGCAGATCTCGCTGCTCGGCGGCCGCATCTTTTGGAAGGACATCCGCTACCACGGCCACAACCAGACCATCCTCATTCACGGTGGCTACATAACATGGCGCTTTTGGTACAGGAAGGTCAAAGGCACCGAGCTCTTCTGCAATGGCCATGCCACCGAAAAGCCCGCCCTGGCAGATGGCTCGAGTGTCTACGGCAGCCCGTCGCGGAGCAGGAGCCGCAGCGTAGGCAGGGAGGAGGACGGCGGGAAGCACAAGCCCAAGGAGCTGCCGTGCCGTGTTTCCATTAAGGTCTCCGGAATGGAGGTGTTTCTGTACAATCGAAGTCCCGCATACGACTCTATCATTGACAACTTTGCGCGTGCCATGGGTGCCAACGGCGTGCAGAAACCTGCCGCCGCCGACTCGCCGCAGTCTGAGCAAAGCACCGCTAAAACTGCCACCTCGGACAAGATCCAGTCCACGCTTCACCGGAGACACACTAGTAGAAGCAGCAGCAGTTCCGACCAGCGTCGGGACGGCAGCAAAGAAAAAGAGCCGCACCGTCGCCATGAGACAGAGGAAGCCTATTCCCCACCAGAGATACCCGCCTTCCTCCGTCTCCTCCCTGTTCGCATTGATTGCAACAAGGGTGCTGTCATTGTGGGCAACGAGAGCACGCCATCAATCCTCTCGGTGAAGTTTGATAAAGCCAGCGGAGAACTCAGCGCCGCTCACGCCGGGCCACTGGACATATACAAACAGCTGTTCAACTTCGATTTCGAACATCCTGTTGTGCACATGAAGCCCAATCATGACTACAAGAACCCGCAACTAGCCACCGCGGCACGCCTGAAAAAGGAGGGTTTGAACGGCACGAGCTCTGAAACAGCAGAGAGAGAGCGTAAGACCGAAAGGCGTCGGAGGCCGTGGCACCCTCTACAAAATCTCTCCTCGTTCTTCAGCGGCTCGACGGATTCCCTGGCAAACTCACGAAAGCCAACGAAGAAACGTGCTTCAACCGCACAACCGGCCTTCCCTGGCCAGGAACGTTGGCTCGGCCTGACAAGGTACCTTGACGATGCTGACCACGACGAGCATGATGAATGGGGAGGCATTGAATACGCCAAATTTTCATTGATTGCCGATCTCCCGCGCCTCTCCATGAGCTTCTACTGGGATGTTCCCGGCTCTGTACCCAGAGGACCGGGTATCGCTGATCGGAATCCAAGCGTCACGACCCTAGACATCAACGGCAGTATTCCTCCAGACTATGGCCTTGACTTGCAAATCTTCGGCGGGACCATCAATTATGGCCCCTGGGCGGACCGGCACCGTGTCATTCTGCAGAACTATTTCGTCCCGGCGTCTTGCACAGATGCGGTTCCGGCCGAACCCTTGAATCCGGGAGCTGCTCGCGTCAATACGGTGTTCAAAATCTTCATCAGTTTTGAGGAGGAGACCGTCTTGCGCGTTCCCGTTCGCGAGAAATCCAAGGACTGGAAATGGAAAGGCCGGGCCCAGAACGTCGGTGGACATGGCAAGAGCACCGAGAGTGAGAACGTCCGTGTCAAGGGAAGGAAGAGGGCGGCAAGAAACAAGAAACGCGACACAGGTGCTACCGGACAGACAGTTCGGCCGTTTGGCTGGCTTGACATTGAGGTGCAGCCGGACTCTACTGTCAAATACGTCATGGACATGGTCGCAAGCTCGCAAGGCTACCGCAACTCTTTAGACCTTGACATTCGTGAGTCCAAAGTCTACACGAGCGTTAACCACGACCTGTTGTGGAAGTCAGGTCGCTTGGAAATGGACTGCAATCTCTCCAACCCTCTGAAGTGGAACGAATTGAGACAATGGGCTTTCAACCTCAGATGCAATGATCTTCAACTCTTTTTGCTCAGAGACCACATGTTTCTTCTGACGGATCTTGTGAATGATTGGGGTTCCGGTCCTCCACCTGATTTTTACACCTTCACTCCGTTCAGATACGTTATGAACATGGATTTTCCCAACCTCAAAATCTTCCTGAATACAAACGACTCCAACATCATCAACAACCCGGCTGAACTCGAAGACAACCAATTCCTGATCTTGCAAGGCCGGCATCTAGGCGCAAGGCTGGAGATTCCGTTGGATAAATTCCGGCCGATCGAAAGCGAAATATCCTTCAGTGCCCTGGGCGACCACATTGGTCTGGATCTCTCCATGCCACCTCGCAACACCATTGCAACATTCGTCAAGGAAAATCACGTCGCAGACTTGGGCATGCTGACTCTCAAGGGAAGCTACAAGTACTGGTCAGAAACCTCACCCGGACTGACTGACAGACTGGTCCTTGATGTCGGTGGTACCAAGTTTGAGCTCGCATTGTTTGGCTTTGTGGTTCGGCATTTCATGAAGATAAAGGACAACTACTTCGGAGAAGACATGCATTTCAAAACCTTGGAAGAGTATCAAGAGCTCCCACAGAGCAAAGCCGGAGAGCCTCCTGCAATCGACACGGCGGACCAAGCGTCGAATAAGTCAAATGATTTGGATGTCATACTCTCCGTGTCCGCCGAGAAAGTTAGCGTCCTCCTTCCTGCCAATCTGTATTCTGTCGAAGATCACGTCAGAGTCGAACTCCCCTACGCCAATGCGGACCTCCGATTTACCAGCTACTACATGGATCTCATGGTTGACTTCAGCCCTCTGAGTCTCGCCCTGAACATGTCTCATGCAGAGGAGGATAGCGGCTTCGATACAAACAATCGTACGCAACTGTTCGTTGATTTGGTAAAGATTTACGGCCATCGAACGTTTGGACTGCCGCCGCTGGAGCCAACCTACGTCTGCAACTGGGATTTCGAAGTGGGGAAAATCACCGGCGAGTGTTCTGACAACTTTCTTGGGAAGCTTGGGGCTTTTGGGAAATGCTTTGCGTTCTCATTGGACGACGACGAGAACGCGCTGCCGATTCTCAGTCCGTTGCTAATACACGATGTGACCTTTCTCAGACTCAAGACGAGCACAATCAAAGTCTGGTTGCACGTTGCTCAAGAAGTGTTGCTACTGAGCACTGACGCAATCAGTGTGGACTTCAATGATTGGGCAAACTCGACATTTTCTCAACGTCTCAACGTCCTCATTCCCAACCTTGTCATAGCTTCTGTTGAAGCCAAGGCAGCTCTTCGCCAACGTAGTCGTATCAGTAAGAGCACGGTTGACACGCAGGCGTACTTGCAAACTGATATCCGGCTGCACATGCTGAAGCGGAACCTTCACTTCAGCGACGACCGTCGCGATCAGCAGAATCATCTCAGGGAAAGTGATTTGCGAACCCATAGGACACCCTGGCTCCTACTTGAGGACCTGGAGGCATCCGAAGACGCAACAATTCACTCCAAGGTAGAGCCTCCAGCCATGACGTTTCCACAACTGCCGTCTCCCCTGCGTAGCAAGTCCCTACTCCGGAAAGCGAGTTTGGCGTCCACTCTGGACACCAGAAATGCATCTGTGAGCTCATCAGGACTTTCTGCATCGAGTTCTTCTATCAACATAACCCCAAGGGTGCGACGCCGGCGGCGAGCGGGAAGTATGGGTTCAGTGGCAGCTAGCTCCTTGAAGCAGAGCATCCGCGCCAACGATCCAAGACTAGCTGGCCATCGCAAGACGGACAGTAAGGGTAGTCTCCCTGCGCGTCCTCCTCTATTGCAGAGGAGAACAACAACAAGTATCTACTCCGACGCGTTAGAAGGGGGCGAAGAGATTGCTGGAAAGATCGGTCAGCCGAGGTCGTCGATTGCGCTTTCGAGTGCTTTGGAGTTTCCGTACTTCCCCCTGGATGGTGTCGAGCTGGATGTCTCTGATGTGCCCGAGCATCCGACAGAAGCACACAGCTGGAACACGGTGGACACGAATGCTTTGGTCTTCAACGACGTGTCGACAAAAATGTTTGACGAAGACTTTGTTCACACGAGCTTCCTCCTGAGCTTCGAACCGGGTATCCGGGCCCTTGTGACGCCAAATGCGGTCTCGACGGTAGTCAACTTGATAGACTCCCTCCAAGAAAAACACCCACAGGACATACTTGATACCTTCCAGGTCGACATAATGGGCAAAATTCTGGATTATCAAAAGCGAATCGATGGAATAGGCACCTCCACTGAACTCAGTTTGAGACTTCCTTCATTCCAGCTTCGCTTCATCAATAACATCATAACCGATGGGAACAAGACCGGTGCGCCAAGTAAGGATCAGTACGATCTGGTCCTAGACAGGTTGTCAGTCAGTCTGCGGCAGAAGAATTTCCCCACTGAAGCAGCGGTCAAAAACAGCACATTGGCAGTGCATACAGTGCTGAAGTCACTCACGGTTTCTGTAAGGGAGAAGCAGCCGAACGCAACTGTGAGCGATGTGGCTGTGCAAGCCATCCTGACTGACGTGCTACTTTGGTTGGTCACCGGCAAGACATTATCTGTCAATGTGTCTTTCAGAGGACTTGAGGTTGCGAATTCGAGCAAAAAGCTACAGTATCTCGCCTCCTTGATCCACCGCTCGACAATACTTGCGGATGAAATCGAAGCCAAATTTGCAGCCGTCGCCCCAAAGAGCAAGAGACGACTTTCCTACTTGGCGTATGCACTCACGACCGCAGGCCGAGAGGTCCCTGACCCATCTTTCATAACCAGACCATCCTATGCCTTGCGAGCAGCCAACAACCACCTTCGAAACCACGACTCGTGGAAGATCGTTTCACGTTTCCGATACATATATGATAACCTAGAGCCTAGCGTAAAGGACCAAGTCACTCAAACGTGCATCGAAGGATTATCCACCTGTCCAGAGGATGCCGAGGCGAAGGTTGTTGAGATATGGGACCAATGGCGTGAATGGGACCTGGCTCATGTGAGGAAGAGCCTCGCAATTCGCGCGATCTACGGCTCTGTCATGGACGAGGAGGCCGTGGAGGACAAGCCGTTGCCGGTCGACATTTCAGTCAAGACTGCTGGGATCCGAATTGTCATAGATCCTGGTCCGGAGCAAAGCGAAATACTCTTTCAGCTTTTGACTATCAATGCTACCCTGACACCGCCTCCAGAACCATCTGGCCTGATGCTGTTGGAGCAAGACAATCCCACCAAATCCACTATCGTGGAAGTCTCTACCCGGAACGTGCTTGTCAAGTTCAGCTGGGAAATTTGCGAGCTGGTCGAGAACGTTGTTACCCTATTCCAGACCCAAGGCCCACAGGCGAAGGCGAGCAAGCAGGAACCAGATCAGAAGCCCCCAGAGCCTCGAAGTAGCAATACCACAAAGCCTGAGGTTCACGACTTCCAATTTCTCTTTGGGACCGACAAGGGCAGTATCAGCCTTGACACGATCAATTTACGTCATGTCTCGTCCTCCCACGGGATGAAGATATCAGTTGCTGGCTCAGACAGGAAAGCAGCGGATGAGGGCATAAGCGTCAGCGCCCTAATCCATTCCGATGCTGCTGGTTCTGAACTACGATCACGCGGCAGACTCTTGATGAGGTCTCAGGTTGTCCGGCCCAGTATCTTCGTCTCCCACGACGACGACAAGTGGAGGCACCCCATGCCAGAGGGGTGGATGGTTGTTGGCAAATGCGAGGAGGTATCGTGGAAGGTTGAGGAAGACATCCTTGGCATCATCGAAGTGGCAAACTCGATCATCTGCGACGAGGTGGCTTACTTCGCACGGCAAGCGGAACGATTCAAGAAGCCTGCGCCTGAAGAGCCCGTGGTCAGTGCGACAAAGAAAGAGTCAAGCCTCCCGAACATCACCGTCGCTCTGCTGATGGATGCCTACCGTATTGATGTTGCTTTGCTTCAATCCTTGAGCTATGTCGTCTCGGGTCAGATGGGAAGAGTTTCGGCAGCACCTGTTCTTGGAGGAGACCCGACCTTGAACGTCAACTTCGATCTCGATCGTCACACCCATTACCTACGGAGCCACGACAAGCACGGCTGGCAAAACATAGCCGTCTTCCCTGTTCCGCTGCACAACGGGCACCTGCAACTGATGGATTCACCAGGCGGGCCAAAAATCCTCTTCAACAGCATCATGGAGACTTTCATCGTCGAGGCATCTGCGGTACACGGGCTGCTCTCCACGCTCCAAGAGCAGGAAGTCGAGAATGTCATGAAGACCATTGAGGGTGATATTAGGGTTTTGAAGAGCAACATCAAGGAAGCTTTGCCGAAGAGAGACACTGCTTCAATCTCTCCGGGATCGAGCGAGGAAGATCGTCCGGTGGCATTTGATGCAAGCTTCGTTATGACCGGCATGAGTGTAATTGCCCGGGCGCCGACAAAGCTCGCCGACTCCTCCGCTTCGACACTTGCATTCGAGCTCAACCGCATCCAAGGCAGGGCAAGCAACATCGCAGAAGACGGCTCTGTCCTTCCCATTCCGGAGTTTTCGGCTGTGCTTCCTCACATCAGCCTGTCCCTTGAGCTCTCGGATGGTGACGACATCAGACATTGCGGCAACCTTCTTTTCGGACTGGAATTCCGCGGAACGCTTCAAGGCAGCGCGTCTGACATGCCACGGCGAGACTATAGGGTCCGCAGCACAGGCCTCGAGATCAACGTATTTGCAGATACGGCTTCAGCCGCCGTTGAAGTCATGAACCACCTGCAAGAAAGAATCAAGGTTCTCGACCTCTCGAGGGAGAGGAGGTATCTACGCAAACTTCGCCAGCCTAGGCGGAGACCTTCCCATCTCGTCCCCGCAAGCAACGGCGAAGATGACGGCTCGCCAAGCATTGCATCCAGTGGACTGTTCACATCAGCGGCCTCACTCGAGCTCACCAATGTTCAAATCAGCTGGATCGTTGGAAACTCTGTTCCTGCATATCCGGGCCGTGAAATCGAAGACTTGGTCTTGTCCTTCAAGAGGATCGACCTCTCGACAAGAAGCGAGGAAACAGCCAGGCTTGCCATTGAGGACATGCAGCTGCAGATGGTCCCGTCAAGCCAGCCTAAAACGCAGCGCTCGCTCAACTCGGCACTTCTCCCTGAAGTTGTCTTCAACGTCTCGTATGCCTCTTCAAAGGCGGATCGTCGGTTCGCCTTTTATGCCGCAGGAAAGTCACTTGACCTCCTCCTCGAATCACGCTTCGTTCTGCCGGCGTCCATCTTGGAGAGGTCGATTTCTCTTGCAAGTCAAAAGGTCCAAACTGCGACTGCATCCTGGAAGACGGCTGCAACGCCGGATGAGACGCCACGCAAGAGTTTGTTTAACAACAAGAAACTGTCCTCGCTTATTGTTGACGCAGACTTTGCCGGCGCGGTCGTCACCCTCCAGGGCAAGCGTGAGCCGCCACGTACAACTTCTCGCCTGAACAACGGTCGCAGTTCGCAGTATGGACGGTATGGTCAGTTTGCCAGCGATGGGTCCAACACGAGCACAACACTCCGCGCTCCTGGCATATCCCTCAAGGTCGAATACAGGGATAACTCGCTTGATCCGTCACTCAATGCCGAAGTCAAGGTTAACGCTTCAAGCAACTCCCTGTATCCCACCGTGGTTCCTCTCATCATGGACATCTCCAACAGCATCAAGGAGGTCGTCCAGGACAAGGACAAGGACCAGAAGCCGACGAAAGCCCCTGAACCGAAGGTACCGCAGAAGTTCCTTGACGAGGAAAGCCTCATTACGGCGGACCCAAGTGCCCTTCTCGGGAAGACGCGGCTCAACATGGGCATTCGCATCTGCCAGCAAGAGTTCAGTCTCAGCTGCCAGCCAATCGCCCGGGTTGCAGCCACTGCGCGCTTCGAGGATATCTACCTCACGGTCAACAGCATCAAGTCGACGGAGCAAGGCCATTTCTTCGCTGTGTCTTCCACCTTTGACAATCTGCAAGCTTCGGTGCAACACGTCTACTCGAGGGAGTCCACCTTCAGCTTTGATGTGGACCGCATTGTACTCTCGGTGATGAACAGCAAGCACTTGAGCGGGACAAGCGGTATCTCGGCCATCCTCAAGATTAACCCCATGAGAACGCATATCAATGCAAGGCAGCTCCAGGACTTCTTGCTTTTCCGCGAGATTTGGGTGCCGCCAGAGGTCCGCCAGGCTTCAAAGGCCCCCAGTCCGACGCCTTCCGAGGAACCTCAAGAATATCTCGTGCAGAGATACCAACAGGTCGCTGCCGCTGCAGCGTTCCCCTGGAATGCGACCATTGCCATTGAGGAGATGGCTGTTGATCTCGACATGGGACAGGCGATCGGGAAGCCATCGTTCAAGATTGTCAACCTGTGGGCGTCTTCGAAGAAGACGTCAGACTGGGAGCAGAACCTCTGCTTTGGGATCAACCGGGTCGGCATAGAGAGCACAGGCAGAACAAGCGGGTTTGTCGAGCTGCTCGATTTCAAAGTCCGAACCTCCATCAGCTGGCCGTCCCAGAAAGAAGAAGCGCGAAGGACTCCGCTTATTCAAGCATCCATGGGCTTCGAGCGCTTGCGCGTAAAGGCCGCGTTCGACTACCAGCCGTTTGCCGTTGCTGATATCACATCCTTCGCCTTCCTGATGTACAATGTCAGGGGGATGGAGGGCAGCGCCCAGGACCGACTAGTGGCCACCCTCGAGGGCGACCGAGTGCAAGCGTTCATGACACCCATCAGCCCAGCCCAAGCCATAGCGCTCATGCAGGCGGTGGAGAGGCTGGTCCAAGAAAACCAGACGGCGTACCAGCAGTCGCTGAAGGACATCGAGAAGTTCCTGCGCCGAAGCTCGGCCAAGCAAAGGCGCACCAGCCTGGAAGAACCCGCATCGCAGAAGGCCGAGGTCGACGGCAACAAGCCGCTCGAGACGCCCATTTCCCTCCACACCGACGTCGTCGTCACCCTCAACTCCATCAGCGTCGGCGCCTTCCCCGCGACCTTCTCGGACCAGCAGATGCTGCTCCTCACGGCGTCGGACGTGCAAGCGCGCTTCGCCGTGTCGCTGGAAAACAGCACCATCCACAGCGGCCTCGGCATGACGCTCGGGCAGCTCAGCGTGGCGCTGGCGTCCATCGGGCACGCGTCCAAGGGCCCCCGGGCGGTCAGCGAGCTGACGGTCGAGGACGTGGTGGCGGGCGCGGCGACGGCGAAAGGCGGCACCATCCTGCGCGTGCCCAAGGTCATCGCGACGATGCAGACGTGGCAGGCGCCGGGCGGCAACGCCATCGACTACATCTTCAAGAGCTCCTTCGAGGGCAAGGTCGACGTCGGCTGGAACTACTCGCGCATCAGCTTCATCCGCAACATGTGGAACACGCACTCGCGCGCCCTCGCCAGCCGCCTCGGCAAGCCCCTGCCCGAGTCCGCCGTCAAGATCACGGCCGGCCCTGCCGCCGCCTCTGCCGCCGGCGCCGCCGAACAACAGCAGCCCGAAGCCTCTGCCGCAGCCGCAGTCAAGGCAGCGAGCGAAGAGAATACCGCGGCGGCGGGAGGAGACAAACACCACGGCGCCGAAACAGACAGGGGCAGCGGCAAGATCACGGCCGTCGTCAACGTGCCGCAGTCGCGGTACGAGTACACGCCGCTGGAGCCGCCAATCATCGAGACGCCGCAGCTGCGCGACATGGGCGAGGCGACGCCGCCGCTCGAGTGGATCGGCCTGCAGCGCGACCGCCTGCCCAACGTCACGCACCAGATCGTCATCGTGACGCTGTTGGAGATTGTCAAGGAGGTGGAGGATGCGTACGCGAGGATTTTGGGGTCGAGTTGAGAGGATGGATAGATGGACTGGAGGGAAGGGAGAGAGGGAGGGAAAGAGGGAAATAGGGATGGAACTTAACGTTGTGGGTGCATGTGTTGTTTGTTTTTTCTTCTGCTTGTCCATATTTTTACTTTCGCCTTTTTGTCACGAGTTGTAAAAGGAGTTTTTGGTTGTGCGCATAATAAGACGAACTGGATTTTCGGCGCGGCTGCTGCCTCATGTTATAATTCTGTACATAGTGATTATTATCGTTAGACTTTTTCAACGTAGCTGATAGCATGGAAGTTAGGGCCGTTCATTTAAGAAATAGCTTACCTACTGTTTGCAGTTGCGGATTTGTATCGACATTTAAATGGCATTAGCAGCACGAGGGAAATGGGTTCATATTCCACCCCGTAGGCCACCACTGAATAGCCGGCTAATTATGCGGTATTCGCCGGTTAATTATGCGGTGTTAGCCGGCTAATCCAGGGTGGTGGCCTACGGGTTGGAACAGTTCACAACAGATTATCAGAATTTGTCAATCCGAATGATTAAAACTGAAAAAGCGATCGTGAGACTAATTGAGAGGTGTGAAAAGACAAAAGCGATCGCAAGGAGTAAGCAAAAAGGAAAAAAAAGATGATGATGAGGACGAGACTCGAACTCGCGCGGGTTGCCCCACCAGGAAACTCGTTAAGCTTTAACCTTAACCTGGCGCCATAACCAACTCGGCCACCTCACCAATTCTTGGCAATCTTGAGTGGACTAGAATTCCACTGCGCGATGAATTAATTAGTTCACTGCTTGCTAATATATAGTTTAAAAAGAAAAGCATCGTGCATAAACCAGCCAGTAACCTGCACTACATGCGGCCTTCAACAGTTCAATGAGTGGGTCATTATTCCTTCCAATATTTGAGCGATACTTTTCCAAGTCCGGGCTTGGAGTCGATAGCGGTGGGTGGGGTGGAACTGGTACTTGACGGTTCGCGCGCAAGGTGGCCAACAATCAAACATCTTTGTTTGTCTTTGCTTGTTTCAACCCAACAAGCAAGCAAAGATAGAGGGCTATCATCTTTGCAAAGATCTTTGACTGTTTGGTTGGCGTGATCACGGACCACTATCGTGAGAATTTCCTTGGTGTTTTGCCCAGATTCGGTATAGATGACACCCCCACCTACCACCACCCCCTTCCTTTCCTTTATTCTATCTTCCCTCTCTCCTACCCTTTCCTCTTCCTTAAAGGGGGGTCGGGGTCGGGGGTTATCTATACCGAAACGGGGTAAAACACCAAGAAAATTCTCACGATAGTGGTCCGTGTATACGCCAACCAAACAGTCAAAGATCTTTGCAAACAAACAAAGATGCTGACCCTCTGCCTACCAAACAAGCAAAGATCGAGCCTCATCTTTGCTTTTCTTTGATTGTTGGCCACCTTGTTCGCGCGTTTTGGTCGTCGCTGGATGCCGGCGTTGTTCGGAAGCAGAAATCGGGTATTCTGGCGATGAATGTTGCAGTCGGTTGGAGAAGTGGGTATTTTGTATTTGAGGTACCAGAGAGGTCAGCCTTTTGCCATAGCGGAGAGCCTGGCAGTTTGTGAGGCGGGACGGGGTTGTTGTAGAGACTGCGCTGTAGTCAATGGTTATAGGCCGAGACTAAGTTGGGACATTGACGTACGTCCTATCTTGGGGGTTAAACTTGTCGTCCATCTCGCCCTTGGGGGTTGCGTTATTTCCGAAGTAGGTGGTACCAAGCGAGAAGACGAACATGGCTCCAATGTTGACAGCACACTTGTTCAAGTGGGGAGGTCATTGAGTATCAAACATTGTCTTTTACTTTGTCCCCGACTTCAACGTTCAACAATATTATCAAAAAATGAACCTCAGATTGACATGGGTACTACAGGAGTTAGCCGGACCAGCTCCCTCGCAATGCGACACAAAATAGACTGCAGACCACTACGACGAGCGAAACTCCCCCCATCCTCACCAATCCATCCCATCGGCACCACCCCCGGCCAAGATCTGCCTCGCCTTCGCCGGCCCTCCCAAGCCGTTCTCGAGATGGCTCTTCCGCTCCTCAACGCCGTCGACGACCTTCCGACCCCGGGCGCCCTTGGCACGCTCCAGCTTCCGATCGAGCTTGTCGAAAGGGCCAGCACCAGCCTCGTCGCGGCGCACCGTCCAGCGCTCGGTGCCGAGCAGGGCGTCGAGCTCGTCGACGGGCGGCAGGAGGACGTAGACCCAGCCGTCGTCGCGCTGCTCTGCGGCGAAAGTGGCGATGCTGACGGCGTCGTCGTTGGCGCACCGGCCCGCGCCGTCGCCGGCGAGCTCGTAGTTGCGCTTGTGGTAGGGGCAGCTGACCCACATCTTGTCCTTGGACAGGTCGTCGCCGACGAGGCCGTCGGCGAGGACGAAGGCGCGCTTGTGCGGGCACATGTTCTGGGTGCAGTAGAAGCGGCCCCGGACCTTGAAGACGGCGAGCTGGGTGCCGCCGCGCTTGACGGCGTGCGAGTCGCCGGCGGGGAGGTCGCGGAACCGGCTGGCCTCGAGCAGGGGCTGCCAGGCGAGGGCCCCGCGCCAGGGGTGGCGGCGGAAGTCGTGGGTGGCGCTGTCCTTGGGCCAGTAGGCGGGGCGGGTCTGCTCGCGCTCGACGACGGGCTCGACGGCGGGGGCGACGGTCTCGGGCGTGTTGGCGAACTGGGCGAAGAGGCGGCGGCGGGCGGCGTCCTTGACCACCTCGGTCCACTCGCAGAAGAAGGAGCCGACCAGGTCGGCCATCTGCCGCTCCAGGTCGGCGCAGATGCCCAGCTTGTCGTCCAGGACGACGGCGCGCAGGTAGGCGATGCCGCCGGGCAGGGCCTCGATCCAGCGGGCGGTGCGCTGCAGCTTGTCGGCGGTGCGGATGTAGAAGGCCAGGTAGCGGTCGAGGATGGGGACGACGTCGTCTGGCGGCACGTCCTTGGCCAGCAGCTCGGCGTGGCGCGGGCGGGCGCCGCCGTTGCCGCCGACGAAGAGGTTGAAGCCCTTCTCGGTGGCGATGAGGCCAAAGTCCTTGTTCTGGGCCTCGGCGCACTCGCGCACGCAGCCCGACACGCCGCCTTTGATCTTGTGCGGGGCGCGGATGCTCTTGTACCGCTCCTCCAGGCGCACCGCCATGCCCACGCTGTCGCCGATCCCGAACCGGCACCACGTCGTGCCCACGCAGCTCTTGACCGTGCGCAGCGACTTGGCGTACGCGTGCCCGCTCTCCATGCCGCCGTCGATCAGCTCCTCCCAGATGGCCACCAGGTCCTGCTTCTTGGCCCCGAACATGTCGATGCGCTGCCCGCCCGTGATCTTGCAGTACAGCCCGTACTTCTTGGCCACCGTGCCGATGATGACGAGCTTGTCTGCCGTGATCTCGCCGCCCGACACCCGCGGGATGACGGAAAAGGTGCCGTTGCGCTGTATGTTTGCCAGGAACTTGTCGTTGGTGTCCTGGAGACCGCGGAGGGGCCCGTCGACGATGTGCTTGTTGAACAGCGACGCGAGAATCGACCCGATTGTCGGCTTGCACGCTTCGCAGCCCACCGATGCCGCGTCTTTGCCGCATGCCGCCATGACTTTTCCGAACGAGTCGAGCTTCTTGACCGAGATGATGTTGAACAGGTCGGCGCGGGAGTACTCAAAGTGCGGGCAGAGGTGGTTCTTGACCTCCTGGCCCATCGACGCCATGGTCTTGTTGAAGATGGCTTGCACGAGCGGCATGCAACCACCGCAGCCGGTGCCCGCCTTGGTGCAGGACTTGACGTCGCCGATGCTCTTGCACGTGCCGTCTTTGACGCTCTCGACAACGCCCCCTTTTGTGACGTTGTGGCACGAGCATATCTGAGTGTCATCCTCACTGTCTCATGTGAGCTTTGGTACCATCGGCCGACGGCAGAGGCCACTTACAGATCTTCAGCACCATCGTCGTCGCCCTTCTTGGCCCCGACAATCAACTCGCCGGGCGCCATCTCGAGAGGCTTCTGATTCTTCACCATTGGGACCAGCTTCACGTAGTCCTTGGTGTCTCCGATCATCATACCCCCAAGCAGATACTTGCCATCCATCGTAAACAGGTATTTCTTGTATACCTGCTGAAACGGGTCCTTGTATGTGAGCGCCTTGACCTGGTCAACGACACCTGTTTTTTCCCCGCCGCCGCGACGAGCTGGGAGCTCCTTGGGGCCATCCCGATCAGCAAAGAAGTCGCCAAAACTCGCAACCTCGACCCCGAGGAGCTTGAGCTTGGTGCTCAGATCCGGCCGTTTGAATTTGCGTAGCGAGTGCGCTTTCGCCTGGGTGAGATTGAAAGCGAGCACGTCGGCCATCTCCACGCCCGGGGCGATGAGTCCGAAGGTCTGCTTTTCCCAACTGGCGCACTCTCCGATGGCGTATATGTCCGGGGCCGAGGTCTGAAGGTTGTTCCCGACGACGATGCCGCCGCCTCTGTCCGCACAGTTGATGCCCGCCTGGCGCGCCAGTTCGTCGCGGGCTTTGATACCAATCTGTGCCATGTCAGCATCGGAAACGATCCTCCTTTTGACTTCTCTCGCTTACCGCAAAGCATAAACACGAGCAATCCATCTCCTCCCCGTCCTCAAACCTGACGCCCCTGACCGAGTTATCCTCGTCGGTGAGAACCTCGCCCACCCGCCTACTCAGCAGCACATCGAGCCCCAGGGCCCGGACTTGGTCCACAACCATGCCGCCGGCATCGCCGTCCAACTGCCTAGACAACACCCATCGATTCCTCTCAATCAGCTTGACCTCTCCGAAATCCTCCAGATCCATCATTGCTTTGGCGGCCTCCAGCCCGAGGAGGCCGCCGCCCACGACGGCGCCCGTCGTTCCCTTCTTGGTGCTCGCGAACTTGATCAGCTGCTCCAAATCGTCGATGGTGCGATACACAAAGACGCCCTTCGCATCGTGGCCTGGCGTGTGCCGTGGAAGCAGGGCGTCTGAGCCGGTGGCGAGGACCAGGATGTCGTACGGCACCTTCTCGCCCGATGTCGTTGCGACGAGTTTTTCATCTTGTCTGATTTCGGTGACTTTTGCATTGACGTGGTAGCTTAGCGAGCCTTCGGGCATACTCGAGTACTGGACAAGATCAGCAATATGGCTCCTGCAGAGGTCGGAAAGGCACTCCACCCACCCATTCTTTTGGATTCAGGTACAAGTTCTCCACCTGCCTGTGTTGGAAGAAGCTCGTCAGGCCCACGCGGTTGTATGCCAGGTGCGGCTCCTCGCCGATGACTACGACGTCGTATTCGTGGCGTTTGACATCGTACTTGAGGAGCTTTTCTCTGTTTGCCTACGTTAATATGGACGAGAATTGAGAACCCCTACACAACGACAGACGCTTACATGAAGGCAATACCGACCATACCCAATCCGACGACCACAACTTTCTTCCTGGGCTCAAGGCCGTTTGGCTCGCTACTGCTCATTTTGGGGCAGGGATGGCGGCCCTCGCGGCGCCTCGATTGTCGATATTCAAACCTTTATCGCTTCCCTTTCTCTTGCGGCCACTGTCGCGCCCATGTACTTTGGTGGTTCGCTGACTGACTCCGTAGAGATGGGAGATGAGAGGCGTGGAACAGAGAGCGGGGTTGAAGAGCAAGCTTTGGGGTATTATTACCAAAACATCGCCTCACGCATGGGTTGCGGCGAAGGCGAGGGTGAGGAAACAATGCGGCCAAAGAGGACGAGCATAGCGCCACGCCTTATCCGTGTCCAATCCGCGCGAGCCATTTTGTCAAGAAGAGGATTGGACGGGCTGACACGCCGTCGCAAGGTGATTGGCGGCGCGAGGCTGGGCGCTGCAGCAGCGCGCCCTTTCTCCGCGCAGCCATGGCGGATGAAAACATTGTGCAGTTGCTGATATGACAGCGTTGCTCCTCGGAGAAAGTAGTAGCACACAACGGCCATGATTGTTGTTCTAGAGCGCCACCAGTTGGCCGAAGATAAGGCCCTCCCAGGCTCCGGGCTAGACTGGTTCCGGCAAGGCTTCCATGCTATGCTCGTCCTCTCGCCAGCTTTGGATGCCCCACGATGCCCTTATCGTCCAGGGACCATCTGCGCGCGCCCCCTGTCTGGTAGACGAGCAATAAGCTAGATGCTCTCGGAGATCTTCTCCGGGGAAGTACTACTTCGACATGTGGGGTGAGTGATGTCAAGTACCTCCGAGGCCTTTGGCTTGCCGTCCGGCTTCACTCGCTGCAGCGTCTGTGACTTCAGACTGAGCTGAGCCGAAGCGGCCGGCGACGAAGTTCGCATGCTGTGCGCGTGTACTATTCCAATTTCACATGTGAAAACAAAATGCGGCCAAGAGAGGCATGTCAGAGTCTCGCCATGCTACTCTTGCCCACCGGATTGAAACGTGACTAGAAGAACAACAAGTCCTCATCCTTCCATCCAATCTCGCTGAGAGCCGCATGTGCGCTCTTCTCTAGCGCCTCCGGCCCGCAAATCAGCACCATACTATCCTCTCCCAGCGGCGCATACTCCTTTAGCAACGGCGCCGCAATCCGGCCCTTGAGCCCCGTCCAGTCGTCCGGCGCCTGCGTCAGCGTGTACAGCAGCTTGCATCTTTCCTCGTTGCTCAGCGCGAAGCCGTCCAGCTCCGCCTTGCATAGTATGTCCTCGACCAGCCTGTTGCCGTCCAGCACCGTGCACACCGTCGGGTCCTCCAGGTCCTGCATCACCGCCCGCAGCACCTGGTAGATGGGCGTGATGCCGCTGCCGCCGGCAATCATGACGAAGCGCTTGACAGACCGCTGCGCGCCCTTGACCCTGCACCACCCGCGCCCGAGGTACTCGAACTTTCCGATCGGCCCCTTGAAGTCGACCGAGCGGCCGAGGGGAAGCGAGTCCAGCGCCACCGTCATCTTGCCGCCTTTGCGCTCCTTGGTGTCGAAGTATACCTTGACGAGGATGTCCACGGACCCAGGCCGGCTGGTCTCTGAGATGGGCGTGTACGACCGGATGATGGGTTCGCCCGTTACTGCGTCTCGCAACCGCAACATCAAGTGCTGGCCGGTCGGGAGCCCAAGCCTTTGTCCTTCGTGCTCCAGCTTGAACGTGAATATGCGTGTATCCCACGAGACCGACTCCTTGCTATGGAGGATCGCCTTGGTCCATGTTCGAGAATCAAGGAAAACCTCACGAGGCTCCGTCGTCTCGGCCTTGACTTCTCCTTCGCTAAGGATGCGTTTGGCTGCTTCATCCAAAGTCCCGATATGGTAGTCTGGCATCATTGCCTTTGCCGTCTCGCTGTCTGGTACTTGTTAGAAGCTGTCTGTGCTTTCGAGGAGTGGGTGAACTTACGGATAGCCATGAACTCGTCTGTAGCGTCCAACGCTGCTGCTGACACGATGCTCTGTGCACCGCCCGGATGCCCCTGAAGAAAGGCAGTTCCGTCGTACACCTCGTCCTTGAGCACAAACCAAGGCTCCTGCTCTGTGCCATGTTTTCGCAATTCATCAATCGTAATCATCCTCTTGACCCTATCGTTGGTCATCCTGATCTCAGCGGCTTGCTCGCTCGATGGCGCCTCTGGCTCCTGCCCTCCAATTCTTTCGCCCCAAAATCCATTCGAGAGGTTGCCGCCGGCCTTCTTCACACGTTCCATCCAGCCACCGGGCATCAATGCGGGCTGTGTCGGATGTTCGAAGCGAAGACAGTCGTTCTCGTGGTTGATGACGATTCGGTACCATGGATTGTTCATCATGCCCAACACGGACCAATACATGTCCCTCGGCTGAAGGTTCATGCTCTCGTCCATCGCCCGAACAATTATGTCGTTGGCTCGCCTCAACTCGCTTACCGGAACGTCAATGTCCCAAAAGCACCAGCAGAAGCAGCTCTCGCGCCAGTCCACGTCCAGCGTTCCACCGAAGAGATCTTGCGGATTGGCCTCGCGGTAACGGTCCTCGCCGTAGTTGATTTTTGAAAGCCCCCAAGTTTTTCCCTGGTCGAGTGATACTTCGACCCTGGTTACACGACGGCCTCCACCGCCGTAGGCATACCCTCTGACATGATACCTTTCGGGGCCGCTAACGACCGACAGTCGTTCCTCATGGGCCGGGTAAGCTATTGCAGAGTTTGTGCTGAGGTCATAGATGGCATAGCGCTCGTCCTTCCACCAGCTCGGATCGTTCGCAGCGTCGTCGGGAGATACCATGGTCGGCAGGACCCTGTTGTCGTTGATATGATACCAGTTGTCGCTCGGCTCTGCAGTGACGATAAGTTTCTTCAGCCACTTGACGCTCCTACCTCCAATCTGGCCCGGGATGACGCAACGCAGAGGTTTTCCGTGGTCTGGCGTGAGCATCTCTCCGTTCATCTTGTGGGCGAGCATCATCCCTCGGTTGGGATCCATGGCCCAGTTGAGCTTGACGGAGGTACCGTAATAGCCATTGGGTAGCTTGTCCGCACCTTCCATGCAGACGTATTTTGCCCTCCGCAACGGCCGTGCTCTTTTCAAAACATCGCCCATCACCACTCCTGTCCACAGCGCCGTCGACACGCCTGCTGCTCCCCAGGAAAAGCCCTTCGTCTTGCGCACCACGTTCTGCTCCTTGCGCCTGTTGCCAGCGCAGACAAGCGTGATGGGGTAGGTGACGTTGTCGTAGCCGGAGAGGAGTTCCTTGAACGTTATTCTCAGAGGCTTCTCCACCAAGCCCTCCACAGTAAACTCCCAATCCGGAATTTCCTCATCTCTGACCTCGGGCACCGCCCCGTGGTTCCTGACGTAAAAAAGCTCCGGGCTCGTCAAGAACCCCTCGTCATACAAATCAGAAAGCGGGGCCTCGGTGTTGAAAGGATGCACGCCCGTCAGTCGTATTAATCTGGGATCGCGCGGGACGTGTGCGTCAGGCGTCTTCTTGTCCACCTCAAGAACCTGAACGGCTGTTCGCGGCGGCGGTAGGGGGAATTCGACGGGGTCTGGGGACCATGCCTCGCCGTAAATTGTCTCTGGGGGAGAGGGTGGCAATATTCCGCCGACAAGCTTTTTCTGCGGGGGTTGAACGGCCATTATGCTCGCTGCCGCCGGGAGGGAGTCACCAGAATTTCAAAGGAACAAGCGAAAGCAAAGCAACACTGTGAGGTCAAAAGAGACGATGGAACACAGAGAGAGTAGAGGAAACGGATTTTTGTCATCAGGCCAACGGGAAGCCGGAGAAAGTGCGGACAGGCAATGAACATAGTGCCACCGCCGAAACCCCTGCACCGGCGGCGAGTGGCATGAGAATCAGGAACGTAGATGGGTTTTGTCACACGTTTGACACCACCACGGCGAGGGCAGCATGGTTCCGGGGAGAAAGCAGATGGCAGGGCGGAGGCGATGCGGAGAGGGAGATCAGCTGGGCCCGCGGAAGTGGCTGACGGAAGGCTAAATGGGCCCTTTTCTGCGTGCGAGCTTCTTATCTCTGGCGACGGCGCCCTCAGCAGCGACCAATCGCCGGGTGTCTTGTCACCGTCGTCAGCCCTGCAAATCGGAAAGCCACCGGCTGTTGTGTTGCGCCCATCGCCCATCGCCCATCGCCCATCGCCCGTCGCTCATCGCCCCGCATCAGTGCCTGCCGTCTGTTTGGATGTCCATCTCGTCGACCCGGTGCACGCGATCTGTCCTTGTTCGCTCACCACGGCGCCAAGCCGCGGCGGGCGTGGCGGTCAAAGGGAAAGCCGTTCGCGGAGCCGCTAGTTCAGCGACGGACGCCTGGTGGCGGGACGGTAACGGCGAAGAGGCTGCGCGGGTGCGCGGGCGCTGCGGAGTGCAGCAAGAAGCGGACTGGAACTCGCTGACGGCAGCTGGCGTAGCGCCCACGGCCAAGTGACGCGCCTCTTCCGTGCCGCATTGTTGTCGTGGGCGGCAGAAGATGTTGGTGTTCGGTAGAGGCGGCGTTGAGTGGTGGACGAGCGACGGGCTTGGCGAGAAGTAAGGTCGGCGTGCTGCTGACAGCTCCACACAGCCTCCTCGGTGGATTCTCTTGCAAGCCATTGATCTGCAATGGCACGCATCTCAATGGGCCGGCCGCTGAGCGTCGCCGTGTCCCAGGCGTCCCCGCTCGCCTCACCGACAGTCCGGGCGCATCACGAGAGCCAGGGCTAAGGGCGACGCGTCTCCCCCCAACTCGACCGAAGTTTGCACCAACGCTCACCGACATGCACACAATGACAGCTTCTCGAAGGCCCCGAAATAGAAACGAAAACATTGCCAATATTTCCTCCACGTTTGACTCTCGACTTAGCGTCGCGGCGGCCAGCCCGATGCGGCAACTTCCAGTATTGCCAAGCCCACGTGTGTCCTTTATGTCGCAAGCCGTCTTCAACACCATCGACATCCGTCGGTTCCGGCGAGCGTTGTGCGGTTGGAGGGGCGGCGTTGTTGTGGGCGGCGCGCGTGCTGGCGGCGCTAGGCGCGGGTTCCCAATAGTGCCATCCCAAGCGAGTCTATTGCTTTAATCCCGTTTTGTTACGTCTCACCAATGTGCTTATAGACACGTTCAGTATAGCTGCCGTCGCCGCGAGCGCTGGCTCTATTGCATTCCCGCCACCATCTTGCAGTAGTCTGTTACCAAAGGCATGGAGATAGAATCCACCGCTGACCCGCTGCAGGCACTTCCATAGCCACCTCTACCGTCTTTGTCCAGATATCGCCGGAAAGAAAAGAAAGAGAAAAAAAAACCCCGTCAGTCCCAAATCAATCCAGATGGCCGTGCACCGCTCTTCAAGAGATCTTCTTCTCGAACGAAGCTGGTCATACCGTATCGCCTTTTCCATGCCTTTCCTTCAACCTTCAAACACGCAGAGTCGCACCACCACGTGCATGTGAGAAGAGAATCGACGGGCGCCCTCACTCGGCAATGTCCTCGAAGGGGTTGACCGGAGGCTGGGCCCTGGCAGCCTCCATCTTCTGGAACTGCTTCTGCAGAACGGTGACGGAGAACTTCTCTGCGCTACCGAGCTCCTGCATCCTCTGAGCAATCTGTTCCCACTTCTCCTGCTCCTGCTTCTGCTCGACAAACGCCTTGGCCGTGAGCAGGAGCTGCTGGTCAGTTTCGCTCATGGTCGTGATGTTGGCGCGAAGACGGGCATAGCGGTTGGGGAGCGTCGACTTGGCCGGCTCGATGCCCGTGATGACCTTCCACGCTTCGCCAATCTCCTTCCAGGACTTGCCCTGGTCCTTCATGTTGAGGAGCAGGCGATCTTCAGAAGAGAGTTGGTCCACCGACGTCGCGATGGTGCGACCGGAGCTCTGGGAATCGACGTCTGTCAGACCACGTCCTTCATGTCCAGGAAGTGCGAACGGGTGGCACTCACCGGCGTCTTGACGGGAGCCTTGCGTTGACGGGCAGGCGTAGAGCTCTTGGGGGACGCCCTTCCCTTCGTCTTCTTCACCGTGGACCCTTCATCGGCGGACTCGGTGGCAGCGCGCTTGGCTGAGGGAGGCGTGTTGGGAGTTACAGTAACCGGCGTTCCGGCGCGACCCTCTCCAGGCTCGAGAGCCGTCTGGTGGTCCACATCTTCAGTCTTGATCTCAACCTTGATACCAGCAGCCTGCCAAATTAGTGGCAAGTGAAGCAAAGCTGGGATCTTGGGCCATGGAACTTACCTGAGTGTCGGCATCCATGGTGTCGGCGGGAACGTCGCTTAGGGGAGTGGAGCGGTTGGACATGTTGGAGTAACTTGTGGAGCAAGCGTTGAGTGAGTTGAGCAAGTCTGAAGACGGTGGCGGGGAGCGCGCGAGCAAGATATTTAGGCACTCTGGAGACCGAGAGTCCAGCATCGCTCACGTGCTGGAGATTGTTTACTCGCCCGTTGACTGGAAGCGGCAGGCACGTGGGAGCATGGCCCAACTCGTTCCAACTTCCCCACCACAAGCCGCACGTGGATGGACACACCTCGATCACCAGGCCTCTGGTCCACTGAACGAGGAATCAACACATGTTTCGCCACATATCCGTCAACAGCGGTTTCCAGCACAAACCAGAAGAACAACGAGCAGGGCCGGGAATGTCTCAACGTTTGGACGGGATAACATCATGATTGACTTGCCCATGTGGCCTATTTCGAAAGCTAAGTCCCGTGCTGAGCTGGCTGTTAATTGAAAAGGTGAGGGAGTCACTTGCTGGACGAAGTGACATGACGTACGTCACATGGAATACCGACACTGCTTGAATTCGCTGCTGACAAGCTTGAGGCTCGAGCCAGGGCCCACCGGAGCATATCTTGCAGGTGCTCGACCGTGGCTCAGAGGAAGAACAATGTCAACTAAGCCCACTGAAGGTATCATCAACGCCGAAGCCCGATGGGGGCCACCGTTGCACGTGCATTACTGCCAACACCCAAACGGCGGCCAAGGGAATGGACTTGGATATGCACATGGGACATCAGACGAGAGCTGATGATTCTTTTTTTTTTTTCTGAAACGAAGATATCCGCATCCATGAATGAGACGCTTGTTCGTCGTGAAGCGATGACGAGGGTCATGCAGTTTGCCCCAGCCAGTGATCGGAAAGCTGCGTCGAACAAACCGAGCGAATGCCTCTCACAAACAATTTCGCCTGGTGCCTCCATAATGAACTGGAATCTTCCCGCAACTGCTGCACATGTCCGTAACAACCAATCTTGACTCGCAGCAAGTCCCCCAACTGCTGCCTCGCTCTACCCCGCACTCACTCACTCTGCTGCCTCAGCCTTGCGTTACCATCGATCAAGACTTCAAATGACCTATCCACTATGGTTTGTATGTACATACGTCCCAAGGCTTGACGGTCCTTTCGAACCTAGACTCATCAGCATCGAGCCGACTCTTTTAGATTGCACAACGTCATATATCAGTGTCCTTCGCTGCCGTGTCCCGAAACGACGTGATACGCAAATTCAGTTTTTTTTTTCTGGTTTCAACTGCCTAAACTTCAGCCTTCCTGCGGGTTAGCGGCAGTCTGACCGCCAAGAACGGTCAGCAGCCCCCAGCTGTCCGACCGGTGACCTGGAAGCGGACGGCCTCAGTGTCAGTGAGGACCGGGGCTTGCGCGATCTCGCAGCTGACGGCGCACGGGTAAGGAATCCTTCACGGGAATCTTTTGTTTCTCTTTTTCTTTTCCTTCCGCCTAGTCCACCCTCAGCAATACACAGCCTTGCAATCTGACTGCACTCTTCTGCAACATTGTTCTCCCCGTAACGATGGCCATGACTTGAAAGAAACGCACTTCCCATCTACTTCGACCCCTACATCTCGCGCAGAAAGTCTGTTACACGAAGACGCCTGGGTGCATTTCCTCCGTACCGCAGAGGCCCAAGCAGCGCCGGGACACAGGCTTACAGGATACGATTTAAACCTGCCTGCTCTCTTTCTGCCAGGAAGACCAAAGCCATCAAAGGAGCTCCATAGAACCCGAGCGAGCTTGACACCTCATTCAAGAGTCCTCGCTCTCGACGTAATCACCTCGAGCCTCGCCTTCACCTGCCAGAGAGAGCAGGTGACTCCAAAAAAAAAAAAAAAAAAACACCGCAATGGACCGCCACGAGCTCACCCTCCACCACTCGCACCGCGACGTGACCGTCCTCTGCGGCACGCGCCGCGCCGCCATCTCCGCGCGCCTCATGCGCGCCTACCTCCCCGCAGCCGTGCTCTCCTCCTCTGCCCTCCTCAACCGCCGCAACCAGCTCGACCTAGACGACCACATCGCCGACTGCGCGCCCGTCCGCCACGGCATGCTGCGGCCGGGCAAGATGCAGCGCATCTACTCGGAGCTCGTCGACATCCTCGCCGACGCCAGCGAGACCACCACCGCCGCCAACAGCAGCAGCAACGCCGCCGCCGCAGATGCCGTCTCGGCGGCCCTGACAGACGCCCTCGCCCGCGCGCAGCTCGAAGACCGCCGCACGGCTTCTGTTGCTGCTGCTGCTGCCGCCAGCAAGCCGGGAGCCACAACAACCGGGCACCAACGCTACCGCGGCAGCAGCGTGGTACCAGCTGTGCGGCACCCGCGCACGCTCTCCGCCTTCCTCGCCCTCGCCGACCTCTCCCGCACCTTCGGCTCGCGCCGCCTCGGCGCCGTGCTGACCGCGTTCTTCGCGCGGCACGGCGAGCGCGTCGTCGGCAGCGTCGCCGATCCGTCGGACGACATCGACTATGGCGGCGACGACTACGACGACGACGACGACATCGACGACGATTGGTACGACTTCGACGACGTTGACGGCAGCGGGGACTTTGCCGGCTTCGATAGTAGTAGCAGGTACGTCGTCGATCGGCGCCGGCGACATCGTGGCCGGGGACAGCCAGGTACCAGTGGGGAACAGCTGCTGGAGCACCCGCACGCCGTGCTGCTGTGGGCCTGGAGCCTGGCCGTCGCGCGCGTGGGCTCCGAGGCCGACCGCCGCGCCTGCCTGCGCGGCTTGGTGCGCGCGCGGCCGGACGTGTTGCTGAGTGGGCGCTATGACGGCTTTGCTGCGGCGGCGCTGCCCGAGGGGGATGCGGAGGAGGTGTGGGGGGCGGTGGAGAAGGCCATGGAATGGGGAGGAGGAGGTGGTGTGCGGCCGCCGTTGGGATGGCGACAGCAGCAGCAACAGCAGCAACGTCGGCGGTTCGATGGGTTTTTTGAGGGGGGCCGCGGGAGGGATAGGGAGAGGGATCTGCTGCAGGAGCGGAGAAGGGCGCTGTTGGACGATGCGGCGGCGGCGGCAGCAGCAGCAGGGGGAGGCGGTGGCATGTACATGCACGAACACTGCGAGCGTCGCGTTGTAAGGTCTTCGGGTCTTGCCGGCGACGGTGGTGATCAAAGGCCGCCGCCGCCGCCGCTGGGCCTGGAGACGTACAACCACCGCGGGCATCGCTTCATCGATCCGGATGACCGGATTGCGTGGAGGCCTCGACCGCGTGGCTGCGGCGGTGTCGATGGAGCCGGGCGGCTGAGAGGCGCGCTGGATTCGATCAGGACGGATCAGCGCGAGCTGCGCCTGGATATGCATGACGTGAAGGACGAGTTGGATGAGCTCCTCGAGCAAGTAAGCAAACTCGGACGTCGAGACGGGACGAGGCCGCGAAAAGGTCGGACGGATTGGCAGGATAGGAATATCGTTGACTGCTGCTGCGAGCACTTGCCGGAAGAGCATGAATCTGAGTGGGTTTCGGAATGGTGGGATGATTATTATTAAGCTCTCGTATCTTCATTTTTGTAGAAGAGGATTTGTCAAGAAACCGCATTGTTCCTGACTTAGCAATATGTGCGGATGAACGCGGTTTTCTTTCCTTTCTCCTGGGATGCGTAGGCTTTGGTCAGCTTTGATAGATCCCGTTCAAGATTCTCTGAAATCAAATATGAAGGAATGCATAAGGAACCACTTAAATATCCTGCAAACCATTTAGCCAGTCCATGCTCGAGTTGGTATTTCACCAGGTAATTAACTGTTTGTACAAAGGATGACCAATAATCCTCACAGCTTTGAAGCACAACCAAACCTCGAACTCATTTCTCTCCAAACGCCTTACGCCGTAGGGATAGAAGACACCCCTAGTGAGACAGCCGGTCCAGATGGTTTCCCCACCCCCACCACCCGAAGAAGACCCCGAAAACGCCGCGCTAATCTGTGTCCAACAGCGAGTTGAGCTCGCGCCACCACATCTCATCCATCCAACACTCATCTCCTCCTTAAATTTTTCCTACGGCACTTCTCACATCTCCTCGCACGCTCGCACGCTCTCACGCTAGAAAGGCTTTCTCTCACTTCAAAAACCTCAGGACGAGATAGCAAAACGCGAAGAAGACGACGACGCCGGCCCAGAAGATCCACTTGTCCTGCTTGGCGCGGCGCTCGACCATGCGGATGGTGTCGCCGCTGATGCCCAGCGTGTTGGCGACGCTGTACAGCTTGCGCTGGGTGCCCTTGAGCATCTCGCGCTGGTCGCCCAGGTCGCCGAGCACGGCGCGGCCGCGCTCCAGGAACTCGTCCAGCTGCGCGTTCGTCTGCGACATGAACGACTGCTCGCGGAACGCGTGCGCCTCGCGCGTGTAGTCCGACGGCGCCGCGCCCAGCGCCGACGGCCCGCCGTTGCCGGTGCCCGGGCGCGGGGCCCACGGCGAGTTTGCGGAGGTCGAGGCCGAGGCGTAGGGGTTCTCGGGGGTGGCGGCGTGGTGCGGTCGGCGGCCGAGGAGCTCGGCGCGGCTTTGTACTTGTTGCTGATGGGGGGGAATGGCATGGTTAGTTTATACTGCCCTGGGGGCGGGTGGACGTCGAGGGATGAAAGGGAGCTGGAGCTGCTTACTCGTTCATCGTTTTCGGATTTTAGCCGGTTGAATTGGTCGCGATAGTCGGTCAGCTCGCCGCGGAAATTCTTGATGCGCTCGTATGCCTTTTCTTGCTTCGTAGCGACTATTTCCTGCTTGGCCAGGCGGTTGTAGTCATCGATGGTACGGCTGAAGGAAGTAAGGGAGGCGTTGATCTGCCCTGCGCGTTGGTTTTAGCCTCTGGTGGAGGCGGGGGGTGGTCTATCACACACTCACCGAGCAGGGCGGGCGAGAGGGTGGTGCTCTCGGCGAAAGCATCGAGATCCTTGCGTATGGAGGTAGACTGCCGCAGGGCGGAGTTGAAGAGGGAGTTCTGCGGAGGGTGTGAGAATCAAGACAGCCAATGTGGGAGGAGAGCTACGGACCATGCTTGCGCGATAGCACCAAGGTGTCTGCGGAGGCTTCAGGCGAGAATTCAAAGAGAGCCGGCTGGTTGGACTTTTGGCTACGTGTATGCAGAGGCGCGGAGCGCATTCACGACATCCGACGTGTGTTCTGCCGCATGCTACCGCCTTGGCTGATCGGCGGCCGCTTAGCGCCGCCACGCACGGTCCAATAGCGAGCTGCTACCAGCTAGCCCCTCCACAACGAGTCCCACACCACAACCACAATGCGCAAGACTTACGAGACTGGCATTGCACGAGGCTGCAACAGAGCCAACACTGAACCTCACGAAACTGGCTGCGAAACACGCTGTTCCGTACGGGAGGCTCCCGCCCTGCTCCGGTCGGCCACTGCTGGCCGGTCCAACGCCGTCACTCGCTTCACCACACACATCAATCTTCTCCGGCGCTCAAGTCTCGGTGCTTGTTGCTCTATACGGGATCTTATCAGCTGCCTCGAGACGCCAAACTAATTAAGCCTGCACAACGAGCGTTATCTATCACGCCCCGCGACGGTCAATGCCGTGCCTTGGCGTGCACATACAAGCGCTGGGCGGTACTTCTTGCTCTGCACTTGGCCAATGGATTTTGTCGAGGTACGATGCGTAGTAGCAATCCATCCAATATCACATTTACCCCGCATACTGCCACGATGCACTGGCGGGGACCTGTTCCTCTGACCGAGAAATCAAAATGCCGTCATGCTTTCCCGCTACTACGCGATACCGACCTTCCTTATCTGGCAATGAACGGCCCTGCAGATGATGCTTGGCCGGCGGTTTGACAACCCAATCTCCAGGCCCGATACCGTTCCTGAGCAGAGTGCCAAGCCATGAGCTCATCAATTGACAAACTTTGAGGGGTGGACTCTAAAGTCCAGCTTCTTGCGGAAGTTGTCAAGATAAAGCTTGTCCGCTGTCGGGAGATATCGCCCCGGTTCCGTACGTCCAGTCGAGAAGTATAAAAGACGTTCTCTGTGCATTCGTATCCCAGGTGGGCCATCATGTTGCTCGCTCACGCCGCTACCTTCACACTCATTGCATCGACTTTAGCTCAACACTTACCTCTTCCCCGGGACCAATCAGTCTCCGCTGCTGCAAATGTGTCAGACTACGCTTCCTGTGCTGCCGCGTCCTGGCCGGCATCGGCTCTCGGCACGGAGATAATACCGCAGGCTCCGGATGACGAGTTGCGGACTATGCTCGATGAAGTGGACCCGGCAAACATTGAGGCCACGATCTTGAAGCTGGTTTCCTTCGGCACGCGGCACACCCTTTCTACCCAAAACTCAACCGACCGCGGAATTGGCGCTGCAAGGGATTGGATTGCCTCGGAGATGCGAAAGTATGCTGCGACGTCTGAAGGAAGGATGACAGTGGAAGTCCCCAGCTACGTTCAGCCCGTGGCAAATCGCATACCTTTTCCAGTGAGGATCAGCAATGTCGTGGCGCGCATTGAGGGTTCGTCTGATCCCTCTCGAGTCTATGTCATTTCCGGACACTACGACTCGAGAGTGACGGACGTCTTGAACTACGAATCGGATGCTCCCGGAGCAAACGATGATGCGTCAGGGGTAGCAGGTGGGTTGCAATGGATGATCCATGTACACTGTATTCCGGCGTTGGAAGCTTACACAAACTTTAGTGGTCATGGAACTCGCTCGCGTCCTAGCGACCCGTCAGCCGAGGGCTACAATACTCTTCAGTGCAGTTGCAGGAGAAGAGCAAGGCCTTTACGGTGCCAGCTTCCTCGCCCAGTCACTAAGAAACGCCAGCGTCAACGTGGAGGGGATGCTGAACAACGACATTGTCGGTAGTTCTACTGGAGACCGAGGCCAGAAAGACCCGTTCACCATTCGCCTGTTCGCTCAAGGGCCACCTCCATCGGAGAGTGATGGCGTCGCGTCCACGCGGCTCAGCATTGGCGGGGAGAATGACTCTCCTGCTCGAGAGCTTGGCCGGTTCGTGTCCGAGGTTTCATCGAATGATGGCACCGGGATGAGAGTTGCCTTGGTGTACCGGCTCGACCGCTATCTCCGAGGCGGAGATCAGACGCCGTTTCTGCAGCAAGGCTACCCAGCTGTGCGCTTCACAGAACCCAACGAGAACTTCGATCATCAACACCAGGATATCCGCATCGAGAATGGCACGCAGTTTGGAGACCTTCCGGAGTTTGTTGACTACGACTTTGCGTCGCGTGTAGGCAAAGTAAACCTTGCCGCGTTGTGGTCTTTGTCGCAGGCACCGGGTATGCCGCGGAATGTAACGGTGGATACGTCGACGTTGGGCAATGAGAGCCAGTTCTCGTGGGAGCAGGTCGACGATTCGGAGCTGGCAGGCTATGAGGTGGTCTACAGGTCAACAGCAGCTCCTCTCTGGACTCATGCGTACGGTGTTGGAAATAGTGGCGCAGCGACACTGGACTTGAGCAAGGACAATGTGATATTCGGGATCAGGTCGGTTGGGAAGAACGGATACAGGAGCCCGGCTGTGTTCCCATTTCCTGGTTGATGAGCAGGACGTCTCGTTCGACTTGTGGCGTAGGGGTATACTGAATGGGGAGCCAGAGAGTCATCAGGAACAGAATTCCAGGCATGCTTCGAAATGCCCGATGTGCTTGGCAACCATGATTGAGATGTTGCCATTGAGAGTTCTGTGGAGCAGGGAACGGGCCATTTGTAAGCATGGTGACGAAGAAGGCGATGATGGCCGGGGTCGGAGGGCTTGCGCGCTTCAGAAAATCAAAGGGCTTGCGTGTGGCTTGCGGCCGACTCCACAGCCTTCACACCGCCCGCCCCAGTGCTCTATAGCCTGCTCCACATAGAGTCATAACTTGTCATCCGAAGGGTGTGCCAAGCCTCTCTTTTTTTTCCACTGTGGTTTGCTTGCGTACGATACCCGATGGAGTCGCAATTGCCAGCCGGGTGGTTTGGCAATAATAATGCCAAAGTCGCACGAATGGCGCAAATGGCAGAATCTACTACGTAGAGCGGCGCAGAAGTGCTGACGGGCACGGCCCAGCGCCTTCCCGGTCGTGGACACCGTCATAGTGTGGTTGCGGGGATGTGGAGAAAGTGATGCCCGCGTCCACGGTGAGTTTTGCGGTGCCGGCGGGCCGCGACTTCTTTGTGGGCTGACTCAACTCGCCCGCGCTAGCTAGGCAGGACGGCGCACCAATCCGACCACCACGACACTTCCCGGTGACCAGCGCCAGTCCATCGCTGCCGCCTAAACTGACGCCCCCCATTGCAGCTCTTTGCAAGCCACCGCGTCTTCCCGTGCCGGCCGCGGTGACTCAGACCGCGTGCACACGTCGCCTGCCGCCAGTTCCCTCTGTCAAGCCCTGCTCACTTCGCTTGGCTGCATCCGGCGCCATACCGAGCATGGCACCGGCAGCTCAAGGATCCAATTCCGCCTCGCACATGGCGCTCGAACACCGACTCCGTGCCCATCATCGCCGCAATGCCCGATCCGACGCCGGTCCCTAGCCAACACGCACTAAACTCCGACGTGCGTGTGATGCTCCAACATGCAAACCTGCCTGGTGCTGCCTCAGCTATGACTGTTTGCAGCCTGATCTTTCTGACATATAAGACCGTGCTGTCTGCCTGATTCCTTCCAGTCACCCAGATCAAACATCAATCCATCAGGCTCGCTACCGTCTCCACTCATCGACATCATCATCATCATCGTCACGTTTGAGCTCTACAATTCCGAGCATTCACCACCCAGAAAATCGGATTCCAAGAACCACCCTATCCGATCCCGAGCCTTCCACAAAAAGCCTTCGTCGACCACTCAACATGTCCAAGCCCAGTGATTCCACCTCTTCCTCAGACACCGCCTCCGTCATGAGCAGCTCCACCACCAAATCGACAACCAGCTTGCTCAAGAAGGTCTTCAATCGGGATTCTTCCGCTAAGCCGAAGACCGACGAGCAGCTTGCCGCGGAGCAGAGGGACCGCGAGCAAAAGTCCACTTACCTCACTGCCGCTGCCACCTACATGTCGCTTCGCTAGCCACGCAGAAGATCCCTCAGCCTGCCTGACTAAAGACAAATCCGTTCTGATTTTGTATTCACTTATCCCTCTGCCATGTCCAGAAGGCTCAGCCCTCTTGTGGTCTGAAGGTTTCTTTTTCTTTTTCGCAAATTGTACTACCTAAACTATCTGCCTCGGCGTTGGGGCTTGGGTCGACGGTCAAAGAACGCATCTTGTATATAGACCATTGCATCATCCACAAAGCCAGTTTTCTACCGCTTCAAACCTCGACATCGTTGAGCTTGTCTATTGCCACAATGCATACCCGCTGCTATTTCCCCATCTTCTGGCTTCCAGATGTCTTACATGATCAATGCTGACCAGTGAGTTCTCCAACACGCAGAACTTACTCCGCACAAACACTTGCGCTACTGTAACACCCCACGATGTAGTGCTTGGACACAGTCAGATCCAAACCTTAAGACGCCTGCCAAGAGTGGTGCCTACGCACTTTCAATTATGTTTACATAGTACATTCAAAAGTAGGGCAAACATGCAAGGATCCAACTTGTTCGGTTTTGGACAGGGGTTGTAAGACCAGCGCAAGCAAGGTAGGACTGACGTGTTTGGGCGTTTGACCCAGGACCTTCAAGCCCAAAGACCTTCAGCTACCTTCGTTCAATGGGCTTATCTCACTCTACGCCCCCACAACACACGCATCGATCTCTTGAATTACTTGACTTGAGCATATGGGTTTATCGGGTGAGGACATGATCGGTGGTCAAGAAACAATCGCACCACAGCTGCGCCTTCTTCATCGCGGTCGCATCAAGTTGGCGCTACGCGTCGCATTCCGCTGACCATCATCATCTGCAGCACGCTGCAGCGTGCTGCTGACGTTTGACAGGACTTGTCCCAATTCGTGCGAGGTCATCCTCCGTCACTTGCTGGCGGGTTGTGTCTCTTTTGTTTTACAACGTACGCTTGACACTCGTTTGGGGTTGCTGCACAAGTGAAGGTTGTCATCGACCGAGCTTCATCATTTTTCGAATTGGACTTCCGTCATCTGGTGCACATCCCCAACGCCGATGGAAAGTGTTCGGATCCGGGGCTGATTCAAGCCGTTGCGGACATGCGGTTCGGGCTAGTGGTCCCTGGGAATTAATTAATTAGTCAACAAGGATTGCGAAGTATAATCGCACGAGACTTACCGCGTTGGGACCCAACATCTCTGCACTTGCAGCGTGTACAAATAATACTGCACTTGACCCTCATTGAGAACACCTGTTCGGCCTTGCGTGTTCCCATGACGGAGTGCACGGCCACGCGTTGAGAATCTGCCGGCATCCGGCCAGCAGACACCGGGACCTAAGCGGCATAAGAGGAACTCTAAAGGTTGTACTCTATCCTGCTTTGTCATCCACGATCGAAATCTCTGCTCAGCATACTTCAGGCATCTTCAACTCTCTGCAAGACGATACGACAACAACTGTTTCACTGACCACATCTGTGCCACTGCGACTCAACATCAACAGAGCGTGAGAATGGAAAAACGCTTCCCTTTTGTGTCGCCTACATTGTCAGTATTTTCTAATGCCTTATTCCATACGTACTGGTGTTTTCTAACCCATTCATGCAGCCCTCGAGGATCCGTCACCGGTGACGAGGCCGACGGCTACGCCAGAGCGGACGTTTTCATCACCGGTGACGAGGCCGACGGCTGCGCCAGATCAGACAATTTTAGAACTTATGAGAACGATTCCTCCACCGAGCTTGAGGACCGGCAACCCCGGCAATTCTACTCTCGCAACCCTCGAATTCAGTCCTTGGGACGTTCCACCAGGGACGGGTACCTGAGGACAGCTGGCAACAACGTTGTGCTCCCGCGGCAGCGCAGGAGAACCAACAGACGCCCCCCCAACGCTCGGGCGGCTAGGCCGAGAATGGAGCAAAACCACAACCCCTTTGACCTCACCAGCTCTCCTCCCTACCGGCCAGCGTCAGCCTCTTCATCTCACAGCAGCCACATGGGCAGCGAGATGCCGGAGACCGATGACGCCTCCACCACCACGCTGGGCACCATCGACGTATTTGCGACCAACCCTCGGAACTTCCAGTCCAACCGTGACAACAACAACAACAACAACAACAACAACAACGAGGATGACGACGGCGATGACCAACCTCTCTTCGTGACCCCATCCCCAACAACGCGTCGACACCAACTCGGTCGCATCGCACACATCTTATACCGCCAGCCAGCCAGCGACTCGCCTCACCCACCCGCCAGCCGGCCCGACGGAGACCATCAGCAGCAGCCGCCGCCGCCGCCGCCGCCGCCGCAACCGCACGAGTACTCGCCCCCGCCCTCGCCGCCGCACCCGCACTCGCACCCGCACTCGAACTCGAACCCGACCTACGCGCACGCGGACGACAAGCCCGCGCACCGGGCGCGGCTGCGGGCCATGGCGCTGAACCGGGGGGCGCACGCGTACGTGCGCAAGCAGGCGCCCGAGGCGGACGGCGAGAACCGCGAGATCAAGCGGCTGCGCACGCGCGAGCGGCTGCACTGGGACGAGATCGCGGCGCGGCTCAACCGCGCGCGCGTCGCCGCGGGCAAGACGCCGTCGTTTACGGTTGCGGCCGTCTACGGCCGCTTCGCGCGCGTGGCGCCGCGCATCGCCGAGGCCGACGGCGAGGCCGGGTTCGACTATAGGGATTTCCTCAACTTTAGGCACGAGAGGAAGGGGGGCCCCGGGGAGGGGAGCGAGGGGGAGAGGCCGATGCCCGTGTTGGGGGAGAGGGAGGAGGCGTTGTTGGTGGAGTGTTATGAGGAGGTGGAGAGGGAGAGGTGGGAGAACGTGGCGAAGAAGTTCAAGGTGAAGGCGGGGTTCGAGTTGACGGCGGGGCAGGCCGCGAGGAAGTGGAAGAGTTTGTGATTAAGAGGTGGGAGAATGTGGCGAAGAAGTTCAAGATGAAGGCGGGGCAGGCCGCGAGGAAGTGGAAGAGTTTGTGATTGAGAGGTGGGAGAATGTGGCGAAGAGGTTCAAGATGAAGGCGAGGTTCGAGTTGACGGCGGGGCAGGCCGCGAGGAAGTGGAAGAGTTTGTGATGGAGAGGTGGGAGAATGTGGCGAAGAAGTCCAAGATGAAAGTTGACGTCGGGACAGGCCGCGAGGAAGTGGAAGAGTTTGTGATGTGGGCCTAGGTTGTTTTGCTGTTCATCTCGTCACATCGACATCGTCGGGTAGGTTGCGGGTGCCGAGATCAGCCGCCTCCCATCTCCGGATCGCCGTTGCCGTCCTCATCATTCCGGCTTACTGGTGGTGCCTTTTCATTATTTTCTCGGCCTGATGGATGCATCATCATTGATGCCACAGTCTGTTCGTCAAATTGCGTCAATATTCTTGTCGAGTATCCAGCGCAGCACTGGATCCTCATTTCCTAGGTTATCTTCTCTCACCGGCGCCCTGGCCATGAAGGTGGAGGCTGCCGGCATCAGATTGTGAATTGAAGTCTTCTTATGATACCCCTACTGTTAATACCTAGTGTATTAGTCATCTTCTTGTTTCATTTTCTTTACTATTGTTTTTCACTTCCTAGATTCTCGACTTGGTGCGTAGGCAGTCACTGGATGACATGCCGAGTGCTTCACATAACGATTAACCCAGACTTGGATTGAGTGGATGCGTAAAATCGATTGGATCACAGACGTTGACGAATACTACCGTAAAGGCGCCGAGGTACCCATGTATAGACTGCGGCAAGTTTTAGCGGAGCATGAGGGTGGTGACTGGACACAGCGGGCGTCGGGTGCGGCGCGCCACGTAATCGAGCGATTCCAGCAGAGCTAGCAGCCGCGGCGATGGCCACGCGTGCCTGCTTTGTCGATCTGGTCGGCATCTGGACAGCAGCGGTGGTGAAGGCGCGGCAGGCAGCGGGCCACAGGGGGCAACCTGATTCAAAGACGGGACATTCGGCCGGACTGGCACGCGCGCAAGGCAGCAGAACCGGAGCGGGGAGCGGCAGCGGTGGCGGGCTCGAGATGGGCGAAGTTCGGGCGTGAGACTGATGGCTGTATGTTGCTTTAAACTCTCAGATGATTCCTGCCAAGACGTGCGGGCTCGGTTGCGCCAAGAGCGAGTGGCAGGCGGTGGGGTCCGTGAGCCGGCCGGAACAACGATCGACGTAATCCTGATCACCTCGACCCTCTCTCACCTCGACCCAGATCCATCCCGCATCCGCGACCACCACACACGAGCCCAGATCCACCCGCCGCACCTCCCGCCCTCCTTCCGGCGACAACCATGTCGCGTCGTTGCCCGCCTGGATGACGAGCTCGCCCAAGGGACGTGAGCAATACGGGGGATCGGTGCCCGGGACACGCGTTCGCCGCCATCACCGCCCGGCTGGTGTTATATTACTGATTATTTATTACACAACCCGACAGCTCAGCGGGCTCGGGTGCTCCCGCGCCAGTAGCGCGAGCATGGGGAGAGGATGGAATCATGGCAGGCCGCGCACGGATTCCCGACTGACTACGCTGCAGATCGCCCAAAGACGCAACCCGCACGCGGCATGGGAGCAGAAAGGGGAGGCGGCACGGTGCGATGGTGCGATTCTAGAATCGGCATCGGCCATGTTGCATGATGAGGTGCGAGCACCGGTGACTGTCGACAGGAGGTTTTATTACGTACTGTGGCTTGAGCGCCCTGGCCTGTCGACGAGAAAGGAAGTCGAGTCCCTGCTGCGCTGTTCGACATGTTTCTGTTACGCATCAGCATCCCGCACGCGCGGGGTCGCGCCGCGTGCCGGCAAGCAGAAAAAAGGCTTTGCACCAGCCGCAGCAGCAGATTTTTCATCATCCGCAGCCTCCTGCTCCCCCCACAGCCGTCCTCGCCGTCGCCACGTGCAGAAAAACGCCGGAGTGAATCCTTGGCTAAGCGAGGAACAGAGGCGAGCTAACCGCTTTCCGCTATTTGCGCTGCCTGCGTCTTGGCTTCCGCTCCGGGGCTAGTCCGTCCAACCCTTCAAAATTCTGTCTATACTGTTATAACTACGGCCTGTCCGCCCTATACACCGCGCCCTCGCAGCCAACGCCACCATCCCGCCGCCCTTTGCCTCTTCCGACCGGTCTCCCTCCACCGGCAAATGCTCCAACGCATCCGAAGCACCGTGCCCAATACCAATGGGAGCGAGTCTAGACCGGCCCAGATCTCGGCTCCTGCTTTAAAAGCCCTTTCCAGCATCGCCACTGAGGCCCATCCGAAAATGCATCTCCGCATCCCCAAGTCCCCTCTGACCGTTATCGGCGACACGTGCCAGGCCGAGAGCGTGCCCCTGGCCGGCCACATCGAGGTCGCCGCCAAGCCCGTCCAGCACCAGGACATCACTTCCGTCCAGCTCCAGCTGCTGCGCACCACCAAGATCAAGAAGCCCGCCACCAAGCCGCAAGATGCCCTGCTTCCCTCCAGACGACGCTCCTTCGGCAACCGCAGCCCCACCCGCGACAAGCGGACCTGCGTCGAGGAGCTGATGCAATGGACCGTCGCCTATTCGCCTTCGCCCATGACCGCCGACTCGTCCAACAAGCAGCGCCGCAACCTCCTCCCCTTCAACGTCCGCATCCCAGGCCACCTGCCCGCCTCCACCTCGACCCCCGTCGCCAGCACCTCGTACGCCCTTGCCGCGACGGCCGTATCGCGCGCCACCGGCAAGCCACTGTTCAAGACTGAGACGCCGCTTGTGCTACGCCGCGCCTTGCACCTGCCCGAGGGGCCCGCCGAAGTGTCGCTGCGTCGCCGCTTCCCAGACAGCCTCATGAGCACGCGCTTGGCTCTCCCCGGCGTGCTGCGGCCCACGGACGACTTTACCGCTCGCCTGACACTCTGCGGCAGCATCTCGCAGCGCGGCCGCACGACAACGCGCCTGGCGGTGCGCCGGCTGGACTGGCGCATTGAGGAGCGCGCCGCCATTGTGCCCGTGGCAGAAGCCGGCCGGCTGCCGCCCTTCTCCGAGATCGAGACGGGTGCGACCAACGCGGCCGAGACGGCGCAGCAAAAGAAGGAAACCCAGCAGCACATCCGCAAGCTGGCGTCTGGCGGCTGGACCGGCAACCTCGACAAGCTGCCGAAGCCGGCGCCTTCGGGCGAGGTCGACACGTCCTTCACTGTGACGCTACCCGCGTCAGCACGCGCGTCGTGCGGCGTCGAGCCGGATACGATGAGCAACACGGCGGCGGCGGGCGACGACCACTCGGCCCTGTCCGTTTCGCACGTGCTGGTGCTTGAGCTCATCACGGCCGAGCTCAAGTACAGCGTCGACACGGGCGAGCTCGTCAACATGTACCCCTTCCCCCAGCGCAAATTCGGCGCCGTCTACGACATCACCGTTTCGAACTGGGACTACGCCAACGATGGCGGCAACGCTGCCGCAGCGGCGCTGGAGGGACAATTCGGTACTGCTGCCCCTTCGGTGGTGCTCCCGCCGACTTCGACTGCTTTCCACCCCACGATACCCCCTTATTGCGAGATTTTTGGCGAGATGCCGCCTTCGTACGACTCCGTTGCCGTAATGTAATATCCGAGCTATCTATCTGCACTTCATGTTGGTTTTTTTTATGTTTTTCGGGCGCAAAGGGAGAGGATGCATTTCACACAACTGCAGAAGCAGCAAAATTGGCAAAAGTTAGGAGTTTTCCGGCGTTCTCTTCGAAAGCCCACAGGTAGAAGAAAGGGGGGCGCCCCTCTCCTACGTATTGGCGATATCGGAACCTTCGGGATGGCGCAAGCTTTTCATCTATTGATTTGGGAGAGCGAGAAAAAAATTTGTGACGACGGCTTTTTCCTATAAAGGAATTCGGGTGGCGTTATACACCAGGTGACTTGGCATCCTGTATCTGGTGTAGTTTTTGCGGCTTTGCCGGCGGCCGGGGAGGCGCGGAAGAAGCGCGTGCTCAAAGCACACTCTCACAGACACTTGAGAAGTATGACAGAACAATAGACATAATATCGATAGCGAAGCACGCAGTCGGACCGTTTGGAAGGCCGTTCTCCATCTTTTGACGTGGTCCGTTCTTTCCTGACTTGTCAGAGCCTCGTCGTGTACCTTGGTCCCTCCGCTGCAGCCGCCACTGACTCGAACGTTTCATGTCTCGTGAGTGGGAACGTCGCCTGATGCTGATGAGCAGTATTCCAGTCATCACGAGGAGTCATTTTCCCCTCCTCCCGCGGCCGGTAGGTGCGTGCCCTGCCGTCCCTTTTCCCCGCGTGCTGGAAATTTGGCACGACGAGTGCGGAGCTCCTTCGCTTCACCGCCACCCCACCATCACTTGCCATACTTGCCCGGTGCGGTTAGCGCCGTCTGGGACTTCTAGACCTTTCGCGCGCGGAGGTCGGGCCTGCTTTCCTCGCGCGCACTCGTGAGCACCTCATGGACAACCTGTTATGCGCACATTCACAGTTCACACGTAATACTCGGAAGAGGCGAGAACACGTCTTACCCATATCACAAGCACGCTCCCACGGAGACATCAAGGAGACAGACTGCTCCCCCTGCCAAGTAAAGGAACGGAGTCAACACCACGGCACCAGACAGCTCAGAGGGGAAGAGGATGGGAGCCTTTCTCGCCTCGGAGCCCTGCTAGTACAGTTCAATCTTGCGGCAGCCGCCGCCGCCGCCGCCATTGGCAGACCACAAACTAGAAAATCCCGTCCCTGGAGACCGGCAAAGCGCCTGACCCCCACCCCATAGCTCCCCTTTCTCATACGACACCCCACACTCACCTTCCCGCTTCCCCGCCTCCCTCCCTCACCCCCACCCGCTCACCATCACGATGCCCGATCCGCGCGCTGAACAGTTGAACGCAGGTAGGGAAAGAGATGTTGGCCAGCGGACTAGGTCATACGCCATCTTGAACGCACGCGCCTCTGACGTCTCAGTCTATGTCTCTCTTGGCATTATAGCCGCACATCCCCAAGAAATTCTTTTCTTAAAGACCATCTCAAACACGTTGACAATGAGTATATTATGAGAATATGGCGTTGTTGGTGAGGGTGTCTTTCTCTCTTCGCAGCTGCAGCGTAGGCTCCATTTTCTCACTCTAAAAGGCTGGTGCCGGTTTCCTTGCTGTTTGAAGAAGTATTTGTTCGGTCCACAAAAGACCCCAAGCGCAATCTGGTGACTCCGGGATGATCTCACGCTAGACTACGGCTCTTTGAAAAGCCTGCTCGTCAACCCGCCGGGTCCACGGAAAAGATAGCTTTGCGAAGAGCAGTAGCCATCAGTCCCAGAGAAGTCCCATAGCAGGTATCTCCCACACACCTTTATTATCAACATAGCCAGTCTAAGTCAGCGTCACCTCTCAATAGGGAAAACATACCGTGCTTCCCAGCAACGGTTTTTCTTTCCAAGTCCTTGACAGCCCGAAAATCCCAAGACTGCTGTGCCACACATTTCTTGACAAACATATCTTTCATTTCCTCCCACCCGCGCATACAGTTCCCTTAAAAATACCAAGCTCATGAACTTTTTTTTCCTTTCTTCTATCCCTCACTATCTAGTCCTGCCAACATAAGGTCAGCCCTCTTTCATTCTTCCCCTCCCCCAATCCATCCGACCAGCCCGCCTCAGGGCCATCGGATGACACCCCCCCTTTCGTCCCGTCTCCAGCCCAGGAGAACCGACTGCCCGTGCCCCCGCACCTACGCACCCCCCTTCAACCCCTCCAACGCCTCCCTCAACCTCTCCCACCCCTCGGTCCCCTCCCACGTCTCCTTCGCGCGCCCACAGATCCCCTTGATCGCGCTCCTCGCCTTGAACTTCCAATCCTTCGCGACGACCTCCCCGCTCCCCGCCGCCAAGCCCTCGGTGCGCTCCATCGGACCGAGACTCTCGTACGCGGCGGCGAGCTCGACCGTGGCGTCGACGACGTCGTTCCAGCCGGCCTCGTCGCCGGTCGACTCCCAGCCGGGCCTGCTCGCCGTCGCGGCGCGCCACGCCTTTTCGTGGGCGTCGAGCGCGGCGGCGGGGCGGCCGCGCCACAGCGCGAGGCGCGCGACGACGGCCCACAGCCGGCGCGAGCCCGTGATGAGGGGCACGACGGCCTCGTCGACGAGGCGGACGAGCATGCGCGTCGGGCCCGGCCTGGATGCGTCGTAGCCGGTGCCCGGCGGCGAGAGGGCGATGACGTCGCGGACGAGGGCGTCGAGGATGGCGGCGTCGACGCAGCGCTCGCCGTCGGTGGCGCCGCGGAGGTCGATGATGCGGCGTTGGGCCGTGATGATGTCGGAGAGGGATGGCGGGGTCAGCGAGGCGGCGACGGTGAGGAGGTTGTCCCACATGCGGAAGTTGTCGAATTGGAGGTGCGCGGCGCGCTTGAGCGCCTTGAGGGCGTCGCGGCGGTGCTGTTGCGGGTCGCGCTGGCGGGTCTTGGTGATGTCGATCTGGTTGGGGTCGTCTTCTTCCTCGTCGTCGAGCTTGGGTTTGCCGGCGGCTTCGTTGTCGTCGTCGCCGGTCTTGGGCTCGAGGTAGAGCAGGGCGGCTGCCAGGTTGCTCCACGCTTCCGCGTCCGTGTCGTCGAGCTGGACGACGCGCGTGAAGGCCTCGACGGCGCGTTCGAACTCGGTCAGCTCCAGAAGCGCGCAGCCGAGGGCGAACCAGCTCTTTCCGTTGAGCTGATTGACACGCAGAGATGCCGAGTAGGCGTTCGCAGCCTTGACGTATTCTTTCTCGGCGAAGTAGTGGCGACCGAGAGATCGTTGAGCGCGGGCGTACCGGTTGCCCGAGACTTCCCAAGCCTTCTCGTACATGTCGAGGTCCTTGGTGATGTCGCCCAGAATGCAGTACAGCCTGGGCGCATCACCCGGCGCCGGGTCCCTCGGTGCGCCCTCCCACTTTTCATCCTCGCCCGCCGCATCGTCATTGCCGTCTGTTGCATGGAAGATCTCTCTCCGTATGATCAGTTTGGCTTTGTCATCTCTTTCGGTGGCAGCCCAGCAGAGCGCAACCTCAGCCCACATGCCTAGTCGTTCGTAGATCTCCAACGCAGAGCGGAAACCACCCATCTTGGTCCACGCTTGCGCCAGCTCGGATTCGAGCTCCCATCTCGTCGGCGTGCATAGCTGGAAAATGTAACGCAAGCGCTCAGAGACAGGCGCAGAGTCCTCTTCCTGCGGCCGCGGCAGGAACGTAGCCGCAGAACCGCCTCCTGAAGCCGTTGCCGTGGCCCCGTCCCCAGCAGTGTCCGCAATGATCTGGTCTACCAGTGCCTGAAGCTGGAGCAGGCCACGCTCGGCAGTTCTCGCTCTGTAGCCCTCGATCCTGCTGCGGACCAAAAGGGCCTGAGTGTAGACCTGCCAGTTGGAGCTACCGCCCTCAAGCGCGCGCGTGGCGTACGGAATGGTCTCCTCTCTCGTCAAGCCGTCCTGTGGCGATGTGTTCGTGATTGACGAGGCTAGGGAAAGCAAAATGATGGAGTCGAGCGGGTCCAGCTTGGGCTGATTCCCAGGATCCAGCGCGGCCAGGCTCGGCGGTAACGAGCTCTCATCCTGCACATCGGTTGACGACTTGGCCTTCTCCGTGAAAGATATCGACTCCAAAAGCGTATCGTCGTTGAGATCCAGGGTCTTCGGTTTCGCCTCCACATCATCACCATCATCCTTCTGCTCCTCCGCGACGGCCTTGCCCTTCCCCTTGCCGGCCTCGTCAACCGTCTCCGTCCCCTTGCTCCTCGCCAGCACAACAAGCTGACTAGTCTCCTTCTCCTGAAACTTCGTCCGCTTCCCCAGCAACCCCGTCAAAGCGAACTCAAACCCCCTCTCCCTAGCCGCCCTATCCAGATCCTCCCGCGCCTTCTTGTCAAACCCATGCAGGGTATGTATAGACGCCCTCTCCAGCAAAAACTGCATCCCCACCTCCCTCGCCACCTCATCCTCCCCCTCCCCCTCCCCCTCCTTCAGCAACTCCCTCCCCAACGCCTCCAACTCCCCATAAATCGCCGCCTGCAAACTCGGCGCCACGTCCCCACCCAACAGCCGCTGCCGCATCACCAGCACCCTCACCTTCACCCACCTCACCACCGTCGCCATCATCGTCCCCGCCTCTCCACCACCACCACCACCACCAGCCAACGCATCCACCACCTCCTCAAACCCCCCCACGACCACCGCCTCCGCCAAACATAACAGCTCCACATTCGGCGTGCGCGCATACGCCGCCGCGCCATCCGCGCCGAGGCTCTGCACGAGCCGGCGCCGCGTCTCCGCCAACGCCTTCGCGTCGCCGTCGTCATCCGCCGCGCCTTGTGGAAGGACGGCGCGCGCGGACGCGAACGGCAGCGGCGGGCCGGTGACGTTGGACTGGACGAAGGCGGCGAGGGCAGCGGCGGCGGCGACGACGAGCTCGACGGCGACGGCGCGCCTCTTCTTCTTCTTTTTCTTTCCTTCCTCGTCTTCGTCTTCCTGCTGGGGGGCGGCGAGCAGGAGGGCGGCCAGGCGGCGGTGGAGCCAGTCGGTCCAGAGGGGGTGGTCGGAGAGTGCTGGTGCGTCTGCCGGGAGGAGGACGTCGTCGTCGTGGCTGTGGCCGAGGAGGGTGCGGACGGCGGCGGCGGCGCCGCCGCCTTGCGACAGGATGGATTCGAAGTCGCCTGCCTCGAGCGAGGCGAGTTGCTCGCTGATGGTGGGCGAGGGGGAAGAGGAGGAGGCGGGCTCGCCTTCCGGCAGGGCGGCGCGCCGGAATAGTGTGAGGAAAGCGTCCGTCATGGTCGCTTCTTCTCTCTCCGGCGGGATGGTGGGTGTTTTTTTCCTCTCTCTCTTCTTTTCTTGCTTTTTTTGGTTTGCGTTTCCTTCTCTTCGTTCTTCTTTCTTTTTCTTGCTGGGATAGTTCTTTTGATTCTCACGCTTGTTCCGTATTTTCCCCTCCTAGAAATGCGCGCTAAAGAAGAAAAAGTCTGAGGAGAGGTTCGGCGTGTTGGGTTCAAGTTCCGAGTCATCAGCACCAGCAGCGGCGTTGGATTGAAAATTGCAGCCGAAGAAAAGCCGGTAGGGCAGCATTTGTCTCAGTTGCCCCGCCCCCACTTCGCGCCGCTCGCTGGTCGTTAGTTATGGAGCTCCGATCACGCGTGATAGAGACGCGAAGCGCCCGCGCGCCGCGTCCCATCGCCATGTGCATATGCTACTACTATTGCGAAGGAAACGTTCTTGATTCAAATCCTAAAACTACCATTCCGCAAGCCCCCCGGATATAAGGTCCTCCCGCGACCCGTCGAAAGAAGTATTCAGGAAGTCAAAAAAAAAAAAGAAAAACAAGAGGAAAATTAGGATATCATGATCGTCGTCAGTAGTGCTAGGATGCATGCTTAGTAAAGTCCGCAACAAAGCCAGAAGCAATACGTCCAAACGTCCAAACGTCCAAGCAGAACATGGCCCGGCATCCAGCAGCGAGAAGTGACCATCTCGAGTGATTCGCGCCGCAGCACTAATCCGAGTCGCTCGACGAGCTGCTGCTGCTGCTGCCGCCCCTGCTCTTGGACCTGCTCTTGTGCTTATGCTTCTTCCCATGGCCGTGGCTGGGCGGGTAGAGGCCGCCGATCGCCGCCGAGCCGCCATAGTGGGAGCCATGGTCGCCGCTGCCGTGCTTCTTGTGCTTGGACTTCTTCTTCTTCTTCTTGTCCCTGTTTTCAATCGTCAGTCAGCCCATCAGCCCATCAAAGACATCTCCTCCCAGACCCCGCTCCCAACGAAGGAGATTGCAATCCGTAGAGCGAAGAAGGGAAAGAAGAGGAGGAGGAGGAGGAAGAAGAAGGCAACGTACTTGTCATGATGATTCTCCAACACATTCGCCCCAATCGCCCCGGCCACCATGCCGCCAATCGTCCCCAGCGCCCCTCCGCCCATCTTGTGCCCCAAGAACGCCCCGCCCGCGCTGCCCACCAGCGTCGCGCCTAGCCCGCGATCGCCGTCCGGTGGCAGAGGATTGCCCGCCGCGTCGTACTGGCGCGCATGCTCGTTGCCGTACGCGCCCTGCTGCTGCTGATGCTGCGGCGGGTACTGCTGCTGCTGCTGGCCGTATCCGTGCTCGCCACCGGCATACGCAGGAGGGGGAGGAGCGCCGCCGTACGGCGCCGACGGCGGGTAGGGCGAGTGGTTGCCGCGGTTGTAGTCGTCAGCGCCGCCCGTCGGGTACGGCGCGACCGTGTTGTTGTAGCCGGGCGCGGGCGAGTAGCTGCCGCTGTGCGGCGGCGGCGGGGAAGCATACTGGCCGTTGTTGTTGTTGTTGTACGGATCGTACGGAGCCTGGTGCGGCTGCGGCGGGGGCGACTGGTACTGGTTGTACTGGTCTTGCGGCGGCGGATAGGCACCCTGGTGATTCGCGCAAAACGTCAGCCGCGCGCGTCTCATTGCTCGCTTGGGAGACGTCCGGGGGAAAGAGATTGTGTGAGGGTTGCGCGTGGAAATACTCACCTGCTGGGGCGGATACGGGCTGTGACCGCCGTATTGGCCCTGCGGCGGGGGAGCGGCGTTGTAGCCTTGCTGGCCGTGGCCGTAGCCGTAGTCTTGCTGGCCGGAGCCGTAATAATCGTGGCTTGACATGATATGAAGTGCGGTGTTCGGCGACTGCTCCGAGGCAGTTGTTGTGATATGCGCTGCCGAGCTGGGGACCTTTGACGAACGCTGCGGGGGAGGGGTTGCGAAAGTGCACAAAGCGATCGCGAGACGGAAGGCAGCGGCAGGTTTAATAGGGGAGATTTCAGGTAACGTGGAGATGGGCGGATAGATCCACGGTCAGCTGCTTACGTGCGGCAGTCATTTGGCGAGCTGAAACGAGGAAATGACCGCGGCTGATGACGAGCTCCATCCTGAGTACCCGGTTGGGATGCTGTCCAAATCATGTGGCGGGGGCTCAGCACAGCCGCACAGCCGCACCACAATGAAACCGCTGCGCCTTCCTGCGGCATTACCGGCGCCACCGGGAAATAACCTCACCGACACCGGAACATGCAGGCACCAGTCGAGTTGTTACAGGGTACAATTAATACAACCAGCTAAAAAAAAAAAAGTACACATCCTCCCAACAGTACGCTGCTCTGCCTGCGACGGCACAAGCAAGTGTGCTGCTAAGAAGAGACAACCACGCTGTTGCAACTTACAGGCGAAAGACTACCATAATAATAATCCCCCCAAACGAGCGACAAACATCCCCCGTTATGCAAGACAGGCAACTCTCCCAAGGTGAACAAGACCACCAACAGCTCGCTTCAGCCCATGTCCCGGCAACATTGCCGTTTTCTCTTTTTTTCTTTTGGTTCTTCTCATCATGGCATTCCCCTTTCCCACTGTCCAGCTGCGTCACACGTCACCTACTTCCTGCTGCCTTTCTTCTTCGCAGCGACAACCTTGAAAGCAAGATCCTCCTTCGCCGCACCGGCCTGAGCCGTGCTGGTGCCAGAGCCCTTCTTCGCGACCTCGCTCCAGCCACCAGAGCCGTTGGCCGGGCCGGGGCTGGAAGTGCCCGAGTTCTCGATGATGCCCTTGTCGGCGAGCTTGCGGCGGCGAATGAACTCCTGGGCGAAATGGCGGGAATCAATCGTCTGAGACACCGAGTGGACCGCCTCCGTGACAATGTCGAGCTCGCTGGGGAAGCTAAGCATGTTGCTAACGAACTCATCGGCTGCGAATTGGCATTAGCATTCCGCTTTCAAAATTTAGATATCTAGCATAGACTTACCGTCAGTGCCCTTGATGAGGTCGTTCCTGAGCTCATTTGCAGCCCACTTCTTGAACTCTGCCGTGGCGTCGGGAGTGCCGGTTGTGGGGGTAGGCTGAGTAGGGGCACGGGTGGGGGCAGCCGGCTTGGGCTTGGGAGCCGAAACGCTTCCAACACTGGCTGTGCGCGTCCCGGCCGGAGAAGCAGGGGCAGCGGGAGCAGGCGTCTTGATCTTTCCACTCGCACCCACAGTAGTCCAGGCGCCACCAGGAGCGTTGGTCGCGATCGGAGTCTGTTTGCTCGCGAGGTCGGCATAGCGCTTGCCTCCGCTCACGGCCTGGGACAGACTGGCAGTAGTCGCGGCAGCGCTAGCAGCACTGGCAGCACTGGCAGCAGCGGCCGCAGCGGCCTTCTGCTTACGGGCCTCCTCTTCCTTCTGGATCTGCTGCAGTGTCTTCTTGGCAGGACCGGTAGAACTAGGAGCCTTGGTGGCTGTAGCCTTGGCCCAAGCAGAAGGTGTGCCAGGCGCATTGACTGGCGACGCGTTACTGGCCCAGGTGGCGCTCGAGGGAAGGCTAGGCTGTGGCTGTGCCTGTTCAGCCAAAGCAAGCAACTCTCTGCGCTGGGCCTCAGCACGGGCTGCCTGAGCAGCGGCTTCGGCTTCCTCGCGTTGCTTAGCCTCTGCCTCTTGAATCTCCTTGAGAGAGGGGCCCTTCGGCGCCTCTACAGTTTCCTTAGCCCAAGGGGCAATGGAAGCGCTAGGAGTGTCGACCGAAGGGGTCTGGGAACGAGAGCGAGTCTCCTGGTGCAGTGCGTCGGCCAGGTTCTGCTTTCTCTGCGCAGCTGGCGCTGGGAGAGGAGATCCAGACTGGGGTGGAGGGAAGGGCATCGGCATAGAGGTGTCCACCTTAGCCCATGGAGATTGAGGGACCGGAGTCTGCTTAGCCGAGGCAGCCTTGACCTGCTCAGTCAGGGACAACGGCTCGGAAGGCTTTGACGGAGTTTCAGTCCCCTTGACGGTCTGAGCAGCAGTTTGAGCAGGAGTAGACGGCTCCTCCCTCGCATCTTCCCCGAAAGACTGTTGAAACTCTTGTTGGTCGGCGACATCGGCGCCAGATTCAGCAGCGGCCGCGTTCGCTTCCCTGTCAAGCTCGTCCCGGAGATCCTTGAATTGCTGAAGACGGTCGGCAGACTGCTGTGCCATATGACCTTCATCGTCTTTGATTTGAGCATCATGCTCATTCTGCTCATGTTGAAGACGAGTTCGATCGTTCAGCATGTTCGCAACCTGCTGAGCGTGAGTACCATCTTGCTGCGGGGAGCCGAACGAGCCAGGAGCGGCACCGAAAGGCACCTGGCCAGGTCGGCCAAGGTTCATGCGGTCCAACATGGCTGGCAAATCCTCTCTTGAGTTTCCTAGGCCTTCCATCCCGGCACCGATCGGCGATAAACCAGTGGCCGGGCCGGGACGAAAGGAATTGTCGAAGAAACCGGCCATCCCCGGCATAGACGCTTGGGTAGGCGACGGCTGGTAGCCACCAGGAGAAGCAATGCTACCAAAACTGGGCTGGCTGTGCAAGCTGTGGGCACTGGAGTGGTGGTTAAGTGAGTGCGGGTGCATGCCCAACTGCATCTGTTTGACGAGTACCTGTTGCTGGGCAAGGTGCTCCTTCTGGCGCGCCATGAGGTATTGCTCTTCCTGCTTGCGACGCTCCAGAGCATTCTGTTGCTCAGCAGTCAAGGTGGTGCCAAAGCTGGGGAAGCTGTTCGGGAACGGGGGCTGAGCACCAGCAGTAAGCCCAGTATTAGCCCATGCGTTTCCAGGCTGAGTAGATGGCGGGCCGTGAGGAATGCCGATCTGAGGAACAAGGAACGGTTCGCGAGAGTTGCCGATCCGACGAATGAGCTGAGCAAGCGGCTCATACTCCGGGTCTTCTTCCTTCTTGACCAATAGTTCTGGGGAGAAGAAGCCAGCCTTGAACCAGTCGTGCATCTCAAGACCAGTCCAAGGACCTTGAGCCTTACCCGATGGGTCACGGTAAACCCACCTCATGCGGTCAGGCATGACCATAGTACGCTGTTGGGCGGCTGGAGGCTGGTTGGACGCAGAGCTGCTGACGGCCGGAGGCTGACCAAGAATACCTTGAGTGACATGTGCTCCGATGGGTCCTTGCTGTTGGGTCGTGGCGAGAGTAGGCGTTTGCGCGGCAGCAGTGCTGGCAGAACCGAATTGGCCCAGGCCTTCCATGGGGTTCCCTTCGGCGGTGCGGAGACTGTTGGCCAGCATCTCATCAAAGACACCGCGACCGCCACGGAAGGGGCTATCAGTCTCTCTGTGAGGGCCGGCACTACCGCCAAAGGCGTTCCTGGCAAACGAACCAGGTTGACGGTCTCCCTCGGCAGAACCATCATCTCCACCACCGAACCTGTTCTGCTCACTGGATCTCATCTGCTCTTGCATTGCAGTTGGGAAGAGCGACCCAAGCTTGCTGCCACGGCCAATCGAGCCAGTACCTGTCAGTCCAGGGCCAAATCCAGCGCCGTAGAGGCTGTTCGGTCCTAGTCCCGCAAGGCTGGGCGAATGCATCTCGCCGACAGATCCGAATGCATTGTCACCGAAAGGTGGGTTGAAACGCTCACGATTCGGAGTGCCAACTGCAGGTTGAGACGGAGTCCAAGCTGAGGAGCCTCCCAGCCCCGGCAATCCCCCAATACCCCCAAGCGAAGGAAATGGCCTATTCGGCCCAACACTCGAAGTCTGGCTACGGTCACTGGCAGCGGCCTCATAGGCGGAAGAGACGCGACCAATGTTGCCAATGCCACCAAAAGATGCCATGCCGGAAGCAGCAGCAGGGTCGTTCATGAATCCACCCAGCCCTGGCAGCGTCGCATTGTGGATGTCGGAACCATCTGTATCAATGTCTTCGGATTCGTGCTTATCCTGCTGGGGGCTTTGGTACGGATTCGTGTCGGTCGGGCTCATAGGTTCGTGTCCATGGATGCCTTGGTGCTGAGGAGTATGATGATGGAAGGCATCACGGCTCTGGAGGAAGCTGCTGAATCCCGTGTTATCCGTCGTCATGCCAAAGGCAGAAAAGCCACCCTCATCCCTGGAGTCTTGCCTCTGTGGGGTGCCAAAGCCGGTCATTTGGCGACGCGGAGGGCTGGTGTCTTGACCACCGCCGAGAGCGGCACTTCCTGAGCGCATGGTATCATCATCGACATATGGATCGGTATCATTGCTCATGGGACGGTTTGCACGAGATTCCATCCATGAAGGAGTCTGCCTGCCCAGATCATTTTCAGGAACCTTCCCCAGACTGTTCATGGACGCCCTCTCCCTCAACGTCTTCTGCATGTCCTCGGAACTGTCCTTGTTCATCAAACCCTTGAAACGACTCTCACCACGTAAAGCTGCCAGCCCAGGCCTTTTGTCGGTGGGCGTGGAAGCCTGCCCGGTGTTCGCGGCAAGCGAAAAGTTGCCGAAACTGCCCATGGGCGAGAATCCAGCGCTCTGGGGTCCAGCGCTCCATGGGGAAGACGGGCCAGAAAGACCGGCGCTGAAAGGGCCAGTAGCGCTCCGCTTCAAGCCAAAAGGAGGGTTTCCAGCGTCGCCTTGAGCCTTGTCTTTATCGCGCTCCTCCAGCCCAATACTCGAACCTGCGGGGGGCTCCTTGTAGTCCGTGCGTCGGCGCAGAAGTGCGGGTGGAGGGACAGCAGCGTTAGATTCTTGAGTAAACCTGGTTGTGGCCGGTGAACCTGCTGAAGGGAAAGGATACGCTTCTCCTGTATCGCGTCGGCGCGTGCCAGGGCGGTTGGTCGTTGGGGAGGATAATCCGTAATTACCTGGCCCATTGACCTGCGAGACGGAGGTCTTACGGCCCAGGCCATCCTTCACGTTGTTATCCTTGTTGGCGTTTTGATTGGGTAACTTGAGCGGCGAATTGACGGACGAAAGAAAGTGCTGTGGAGGACACGTTAGCTAGCTGGCGGCGATTTTGGGGGTACATCTCCCTCAACAAAGGCAGTGAGCAAGAGTGAGCGGAAACAAGTGTGCACCGAGGCATTGAGGAACCCAGTACACGCGACTACAAATGACGGCGCAAACGGAAAGCTTACCTCCTTCTCCTCCTCCGTCATCTCCGTCAGGCCCAGCGGTTGAATTGTCCCCTCTCGATCCCAGCATACATCAGGGCCAGGCGGGTTCTCCTTGCCGTGCTCAAGACTCCTACCCCATGCGCCTCCAGACATGCCGTTCGAAGACTGTGGCTCCCAGCCTCCCGCGTATAGCCCGTCCAGCCCGTCGTCAGACCCCAGCGGTACCTGATGGAACAATGAAAGCAGGGATTCCTTGGGGTATCGGCTTTCAGTAGCAGCAGCGCCGTTGCGGTGCGGTGGGACGTAGACTCCAGGGCTTGACGCGTTGATGCTGGCGGCGTTGGACAGGGTTGTGGCGTGCGAGGGACGGCGGAAGGTCTGGGTTGCGCCGTTTGCGCGGCGAGCCCTGGGCATGTCAGCGGCGCGGTTCGGGGCGACAGCGGGGACGGGCAGATCTGGGGCGGGAATTTGAGGCGCGGCAGGCGGGCAGATGTCGCGTGGCGGGCAGAGGGGCGGGTGTACTGACCATTCGCCGCTGGAGTCGTTACGCGTCGCGTTGGCGGTGGAATTGCTGCCCGCGGCAGCGGATGCGAATGTGGAGGGAGCCATTTGGATAGCGGTCGTGGTGGTGTCGGCGGGGCGTGTGCGCGTGGTGGTGTGTGGTGAAGGTTGGAAGGACCGTGTCCCTGTGAGAATTGTGCGGTGCGGCGGCGGCGATCCTGGACAGCGGACGGGCTAGCGCGCTGGGGCGAGAAACGTCGGGATGCAAGGTGGCGGGCAAACGCTGGAGTTGCTGGCAAAGACGGGACGCTTTTGCTGCGAGAGCTGTTCAGGCCGGGAGCGTGCTTGAGGACAGTCGTGCTGTAGCTAGCTGCAAGCAGCACAGTTGATCCTCGACGAATTCTACCTACTGACGCTGCGCTCACGTGTGCCAAGCCGCTACCTCAGGCAGGCCAGCGGCCATATGAGCCCGTCGACCCAGACTAAGCACTCCTCAGGTCAGGGGCGCTGCAACTCTCGCTGGTGGCGCTCTCTACCCCGGGGATCGCTGCGCCCACCGACGGTGCGAGGAGCGGTGACCCCGTTGGCGCCCGCAGTGCCCGCGCCGCATGCAAAGGCGAGCGGGTGTGTGACATCACCGCCTGCCCGCCCAACCTGCGGCCGCGCTCGCTACCACCGCAACAACACCACCACCGCACAAAGATTGCCCCAAAAAGGCTGTTGGGAGCAGCGTGTGCGCGCTCCACAGGGAATCACCCGCTAGTTGCAGTGTGGTTACGCTAAACAACCCTGGCCATGATACCGCGGGTTGCTTTGCTCGTTGGGAACGACAACCAGTTACTGTGGTCGAACCTTCGATATCGATGCCTTGAGCAGGCAATTCGAAAATAACAGTCTCGCTGCACATTTCAACACGAATGGTTCCCAAGAAAAAAAAGGGGGATTCACAGCTTCAAGTGAGGCCATTCTCAAACTCGCAAACCTGCATAGCAGACCGTCCTGGTCAAACAGATTGAGATAATATCGAAGAAGAAACTCCCTGCATCCTTGCCTTCACTCTGGGACGTACGTATGAGCAACCGCTTTTTGGCCGTGGGCGTTCTATATACTGGACTTTTTGTGAGACCAATCGCGTTACGTGTTGCGTCATTGGTAGCAGCCGGGGATATTTTCAGCATTCCTTTGCGTGGTTGGTAGCGAGGCATGTGATGGCACAGACTCGGTTAGGATTCTCTATATAGGGGTACTTGCTTTGATCGTCGCAAGGTGAGTACTTCGTGGACTTCCAACGCCGTGTCCGCGTGGACTTCAAGGCCATGCCCTGTTCCATTTTTGGGAGGGTCTCGAAGAAGACCGAGGGCGTCCCTGACCTGGGATACCTGTTTTCTTGCAGCCTCAGAACCAAAGGGACTGACCCTCCTAAGTCAACTGGTACTGAGCACAACTAACGGGCAGCTGATGTGGAACTACCCGGAGATTTATGATTGCCGAGCTAACGGCGGATGGACATGGCGGCCCAGACCGCGACTGCCTGGACGGTGCTGAATCCATCATCATTGACATCATCTTCACCAAGGCCCATCAAAACTCCCGCAGGCGCTCTGCGGACACGTTCCGCCTCATTCCGTCCGCCGTGAGGTGGGACGCACTCCGCAGTCGTTGTTGAAGGGGGCAACACTCGCTCTAGATTGGCGGGTCTCTCTCGGGCGCTGTTTCGCAGTAAATGCGGCAAGATAGATTGCAATCCTTCCAATCATGCCGAGGTCTCCAGCGTCCTTGCCCACCCTTCCGGAGGAGATGATCGATGTCATCATCTCCTTCACTGACCACGAAACACAGCAGCTGCTGCGCCTGTGCTGCAAGCAATTCAACCGCCTCACAGCCCCACGCTACTTCCGCAACTTTCGCTTCAGGTTTTCGCAGCTCAGCCTGGATGGCTTGATATGTATAGCCAACCACCCAAGCATTGCCAAGTACGTGCAACATCTAGAATTCAATAGCCACCAGCTGCTGTGGTTGTTCGATTTTGATCATTTCCTGAGAGAGCTGCGTTTGCACCCTGGTATGTCCCCTTCCATCTCACCTTTGACCGTGTCCTGACAAGCATGAGGTCAACCATGGCGCCCACCTCCCGGCCTCAAGCACGTCCCCACCCAGGACTTCACCCACGCACAACTTTACCAAATCTATGCCGCCTACACCTCAGAGCGCGACACCCCAGCCGACTACGTTGATTGCATCCTCTCCCGTGCTGAGCCCAGCAATCCCCTCCTCCCCGTCACCTACCCCAGCTTGCCCCACGCACTCGCCTCCCTCCCCAACCTTCACGCCATCACCGTCACCTTCGGCATGGAGCACCAGCAATTCTACCCCGTCTACGACCACACCTGGCGCGGCCTCGCCTTTGGCAAGCCGGACCCCGAACCCCCGGGTGACCGCGACAACCAAAAAGCCATCGACCTCTCCTGCCTCATGCACGCACTCGGCCGAGCCACCACCACCACCACTCGCAGACTCCCCCTCCGCACCCTCACCATCCCCACCATCGGCCCCAGCATCTTCGGCCCCATCGCCCTCCAACGCCTCTGGAACATCGACGGCCCCTCCCGCCCAGCCCGCAACTCCTCCCTCTCCTACCCACGCCGCTCCACCAACAACCCGCACAGCCACCACCGCCTCCCGACACTGACCTCCGTCACCGTCGCCGCCGCTGTCGCCCCCACCGCCAGCGACTCCTCTTCCTCCTCCGACGACGAACAGTCCCTTTACCACTCCAACTTCCGCACCTTCACCGCCGTCGCCGCGGGGCTCACTCGGCTGGACCTGCATCTCAACTGGAGCAGTGTGGGCGGAGTACGCAACCTGGTGAACCCGCTGGCGGCGTTTCTTGGGGCGGCGAGGGGGCTGGTCGAGCTGGCGCTGGTGGTGGAGCGGGAGGGCATGGCGGCGGGCAGGTGGAGGGGGTACTTGACGCCGGATGATGAGCTGTGGAGGGGGAAAGACGTGTTGTTGGCGATGCTGGGCCGCAGGATGGGGGAGCAGGATGAGGGGGAGGGATGGGGGGAGGGGGTCGAGGAAGAAGGAGAAGGAGAAGAAGAAGAGGAGGGGGCCGAGCACGATGTCGAGGTGGTGGGGGTGCGGTGGCCGTGTCTGCGGAAATTGACGCTGGGCATGGCGACGACGGAGGACGGCTTGCTGGGCCTGCTCGGGCGCGTCGCGGGCACTCTGCGCAGCCTGACGCTGTGCAATGTGCGCTTCGTGCCGCGGCTTGGCGACTGGGGCTGCGCTTTGCGGGAGATGCGGGAGGTGCTGGAGCTGGAAGAGTTGGAGATGAGCCGGCTGATGCATGACATGGCGGGTTTCTATGTCATGCTCGCTCCGAGGAATATTGGGGTCGTGTGCGTGGAGGATTCGATGGCGGACAAGCGGTATCGGATGATATATCGGCATTATGAGGCGCAGGTGGTTGATTACGTTATGAAAAAGAGCGATAGGGAGCCCGAACTCGACCAAGGGGCGTTTTTCCAGAATCACCCTGAATACTGCGAGTGGTGCAAGGAGCAGAGTTTAGAAAATGAGGGAAAATATAACCAAACATCACTACAGTAGTTGCTTTTGAGCAGACTGTCAGCACGAAAAACTGTCGACTCTACTTACTTAAATATATAGAGAATACATACAAAATCATTCAAGGGAGCACCACAAAGTGAGGCCGGGCAAGAAAAGAACATGAATTACTCTTGACAGAGTATTAGAAAACGTGGCTAAACACCGAACCGCCCTGTATAACTCCCAAACACCAATATCCTGCTTCAAAATCCCGTGGTATCGCGTTCCCCCTCCAAAAATTTCAGAAGTCGTTAGAGCCACGCACCGGCAACACTGGCGGACGGCTGATATAATCCTATGATTATATGTGATCCCAGATGAAGTCGGCATGGTACTTTCTCGAGACATTACTGGTAAAGTCAAGGTGTTTTGAGTCGCCCTTACGGGTTTTGCTGACGAGAGAAGCTTTGGTGTAGTTGCCAGACAAGGGATCGATTTCGGGGCTGATGCCCATCATGCGGTAGATTCGGAGCTTGAGTCTGCGATTCACACTGGGTTAGTATCAGGGAAATTTTTTGAAAGGGAATGGTCGGACTTACAGGAGGGAGTCTTCGTCGCTTTCATCAAACCTCCGCATATTTCCACCTTCGAGACCCTGCGCATCGACCTCGTCGAGCTCAGCCTTTAGACGGTCCAGCTCCGACGCCAGGCGCTCTTCCTCGATTTCTAGATCAGAGACCTGCTTCGCAACCTTGAATTTCTCGGTGTCCAGGCGCAAGATATCGGCGGCATGCTCGGCAGGGTTGTGCGATTGGGTCAGGACGTTGTGCTGGGACTGGAGGGAGCTCAGGTTGCGAGAGAGCTGGTGCAGCTTGTCCTGTTCGACTTTGATTTGGTCTTTGCGGAAGCGTTCGAGGTTCCTGTAGGAGCTCTCGCTGCGTCCTATCGCTGCCTTGTCGGGCGCGACGTTGAAGTTGCTAACGCATTGGCTGATAATCTGTTTGCAAGGAACGCAATTAGCTGGGAAGCAGCAGGACCAAGTCTGGTATGGCATACCACCGCTGGGTGTTCGTCGAGAAGCATCTTGGGTATTGTCGTCTGGCAGTGTGGTGGTTTGCGTAGGTTTGCGACGAAGTGTAGAAGCGGGGCGGAGATTGTTTGGGGCGAGTTGGCACGGGAAGCTGCCGTGTTTTGGTTTTCACGTTTGCGGGCTAGCGCGCTGTGCCACAGGGCGGCGGGCGGTGAGCGCAGGGTGGCGCCGTACGTCAGCGGTCCCAGGCCCAAGACCAAGCGCGACCCGCGACCGGGCGGCGGCAAGCGCTCTTTACAACCTCACGAAACACTCGCAGCCCGAGCAGCACGCCCTTCCACCTACTGCGAACGCGATAAGATGGCGCCCTCTTTGCCCTGTACGTCCCGTCGCTGCGCATGCTGCTACTTCTGAAGACCCAAACCGCGAGCCGCAGCTAACACGCGCTTTGCAACAGATGCCGCTGATGCGGAGAGGTAAGACACCTCCGGAAGCCCGACAGCGACGCCGAACTCAAGGCAACATGCACTCTGACGACGTCCAACAGTCCGCTTAAGCCAGAGGAACTTCAGGTTCTGCGCTCCCAGTACGAGAAGGAGGGCGAATACGTAGGCATCCAAACCAAGTTCAACTACGCATGGGTATGGCTTCCTCTCCCTTTCTGCGCCGCTGCTATTCCCTGGCCTTCCAGATGCTGATTGTCTGCGTTGCAGGGCCTCATCAAATCCACGCAACGTAGCGAGCAACAAGAGGGTGTGCGCCTCCTCTCCGAGATCTTCCGCAACAGCCCTGAGCGTCGCCGCGAATGCCTTTACTACCTTGCGCTGGGCAACTACAAGCTCGGCAACTATGCTGAGGCACGCCGCTACAACGAGCTGCTGCTGGATCTCGAGCCTGCCAACCTGCAGGCCGGAAGCCTGAAGACACTCATCGACGACCGCGTCGCGAAGGAAGGCATGGTGGGTGTTGCCATTGTGGGTGGTATCGCGGTGGCGGCAGGTGTCGTGGGAAGCTTGCTCATCAGGAGCTCGCGCAGGAGGTAATTCAACATATATATATACAAGGCTACATGGCTGGGAGGATACGGTTGCGAGGCAGGCTGGCATTCGCGGAGGATGTTTGGGCGGCGTTGGGGCAGGTGCGATTTATTGCTGATTCACGATCTTCTGTAGCATAGCGCTTGTTTTAGCAAGGTAACAAGCTCACTCAGCGTGTCGGTCCTTGTCGCTTCTTCGGGGGTGGTGGGGAAGGATATGGAAGACGGCGGAATCCGGGCCCGACCACGGCGAATGATGAGTCAAGACAGGCAAAGGCAACGTGTCGCGCGTGTCTTGAATTCTACAACGTGAATGAGTTCGTGGACCCTGGGCCTGCCGACGTGGTGCATGTGCGGCGGCAAAAGCTTGGCAACCGCGTCCCAGCTATCGATTGCGTTTGCAGCAAGCCCGCGCCGCTCTGGCAATCCAGCTCTTCCGCCCTGTGCCTTCTCCGCGCCCTCCTCCGCTTATTCCTAACACGCCTTCTTTCGCTGCTCTTACTGTCTCTTGTACAGCGCCCTCATCTTGTGCCTGTGCCTTCCCGCTCACCTGCCCCCCCGCAACGACCACCCGACCCGGCGTATGACATAGCCTCGCCGGCTGCAATCCGCCGCCAATCCGAGACATCGCGGCCCGCCAGCAGCTACATACTCCAAACCTCAGACTGGCCTTGTGCCGCCGCACACCAGCATTCCTACCTGCGTTGACGACCGTCTGCCATCTCCGCTTTGCGCTCCTCGCTCTTCGTCGCATCTTTTGCCCCGTACAATCCCAAGGCGCTGCTCTTTGTCAGCCTTGCCCGCGCAGGGTACATCGCCACCAGCACGCGAGTCGTGGCTGTGACTTGGTCACCATGAGCACACCCCAGACAAATCGCGAGATGGTCTTCTGCCATCAATGCGAAAACGAGTGGTATCGGGACGAGCATGGCCTGACATGCCCTGACTGTCACTCCGAGTTCACCGAAATCGTGAGTGATCATCTGGAATCTCCCCCATGTTACTCAGCCCATGTACCTCCGCCCATAGGCGCATAACCTGTCGCCGCTTATGCGCAACACCAATCGCTCCAGCCGCATTACCCCCAAAACATTACCTGCTAAGACTACCCTTTAGATCGAACCCGATCACGACCCTCGCGACGACCATCTGGACCCGGAAGACGAATTCGAGGAGGAGGCGAATCCGTTTGCCCTTCACAATCCTTGGAACGCACCGGATCCTGAAGAAGGCGTGCCCGAACCGATTCAGGGAGCCTTCCCGCCAGGAATTCGCCTACAGCGCAACGGTCCCAACAGTTATTCTATTACCGGCACCTGGTCAACGTCTTTCGGAGGTGCTCGTTCACCACTTGAGAACCAAGGCGAGTTCGGCGAGCCCAATGCTTTCGTAAACCCGCTATTCCGTAATTTTGCCAGTATGATGCAAGGAATTGCCGGGGGTCAACCACGGGCAAACCATGGCGAGCAAGAGCACGGTGAGAGTGAGGGACAGCCTGGTTCGTCGGCGAGAGAAGAGACTAGGTCAGGCAGTGGCCCGCATTATACATACACGTCAACTGCAAGACTGTTCCCGCGGGACGCGAACAACCCCGGCCCGCACGTCGAACCTACCGATAGCCTGCATGAGTAAGTTACAGAACCTTGCTTTTTTTATGGGGGGGTATTTCTGGCCTAAACAGCCTTACGCCAGCCGGCATTGCATACTTTAGGAGCAGGCTGACTGCTGGCTTGCCTCTTTCATTTTCGATGACTTACGCCCTTTGATACTGACTTACAACTTTAGGGTAATTGCCGGCATTCTAGGCGGCGGTGCGTTTGGCCCGCCTCCTTTTGCGCAAAACCGTCAACACGGTCCTGGATCCCCCGGTGGCGAGGGTGGTGTGCCCCCGAATCCGCTTGCCACCTTATTTGCATCCCTCCTCAATCCGCAACTTGCCGCACATGGAGATGCCGTGTACAGTCAAGAGGCGCTCGATCGCGTCATCTCTCAACTGATGGAACAAAATGCTACTGGCAACGCTCCGGGACCGGCCTCCGCAGCGGCAATCGCAGCCCTGCCGAAGAAGCGTGTCACTCGCGAAATGGTCGGCGCCGGTGACTCTCCACCCGATTTCCCAGAGAGTGAGCTTCATGGCGAGTGTAGCATATGCATGGACGAGGTTCCGATCGGTGCAGAAGTAACAGAGCTTCCATGCGGTCATTGGTTCCACGGTCAGTGCATCGAGGCATGGCTGGGCGAACACGATACCTGCCCCCACTGTAGGAAAGGTATCGAGAAGAAGGAAAATCAGGACGGACAACAAGGAGGAAACGGACCCAGTGGCGGGGCTGCAGGCTCATCTGGATCTGGATCTGCATTTGGACCCGGAAGCGGCAGCCTTGGCAACAACTCGGGAAACGATAATAACAACGGCGGCGGATCTACGAACAACCCCGATGATCATTTCGTCCCTAACATGCCTGGAGGGCTGTACAGCACATCTTTCTATTCGATGGGCGCACCACGCTCTCAAACGCGTTCACCCTTCGAGTTTCCTCTTTTCGGCATCCCACATGCTGTGACTTTCCCCCAACCGCCCTTCGCCGCCAGCCAGGATTCATCGGGACAGCCGCCAATGCGGGACCACCGCTACAGCCACCGGAATAGCGAGCCCTTTATGCGGATTTGGCAAGGTGCCTTGAACGACCACGACCGGATGATGCACAATGGCGGCGAAAGCACACACGTGATCATCGTACGCCCCCAGCGCCGGAGACACAGCTTCAGCCGGGTGTTCAGCAACGTCGGACATAGCATGACTATGGCAGCAGGCAGTGGCGGTGGAGAGAGGCCAGGCATCGGTGAGCGACTAAGGAGCTTATTCCGCTCCTAAAAAAAATTACCTTTTTCTTCCTAGACTTGAGCAAGTGTGCTGTTCTGACTTTTGGCGCTTTTCTTTCAACACTACTTTAGTGGTGATATAGGGAAGGAGGTGAATAAACCGTGTGAGCGGAAGTGCACGAAGCGGTTCTCTCTGTTTTCTCCACACCCCCAAACATCTATCAGAGGCGCGAGCCATTTTAGCGAGCGTAGTAGCGGCGGCGGCGGAACTGGGATGAGGCTGTTTTTGCGGAGATAGATATGGCTAGCTAGCTTGTTGGCCACTTGGGATTTCACGGCTGCAATTATGATATTATTCCTCGGTCCGGGTTACTTTGAAATTATCCATCTCGATCGTTAGTGAAAGGAAGACTATCTTTCTAGGGAGGGGAGGGACGTATTGAGGTGACTAGAGGAGCGAAAAGCCAAATACGCAAGTGAAGGGGAAAGCTTGGACTGCTCTGGAGGATGGTATGTACATACAAGGTGCTGGGGATATTAAACGGCATTTCGGACCTGTAAAAGAAGCAAGGAAAGGCAGCAGAATCTTTGCTCTTTACATGTGCCATCACGACATTTCCCGCGCAGGTTTCTGTCCACCAATTCTATGCTGGCTCCGTTCTTCCTCGACCCATCTTGAGCGCATGTACAGATATCGAAAGTGAAGACCGTGATGCAACAATGTATCATCCCGTTTCTCTTCTGAATCATGATCTCAATGCACTGCTCTTCTAAGAATCTATTAGAAGCATGCTATCTACGTGGACCATTAATTATTTCCACGCCAAACCTCGTTTAATTTAATGTCGCTTTCGTCTATATACCGTGTGCTATTGAACTCAAACAAACAGAAGAGCGGTATGAATTGCAGCTGGGGGATATTGACCGTGCTATTCAATGCTCTACACGCCCCTTTCCACCGGCACCAACCCCGAAGGACCGATATTTAAATGCGCGCTATATTTGCGATGTCAATGATCGCTATGCCAATGCTCGCCATGCCACCAAATAATGGACATGGAAAAAAAAACCCCCCAAATGGTATCGACAAGGAAAAACAGAGAAAGGAAATGGATGAAAAACAAGACCAACAAACTCCAAAACCAAAATCAGACTCCACTAAACGCACACCTCCGCACACCCCCGACCCGATGCGCGATCCATGACACACACCCTGCCAAATCACATGACTGTCCTCGCCGAACTGAATACCTTCATCAACTCAACCCCTTCCGACGGACTCAGAAACTGGTCGAGCAGCTGATGCGCCATGTCAACAACCTCCTCCTCAATCCCGGCCTCCAGCACCCTCGCGCCGCCAAACCCTCCCGCAGCAGCCGGGCCGCCGTCGTCGCCGTCGTCGATGACGTCGGCGTCGGCGTCCACGTCGACGAACGCGAGGCGGGTCAGCGCGACCAGGTGGGCGTGGCTGGCGCCGTGCACGGCGTGGAGGCGGTCGTGGCGGTCGACCAGGTCGCGCGTGGCGGGGTCGGTGATCAGGATGAAGGCGATGCGCGTGCCGAGGTTGGCGATGCGGCCGAGGGTGGCGGCCAGCGGGGTGCGCGGGGCGGTGGCGTAGAGGGTTGCGACGGCGTCGTTGAGGCAGACGAAGAGGCGGCCCAGGAAGTACTTGTGGGTCGCCAGCGTGGCGGCGGCGGCTGGGGATTGGAGGAAGGCGGAAAAGGTGTGGAGGAGCGTGAGGCGGAAGGACCACAGCGCGGGCTGGGAGGGCACGACGTCCGGGGTCTCGCGGAGGAGGGACGTGAGGTGGTCGGTGGCGGTGATTGCTTTGTTCAGATTGGCGCTGTTGGCTGGTAGGTCTGCTGGATCGTAATCGGGTATGGGGCCGACGCTCGTTGGAGTAATGCTTGTTGCGAGAAGCTGGACGGTGAGCGAGAGGGTGGAGAGGAATGGAGATTTGAACAGAGCTCTGATGAAATCGCGAGAGATGAGAGACCAGAATCGCGTTGTGGCTTCAACATCACGTGCGCAGCTTCGGGATACGGTAAGCATGAGGCAAAGACACTCCTGAAGGTCGATGTGCTGCTTGAGTTCGGGGTTGTCCAACGATGTCCAGACAACGAGGTTGGCCGAAGTCTGTGCTAAAGGCACGATTTCCCCGGCCAAGGATGCCGTCTTCTCAAGCGGCTCAAATGCAAGGACGAATTGCAAGGTGTCGAGAATGAGATGGAGTGGTTCATACTGACAAGATCAGCTCCTGACGTGTAGACAAGGACCGAGACACCACTTACATAGTCCTCTTGTGCACATCGGTCCCATATAGATAGGAGGATTCGACAAAAGTGGAGTGGAAAATCGCTTGATTCGTCATGGTACAAGGATATCCCATCGTAAATGACAGAGGATAACAGACGTCCAGGTAATGATGGAAAAGCAAACCTGGTAAACGCCTCGAAAGTTCTCACGCGCAGACCTGCAGGTCGATGGTTCATGAGTCTTTGGAGAAGCTTCCAAATAAATTAGCAGGAATCAAGTGGTCTGGAGAGGGTTCTTACTTTGAACCTCGCATCGCTCTTGCTAGCGCTCGCAGGAACATCGCGTTCGGCATCCGGCATTATGATAGATTCATCATCCGGTACCTGAGGCTGCTGAGGCTCCGAGAGTGGAAGAGGCTTCGCAGGGCTTGCCTCTATGGCATTGCGCTTTCTTTTTGCGCCTTGTCTAGGAGTACCATTTCTTGACTTGTCCCGCGATTTGCTGGGTGAAACCTCCTTGACACCGCCGTCATCGAACCCGTCCCCGAACTCATGTCTCCGGTTTCGCTTAGGCGTAGTTGCCTGCTGCTTCCCAGAATTGCCGTGGGCGGTACCATCTTTCAGGTTCCGTCGAGACTTTGCCTTGCTGGCTTCTGTCCTTAAGTCGTGCTCCATGAAGCCATATTCGCTCTTCAACCTCTCGGCTTCTCGGGTCAGCACTTTGATTTGAGTCTCGAGAGCGGCGACCTGTTCCTTGTGGGTCCTTTGCATAGATATAATCTCTGCCACATGGACTTTGTCCGCCTTTTCAAGCTTCACGCGCACTAAGGCCGCTTCGCCGGCCCTTTTCAGAGCCTGAGACTCGGCCTCATTCTTTATTTGGTTGACATTGGCGATAGCTTCTACGAGCTGCGGCTGTCAGCAAGCGGACCGCTACGGGTGGGGCGCACGGCTCTGCTATACCTCGTCAATCTTGGCTTTCAATTTTTCCCTGCCGGCATTGGCCAAGTCGTCGGCGGAGAGTAGCGGAGGTACGGAGGACGGCGCAGTGACACCAAGATCATAGTTGCTGTTTCTCGCGTGTCTGTTCAAGCGATGCTTGTAAAAGTGCTCGCGCTGATTGGCGGCCAAGTCCTGAGCGGTCCGTCGCGTGGTGGCTGTCACGGTAGGACTTCCGCCAAAGCGCTGCAACGGGCCGGTGACATTCTCCGCGGGCAATTTGGCGAGAAGGGGCTGGCCGTCCAGCTGGATGGAGTCGGCGTCAGGGAAGTCGTACTCGGACGGCGGCAGAGCTGGCTGTGGCGGGGCTTGGGTGTTCGCATCGGGCGGCGCGTTGGAGTTCCTGCGGTGCTGGGTCGAGGCAAAAGCCTGGGATTCCAGCTCGCAAATCTTGTCGAGGGAGAGGGCATCGAGCTCGTCGGCCGAGCCGAACTCGTCGTCGTCGCCGGCCATGCCATTGACGGGCGCGTGCTTGTCAATTGAGCGTAGTGGCTGCGGCGCGTCGCGGAGATGATGGGCGGCCGGGGTTGCTCAGGCATCCGGGCGGCCTTCACATGTGGGCCTGCCTGCCAGGTGCTTTGCAGCCTTGGCGCGCTCGTTGACGTAGATCAGCAGCCTCCGCAACGCTCCCTCACTCCCTCACCTCGCCATCCGCCCGCACAGCCTACATCGCTCGCCAGAGCACCACGGCCAGCCGCTCGTCGCCCAGACGCGCGCTGAAAATTCACCCGACACCGCCGCTCCCAGTGACCGCGCCGCCCTGCTCCGCGCTCCGCCCAAACGCGAAAACGTTGAGTGCGCCGGCTCCCATTCTGCCTTCCAGCCCCCATCCGACGAGGACACACAGCGTCAGAAGCTTGCGAAAGAGCAGGGGCAAACGCTTGGTTGGTAGCAGCGTCGTGACACCGTCGCAACCATGACGAGGCCGAGGAAGGACGTCAAGTTCCAACACCGCGGCAGCGGCAGCAGCGGCAAGGGCAGGAGAATGTCCATGTCTGAGCTCAGCGAGCCGCACTCCGAGCCCGGCAGCCCTACCAGGAACGGCGCCGTCGCGAAGCCAGAGGTCGGTCCACCGACGTGCGAAAAGAGAACGGCGGCTGACAGGCAACAGGAACCTCCCAAGTCTGAGTACGAGAAGAAGAAGGAAACGTTTATTACCCGCACCATCTGGACGCTGGTCATGATCGCCGTCTTTTTCTGGGCCATGTTCGCCGGGCACATCTACATCATCATCATCGTGACTGCGGTCCAGATCATTTCCTTCAAGGAAGTCATCGCCATTTCCAACGTACCTAGCCGCGCCCGGAGCTTGAGGTTTACGAAGAGCTTGAACTGGTATTTCTTGGGTTCGACAATGTACTTTCTGTACGGAGAAAGTGTCATCTACTACTTCAAGCACATTATTCTCGTCGACAAGATCCTGCTGCCATTTGCTACTCACCACCGCTTCATCAGCTTCATGCTCTACGTCACCGGTAAGCCCGATGCGCGCCCGGCTTCCAAGCCCTACCCACTGACCTTCTTCTCAGGCTTCGTGTTCTTTGTTGGATCGCTGCAGAAGGGACATTACAAATTCCAGTTCACCCAGTTCGCCTGGACTCACATGGCACTGTACCTCATCGTGGTTCAAGCGCACTTTATCATGAACAACATCTTCGAGGGCATGATCTGGTTCTTCCTCCCAGTCTGCTTGGTTGTCACGAACGACATTTTTGCCTACATTTGCGGCATTACGTTCGGGCGCACCCAGCTCATCAAGATCTCGCCCAAAAAGACGGTTGAAGGCTTCCTGGGTGCTTGGATTTTCACCATCCTCTTCGGCGTGCTCCTCACGAACGTCCTGATGCGCTACAAATACTTCATCTGCCCTGTCAATGTAAGTGCACGTCTCCTCGCATCTTTGACACTCGACTCACGGGAGAATAGGATCTCGGAGCAAACGTCTTCACTGGCCTGGAGTGCGACGTTAATCCAGTCTTCATCCCCCACACCTACCGTCTGCCGTTCATCCCTCCGAACTGGACCCACCTCCCCACCAAGGTTACTGTCGCGCCTATGCAGTTCCACATTCTCGTCTTCGCGACCTTTGCTTCCCTTATTGCTCCGTTTGGTGGATTCTTCGCGTCTGGCCTCAAGCGTACTTTCAAGATCAAGGACTTTGGCGACTCGATTCCCGGACACGGTGGCATGACGGATCGCATGGACTGCCAATTCATCATGGGTTTCTTTGCCTTCATGTACTACTCGAGCTTCATCGCCGTGTACAAGGCGAGCGTTGGTGGCGTCATTGAGCAGGCCATCAACGGACTCACTCCGGATCAGCAGATGGAGGTGGTGAAAGGCTTGAGCAAGCATCTCGTGAACCAGGGCGTTATTCCCTCCGCTGTGAGTGACCTGCGAGCCGGCTCACAGACCTAAAACTGATTTGATATTTCAGGTCCTCGCGTATCTCTCCGACGAACTCAAGCAGATATGAACAAGGCTTTGATAAAAGCATCAGTTCTTTCTTCCAACAACATGCATTGATCCCCCCCCCTCGCAAACCGGATACCCGAGGGCTTAATTTCATTGTGCTCTTCAGCAATGGCTATGCGGAGCCCTTTCTGGTGTAATCATAGTTACGTCTTTCCTCTCCTCGTTTGGTGCGCTCGGCTGGCCGAAGATGTTGAAGTTGGGTTGCCCATCTGAGCACACAGTGGCCTTGGGTCACAATACCTCATCTTTCTCCACGTGTCACAGGTGGGGCGTCGCTATGGTCTCGATGTGGCTGCGGAACGTTTGTTTTCTTTTTTCTCAGCGAGGGTGTGTTTACGTGGGGCACGGTCAAGACGTTGGGTCGTTGAACATGGACAGGAATGTTCCAAGGGCGTGAGGGCGCAGGAAAGTTGATGTTTGGTCGGTCTAATAGAAGGCCTGCAGTCTACAGTTGAGCGGATGGATGAGGCGTCGGGATGAGGATGGAAGCTACCACAAGAGAAAGGGCTGTGCCAGACCAATGCAATACCCATCTTTTTTCCCAAGCTTTTCGCAATTCGGAGTGACATAGGGACGAGAAAAGCAGGGTCTGCGCTCGGTGTTTGAGGTGCCCACTGCTCCTTCCTGGAAGGAGCAACGCATTCTTCGTCGGGCCTTCGGCTTCACTTCCAACTTCGCCGCCTCGCACAGACCTGAGCTCACTCCTCATCAAGCTGACTAACCTTCCAGGATCCCTTTGCTACTCTCGCAACGCCGTTCGTGATAGTGCGCAGCGTCATTGGAAGACGGCCGATGGCTTGCAGACGGAACCAACTTTACCACATACAATGCTTCCCTGTCCGCTGTCACAAAACCTTATCTCAACATCCATCCAGACCGTATGCCAACGTCTTCGCCGCCCTCCCGTCTACCTGAGCACCACCAGCCTCTCATCCGGCAGCCTACCCGTCGTCCTGTGACACGGCTGCCGTGCTAAGCCCTGCGCGCCACGGAAACGCCGGGTAGGCAACTCGCAGGACCGACAAGTGGCAATGCTCATCTTCTCCTCCACATCAAACGCCGTGTGAGGACCTGGAATCATTGGCGGCGGGCCGAGAAACTCTTGTGGTGCAGCCATAGGCCAGGCGTCTCGGATCTCCGGAGTGAGCAAAACGAAGAAAGCATCGACTCGAGAGGGCGTTTTCACTCCCCAATATACCCCGCACATGGGCCAAGAGCCGGACACCAAGGAAGAAATGTAGGAGTTTGGTAGCAGAAGAGGAAACAGGCAGAACATGGCAGTGGGGCCGTTGACACTCTGGCAACGGTCAAACGGATTTGGCCATCCTATGCGAGCACCAACGGCAGCCCGTGGGGCCCCGAGCCTCTGCCACTTGTTTGACATTTGTTCCTCTGGGTCAGTCTAAAATGGTCCAAACAGTGACGCACGTCGGCGAATGCGGGGGAGCAACGTTACCCGAGCCAAGCTCCCAAGAACGCCTTCACGTACCGCTCTTCGTCGACCTTGCTGTCCAATCCGACTCTGCGCGACACTGAGCACGTATGCACCTTGTCTTAGCCACAGGCGCCACGGCTGTTTGCTGCGAGCCGCCCTCACTCCACACATGTTGGCCGGTACCTTTCCCCTCACTGCTCCTCCGCCTTCGTACGAGTACTACATCTCCGCGGCGCAGTTGCAGCCGCAGCAGTAAGCCCGAACCTTCCACTGGGCCCGCTATCAGGTCCTCGTGATACACCATGTACCGTGCCATCTTGGCTCGACGCCATGGCTTTTCACCGTCATCACCGGTCTTCGGACTTCAACAAGGCCTTGCCAAAGGCCTTGTACACGTATAAAAGTGCCCGTGGGCACGTATGTTCCTCGACACTTCGCAGCAAAGACTTGCTTTTCAGGGCTTGTCTGAACACCTGCCGCTGTTCCTCGGTCCATCAAGCCCACAATGCATTGGCTCACGTCCCCCCTCACTCGCCTGGCGACAGGCGCCGCTCTCGTCGGGGGTGCATCAGGAATCAACCTGAAGGTGGCCACAAGCGGTGGAAATGCCACCTCTCCGCTTATGTACGGCTTTATGTTCGAGGTGGGGTTTCCTCAAGCATATATACGTACAAATACTCACAGCTCCCCAGGATATCAACCACTCTGGCGACGGTGGTATCTCCGGCCAGCTCTTGCGAAACAATGGCTTTCAAGGCGACGATGATAACACCACTGCCTATGCTCCCATTGGCGACGTTGATCTATCAGTTGACTCCAACAACCCGCTCACAACTGCTATCCAACGCTCTCTTGCAGTGGCAGTGCCGGAAGGCGCAACAGGCGACGTTGGTTTCAGCAACGAAGGCTACTGGGGCATTCTGGTCAACGCTGATCAGTATTTCACCTCTTTCTATGTCAAAGGAGCCTACAGCGGCAGCGTGACCATCAAGCTCGTCGGCAGAGACAGTGGAACCGAGTTCGCCAGCGTTACTCTGGATGTCTCCAGCAACACCAACGATTACACATATTACCAGACTAATTTCGAAAGCCGACAGGCCCCTGACGGTCTGAACCTGTGGACTCTGACTTTTGACGGTGGAAAAACTGCAGGCTCTACTCTGCACTTTGATATCATCACGCTCTATCCCACGACTTTCCACAACAGGCCGAACGGGCTGAAGCCGAACATTGCTAATACGTTGAATGATATGGGGGCCACCTTTTTGCGCTTCCCCGGCGGCAACAACTTGTAAGTGAGATCCGGAGAAATCGAGTCCTCTGAGCCGGACTCTAACAAATCCGCCAGGGAAGGAAATAGTGCGGATAACCGGTGGAAGTGGAACCTGACGATAGGACCACTTGAGGATCGTCCTGGTCGACAGGGTACGTCTTTGACCCACATATATATTAGCATGTGCTGACATCAACCACAGGTGTTTGGGGGTACCCGAACACGGATGCGCTTGGTATGTGATCCTTCATACCATGGCCTGAAGGATTTTGCTGACGCCTTGACAGGCATAGTCGAGTACTTCGAGTGGTGTGAAGACATGAATCTCTCGCCCCTTCTCGCCGTCTGGGCTGGATTTTCGCTCAACTCTGGCGGAGACACGCCCATCACCGGCGATGCCCTGAATCCCTATGTCGACGACGTCCTGAACGAATTAGAGGTATGCACCCCCCTCGACCCATAAACCCCCCTTTCCCCCTTGCTGACCGACGTGACCCGGTTGGCAGTTCGTCCTCGGTGACTCATCCACGACCTACGGCGCCCTCCGCGCCTCCCTCGGTCACTCTGATCCCTTCCCGCTCCAGCATGTCGAAATCGGGAACGAGCCCAACCTTGGGGGCGGCTGTGAATCTTACGCTACCGACCGCTTTCCTCGCTTCTACAACGCCATAAGCGCCGCCTACCCCTCCCTCACCATCATTGCCGGAACTGACGACCTGACCTGCTTGCCCTCGCCCGTCCCAGCCGGTGTTGTCCTGGACTACCACAACTACGGCGCGTCCCCGGAACTCGTCGCCAACTTCTCTCAATTCGACCACTACGACCGTAGCAACCCACTCCTCATCGGCGAGTTCTCGGCATACGCCTCGCAGGCCAACGACAACGACGAGGAAGACCCCAATGACAATGCGTACCGCAACGTTTACCCGTACATGGGCGGCAGCGTCGCCGAGGCCGTGTACATGCTGGGCTGTGAGCGTAACGCCGACCTCATCCGCATGTCCGCCTACGCTCCGCTCCTACAGCTCTTCAACAGCACGCAGTGGACCCCCGACCTCGTCGGTTTCACGCAGGACCCTGACGGCATCGTGCGTAGCACCAGTTTCTTTGTCCAACAGATGTTCGCTCAGCACTGGGGCAGCACCACCCGTGCCATCGACTCGGATACCGGCTTCGGTCCCGTGTATTGGGGCGCGTCGGCGAATGAAGGCAACGGGGAGACGTACGTGAAGCTGGCCAACTACGGCAATGACTCGCAGAGCGTTAGCATCAACGTGGCGGGTGCTTCGGCCGGTACGCTAATCATCCTGAGCGCGCCCGAGTCGACCCAGAACAGTGTTGAGGTCGGTGAAATCGTCAAGCCCGTCATCAGCACCCCGGACCTTTCCGACGGCACCTTCACAATCCAACTGCCGGCTTGGGGCGTGGCGGTGCTGGTGGCGTCGGGGTCGTCGTCATCATCGGGTGATACGACTATAACTGGAGCGTCTGCGGAGACAACGTCTACTGCGACAAACACAGCAATCGCGACGGTGACAACACAGTCGACTGTGGTGACGGACGGGACCGAGGTCGTTCAGACGATCACGAGCACTGTGGCCACAGTGTGGGAGACGACGACGGTGCTGCCGGCAGGTGTGGTTACTACCGCTGAGTTCAAGGGCAGAGGGTATCAGAACCGAAAGGGCTCGGACGGTGAGCGGGGAAGCGGCAGACACTCTTGGCCATCGTCCCACGGATCTGTCTGGATTTGAAACTGATTGTCTGCGTCATTTAGCAAAGTAATGCTTTAGCGCAGCGAGCACACACCCTGGCATTCTGGTACATACATAAAAAAATGCATACGTCTTTTCACATACTTCGGAGTTGTGCTTCCGTCGTACGATTGCTAGTGCCGAGGCTGTGCTTTGTTTACACAGAGAGGTTGCTGCAAACTTGGTTCACCACCGGGACCTTGTTGGTGCCTCTGACGCGCGAAAGTAGTGTACCTTTTATGCGAGCGTATCATTGGTCATGCTTGTTTAGCTTGTGTTCAAGCTTCTTCGGAGAAGTCGCGTTCGGAAAGTGGGGGAATTTTTCTCGGTCATGTGAAAAGGCATCCGTCTGCAGCCCGTTTCGAAGACGCCCCCACTTCTGTAGTAGGTAGGACGGAAAGAGGGGGGAGGTAAACAGAGAGAAAGAGAGAGCTCACATCACTTACCTATCGAACTTGCTCGTGCTCACAGATGATGGTTGCGGTCTTTCCTCGCTGTGGTAGTGACCAACAAGGTCTGTTCATTAGTACATTACCGACCGCCTACAATAGATGGGGCTTCAACTTGAAAGCCATAAGTCTCAACGCGCACCTCATCCCCACTCATTATTACATCCGTCGTCCAGTAGTTACTCTCGTCCAACATTCCCCCCCTCTCCTTCGGCCAGAGCGGAACCAAAAACACACAGCGCCGCCCCCCTTCCTTCATAGTAGGCACATGTGTTCGAGGAAAAACAAAAAAAAAAAAAACAGGAGGAAGAGTAAGAAGTGACGCACATGCAACGTCTCACCCCTCCCTCCCTTCCTTCCCAGTTCCATTCACAACACGCAAGCCCCTGTTCAGCCGAGCCCTGTAACCCGTATACACAAAGCCCATTTCGTCCCCGGAAGAGAGAAGAGCACCTTGCTCTCCCCCCCAAGGCCATGGCTATGAAGCCAAGCCAAAACAAACCTACCATGGTTTCTCTTTTCCAAAGCACCATCCGCAGCAAGGTGAAAGCGGCAAATGTTCAACGAAGGGGGACAGAAAAAAAAAAGAGCGAAAAAAAAAGACGCGAGAACGAAGAGTAGTACCTAGTCAGCGCACAGACAGGATCGAAGACCCAAGAAAAGCAGACCACCTCAACAAAGAGGTCATCCGTTTTGTGAAATGATACTCTTCTACTACTTCTGTCTTTCTTTCTCTTTCTCTCTCACTCTCTCTTTTCGCGTTGCTCTCGTCCCTTGTGCGTCGACGACAGCCCCTCCCCGTTCAACCAAATCCCTTTATCATCCAGCAGTTCCAAAAAGGCCAGAGAGAAAAACAAAGGGCCAGCGAAAAGAACCAACCACCCAAAAAGTTTTAAATCCCTGTTTCGAGCTGGGATGATCATCTGTCATCCCATCCAAAACTACCGAAGGGAAAAGGAACAGGAACACACCAAAACCCAAAAGACCTCCCTTTCTTTCCAGACTTAACCCGCTTTCTTCTTCTCCAAGCCAACATCAAGAGCATAGGAGAAAGGAAAACCTAGAAGCAGGAGGAGAAATTAAAAGCCCCCCTGGTAGAACGATGCTAATATAGTACCATCGTAGAAAAGAAAATAAGGTAAAAAAAAAAAAAAAAAGGAAACTCGTAGCACTTCTATTCCCACATGAACTTGGATTCCAAAAGCACGCTTGAAGTTGCGGATTGAAGAGGAAAAAGACAAAACCCGTTGGATTGGGCAAAAAATTAGGGTCTCTTCTTGAGAAAGCCTCCGCCCGCTCCCACCTCCCTAGGCCGGGTATCGAATCGGTGGCTCAGATTACGCGAGACGGTGATGAGGGATGTCGAGGAGAGATGAATAACCACTAGCCAGGCGCAGAGGATGTTGGCGATGTGGTGGAGAAGATAGGCGTAGGTGACGCCGTAGATGGCGGCATAGCCAGCGAGGCTAAAGAGGAGGATATTGGTGAAGTAGCGGAACCTATGTTTATCGACATTAGAGCTGCGCAAAATCATCCGAAACAGCAACACACGCACCTGTTCGTCACTCTAGGCACCATTCGACCGGTACTCAGAGTCTCGACCAAGAGGATGAAAGGCATGATGGAGAGGATGTTGTGGTGCGAGGAGAACGGTGTCAACCAGTGGACGGCCAGGTTGCGGACCCAGACGACCAGGACGGGGATGTTGATTGGTAGGATCCAGATCATTAGCACTAAGATAGTTTGGCAGTAATTAAAGAAGTTGTAGTTGGCTTCGGAGTGCTGTAGCAGGTCAGTGCTCCCGTTCGCCATCAGCCCGTAGAATAGACTTACTGTCTCCCTCGCAATCCTGAGGGATCTCGTCGTCGTTGCAATGTGAACAACGCAGAGAACCATGTAGGCGAAGTGGTATGGGATGGCAGTCGAAACCATCAAAAGCAGGACGCCTGTGGTGATTACACGCTGCTTTGTCGAACTGACCGCAAACGCCGTAGGAGACCGCCTGGATCGTTGTCAGCCTTGCTGCTTCTATATCCGTGCGTGCATAGACCATTTCGTACCTTCCCTCATCGCACCGAAGCGCAGGTCTCACCCAAGTGTAAATCAATCCAAAGACATGAAGGATGATGAGAGTAACGTAATTGATCGCAACGCAGACGCCGGTGCACATCAGGCCGAACAGGGGAACAAGAAACCAGAAAAAGGTGTCCTGTGAGCCGAGCAAAAGGTCGTTCTTGGTGAAGTCTGATGGGGTTTCAGTAGCATTGCCATTGCGGGACAGGAACCAATGCGAACCATGGGATGACGAAGACTGACTGGCGCTTGCGAGAGACAAGCCGCAGAATGTAAGAGCAAGGAAGAGCACGGGAATCGACGAGCAAAGACATTGGTTCATGCTTTCCGCAAAACTCATGAATATGCCTGGAAAGTCTGTCAGTGGAGCTTCCATTTCAGGATTTATCGACCATACCTGTTTCGTCGTAGACCTTGAACTGCTTCCTCAGGACCAAAGATACGGCCACCAGAGGCAAGGTTGCAAAAACCGTCCGGTACCGCATCCAAAGTTTACCCAGGCTGCCGAAAAAGTCGACGCTCAAGTCAACCTTGACCGATGCCTCGCACGTGGGGTCAGTCCAAAGCTGGAGGGAGAGGCCGTTGAGATCGCTCATGGATTTCTCCCGCTTAAACGGCGGAGGCATATACGGTGCAACTCCGTGCAGGTTGATGTCGGCTTCCTTGGCATTGACGTAAAACTTCGATTCGTAAACTTCCTGGATATACTGCCGCAACAGCGGGGCGAAAAGCTGTCCGTCATGGCCACAGCCCTTGGAATTTGAATCGATCTTCAGCTTGTAAGCTAACAGGCTTGAATGGAGGGCCGGGACCTTAATGTCCACGACCATTGGTCGCTTTTCGGGCAATTTCACATGGAGTCCGTTGGACAACAGCTTGCGAAGTCCCATCTTAGGCTGGATGAGCGCCTGTGACCGCGCGGTGAATTCTGCCAAGACCCAGCCATTGGTGTGTTCGACCGCTTTGTCCACAACAGCCACGAATTGGTGATCAGCAAGATCTTCCAAGTCGTATTGAAGGTACGAGAAAGGCTGTGCTTTGTCGAAAGGAAACTGGGAGGCCTTCGTCGACGCGGGGAGTGATATCACGTCGCTCGCAGCGTTCTTGCACGCCAAGCGAGTAGATCCAGAACTGTCTCCGGAAAGATCCATGTCCATGGAGAATATCGCAGCCGACTGTCCTGCCTGCAACGGGAAAACGCTGCAAAATAGCACCTCAAGCTTTCCGTTGTCGCCGGTTGCGTCGATTTTCTGGTCCGTCATGAGGGTGAATTTCCTCCCCTCCGGAGCACCCTGGGGAGGGACGGGAAGAAGATAGGCCTTGGGCTTCCGTTGTTGTCCGAATGATCGCAGAGTCAAACGCTCGCCCTGGGAAATGATCGAGTTGGAGTTGTCCTCCAGCGTCAAAAGCGTCCTGGGTTCCTTGTGCGGTAGAGTTTTTTCGGCAATGTCCTCCAGCCCAGTCAAAAAGAACTTCTTAAAGCTGCGCATTCTTTCTGCTCGCGGAACCGTCTGCGTGGGGCGCGAAACATCAACGACATCATACAGAGAGCGGATGACGCTCTTCCGGAACTGATCGCACCACGTAATCGCCAAGTGATCCATTCCCGTCCACACATGTGGAATCGCCGCCGTGAACACCGTGAATCCATGCGTCTCCGGGACCAGTGAAGAAATGCTGGCGTAGTCTGAAGGGACCACAGTGTCCAATCCTCCACCGGCAATGGAAATGAGTGTGACGTGCCACAGCGGGTTGTCATTGGCCCAACGCTGCGAGTATGCCTGGCGCCAGTAATCATTGATGGTCTTGTAGGTGGTAACGATATCTGAATCGAACGAAACCGGAGGCCTGGCATGCGGAGCGGATAATGTCAAAATAGTGTTGACGGAGTTTGCCTGATAGTTCGGCATTGTGAGCATCGTCCGTGCAACGATTCCGCCCATGGAGTGTCCAACGATAATAACCGAACTCGGGTCCGGAAAGTCAGAGCTCCGCATCGACCGCGCCGGATTGTGGTACAACGAGAGAATGTAGGCCACAGCATCGTTCAAGTACTCAGCCTGATCCAGAAGGGTCTGTCCATGGAATGCCGTGATGTCCTCGTTGAAGTCGACCGAGAAGAAGTCCAATGCTCTTTTTCCGTCCGCGAGGGCGTCGGGGTCGTTCTGGATGTGGTCGTGGTAGTAGTAGGCTGCCTCTGCCGCCAGGGACCGGACCTGCTTGTAGCTGCCCGCATTGCCGGGGATGAAAAGGACGGGCACACCTTTGACCTACGACTTGTCAGCTTCAACTTGGCCTTGCACCGCAAGCGCGCCTACCCTGGTGTCTTCGTCGATGCCTCCTTCCCTGTACATGTACAACGAGTATTTGCTGGCGAAGCGAGTGTGCTCGGTGTCAAAGTCCTCATACTTGACGAAGGCAGCCCACATGCGAGACATATCGCAGCCCTTGGGGTCCAATTGGCGCGTGAAAAACGACTGGACAATGCCGAAGAGGACGACGAAGGCGGCGGCGGTGACGGCGAAGGTCAAGGTGGAGATGGACCACGGATTCCGCCATCGCGAGCGGCGGCGGGCGTAGCCTTCGTTCATGTCGTCGGGTATTATGTCCTTATCCAGCATCTTGCGCTGGAGGTCTCGTTCGGGGACGGGGGCGGTGTGGGCTTCGGACCAGGCGCGCGACTTTGTCAGAGATGCGCGGGCAACAGTCTCATTATTCCGGCGGCGCTCCTTGGCAACGCCGTCGGTGGAGGTGCGAGGCGTGTAGGTGGTCAGGTCGTCGAGGCGCTTATCGTCATGCTCGGGCGGCGAGCGCGACGCAGGAGCTGGCGGAGCTGGGGCGTCCGGGATGGCGCTGCTGTCGTCGTCCTCGTCGGTCGCGGAGCCAGATGACCGTCTCCTCATTTAAGCCAGCGCGTCTGCAGCTCACGGCGGTGGTGTCGCGGTGATCGCCCGGGGAGCCAAGAGGGACGGGCGCGCTCAGCAGCAGCGTGAGGACTGGGACCGGATGCGGCTTGTGGGTGACTCGCTCGCGGCGGAGGGGATTCTGGGGAAAACGAGTGACAGCACTCTGGCGCGGCCAGTCTCCGGGGCAGCAGACGGTCGGAGGGTCGCTCGTGGGACTGGGTCGCGGCCGGCGGTGGAGGAGGTCTGTTCGTGCCTTCTGAGCAGCGAGCGCCTAGGGACGGCCCAGCTGCGGTGCTTGCGGGAGCGGTGCCCCGTGCGATGGGAAATGCGCGCGACAAGCTTGACACGCGGTGAGGAAGCCAATCGCTGCGCGGCCAGACGTCCTGACGACTCTGCCTGCCCGTCAAGCGCAGCTCAAGGACTGGCGCGGCTTTAGCCCGGGTCGCGCGGCTCCCTCAAGGCTCGTTTCAGCGCTGCCCGCCCGATGCAGAGGCGCTCCTTTTCCGCCCGCAAACAGCCTGCCTGCCCGCCCGCCCGCCCGCCTGCCTGCAGCGCTGCAGCTCCAGCTCCCGCACTGGCTTCACGCTTGGCTCTGGCAGCCTGCTGCTCCCCACGCCCGCCATTGCCGCACCGCGCGAGCCTCTGCCGCCACGAGAGCCACACGCCATCCAAATTAGACCGGCAGCCGGCGCCCCAATCTCCGAGCATCTCGAGCCGCCCAAGCTGGCCCCAGCCCCGTACCGTTCTTGTCATGACTACTATTGCGCGCGCGGCCACCCCAGCAAAACCCGCAGAGGCCATCTGAATATTTTCGCGCCGGCCCACCGCCCGCCGCCCCTGCGCGCCAGCCGGTCAGCCGTAGGGGGGGGGGGGATGGACAGGCTCGCCGTCGCGCACCAAGCCTGCACGGCACGACGGATGGGGGTAGTCAGACGCCCGCTGCCCGTGTGACACAGCGAGGCCAATCTGCGTGGTACTGCGTCACCCACCTGTTGCAGGACGGAGCACACATCACAGCAGCACCCTCACACCCTCGGCCGCTGAACGCCTGGGTGCCACCAGCGCTGTCGCGTCATCGCAGCCCGTCTCGCAAAACTGGAGTTGCACCGCGACGGTGATGCAGGACAAGAAAAAAAACGCGTGGCCCCCTCCCCCAAGCCGCCAGTGCTGCACGAATCCCGGTCGCTCACGATCATCCTCATTATTTTTATCCCGGTCGCCATCCCGGTCGATCTCTTCGAAATTATTGAACTGGGATGCTGCTACCTCCTTGGTCTTCCAGCCTCTGCCTTCTTTCCCTTTCCATGACCGCTCACGCATCTTGCGCCAGAGGCCCAACCTTCACCGTGGGGTTCAGCTTCTCCAGCTGCCGCCGCTCCCGCTGCTGCTCCCGCTCCCTCTTTGCATTCTGCACTTTGATCTTCGCGTATCGCGACTTGGCACCGTGCTTGACTCGCGTGATCTGGTCCATGGCCTGGCCCTTGGTGATGTCCTCCACCGTCAGCTGGTTGTCCTTGTCCCGCAGCTTGTTGAGGATCTCAACCTGTGCCTCTGACGCGGGTTTTTTGCGCCAAGGCGCCCACTTTTCGATGAACACCAACGGGAATGTCTCAGCCGCGAACGTGTCGGCGCTGCGTATTGCGTGGTCTAGTGTCTCTGCCTCGGCGATGAGCTGGGATCTGCCCAAAGGGGACGATCCAGCTCTTCGTTTCCATATGGGTATAACCTGAGTATACTTGACGATGAACGACCCCTCCTCGTTCCGCTCCACAACGAGATGGCCGGTTTGGGCACACGTGAGGATGAAGCGGTCTTGTCCGACGCAAACCCACGTGAAGTTGCTTATCTTTCGGACACTTTGATCCTCAGAGGTGTCGTCAAGCAGATCGTGGATAGAACTGTAATCCGTGAATGTGACTGTACTTTTGGTCTGGACTGGGCCAGATGAAGCGCCCGGCCCAACCTGGGAGAGCTCTTGCTCGCGAATCTTTTCTTTTTCCTTTCGTTCCTGGATCTTCTTGGCATCATCTGCAGAAGTCTGTTCGAGAATAGTGTCAGGATCCAATCCCAGGAGAGTTGGCGTGGTGATGATTCCCGTTTCCAGTGTCGCGACCATGTCGATTATGTGGCAGTTTTCCTTTCCAGAGTGCAGTCGCATGCCTCGACCAATCATCTGAATGAGCAGGTTCCGTGACCTCGTGGGCCTGGCGAGAATGACGCAGTCAATGTTCGGGATGTCAGTGCCCTCGGTGAAGACTCCGCAGTTCAAGAGCACCGGGTACTCCTTGCGCTTGAATTGGTCGATGCGCTCAGCTCGAAGCTTGCTCGGCGTGTCACCAGTGACATATTTAGCTTCGATTCCATGCCTGCGGAAAGTCGCCGTCAAATCCGTCAAGTGTGCTAGATCAACACAGAACACCAGAGTGGACTCCCTGTCACCGGCTTTGGCCAACCACGAACGCACGGTGATTTCGTTCGTCTCGTCCGTGTTGATCGCTTGGGACAATGCGCCAGTATGAAAATCACCGTTGACTCCGAGCTGAACCTTGGAGATGTCGGCTTTGGAAGCAACAGTGGTGAAGATGACATCGGACAGCCATTTGTCTTCGATCATCTGGACATAGTCTCGGTGATAGACGACGTGGTCGATGACGGTACCCAATTTCTTCCCGTCGAATCTGGAAAAGGTTGCCGAGACGCCGACCAGCGCAGTGGCGGAATCGGTTTTTCGCCTCAGGCCGAACCATTCGAGAGCCTCCAAATACCCTTTGGCCACAATGTGATGGGCTTCGTCGACCAGAACGAGCTTGAACCTCTTCGGATCGAACTTTTCGATTCGATCGCCCGACGTGATGCTCTGCACCGAGGCCACGGTGATGTCGGCTGCGCCTGTAGCATGGACGGGTCCCATCTCCACATCCACCGTCTTGTCCGGGTATGCGTTTGTGCAGTGGCGAGCTGCCTGTTCGACGAGCTCCCGTCGGTGGGCAAGGATGAGTGTCTGCGTCGCATCGTCGTTCGGAGGCGCGACGCGGTCAATCAGTTGGGTGAAAATAACCTGGGCATTGTCAGTGCTGCTTCACTGACAGACGAGCACGCGCACTCACCGTCTTCCCGCTTCCAGTCGCCAACGAGACGCCGAGTCGCTTGTGGCCTTTCTCAAGGTAAGTGAGGACGCTCTGGATGCATTCTTCCTGGTAATCGCGCAGTTGTATGTTGGGCCTCGTTATCGGTGGTGGAGGCGCGTCGGGCACCGGAGGCGCGTCGGCGGGCACAGCACGGGCTTTGGTTCTGGCATAGCGGATGCCAATGAGCCGGTTCCAGGACTGGGGCCCGTAGACGATAGCTCTCAACGCATGGCGCGGAATGCGGAGCATGGGATGTGGTTTGAAAAAAGTGCTGAGGGAGACGGAAAGTGCGCGTCGCGCCGTGCTGACGTTGCGTGAGCCGGAAGACGCGCCGCCCCCGGGGCCTGCCGGCCACGGACCTTCTCCTCGCCATTCCCGCACTCGCCGACTCGACGACTTCTCACGCACTTATAGCAGCTAAGTCCGCTTCTTCATGTCTATCATCGCTCACGGAAAGCACATCTGGGCAGCGTTCCCGAAACCATCTGCCGATTTGCCGGGTTTGGGTGCTCTGTCCGGATAGGAGGGCTACGCCGGCATCATCACTAATGCAAGACCTGCCCTTCGGACACGGTCACGGTGGATGTTCGCACCGAGCCGCGAAAGGGATACCAAATGCCATGACCATCGATATCAATTACTACGCCTGCCGCTGCCTTCTCCAACACTTGGTCCTCTTACAGCTCACGTATCTGCCAAGAATCCAGATCGATCGAAAGCTACGCTGCCATCGCTCTGTCCATTACCGACACGACGATGCTTGGCAAGAAGCTTGGATATGCCAAGATAGACGATGCGGAGAAGGCGAGGGTGATCGACCCGAAGGCGCTGCCATGTCGTCATATTGCAGCCCGCTAAGTGCATTACACAACAAATCGGTAAGGTCTTGGAGATGGATAGGTATCACTTGACGGCGGGGTCACTTATAACCTGAGCAGGGTTGTATTCTCCAGAAACCCATTCTTGACTTTTCTCCTTTCTCTTGACTCTCCTCCCGACTGCCTGGACTGAACCATGAAGCTCCTTGCCTTTGCTTCGATATTTGCCCTCGTCTGTGGCCAGGTCACCTACCAAGACGCTTCTGGTACAATTCTGCGCACAGACAATGGGACGTATGGACCTCCCTTGGAGGAATTCCATTATTATTATGACCAATGGCCTATCGGGCTAGCCATCTCAAGCACCGGGAGGCTGTTCGTCTGCTACACGCGTGGTCAGTATACCTTCACGCTTGGTGAAGCAGTAAACAAGACTGCCGAGGCTCCTTACCCCTCGGCCGAATTGAACCTCGCCGTCTCTGCCCTCAACACCAGCTACAACGGCATTCCATTCGGCAGTGCCGACTCCAAGGGGCTGATCAGCGTCCAGGCGCTGTACATCACGCCGAAAACAACAGACCGCGATGAAACACTTTGGGCGCTGGATACCGGACGAGCATCTATCATGGATTCGCAAGGAGAAGTCACCGTGCCATATGCTCAGCCCGGAGGCCCAAAGCTGGTGGGAATCTCGCTCAATAATGATTCGATCTACGAGACTTTCACATTTCCTGCCAATGTCCACTATCCAGACAGCTACATGAACGATGTTCGTTTCGACCTCCGCCCGAACGTAACCTCCGGCGGCAAGGGTGTTGCCTATATCGTTGACTCCAGCGACGAAGGACGTCCCGGCTTCATCATACTCGACCTCGGAACAGGCGAATCGTGGCGGCGCCTTACCCAAGACCCTTCCGTACTCCGGGTTGACAGCGATGTCCCAAGCTACCAAGGCCATCCTTTCTACCAGCGCAGCGTGGGTCAACCCATCGGCCATCTTCGCGAAGGCCTTGACGGCATCCAGATCTCGCCAGATGGCAAAACCATTTACTACTCTCCACTCACTGGAAACTACCTGTACTCGGTTCCGGCAGCCAATCTCCTTGAGCGTGACGACGATGCATTGGCTGAGCGTGCTGCCAAGAACAACGTCTCGAACCTCGGGCAGCGGGGCGGCAACGCCAATGGCTTCGAGGGTGACTCAAACGGCTTGATCTATCAGCTCGTGCCAGAGCACAACGCAGTTTTCTACTACGACCCGAATGACCTTCAGACGCATGGCTACATACACGATCCAAGGATTCTCTGGCCGGACTCAGCCAGCGTGGGTGAGGATGGATACTTTTACGTGAATATCAATCAACTACCATACCAGCCGATGTGGAACAACGGCCAGGACTTGAGAATCCATCCGGGGGCAGTACTGAGGGCCAAGCTGCCGAATGATGGTACCAAAATCATGGGCGTCTATTAGTTTGGAGGTGATATCAATCTCAGCCGGCGGCGGAACCGTATGCCACGAAGGTAAAAAATCAGACCACCGTGGTCGCAATCATGGTAGGACAAAAGAATGGAAGCTTTTCACAATTATCTCATGCTCACTGACGTGATCAATCAGACCCCATGTTGTGATGTACTTGCGTTTTGAATGTCGCATCTATGTCCGGGTCTTCGCTTCCACTGCCCACGAGGAAGGTTTTTCTAGAGCTACGTGGCCTAGTCAACCACCCAAATCCGGTGACTTCACCTCACTTGGCCAGGCAGCCATCCGGGGTCACCAAGGTGTTAACAGTAGCAGCACAACAATAACACCACTCGTTTCCCCGTGACCAGCCTTGCTTCGCGCGGACCATAAAATACTGCCTCTCCTACTCCAAGACCTACCTCCGCCAACCATCGACCACCCTACAACAATCTGCAACCCCAAACCCAGCAACTCTCTCTTATCACACCTTCACAATGCCAACATTCACGAACGACGAGGTCTTCAAATATGCTCACCGCATCTTCGAGGACATGACCTTCCTCCAGGATGCAGTCACGAACAACATGTCCGGCAAGGATTCGAACGACCCGGTCAGGAAGGTAAGCCCATGTGCTCTACACATAGACTCCCAGCCAGCTCACTGAACATGCGCCCAGGAATACCACCACCTCCTGACCGAGCTCTGGACAGCCCACAACAAGCTCGGCAGCCAGGTCGCAAGGCTCAAGACCGCGTGCGAACAGGCCGAGGCCGAAGACAACGAGCACGCTACCAACAACAACAACAACCCCCTCAACCACGGGCACAACTCATCCAGCACCAGCACCACCGCAGTCGACGGCGAGGCTTCCCCCCGTTACGAGCCCACCTCCCCCCACGATAGGCACACGCACGACCCCGCCTCCCCACTCCCAGCTCGCTCGCCCTCGCCCGTCTACCAGCCAACGTCCCCCAAGTACGACCCGGCCTCGCACGCGGACCAGCAGCAGCCGACCGCGAGGCCCTGTTACAGCATCCGTCTACCAGTGGACCACAAGGACTCCTCCGGCTCCGGTTCCGGTTCCGGCTCCCGCCCCCGCTCCCGCTCTGGCTTCGTCGACCTCACCACCACCACCACCACTCCCCCTCCTGCTGGCGCCGCCCGTCCCCAGCGGCCGCTTGTCACCACCACGATCGCGACCGGTCGCGCTCGGGACAGCGTTGGTCGCTTCGCTAAGGGACTGGAGGAACTGGAGGAGGATGAGAATGAGGAGGAGTGCAAGAACGACGACGATGAGGAGGCGATCCAGTTCTTGGGCTGCCGTCCGGCCAGCCGCAAGCGCCGGGCGTCGGCTGTCCAGTCGTCGTACGACCGCCGCGGTACGCGGAGCGGCTCTGTCAGGCGCCGCTTGTTTTGAAGTGGGTGGATGGACGGAGTGACGGAGTGACGGGCGGATGGGTGGGTGAAAGGATGTGGTTGGAGTTGATGGGGACTAGAAGTTTTACTTGCTGTTTGTCTTCCTTTGCTTTTTGTTTTCCCCTCTCTCCGGAGGCATGGAGTTGCTTCTTGGGTTTTGGTTCTTTTTTTTGTTCCTGACTGTGCTGGGTCACGGATTGCTTCATAATGTAGAGATTTCTTTCTCGAGTATGGGGTTGGCAGACGGACAAGGCTATCAGAGCGTTCATACTTGGGCTTATTACTTAGGCTCTGGCATCATCGAATTACAGATCAATTTTCCTCACTTGCTACTATTACGGATGAGTGATTGACGTGCGGCACAAAACGAGTAGGCGCGCACCTGCCCTTTTGCTTGCAGCTGTTCCGAGAAGGCGCCGTTAACGTAGGCGTTGGCAGCGTTGCTGGCCATGTTGTCGTGGGTGTTGGGGCTGGCGTTGATGTTGTTGACGCTGGCGCTGCTGCCGTTGTTGATGGACCCTGCAGGAACAGTCTCGTGCCATCCAAACCCAACTCACATTTAAACCTACCTTTTCAAGCCATACCCACTTGTCATCTACATTCCCGATTCCATAGCCAAGATAGCCTACAGGTATGGCCCTCTCACCACCCGACAGCGTCTCACCACCTCACAGTTTATTGACTGAGGCGCAGAGGTAAACCCAGCAGCTCAACCGACCATGGCATCCGCCGACAGGCCCACCATCCTCTTCCTCTGCCTCGACGAGGCCGAAGAACACGCGCTCTACAGCTTGCATGAAGACGTAACCAGCAGCATCAAGGAACGCGCGCACGTCCTCGTTGCCACCACTCCCGCCAAGGCGCTCGCCCACCTCAACGCAGCCGCCGCCGCCAGACCGTCCGTCGTCCTGATCGGCGACGGCGCCCTCACACGCTCTCCTGGCGAGGAAGTCGGCATCACTGGCCACAACAACCGCATCAAGGACGAAGAGCGGAAGCAGTACGGCCTCGTCTACGCTGCGCTCGGCTTCTACGTCCGCGCCGGCGGCGTCGCCATCTTTTGCGAGCAGTTCAGTAGCACCGCGAGCCTGCCCCACATGGAAATGGTCTTCTCGACGGCCTTCGACCTGCCGTGGAAGGCCCACGCTTACCACCGCTCGACCTTCGTCCTGAGGCCCGAGAACGTGCGCCGCATGACTGCCCAGGCTGCCGAGCTGGCGTCGGAGTGCAGCCAGAAGGGCGTGACCCTGGCCGGTGTGGCCGAGAAGGATCGGCTGTATGTGCCGACCCGCGATAGCCACGTCGAGAGCTTTGTCTTTGCGCCGGCGCCGATCGGCCAGGACGAGACGCCCATGGCGTGGGCGGAGGTGGGTGAGGGTATGGTGGGCTATGTGGGCGACGTCAACCACGAGGAGGAAGGCGAGAAGGTTCTGCTTGCGATGTGCGGACTCTAGATTCTGCGCGAACTTGGGCCTTACCAACCAATGGAGACACGAGGATGGTTGAACGGCGATTTTCGAGGTTGCTGGATCGCTTATGATGGCTTAGATGCTCCTAGTTCGGGATTTACAATGGGGCGGTCAACCTAGGGCATAAAGGCTGTGCATATTGCTAGATTAGCCTCAATATCGATACCTTAAACAAAAGAGTTCAAGCTTCTCCAGACAATTCTCTGCTAATGTTTTGGTCGCTCGGTTACGCGTCATCTATGCAGACTTTTTCGTCCGGGCCCAGACGTGTTAGAGGGCGCAAAGCTTCCTGGCCCTCTAGCGTTTGTGGTTTCTCTAATGCATAGCACTGAATGTGGCTGTGCTGTCGCGCCTCGATTGTGCTCTATTTCGTGTTTTCGGCTCAATGGAGTGAAGGCAGTGTACCATTAGGAGGTGTGGCATGAGTGGAAGGTTCGCGGAACTAGGATGCTAGAGTTTAGCTTTCTTCGTCGCCTGTTCGATCTGTGCAGATACCATGTCAGCTCTCTCTTCCCTAGACGTCAAGATGAACGATGGCTCGCCGGGTTCTGGTCTCTCTGGAAACACAAGTTCGAGGGGGTAAAAAATGGGATCTGACGGATACAGACTCGGCTTGATCCAGATTGTTGGCAATGTTGAACGGCTTGGAAGACAACAGCGGCATAACGAGACGATCTCTGAATACTTCAACTGCAGGGATCCTTCGTCCGGTAACGGGACAATGACACCGGTTTCGGGGTAGCTGGTAGGTAGCGACGGCCTAGCGGTCGAAAGCGAGCGAGGCAAGAACGAATTGAGTACAAGCTGAGCGACCGAAATAAGAGCAGTGCAGTGGCTCAACGATGTGTGAAAAGATTTGGACGATGTCTCACGCTCCGTGGCTGTTAATCGTCCTGTGGAGCGTGTCTGTCTTTGCCCCACGCACGATCCGTGGCGCCCAATCCGGGCTCTTCGAAGTCCTAGCCGATCGGGCAAGCAGGATCGGGCGACGAGGTGACTTTGAAGACTGCTACGCAGCCTCAGTCTGTTCCAAGAGCCGAAACAACAGTTGTCGTTATCCTTTGCGCATGGCCCCCTGAGGTTGAGTCGCGGTTCTCGCGCATTGGCTTGGCAGATGATGGTCGAGTAAGCTTCAAGCCGGAGCTCTGGGGAAGGAGACGACCACGATCGACGACGATCGAATACCCTCGATGTGTGCAAGCGAGCTGGTTCTGCGAGGGAACTGACATGGAAGAGTCTTGGTCCGAACTGAAGCTGGTGCTAAGCGTGGCGACTGGTACAACGTTGAACGTACCGGGTTCTGCCCACGACTCGGCGGCTCTGATCGGCAGTGCAATCGAGCCAGTGATGTTCGATTTCCACGATTTCGTGGTTCTCCGAAGTGGACCAGCTTGGATCAGCGGGGTATACGGGTGGTGCACATGGAGAGGGTCGAGTCCGACGAGAGCACAGCAGCAGCGCAGAGAAGGCGTCGTGGGATGCTGGCATCTAGACCGCAACAGCGTCATAGAGCCCGGGACCTGGGGGAGAAGATGCGGCAGGAACAAACGAGCGGCAGGCGGCAGTCGCGGCAACCACTAATCCCAGAGGAGCAAGCCTCCCGCTGTTTCGTCCAAGCACAAGCAGCCCGCGCGGCACTCACGCCCTGATTTCTCGGTCAAACACGCCCAATCACCTGCGATTTATTACTATGTCCAGAGTCCACATCAGCCACCTCTCGTCCGCTCGCTCCTCCGCCGAGACAAGTCTCCATCGATCGCATCCACCGCAGGCTTGTCATCCTCGGTCGGCATTACTCACGGCGGGTTAGCAATGCTGACCGCAACTGGCCCCGATAGTTGGCTGGGATCATGCCCGCCAAAGACGGGTCTTGCCTCGGACAACCCCCGACTAACGGGAACCCACCACCAGCAGTAGTCCATGTCTTCCACCTGGACATGCCTTCCTCGAGCTCAGGGGTCCCTGCCATTTCCAATGTGTCCCGCTGCTGAATCACCGAGTCGATGTAGAGGTCCGTCCCTCCAAAGCACCCCATGCTCCGAAGCTCATCCAGCACTGGCCACCACCATCCCGTGGCTTCAATTGGCTCAGTGTCATCGTCCCCATCGAGCATCGCTCCGTTTTCGTCCACCATGAGGCAGTAACACACAATCAGCTTGCGGATGCAGTGCCGGTTATCGGACAGGAACGTAAAAAGCTCCACGTCAGTGAAACGAACGTCGAAAAGATGGACTTTCCGCAGTCTGTTGAAAGTGAGGCCCCGGAGCAGATGACGGTCCACGGACAATGTTTGATGGTGGACGAACCCCAGGTACAGCTCTTCCAAACCCTTGCTGCCCTGCTGGAGCAATCTGCGCAACCCTGGATACTCGAAACGAGTTTCGTCCAAGTCTGTCACCGCCTCAGGAACCAGGCGAAGAACCTTGAGGTGCTTGGCCAACTGTTGCAGTTGTACCATGTCGGGGCCGTCCGTCAGGAAAATCGCCGACGACATGCCCTCGCCACAATCGCAGCAAGCCGGATGGTATTGTCGGTTTGGTATCACTGATAATTCCGAGATTGACGCAAGCCTCTTGGTCTCGTGCAGGATCTGAACGATCGTCAACAGTCCCCGGTATGGCGACCCCACCGGCTTAGCGTGGAAGCATCTCGGTTCCCGACCACTTGCATTCCTGGTGCTCCACTCTTGCCAGCTCATACCAGGGGTTTGGTTCAGCCACTGGAAGCTCGTTAGCTTTGGCAGGCGGTATTTCTCGGCTGACATGGCGAACTCACCCCAGCAAGACTACCCGAGTTGCCCAACTCCAGGATTTCCGGTAGCTGACGATCAGACGTCATCCAGCTTGCTCTCGGCTGGACCTCTTCCCAGGGGATCGGCCCCGTTGTGTTCCGCATATTATCCTCCCATTTCCTCCATTCCGGTGAACGGTCCGGTTGCTGAAATGGCCTATCAGGACGGGCCTCGTGGTCCGGCCCCGCGGGCAAGCTAGTGACGATGATCCGCTGGACCTCCCACCCTGATAGGATTGCTTCCCGAAAGGCCTTGAATGCTGCGTTCGTGCGGCGGTTGTTGATGTGCCGGCGAACTCGCTTTTCAAACCACTGGAAAAACTCGGTGACAGTGTCAATTTGCTGGGTGCGGACCATAGCAACATCATTTTGGCATCGGCGTGCGGTCATGTCATGCCAATTCTGGATTCTAGCAGAATCATCGGCGTGGCCTCCGTGTGCTTGGTCGTCGCGCACACATCTCGGTGGATGCCGATCCGTCATTTGCAGGAAACAGGCGAAATTGAGGAGGTCCTCATTGAATGTGCTCATGTCGAACACCAGCTCTCTAGCGTATTTCCGCAATTCGGTATTGCTGGTGATTTTCCTGAAGACTTTGATGTCTCGATGATGGTCGGAAAGATAAACCCGGTTGTGTAGGAATCTGCACACATTAGCAAACGATTGCTGCTGCTGACGCCCCTAGAAGGGGCATACCCTACCTCGCCGCCGGTTCCCTCCAGAGCCGAGACGTCAGCCGCACGTTGCGGAGATCTTGTTTCTGCAGATACTCGGCGATGCCGGCCAGCAGTTCGTTTGGGAACTCGTTTGGGAGTGTCAACAATGCCGTCATGTCCAAGATTCTCGAACTGCCTGCGTTCGTTCTCAGCACTACTTTCATATGGAACAGGGGACTTTGAATGGATCAGAGTGAATGGAGTCGGTACCTTGTCCCTTGTAAATGCCAGTCGTCTCAAATGGAGGGCTGGCATACAACGAGGGTGATGGACTGTCTTATGAACCCTAGGCTTCCACCAATATTTTCATGAACATGACAGCAAAACATGCTCGACGCCCTGGCCCGACTGAGCCCGCAAGGAGCCACGACACCCTCAGCTTGCAAAGGTAAGCCAACCCCGAATTGTACCTTAGGTGAGTAGAAGCAGAGCGCGTCTGCAGCCTTGGGCGCATCTGGCTGGCCTATCAGCTCTTGACACAGAAGCGTGGTAGCAGCTGTTGTTGTACTACGCAGCTGCATCGCATCTTGACCGCTGTGAGCAAGACGGCCCCCGCTCCGTCTTCCATTTCTTCCGAGTCTTTGTCCGTCTGGCAGTCATGTGTGTGTGTCTGTGGGTGGGTGGGTGTTTGTGTGGCGTCGGACTTGCCGCCTTCCTTTCGTATCACACAAGCTGCAGGGGCGCATTGTCAATCCGGACGCTAACGAGAGACGGGCGGCATTTCCTGGTTCTGTACCGCTGTGGTCGCAACGTGGCTCTCCTCACCTCATTGTGACATGTTCCTCCAGGGTCCCAGATCTCGGACACTGAGACATGCTCGCGATCTTCACAGCCTGCATAATTTATGCAAGGCCAAGTTTCTCCAGTCAAACGACATACCTATCGATACAGGCATTCTCAAGCTGCTTAACCTAGAAGCCTTGGTCAGTAGCTTCGGAGGCAGTGCGCCATTGGCTCGACCCGAGCGGTGTTAGAAGATTGAAGAAGGTCCCGACATGCGGAACACGGCAAAATTCAGAGAAGACAGGATTTTCTTCGTCAGGTAATTGCTCTTTCGTTTCAGTTTTACCCCACGTCTATGAAGATCTGCAAAAGTCATGTGGAACAGGACATTGGGGGTTCACCGTTCTGTTACTATGCTAGTCCACAACTATAGCTATCAGCGCTTCTTTCTGGGCGTTATTGCAGGATTTGTGTGTGTTTGGATGATGGCGACGTTTCACTGCCGTGTTTTCGTCATTGCGGATGCACGCTTACCATCAAAAGCAAGCTTACTGGCGCAATTTAGGATGAAGCGCTGTCATGCTGTCTCCATGCATTCCCAACAAGCCATGGCAACTCACATCTGTGCCGGTTGGGCTCCTGCTGCATCCTTTGATAGTGCGTGAGCCGCCTCAGCTTGACGAATCAGGTGCTCATCCTGGTCGCCACCTGCAATTAGCGCACTGGCTGTGCCGCACTGGCTCAATGCACGACGTGCAGGTAAGCCGACAGCTTTTTTTTTTCCTGGAGGGAGATAGCGTGAAACCGCTCGAACGCCTTATACCACGCGGTTCGCGCACTGCTTGTCACGTACACGATCCACTTCAAAGAGATGTCAAAGGGGGCTTCGTTTTCAGCCGCTCGGTTTCCCTGAAGCCCCAGAAGGATAGTGTAGCGCCTGCCACATACTCGATTCCAGCACAACGGCAGGCTCCGTCCTTGTGTTTTCAGAGGCTGACAAGACCACGAACTGAATGTTTCCAGCGGCTCGCCATGATCATCTGGGCCTTGCTCAATTGACTCGAGAACAAGGCAAATGACATTGGACTAAATATAGAACTGCTGCACTCAGCGCGAAGCAGCATTACATATATCTGTTCCAACTGCATCCCACATGACAAAGCCGCTGGCATGCTCAATGTCCGCATTCCGACTCACAGACTGCTGGATAGCAATCGCTGTTTGCGGGGTCGTTGATGCGATTCCCTATGGTTTCGACAAGTCGTATTCCATTTCTGCTCGCGATTGAAATTGCCCGATCGGAATCTCACTGCTTTCTCCCTATGGCGAACTACTGGAATGCAGCCATCCAAGACCATCGTCGTCCACTTCCGCCGGGCCGAGCATCCCCCGCCAATGAGCCTTGCTCCCGCCAGCTCCGCGGCCTGTGTGTGGCTGGATTCACGCGCGCTTATGTACATTAGGCGCCTTGCCGCCCCTGCTCAACGACGATAGTTGCATGGTCTTGTCACTGAGGCCCGCTCAAGGAAAAAGCGGTCCGCACACACTGGGCTGCTTGGATTCTCGTCAGACCACATGTACGGCAGGCAGGTCTACCGACCCCTCGCCAAAAAGCAATGGCCCTTACAACCATAGGCCCTAACTCTCCGTACACATTTGTGATGGGCTTCAGTGTCATGCGCATCTCCTTCCGCATGCCCGAAGTCGGGGCTCCTACGTACGAGCTTGCTCACATCCCTCCCACCACTGCTGCCAGTCCATCCACTCACTTCACTTGATCCTTATTCCCGTATGACGCAGTGCTTCTTACCAACTTCTCTTATCATCTCTTACGCGTTTATTCAGCTTGAGAGAGATAGTCGGCCATCCGACATCTCCGCGATTCTGTCGCTGCCTCCAGTTCCACCGCATGCCGTGGCTTTTCATTTCACTTCAGGAGGCCGCCCGGATCCCAACCATTCTCTCCACCCTTCACTATCCCATGGCCACTCTCGTGGGAAAAGCACAGCTTCGTTGTGCAGTCCCTTGACACGAGCCATGACTCGGAATCGGGTTTCCATGATGGTTGCTTCCTGCATGGTCCAGACGCTTGTCGGAAGCCGGCCCACAGCGGTCATTATTGTCACACCCTGTTCTGCACCGCTCTCGTCTTCTTTCAAGGTCTGGAAGAGCTTCAGCTGCAACACAGCAGCCACATTATGTAAAGTGCGGCTCGGCTTCCACAAACCTCATCATATGTGAGCGCATGTGCCTCTCTTGCAACCATCAAGATACCTTGACTGAAAGGAAACTAATGCAGTACCAATTCATGCTGCCAACAGTTCCACTGTAACATCACTGCTGTGGTGAACGGAAAGTGAAAGAGCGGGATAGACAATCATGTCCCATAGTGCGCTAGGTAATGTGTGGACCAATGGCCGCACTGATGCGCTGGCCCTCCTCCTGATAGGCTGTGTGCATTCGACTGCGCCGCATAGACCCCCCAGACTTCTATGTAAAGCTGACTCTTTAGGCGCACATTTAAAATCCCAAATCCAATAACTCATTTTCTTTTCCTCGTCATGCCTTCCAGCTGCCCCCACTCTTCAACGGCTATACCCGCCTAACGTCCGCCACGATAGAGGAATTCACGAGGTATCATGTACGTGCCTGCGAGGCAGCTGGCCCGTAGTTTTCCCATCCTCTACGTCCACCCGTTATTGTCAACCATCTTGTGAGACAGAACTGCACGCGCACGTACCCAAACAGCCGTCTTCGGCGGGCTCCCGTCCCCGATCTGACCCACACCTGCCAGAGCGGCAATCTGCCCCAGCCCCGCTTTAGGCGTGCGAGCGTTTGCCTTTAATTCCGTTGCCTTCTTTCTCCGCGGCTCCTCCCTAGCCATTTCATCCCCTGCACGATGTATGCATACGGCTGGGCTGCGGCACAACATTTGCCGTTTTGAGCCTGCGGCACAGCCATCTCGATCCTGCATGGACAGACCGGTGGGCGACACAAAGCCTCCCGAGCCGCATGGAGCACCGTCGCTGGACAAGTCGATAATTGGGGGCAGAGGTGACGTCACGACAGAGGACTTTGGCATAGGTGCGCAAGAAGGCTTCTCCCCCCCCTTCCTCCCCTTGTCCTTTGTCCTTTGTCCTCTGCACATGTTCTAGTAGTAGCAAAAACACAACAAAGCCGAGTACATACGATCACATGGACTTCGACTACCTAAATGTAGGGTTTACCAGTGATGACCAACGGCTGACATGACCCTCCAACAACACCATCTACGCGACACTGTTTTCTCGAGCCCTGCAATAAACATTTCAAGAGACACAAAGCCTAGGGGACGACAGACCGAAAAGAAACCACCTTCATAGACACACCACACCCATCTCGCCTTCGTCCCTCCCTGGGCTCACGTACTCTTACGTAGGTAGCACTGCCGGCACCCGGTTACGCGCTTGAACCAGCGAGCCAAGTAATTTCACTTGCTTCTATACTTTCACCGCATCCTTCCTCCCGCCCTCCGCCCTCCGCCCTCGATTTTTTTTTTGTCTCATAACCCCCTTGCTTATTTTCCACCCCCCTCCTCCCCTTTGCTGCTCGAACTCGCAACAACTCCTGTCCTGTTCTACCTTTTTTCGCTTCTCGCTTTGTGTGAACCAAGCCGACCGGATACGAGCATGTCTCGCCGGTAAACAAAGGGTGCGAACTTTCATCTTGGCAGGTTCGCCATGAATTTCCAATGAAGCCGCCCACTTCTCCGGGTTCTCTCTCTCTCCCTATCTCCCTGACAGAAGTATAGCATTCGGAGGGGAAACAGGGGCGGGACTGGATGGTTAGAAAATACAAATTTCCCTCAACAGGAGGACAGCCAGCATGAAACGTACAAGACAAGCAGAATAAAGGAGGAATCGAATTTTTGAGAGAGAGGCGCATTTGTCAGCCATCTGCTCTCCCCGCGGATCATACCGATCGTTTGGACCATCATATCTACCCAGACCGTGTGCATCATTGTAAAAACCTCCCCACCATCCGTTCCCGGGGCCGAAGCTCGAGAGAAAAAAGAAAACGAAAAGGAAAGAAGTACCGAGGGAGAGAGTAAAGGAAGGGGGACGCTGACTGCGAAGTCATTCAAAATAGGATCGGGAAAGCCCTGCCCCATGCAAGGAATAATGGACTGGCCCATCCCCCCTCCCCAAGGAATTATCCATGAAGCCCCCGTCTCCTGCTGACGCCTGCCCATGAGTGTGCACACGGAATGTACGAACGCCAGCGCCAGAAGAAGGTGTTTGGTCGTGGCGATAGCCAGACAGGCCGGGCTGCGTCGCGGTGCGACTCTTCAGAACCCGACTTTGTCTCTTGCTCGCGGAAAATCTCAAAGCATACTTGACAGACAGCCTTGCGCCTGCTGACCTAAGCCAAGTACCCCAGGTCGTTCTCCTCGCCCTCGAGACGCTCCAGGTACTCTTTCTCTAGCAGGATGTCGATGCACTTCTTGATATCTGCGACCTTGGGCGTGAAGCGGGAGCGGATCTGGTTGATGGTTTCGCCCACGAGTTGCTGGTGCTTCATCTTCTTCCTGGACTTCATGATACGCACAATGGCAGACTAAAAGTTGGGTTAGCAATGCAATGACATCAAGAAAGCAGGTTAAACCTACCTGCATAAGAAGCTTCCTGTCCTCCTCAATCGTCTTGTGCGTATCCTCAACCTCTTGCTTCTGTTCACTCTTGATGCCGATGTTCAGGTTGACCTTTAACTTCTTGGTCTTGAAGCCCTGGTTGAGGGTGAAGCTGGTGCCAGGCTCAGGCTTGGAGCCCTCGGGGCTAATAGTCAGAACCTTCGCCTTGAGGAAGACCGCAATGCTGGGGTCCATGGTTCCCCTGTCAAGCTTCGTTGCCTGCTCGATATCCTCGTAGCTCAGAGTTTCCGAGTCGTTGAAAAGCAACAAGATGGCCATCTGGTAAGTGGAGACCTGAAAGATGGGGGAAGCCTTGCTACCAGGGATCTTGATGTAGCTCGCGCGCATCTCACCCTTGCACAATTGCCACAGCCATGCGAGCTTGCGGCCAGAGTGCTTGGAATTGTAGAAAGCGTTGAAACGCTCGTATGTCTTGACGATGACCTGCGGAGGAGCGAAAGGAGTGGTAGGAGGGTTGAGCGGCCAGAAACCAGTACCGAGGATGTGGTAGGTGGCATCAACAGCCGTCTTCCTATCCTCATCATCGAAAGTGTCGCTAATCCACTCCTTGAATGACGAGTTCAAGTCCTTGGAGATCTGCATGTCCTGGAACATACGTTGCAGCTTGTTCGTGTATTCGAAGCCGCAGGCGTCCTTCAGCTTGGCGATCATGGAGGTTTCAGCATCGTCGGAAGCCGAGTTGGTGTTGACTAGGCGCTTCGCAAGCATGCGTGAGTAGAACTTCTGGAATACATCCTTATCCTCGATATACTTGAAGATAGTCATGATCTGCGACAGCTGCTTCTCCATGTCGTCCTCCTCGGACATCTTCGCACCGGACTTCTTCAGCAGCTGGTCGGTGTACTTGGCCAGAAGCTCGGGCGATTTGGTGGACCCAGACTTGCAGACCTTGTTGCGATTGACGAACTCTCTGCAAGCATTGTCCAGCGACCTGACGAATTCGGATTCGCCTGCGAAAGCCTTGTTGACGAGATCCTGGTACTGAGTGTGAACTTCCAGCAGTGCCTCAACATACACCTTGGGCTCAAGGTCGTCTGTAGCAACCTTCTCAACCGCAGATAGACCGGCCTTCCGGACATGATTCTCGAAACGGGTCCTAAGAGGGTCGAGGCCTTGGGGAATTCGGGCAAGCAGCTTGTACATCCGTGCCAAATCGTCGATGCGGTCCTGGTCCAGAAGAAGTTGGAACTCCTCGCGAAGAGCTTGTGAGTGGTCGGCAATCAAAACCGTCTCGCATGTCTTCATGAGGGGGCCCATGATTTCGTCAAGCAGGTAAAGCGGAACACGCTCCTTCTCCTCATCCAGACGTGCCTCGGCCTTCTTCATGTAGTCAACAACGCTGTTGTCCGCCAGGAAGCGACGCGACTCCTGCTTGTAGTACTCGGCAGTGGCTTCGAGGAACGGCTTCTCGAAGAATTCCTTGTACACATCCAAGGTGGTCTTGGTGGTGTCCGATTCGTCCAGGCCGAGGGACACGAAGGAGTCCACAACACTCTTGATCTGGTTCTGCTCGATCGTCTCGCCGTTCCTCTGCTTCTCCACCAGTCGCAGCACAGACTTCATAACGTTCTTCTGTGTGGCCAAGAACATGTCTTCCTTCCACCGCACCAGGTGCAACGTATAGATGTCGTAGATGTTCTTCTTTCCCTCATCCATCTCCCGCTTGACCCAGTGACGGTTCAGGTACCTGAACAGGTGGTTGTTGTATTGACCGGCGGTTGTGTAGCGATTCCATTCTTTAATGTAGAAGGTGAGGAGGGCTTCGTCGGCGTGTTCGGTGGACTTCTTGTAAACTTCGGCTAGGTGGTGCTTGAGATAATCGATGAGGTGGTTGTAGAGATCCTCGCCGAGGAGGTGTGCTTGTCTGCGTCATTATCCCTTTTCCTAGGCTGTTCAATAGATGGGGTCAACTTACCACCGCCACGGTTGTTGACGCCGCTAGCACCGCCTGTGCCGAAGCCTCCACTGCCAACAGCCTTCTGCGCAGTACAGAAGTTGTGAATCGCTGTGTAGAGGCCCATGTACGTCTTCATATCAATACCCTCTCGTAGGTCGGTCATGATCCGGTCCACGCCGGCCTGGAGATATCCCCACCTGCAGCGAAGCGAGTCAGCGCGTGCACACAAGGTCGGAGAGGCGGCAACACGTACGTGCCCGCGGAGTCATCCTTGGTGGGCATGGGCGGCATAGGAGATGGCATTGTGGATGGTCTGAGGCGGACTGCCGCTCGGGACAGTCGCAATCGCTACGGTGGAGTGGGAGAGTGGGCGAGGCGGAGGTGGCGGCGGCAAACGAAGGAGGAGAGGTCGTGCTCCCCTTGCCGTCCAGGTACTGCTCTCTAGACGCTGAGGCCGACCCGAAAAGGTGCGGTTCGGCGAATGCAAGCACTAAGCTGCGCGTGTGCGGCGGCCCAGCGCAAGCGGTAGCAGGGCGCAGCTCGGTAGCGACACGCGGACTCGGGGTAGCTCGCGCGAGATGTAGTCGCAGCGGGCGCGGTGCGGGCGACCGAGGACAAGGGCGGGGGTCGGTTGTGGAGGTGGCGAGGGAGTCGACGGTGGAAAGAGGAAGAGGGATGGAGGTGAAGTTGCAAGGTGCAGCGCGGCTAGGCGTGTCCGCCGAGTTCAACGGCCCACGGTACGGTTGCCGCCTACACAGTACAGCAGCCTCAGCCCTACCGCCCGCAACCCCAGCTCGCCGCAAACTCCTCCGCCTACGCTCCGAGTCACGCGCAAAAAGCATTCCATGTTCTGCATTCACACTGCATGGCGGAACAATACCTCCTGGCAAGGCTTTAGGCAGATTTCTCGTTGCTTGTGGCGCGTGTCCCCTTTCACCGCGGCCACAGCGCCGCCGCCGTTCCCTCCGTCATCGCCGCTGAACGCATCACCGCCCATGCCGCCCTAGGCTGCCAGCAGTCCAAACTCAGGCAGCAGCCTCTCCGCCCCACCGTCTCAGGCTCCCACCGCCGGCCCTCTCTCACCATAAATCGGATCTCTTTCGAACCAGCTTAGCTTCTCGATCCCTTTGACCTTCTCCTCCTCTCCCTCCTTTCCGTAGCACATGTCCCAGTTGCAGCCCTTGGGATAGCTGCCCACCATTTCGAAGCCACCGCCCTGATCCTCCAGAAGCCGATGGCCGACGCCAGCCGGCACGATGATCACATCGCCCTTCTCAACCACAGGCTCGACTCTGCCGTCGTTGGTCTCGCCGCCGAAGCAGAGCTTGGCGCGTCCGTTGCTGATGCAGAGGACTTCATGAGTCGTGCTGTGGAAATGCGTCGTAGAGTACATGGTATACCGCCATTGCGGTACCACAACATCGACATTGCTGAGGTGGGCTTCTATGGCCGAGGCCAATGCCGTTGAAGGCTCGAACGCCGAATGGTAGATAAGCAACGGTCTATGCTGGATGCTGGTGTTGGGGGTGAGGTCGTGCGTTGGAATTTGGTGCTTGCTGACTCTCAAGCTTGACAGCGGCGTCAAGGAGATCTTTGGTGCCATTCTAAAAGACGCTTCTGCGGAGATAACAGGCCGGTCCTCGTGTTTCGTCAGTGAGAAAAAAACACATACAGTAAGAACAGCATCTTCGGAGCCCGCGTTCATGCGACAGTAATTGCATTGAGTCTACGTCATCCCCGTATCGATATGGAGTTGCAAGGGTCCCGCAGCCAAGCAGACCAAGCTATCATCCAATCGGCAAGAATGTGCATTCTTCTAGCAATTACGCCAACGACAGTCGTCGCCAATCCAGGGACTCGACACAACTCTCCCAAAACCAGACCGCATTGATGATCATGGATTGCTCAAGTCTGTAGACGATAGCTCAAGGGAACAATTCCGCAAACGCCGTCCGACGCCACCGTACGCGCCTAGCCAAGTCCTCCAGCGGCTTGCAACGAGCACGATGAGAGACGCCGAGTCCAATCGCCTTTGAAAGCAGCTTCAAAATCGCAAGAACAAAGCACAAGTATTCACAAAACCAAGACACACTTCTGGTTTAGCTCATCTCTTGAGCACAGCCTCGTAGATGCTGACAATCGTGCCGATACCTGCGCCAATAAAGACACTGGAGTGGCCACCAGGCAAAGCGTTGGAAACGGTGAAAACCGTCTCATCCTCAACCAAGCCCGAGAAACGAACGCCTTGAGCATACACCATGTACGATACCAGTGCCTTGGCCAGATTAAAGGTCAGCGGGTCAACCTGATACGCCGGCTTCGACGAGAGACCATTGGCCTGGGTCTTGATGGTTATGTTGAAGAAGTAGGCGAAGACGAGCGGAATGAACAGGCTGGTGTTGGCCCAGAGCAAAGAGGGGCTCCAGAAAGAGCTCGTCAAGAGGGCGAAGAACTCGGGGAAATGCACAGGGTACGAATTGGTGCCCAGCGCGCTGATGGCGGGAATGTCGAAGAAGTAGAACCACGGCAAGACCTGCTTCTGGAGGTAGAAGGCCTCGACCAGGACGACAGCAGCCTCGACGCCTACTACCGAGCTCAACACCTCACGAATGTACTCGGCCCAATCGGTGAAGCCCGAGTTCGTCCAGGCATCTCCGACCTTGGTCCTGACAATGGCAGTCTGGCGTTCAATGGCGTCGGTAACGACAGCAGGAGATGGCGGGAGCGGGACTTGAGCAGCAACGCGTTGGACGGCGCGCGGAGTACGAGTGGCGAGTGCTTTGGCCTGCACGGGAGTAGCCTCTGCCTCATCTCTGCACGCGGACCATGATTAGCTTCATGCGTTGGTCCTGACGCGTTTCCAACCCCCAAGACGCGTTGCAACAGTCATGCGAGCTTACTGCGATTCGATCTGCTCCTGCTTGATCTTGGTGACGCGCCTGCGCGGGCGCGTGGAGCGGGGCTCGCTGTCGGATTCCAGAGGGACATTGGCGCGGGTCCTCTTCGCAGGGGACGAGCTACGCTCGTAGTATTCGGCGAAGACGTTGTTGCCGACGAGGCGCGTTGAATTATTCTTCAGGTGTTCATCGAGGGCTGCGACGAGGTCATCCTTGAGCATGTTCTCGTATCTGATTCGGTTAGTGATGGACGCGCTCGTGCTCTTGACGCGTGGTGGTAGCTGTGTACCCAGTATAGCCGGCCTCATCGGCCAGGTAGACCAGCTCGGCCTTGCGCTGCTTCTGTAGCCAGGACGACATGGCGGTGTTATGAAATGGTTGCGGTCGCGTAGCTCAAGCAATGCGATGCAGCTGCGATGAGGGCGGGAAAACGGTGTGTGCGCAGATGGACAAGCTGAGCTGGCGTTGATTGTGAAGTGTGGACGGGAGCTGGAGCACGCGGGTGGGATGCTTCGAAGTCGCTGGGTAAACAACTCACCACGTAACTAAGCGAAACCCCGCACCGCATCCGGAAGTCCTGCCAAAACAACGCTGAATTCTGCAGAGACCTGCCTACATCTTCAGCTGTAACTCCACCGGCGCCATCGATGCCAGATGCCACAGTGCAACAAAGATGCAAGCATTGCAACTCGCTTGAGACAATCGCCCAAACTAGCGTCGCTAGCTGCCTGGGGGCGGATCATGCCAACCCCCCATTCCCACCTACTATGTATTAGAGCATGCTTTGCTCGCTGAGGTCGCATTCGACATCGCTCTGCTCACATGGGTAACCTTCCCTGAGAAGCTGGAGCTATCATTTGAATGAGGGTAGCAAAATTGAGATTCCAAAGGAAAGAATAGTCAGCGTTTGTGCTGTTATTCTGGTCATTGGCTCATAGCGAGCTCATGGATTTTTCACCATTCCATATCCCACGAAAGACCCGACAATCATTAGAAGGTGTGATGAAGCAAATGTTCGGGCTCACGTATCGGTTATGAACATGTGCGAAAGCACTCCGAGGCAGGCTTCAAGTACCTTGTCAATAGGGTACAAACCATATTTCAAAGGATTCGAAGGATCAAGAAATCTATTATGGGTGTTCTACCAACCCGCCAAATGCTCATGCTCGTTCGTTTCTAGCAAATAGGGAACAAGAGACTCAGCGGAGCACGGACTCCTCAAAGACAGGGCGGATACCTAGATGTGCACATTCCTTTGCTCCGCCCTTGCTCCGCCTTTGCTTGTATGCTTCTTGGAGTCTTCTTTGACAGAGTTCGAGGAAAACCGAAGTGAGGTGCGGGCGCGGCTGAGGTGTGGCGAAGCAGAAGGCGTTGGGTGGTGCTGGCGGCGGGAGAAGCCCGGGTGGGCCGGCCGATGACGCGCGAAAAAAGCTGCCGACTGGCGGCCGACAGGAACACCCACCAGGGCGAACCCTCAGCATCTTCGACATTTCCAATCCGCCCGCTCTTCCGCCGCTTCTTCCACCTCGCACGTCCCGCGCTCACCACGTTTTTGGGGCTGCTCCACCACTGCATCGTCCTCTAGTCCGAACGAGAGCCTCGGCATAACGCGCGGCGCAGCGCGCTCACCCTTTGACCCTTCATGGTACTTGCCCGCGTGGCCGGCCTCTTCTCGTCCTCCGACCCGACCAAGGCGCAATTGGTAGAAGATGAACGACCCACTGCGCACCTCAATCTCCCCTCGCCCATCACCGGGACAATGGACGCGGCGGTAGAGGAGGAGGTCGATCTTGAGGCCAAGCGCCCACCCTATATCCATGTGAGATGGCACTCGGCATGGCGCGCGGCGTGACCATGGCAGATGCACAGGCTGACGAACGCTGGCTAGGCGATGTTGGCTGGAGGCTTGGGCGGAACCACCGGAGACATGCTCATGCATTCTCTGGATACCGTGAAGACCCGCCAGCAGGGCGATCCGCACATGCCCCCCAAGTATACATCCATGGGCTCCACGTATCGCACAATATTTCGCCAGGAAGGTTTGCTGCGAGGGCTGTATGGTGGAGTAATACCTGCATTCCTAGGTTCTTTTTCTGGAACTGTTATCTTCTTTGGAACTTATGAGTGGAGCAAGCGTTTCATGGTCGACTCAGGCATCGCGCCGCCAATCGCCTACTTCACTGGAGGTTCGTAATCTCTATCCGCGCGATCCCGCTGTATGTTCCATGTTGACGCCTTGATTAGGCCTGTTAGCAGATCTCTTTGCTGCACCGCTCTACGTTCCGTCAGAGGTTTTGAAGACCCGGCTTCAGCTCCAAGGTCGTTACAACAACCCGTATTTCCGATCCGGCTATAACTATCGCGGTACCTGGCACGCCGCAAGGACTATAGTGCGCTTAGAAGGATGGCACGCTCTTTTCCACGGCTTCAAGGCTACCTTGGCACGCGACCTTCCCTTTTCAGCGCTGCAGTTTGCTTTCTACGAACAGGAGCAAAAGCTGGCTAAGAGCTGGGCTGGATCCAAGGAAATAGGCCTCCCGCTGGAGATTTTGACCGGCGCAACCGCTGGTGGCATGGCCGGAACCATCACCTGCCCCCTCGATGTAGTCAAGACCAGGATCCAAACGCAGCAAAGTCCAGAAGCCACAGCAGCGTTTAACGCAAAAATGGCTAAACAGAATCCAAGAGTTTCGTCCAGTTCGACAGGGCCTAGCGCCGGGCCTTCGTCAAAGCACAGCACTCGTTCGGGTCCTGGCCCAGGCCATGGTCCGCCCAAAGGTACCAAGCGGCCTATCTCAACGTCGTCGCCTTCTACTTCCCTAAAGCAGCATACGGCAACCACGCTCGACACGTCCTCAATCATCAGGGGTCTTGGGCTGATTTATAAGACGGAGGGTGTTTGGGGTTTGTTCCGTGGAGTCGGTCCAAGAGCTGTTTGGACGAGCGTGCAGAGTAGCACTATGTTGGTCCTTTACCAGACTCTTCTCAGGTGGTTTGAACGGCATCCGCTTGTTACTCAAGAGGAAGTATAGATTAAGACTTGTGATGATTGGGACCTGTATACGAACAGGTTGAGGGTTTTAGACAGGAAAACATTTGTACAGTAGGTTGCATCATTCCCTTTAGACGGAGGGTTTCTATTCAAGTCATAGCATTGGGCGGCGTTGTTACTCCCGACTCTCAGGTTCGACATTGGCGAAGTCTTGTCCGCTGCATAGGCTTCCTCTTCTCTTTGGAAATATTCCTGCCCCGTGTATCTATGTGTTTTGTCTCTCTCGGTGTAGCCTGTTATTGGCTGCCCATTGTCACATTTATCTGACGCTTTGCGTCTCCCCGGGCAACCCGGCAAGTCACGATGCCGACCCGCCGCTCCACCCTGGTCTATCGCCAATCTCAAGGCCCACTATTGGAGGCCAGAGAAGGAGGCTGAGGCCTCCCCCGCGTCTCACAGTACGAAGCCCTATGCGGGGCACCGAGGTTCATCCATATGCCCGGCCAGCAGTCACCTGGGCTCTATAAGACAGGGTCGGCTCGCCAGCACTCCGTTCCTTGTCTATACACAGCTTGCCCCCGCAGCTTCCTCACACAGCAACCCTTGCCCCGTCTACACTGCCCGTCATGTCAAAAGTCCTGACTAATCTCATCCATGGAAGCTCCGGCGGACAGAGCGAGAAGGAGCAGCAGCAGCAGCAGCAGCAGCCACAAACAGACATCAAGATCCCTACCACGCAGAATGCCGCGGTCAGAGACGGCCACATCGCGCCCATGAAGGAGATCGCGGTGCCGGAGCTCAAGCCGGGCCAGATCCTCGTCAAGATCAACTGGACGGGCCTCTGCCACTCGGACATCAGCTTCCTGCGCGACTACTGGCCGGAGTTCGGGAGCGAGACGCTCGTCCGGGACCGCGCCAACGGCGTGTGCGGACACGAGGGCGCCGGCTCCGTCGTCGCCGTCGCCCCGGATGTCGCGGCCGCGGAGCTGTGGCGCGTCGGCGAGCGCGCGGGCATCAAGTGGTGCGCCAGCGTGTGCGGCCGCTGCGAGTTTTGCACAAACGGCGTCGACGAGCTGCACTGCCCGGCGCAGCTCAACTCCGGCTTGACGACCCCCGGGACCTTCCAGCGCTATGTCGCTACCGACGCGCGGTACGCGACGAGGCTCCCGGATGCCGTCACTGATGAAGAGGCCGGGCCACTCATGTGCGGAGGTGTGACGTCGTATGTGGCGTGCAAGCGAAGTGGGGTCCGTCCGGGGCAGTGGATTGTGCAGTTTGGGGCAGGCGGTGGGTTGGGCCATGTGAGTGAATGAGTCTTTTTTTTCCCCCTTCGGATGGGCGCGGATGGTTTGCTGACTCTGCTTCCACTGCCATGCAGCTTGGCGTGCAGTACGCCAGAGTCATGGGTATGCGGACCATTGCAGTCGATGTGGGTCCGGAGAAGGAGGAGCTATGCAAGAAGTTGGGCGCAGAGGCTTACATCGACGCGTTGAAATGTGAGGACCTGGCGGCCGAGGTCATGAAGATTACGACATATGGAGGTACGGGCTTTCTTGAAACTGTTCCTGTCGTTCGATCCGGCGTTGATGCTGACTGTTTCGCAAACAGCTCATGGTGCGATTGTGTTCGCGCCTAACAAGCAGAGCTATGGTGTTGCTCCATACTTGCTGCGACCGGGTGGGACGATGGTGGCTGTAGGCTTCCCAAAGGACGGAACGATTATTGCTGGCGCTCCGCCCCAAATCCTTGCAATGAAAAGGGTAATTTTTTTTTCTTTATTCTGAACCTGACCCTTTCGACTTCTTATGGTTCAATTTTCTGGACATGGCTAACAAAGTTTGTTATAGCTGAATATTGTGGGAAGTGTGACTGGAACGCTGAAAGATGTCGACGAGATGCTCGACTTCACAGCAAGGGGACTTGTGCACCCAATCTTGACGAAGGGAAAGCTCAGCGAGCTTGACAAATACATCGACCTCGTCGTTGCGGGGAAAGTGCAGGGCAGGACGGTTCTCAAGGTGGAAGATTAGGCTAGATGTCGGCGACAGCACTGAACTATCAGCAACTCTTTTGGACATTCTCCCTGTCGGTCATGCAGTTTTCAACAAGTTCCCGCCAGGGCTTGCAAGTTCAGCTTAGCGAGTTTCATACCCAATAGCATCACTCACATACGATGTTTTTGATTTTGAATACATCCTCGGGCATCAATAAGTTATGATGGTTCTAGCCGACGTTGAAGACCTTCTACCTGCTATTGTCCTCAACTTCATCCACGCCTCAACTGTGATCCAGCGTCTCAAATCCTCAAGCATCGGTGTAGCAACCGAGAATGTTTTGGTTTTTATATTCATCTGGAGAGCCGATAAGATATACTTTTCAAAATAACCTTATTCCATGTTCAACCCAAGTGAAGCGAAGGAACTTCTTCGCTACAGAATCTACAGCATCCTACTACCCTCTGAAATATATCAAACATCCTCCTTCGTACTCACCAAAATGACATGAGTGACACTAAATCCTTTCAAGCACCTATATCCTCTAATTACGCGTGAGAAATTTGGGGACCAGGATGGATAGAACTGCGAGACCAGGCGTTCTTTAGTAAAGACGTGGCCGCGATAGGCCGGAAATGTGGCGAGAGATTTCACCGGTTGGAGACACACACAGGCGGTCTACGCTCGAAGAAGATGGCTGCAGGAGATTACCCGCAGCGACAGTTGGCTGGGGGCATATGCAGTGGCAGGCACTAATGCCGTGCAGCTGCTCTTTGGCTGCAGCTACATGCCGCCCAGATGCCTGCTGATTGACAAAATCTGCGGCTTCCATTGGCAGCTCTGATGCTGACAGCAGCCAGCAGTTGCGGGAGAAGCGCAAGCACGGAGAGAGAAGCAGCATGGCGATGTGTAGGGAGAGTTTGATGCTGCAGATCAACGACTAGCGTGTGGGGGATGGACGGGCGCTAGCAACAGAAGGCGGGGTAGCTGCTCAGGTGCTCAGGTGAGCTGCTTCCACCTTCCAGGCTGTCCCCAGACGGGCATCGGCTGGCCTGCTGCGCCGACAGGCCACAAAACCCCGCATCTTCTCTGGACAGCTGTTGTCTTCCTTTTCCTCACCCGAAGTTCTGCAGACGCCCGCAGAGTTCAGCATCCGTCACTCTTCGACCAATTCCCCCCAGTGCATCAGCCGTAAGCCGCCGAGATGAGTGCAATTGCCGAAACCAGTGGTGGGCCGACGCCTCCGATCCAGGTGCTCTACGCCCTCCACCCTGGTTTCGACACGTTGGACGTCGCCGGTCCCGTCGAGGTGCTCCACACGGCCAGGCACAACCCTAGCGACCCTGGTAGGTGCAAGCTGACGCCAATGAGGAAAACCGGGGACGGTCAAACCAAAAATCCCGCTACCTCCCTCGTCACGTGCGGTTGCTGACGTGGATATCGCTTTACTACAGCTGGCAAGGCCTTCAACGTCAAGTTCGTCTCGGCCACCGAGCACACCGTCTCCGAGCAGGGCGCCTCCTTCCGTGCGCACATGGACTTTGACGATGCCCACGAAGACCTGAACGACTTCGATGTGCTCATCATCCCCGGCGGCGGCACCGACAAGGTCCTCGACCAGAACGAGGAGCCCATGAAGCTCATCAAGGCCTTCGCCGAGCTGCAGAAGACGGACCTGACCAAGGAGCGCACGCTCATGTCAGTGTGCACGGGCTCGTTGCTTCTGGCACAGGCCGGCGTGCTGCAGGGGCTGTCGGCGACGACGCACCCCGACTACTACACAAAGTTTGAGCTCATCTGCCAGAAGGCGGCGCAGCAGGGCGACTACGAGCAGACAAACGTCATGGAGGAGCGGTACGTGGTCAACAACGCGCGCTTCGAGCTGGGCGAGAACGAGGACGAGAACCCCTTCATTCTCAGGAAGCGCCCGGACGGCCGGCGCAAGAGCATCGCGCGCAAGGGCAGCAATGCGTGGAAGGAGGGCCGCCGCCGCGAGAGCATCGTGCGCCGGTCGAGCTTGCGCCTTGGGGGCCTTCGCGTCATCACAAGCGGCGGCATTACCACGGGCTTGGACGCCAGCCTGTATCTCGTCGGCGCCATGGTGTCGCACGACTCGGCTGTTGAAGTCGCGCGCGTCATGCAGTACGAATGGAACAAGGGCGTGACGGTCGACGGCATTGACGTGTGATGGCTATGACGGTGGTGTAGCGAAGCCGCCGCGGGCGCGAGCCGGAAAAAGACGGGGGGCCAGGACGGAAACCTGGCAGTGGCGGCGGCGACGAGGCGGAAGGCCGGAACGGGCGCGTCAAGAGTGAGGCGCCTGATGGCATTCACGGACTTAGCATGATGAAGTGTAAGTTTAGCTTCAGGATGCTATGAGCAAATGGACAGGATGCAAACCAGTTTAGCTGCCGCTTTCCCCTGGCGGACCCCGCGTGGCGGCGGCGGGATGGATTCATGGAAGCAGTGGGCCGGCGGGCGCCAGGCTCCAAGGGGCACAGCCGCAGCCACTGACGGCAGGCTGTCGGCGCTGTCGGCGCTGTCCTCGCTGTCCTCCAGAGTCACGAAGAGTCACTGGGCGCCTGGCAGGCGCGCGTTGCTGAAACGGCAGGCGCGCGGTGGCCGGTGACTGGCTGGGCGCGAGGGCGCCGACTGTTTCTTGTTTCGCTGGCCGGGCCCTGCGTTGTCCCCCGCACTCGGGTGATCCCGATTTGCGGTGATCTTGCATCGGATTCGGCATACCGACCGTTGCGCGCGCCCCCACGTGCCCCCTTAGGCCAGCGCCTCGAGCCACAGCCCGTCTGCCACTCACGCCTCGCCCTCGGGGCTTGCACCGCCCGCCCTGAGCGCTGGCTGCCCCACCTGCTCATGCCATCCCACCACCGAATTGGTGCCAGCGCCCACCAAGCTGGCAGTGGGTCCGTTCCTCATCCGTACACGTCGTGTCAGCGGAGAGCGCCGTTCTAGACGCTCACGTCCGTGGGGACCAGCTCCACCGGTGAGGTCCGGATGCTGCCATCCCACTCGGTGTCTGTCCCTGCGTCGACTCTATGCGACGCAAGCGCTCTCGTGGATCCAACTGGCGCTGGGAAGGGGCCAAGTCCACACCCGTGTCGATGTCTCGTCCCGTTCGCGGGAGCGGCGCCGCTCGCACCGGCCCATGCCATGCTTGCCATAGCTCTCTAGCCAGCGCCTGTTCCCCTCCGCCTCGACTTGCTCGACAGTGATTCAGTCTTCCGTATAAATGGGGTGCTCGCAGCGCTCATGGTTAGCTCCAATTCTTTCTGCAGGTACAGACTTCAACTTGCGGTGAGCCCCAGACTCAGCACTACATCTCGCCCTCTCTTGCTCCTATCAACACACCTCGTTTTCCACCTCTCCACCTCCTCCGCCTATCTTTAGAAGCAGAGCTTCTCGCGACTCGTTGCGTATCTTCGACTGGATCAAGATCAGCACCAACCCTAAAGCACATCATCCCATCACCCGTCATCATGTCTTTTGCTCGTCTTGCTGGCAAGACTGCCGTCGTCACTGGCTCCACCATCGGTATCGGCCAGGCCGTTGCCTTTGCTCTCCACGCCGAGGGTGCCCAAGTCGTCTGCGCCGACCTGAACGAGAGGAGACAGGGCAGCGACGACACCGACGTGCCCACCCACGACCAAATCAACAACGCTGGCGGCAAGGCCATCTTCGTCCAGACCGACGTGACCAGAGCCGACAGCGTGAAAAAGCTGGTCAAAGAGGCGGTGAGCCACTTCGGCAGGATTGATATGTGAGTCTTCCATCTCTTTCCAGAACCCTTCCCGTATGAGGTGGCCGCTTTCACCGACTCGGACTCCCATTTCCCCTCCCTTGCCATGATGCTCGTCGTACTCGTCGTCGGAATGACCATGCTGACCATGTGATCGACAGCTTCATCAACAACGCTGGTGTCACCGGCCAGGACGGCAGTCTTGAGATCGCCGAGGATGCCTGGGACAGGAGTTTTGCTGTCAACGCCCGCGGCACTTCCCTTGGCTGCAAGTACGCCGGCGCCCAGATGAAGAAGCAAGACAAGCTCCCTAGCATGGACCGCGGCTGGATCATCAACATCGCTGGCGTCCAGACCGGATCAAGTAAGCACTGGCTAAATCGTGGAAACCCGGGCATGCACTTACTGTCTCTAGCGGGCGAGACTCCCTCGAAGCACTCCCTGGTCACCGACTTGACCGAAACCGTCTCCAACGAGCTCCGCAACCACGACATCCACGTGAACGCCATCTGCCCCGGCTGTAAGCACAACCCTCAACGAGCTCTGGTACGCAACACGGACTGACAGCGCATAGATACCAAGATGTCGATGCCGGAGAACTGGCAGGAGACCCAGGAGGCGCAGACAGCCCTTGCGAAGCTTCCGGAGGATGTCGCCAAGATGGTCATCCAGTTGGCCACCGAAGAGAGCGGCTGGATGGCCGGTAACTCGGTCTCGGTCGACGGTGGTAACTCCACCTTCTAAACCTCATGTGTCATGTCATGTTCATGTTTTATGTATAATCACCCTGTAACGATTTAATGACGATATAGAATGTAAATGATCTCTCCTGATATTTAGTGGAACATTTGAGTCGTGTCTAGTCGTACACATATGCACAGAAACATCCCCACTTACAACAGCAATCGTACATCGCGTTTGATACTCGCCTGCGCCAGCGCCGACGCCGTAACACCGGAATCACCAGCATTATTTTGTGGATTTCTTCGTGTCTTCTGGGTATGCCGTTGCCTTTTCGATCTCCCTCTTTTCCTCATGAAGCTCTTCTTTTGCCTTTATGGAGTTCTCGACCTGTTCAACCGCTCGTTCGATCTCGACCTCCATCTCCGGCAGATGGAATCGCTCAGCCAGCAGCTTGCCATTCCACCTTTGCAAAACCATAACGTCTTCGGTTTGATTGTTCGTTTGCCGCCTGACAAGCTCGGCGACCGCTTCGGCCTGCTCTTTCGAAGGCGGCGATGCATCGCGCGACAGTTGTCTGGTAGGGTGGATGAGGCCTGCAGCATACAGCTGGTCGAGTTCGTGGGACGGCTTTGGCTGGATGAGATTATTCTTGAGAAGGAACTCCAGGTGCTTCGAGCCGGACAGGGCCTTCCAGTGGGAGTATGCGCGGAAGACGAGGTAGAAGAAAGGGATGTTCGGTATTCTGTAGGGGGCGGGTCAGTTGGATTGATCCTTTGTGCTCGGCGTGCATGGTCCACGTACATTGGCACCAGGGCGAACGGTGCAGATATCGGCATTCCGACAATGCTCCACCATAGGCGTTTGCGATGCAACGACTGCCGCCCCTTCGCCAGTTGCTGCAGGATGGGCGACACGCGCTCTTGATCGAGGAACAGGCCCGGGAACTTGACCTCAACCACTTCGCTGCCAGCGAGCTCGGCCTCGCGGCGTCTCCCACTGAGCGCAGGTATCGTTTTGAGTCCCCATTCCTGGTATGGGATCCGGCGCAAGATGCGGTTGCCCTGGACAGTGACGGTCTTTTTCCAGCCGCCCTTGTACCACGCCACCTCGTTGGACATCTTCTCCCAGTCGGCCCATGTTTGGTTCGCCTTATTGGTGACTTTGTCGAGCACCGAAGGGTTCTCGCCGGCCGCAGCGGAGCGGCGCTCGCAGTAGATGAGAGCGCGGCGGGTGGAAATTGGCAGGAGGAATAACCGCATCGTGGCGGGCGGCGGCCGTTAGAGTTGGACGTGAAGCGGGCAGTGCCTGGTGGGGCAGCAGGAGGAGGATTGCTTTTTGCAGGCTCAGTTGATGCGCGGCGCGTTCTCGCTTGCCATGGCAGCTGTGCGGAAGCCTGAGGCGTTGCGGTTCGGCGGCGGTGTCGAAACGTCATGCATGGCCCCTGCGACAGGCAATCTCCCGGACGCGATCTGCACAGGCAACATCCTCCCAGCTCCGGCCACCAGCCGCCTGTAATTGGAGATCCTCAGCCTCCCCAAAGGCCGGTATTTTCTCACCCGCCGGCAGCTGGAGGCCCTTCCTCCAAAACGCTGCTCCAAACCACCACGTCGCTCGACTCGCCCTCGCGCCCGATCTCTCCACTCCGCCGGTCGCCCAAGTTATGGCCGCCGACCATGAGACGCCCCGGACGGTTCCTCGTAAGCCCCCGTGCATCTGCACCACGATCGCGCTCGCGTGCTCACCTTTACTTGCTCAGCTTGGGTGCGCTCTGCCCACAACGACTCCTCCGACGAGCTCCGCCTCGACACCCAGGTGACGCCGCTGTTGCTACCCAAGACGCCCCAGACCGTCCGTCCTGCCTCGCACAACTCGCATCCCTCTCCTCGCCCTGGCGCTGCCGCCGGCCGCCGTTTCGACCATGCTCGCGAAGCCGCCCCGCCGATTCCAAACGCCTCTCCGGTCGAGACAGCATCGCGCTGGCGTGCATTTGCTCTTGCCTCCAAATATCCCGACCCGCCCCAGTCGTCCGCTCACCGTGAGGTGGCCTCGCCGGAATGGATCCGTGACAACTTCAACGACCTGGACTCGCCGTGGGAGCCGGACGAGGCGATGGAGATGGATACGGAAAAGCAGCCTGGGTTCTGGTTGTTTAGCCATGCAAAGCGGAAGAGCCGTCTCCGCAAGTTCCATGTGAGACTTTCCCCGGGCCGAACTGCGACCCAAACACCCGCCATGTTTCGCATGTTTTCTCGCTTCGTCCCGTTTGGGACTTGTGTGACGCCGCCGTTACGTGACTGTCTTCCTTCGTGTTTCAGATTGTTGACAGTCCACAGCGTATTCTTATGCGGAATCCCTATATCCCGCTCGTCATTCGTCTTACCGTCCTCACCTTCTCCGCTGCAGCTCTGGGCATCTCAGGCCGTATCTTCCACCTCACCAACCGCAGTAGCTGTGACGCTGGTTCGTCAACCTATATGGCCATCATCGTTGACGTGATCGCTATTGTCTACCTTTGCTACATCACCTACGACGAGTATACAGCCCAGCCGCTTGGCTTGCGCAACCCCAAGTCCAAGTTGCGTCTTATATTCTTTGACCTGCTCTTTATTGTCTTCGATTCTGCAAATCTGAGTATTGTAAGATTACCCCGCATCCGTCTCGATTTCAACAGAATTAACGGATTGCCAAGGCTTTTCAATCTCTGACAGACTCAAGCTGGGCGTGTGTGGACAACAGCGAGCGCGACGACCCAGATTTCCAGTCATGCTTCCAATCTAGCGTGTGCAACCAGCAGAAAGCATTAACGGCTGTCTTACTACTAGCATTAGTGGCATGGCTGCTGACATTTTCCATCAGTACGCTCCGGATCGTGGAGCGGGTTACGCGCTGATGACGGCCGACCCTTGCATTTTAGTTTCCCTATATCTGTTTAATTGGTTCGTTATACCCCGGAATGCGAGACACCTTTCTTCTTCGTTTCCCTTCATTCTCCTGATCACCGTCTTCGGACCGACTGTGGTGAGGATGCGTTGTTGAGAGTGGGTACGACCAAGAAATGGCGGAGCGCTCGTGCACCAAGGAAATCGACAAAGCTCTGCATCGGCATACAAAGAGCAGCGGAACTTCCGGATATGTCTCGCCAATAATTTCCGGAAGATTTGACTGGAGGCCTCCATGCTTGAGTCGCGGTCCTTCCATATTCCCTTATTCGGCTAATCACAGGTTTGCTGCACAAGCGAACTGACATTATGTCGCCTTGTGACATCCATGCTCGGTTTGAAGGAAGACCACAAGCACTTGTCGACAACAAATAGGCAACTGTTATGTGCATCCTCCTCACAAACATTTGGACAGAGAACACATGCCTATGGATAGGAATAAGCATCCCTTCTGCGCGCCTAGTAAGCCGTGGTAGGTAGAAATAGGTGCGATGTCCGGTAGGTTCTTTTCGCTGGATATCTCCTTTGCTTCCCTTAGTCCTCCGGTTGCTCGTCTGGACTTGCTTTTCTATTTTTTCCTAGGCGAAGTTGAATCCTCGTACCTCGGTTTCTTCCCCTTCAGACCTTCGCCTCAACAACATGCCGATAACTCCTCACCGCCTGAGCTACTTACCTATACCCGATTTGGATCTTCCTGCTCACCACTATCACCCTGTTCTGAACCATCACCGCCATTGGGTCCGCACGCGCCGTCGCCTGATCCCATGCTTGGAGCATGCAAACTACCCCGAGGCCCTCCAGACACATCACCAGACCCCTTTGCGCTCTACTCGCACCCGGCAATTTATCGCCGTTCGCCGCCGCAACACGCCTTCTCGCTCGACGAGTCGTAGTTGCAACTGCAGTAGGCACTGGTTATGGCCATCCATCCGTATCTGCCGGTGCGTTCCTCGCAGCGAGCGGAGAGATCAGGAGACACGGCGGGAGGCGTTCCCTTATTCATACGCTGAGTATGGAAGCGTTGCAGACGATTTCAGCAGACAAAGGGGGAGGGGCGGCAACATGCATGTTCGCGCTAGGATGAGGCCGCTCTTGGGTTCACCTGATGTTCCGCCGTCCCCGCCGTCCCCGCCGTTGCCCTTTCGGTCACCACCACCAATGCCGCCGTTCCCGCCGTTGCCGCCTCCTCATATTTCTGCACTGCCATTACTGCCTCCCGATCCCCCTTACCAAAGAGCAACCCCAAGGGGAGTGGCCAGGGCAAGAAGGGGTTGTACTTGCCCTTCCCGCCGCGAAGACGAACCTGATCTCATCGACCAGCTCTGTGGCGGGGTTGACTCGCTTGCCCTCATCCATCGCGGCGGATCTGATGTGGCTGGTGGCATCGTGCCGCCTCCCAATTCGAGAATACCTTCGAGGATATCGACCGTTATCAGAGAACCAAGGCTAGAGGGAGATTTGAGGTCGAGATCGAGAAGGCCGTATTTCAGGAGCCAGGGACCGAGGTCTGGGCGTTTGGGGGACGATGGGGACAACGATGGCCGTGAGGGGCGGATCGACGCAGCTTTTGAGGGGTTGTTGGATACGGCGAGTGACGTTGCGAGGGGTGATGCGCCGCAGCCGTTTTCTGATTACAGTGTGCGTAGGGAATATGCGCCACTGGAAAGGGGCCGGCGGCGGAGAAGGCCGAGCGGGAGGAGAGGCAGCGGGATGGCTACGGTGGGAAGGGCAGAGGAGGTCCTGAAGGAGAGCAGTGATGTTGAGGCCTGGACCCCCGGTTTCTGGAGACAGAGGCCGTGGTAGTAGGTGGTTTAATAGAGGTTAGAAGCCCCAAAAGAAACCACCAAAGGTCCGTTGCTATGTAGTCAAGAGCGTAGTTGCTGTTTATGAGGAAGGATACGCATTATTTCGGAGTATAACGGTTATTTTTAGATCTCAACGTAAGTAGTTAATTATTCTTCCATTTTCAATAAATAGCGTTATATGATGGTAGCATCCGGCAAGAAGATAAACCTGTGAAGCAAATTTCGAACGCGTGTTCTGGTAGAGAGAGCGGGAGGGCCGTGGAGATCGTCGGCCCCGGCCCAAGAGTTTCGGTGCAGGGCTGAGGCGATGCGGCGCGGGCGAGAGCTCCGGCCAGCTTGCGCCTAGGTTCCCCCAACTTCCACCTCGTTTCCACCTTCGCGCAACAGCTGCCTAGACATCTACCAGCTGGAAGGATTCCGTTCACTGCGAGCTACTCTGCCAGACTAACACTCCCGCTTACCACTGACCGTCCGTCCTACTCCGCCGCCCGCTTTCTCGCCCTCTCTCGCGCCGCCCACCACCACTACCATGTCGAAGATCACACACATCAGCGGCACGCCGCAATGGAACAACATCCTCTCATCCAACACATACGTCGTGGCAGACTTCTATGCAGACTGGTGCGGACCGTGCAAGGCGATCGCGCCCGTCTTCGAGCAGCTGGCGCAGCAAGAGGCCAAGCCCGGCCGCCTGGCCTTCGTCAAGGTCGACGTTGACGCCCAGCAGGGCGTCGCCGGGAAGTACGGCGTATCTGCGTACGTTCCCTCCTCCCCGTTCCTTCCCTTCTTCTTCTTCTTCAAAGCAAAAAAATTGGGGCTGGCAAAGGCTGACAAGAGAGGATGGGATGTGTTAGTATGCCCACATTCCTCGTCTTCAAGAGCGGCTCCGTGACCGAGACCATCCGCGGCGCCAACCCGGCCGCGCTCCGCGCCGCCGTGACCAAAGCCGCGGCCGACGCCGCCAAAGGCCCCGGACGCACGAGCGCGGCTTTCCAGTCCAAGGGACACGTGCTGGGCGCCGGCGGCAGCGGCAGCGGCAGCGGCGCGAGGACGACGGGAGACTGGGCCTGGAACCTCACGCAACGGCGTGGCGGCTTGCTCGACACTGTGGTGAGGTTCTTCGCGCTGTACATCATCACGTTGTTTTCGTTCGATGCGTTCGCCGCGGCGAGGGAGAGCCCGTTCAATGTGAACAAGAAGAATCAGTAGAGGAGGTCTGAGAAAGAGGCATACAGGCTTGGGCTTCAGACATGTTTTGGCCGCGATCCTCTTTTTTTTCTTTTGCGTTTCGTGATGTGGGTCATAGTGACTCACTCTTCTTATACCAAGGCCAAGGTCTCTTCGAACTACCTTCACGGTGGGTGACGAAAGAAGTTGACTCACCTACATGGGTAACGGAATCATAAATCTAGATGTATTCGTATAATCTTAATTCCCGTATCCACATCTGGATATCTGCTTCAGCTACTGATAAAGAAAGGTCGGGGCATGTTTCATTCAATGGCTATTACGCACAAGCCCTCAGCCACTGTCTCATCCAAACGACTGTTTCCCTTCAACCAGTATGTGTCCTTCTGGATGAAGAGCACGTAAATGATGAGTTTGTAGTCGCCACTGATGCCTAGATGGCCGATGTGGTAGATGGACATATCCCAGAAGGTCTTGGCCAGGCGTGGCTTGTAGCTAGAGGTAGGAGGAGTAAAGTCATCTATATGGAACTGAGCGGCGTGGGTGAGTTGGTTGACATTGAAGATATTTGAAACAGTTCCCTGGAGAGCCTAGTAGGGTTGGATAGGATTAAATCGATGAGAGGTTTGTTCTTTTGTTTGCGGTGGGCTTACCTCCCAGTTGATGTCTCCGCTAGTGTAATGTGTCCGTTGGGTGGTAGCATTCACGTTGTGCCCCTCGCGCAGTTCGATGGTGAGCCTGGATGGACAGAAGAAGGCATGACTGGACAATAATGCGTTTGGATGATGAGCATGTAGCCAGTGGTATTTTCAAACGGTGATTCTCGTAAGGACTTTGTAAGTAGACAAGTAAATGGCATCACAAGAGCCTATATGAGTAAAAGCTCTTGGGCTGGCCGCGTCCCTGGAGACTATTGCGCACTGCATTGAATTTCAATTTAGTGGGCAAGTAGGAAGACCAGCATTGGTGTTTTCGAACTAGAGTAGCATTTTGTGATTGAGTCCCTCAAGTCACTGTTGCACAGTGAGTGAAGAAAGAAGGATATCTTCAGCTACTAAAGAAGAAAGCACATCTACGCTGATACACTTGCTTCAATTGCCCCACAAAAGGATCGCTGTACGTCAAATTCTTTCGTCACCCACTGTGGTGGATGACCCTTCGTGCTGCACAGATTGGCATATCTTGTGAACTGCTGTATGAAGAACCGATGCCAATGTACGGGTTTCTACACGGCAGAAAATGCTGCACCGGCTAGAGTCAGGTATACCTGATTTTTCTTTCCATAGCCGTTGGCACATCGAGATAAGCGATCTTAATATAATAATATTTTTCCCGCGGCAGCAAGGAGGGCCTTCCAACTAGAGCGGAGCCGAGTAGGCGGAGCAAGATCCTGCTCGTCTGGTTGGCCATTTTCCACGGTCATGCAGCAAAGGAGCAAGGGTTGTTTTCCAATCCGGCGTTCGGCGCAGGCGCCATGGCGCATTCGTCAAGGTGTTCCCCATGATCAGGCTCTCAGGCTCTCAGCTCTGACATCATGACTGGTCCATGCTTTGGAAGGTGTCTGTAGGGCAGCAATTGCATGAGAAATGGCAAGATGATTGCTGATACCGGCAGCACAGGGGCTCGAAAAGCGAGCTACATGGGTTCCGGCAAGGTTAATATCAGAAGTCACACTAGGCGGATGGCGGGTGGTGACTAGACGGCAGCAGGCAAGCCAGAGTTGGGAGGAAAGGCGGCTGGCGAGCGAGCGGGAAGGACCAGAGCGAAGAGTGGGACGATTCGAGGCGGCGCAGGCAGCGCAGGCAGCACAGGCCGCAGGCGGCTCTGGACGTGATGTGCGACAGGGGTCCAGCAGGGAATGGGGCGGGCTCTGGGCCCGTTAGCCACAGCTCGGCGCCGCCGCTGCCATCTACGACCACGGCACCTGCTGGCCAGCTGCGCGCAACTCCTCAACGCTTTGCTTAATGTATAATGCCCTTGACCACCATGTCGCCTGCCTGCTTTGACCTGTAGGGCGCCTTTCCCCCTTTCCTTGCGTCCGCAGCCCGCGACAAGCCCTACCACAGCCCTCCATCCCCGCTCACCAGCGCCTGTCTTACTGCCTCCTCGCCACAAGTTATGGACGCGGATGCGCTCGACCCCAATTCGTACACCGCGCAACGCCTAGTCCGTCCTGCCCGGCTTTCGCAACTCGCGACATGCTAACGCCTTGCAGCAACATGCTACCCCCGAGCATCTCTATCTCACCTCCCGCCGCTGCTTCATAGGCCCAATTCCCGAGGGATGGCTCAAGTCGCACCGCCGCGACTGGTACAAGCACCATCTGCACATTAACTACTCCTCGCGCGCTGCCACCTTCTCGACCGACCTCCGCGTCACCCACGACCGTCGCACCTCCGGCCTTGACGGGCCTCGATCCTCGAAACCGTTTCGCCCAAGCTTTCCACAGCCCGCCGACATTATTGAGGAAGAGCACCATGATCAGGCCACTGGAGATGAGGCTGCCGATCCCGCCGCATCCGTTGCCGTGCCGCGCGCGAGCGCTGCCGACGGCGAGATCGTGAACCAAGAGCTGGCAGGGCAGCACAGGAGGACGCAAACACGGACCAGTACCGCAAAAAGCCGCAAGGAGAAACAATGGAGGCCTTCCTACAAACGAGACAATACAGGCTCCTTTGTCACGGCCAGCGAAGAGCTGCGTCCACCTTCCAATTACGAGCCCTTTGCAACTTCCGTGGCCGAGAGCAGCCTGCAGGTCCCTTCTTCTCCACGTGGCGACGGCTCCACCTCCTCGCTGCTACCCAATGCTGGCAGCACCCCCATAGCACCGGTGCCAACGCAGCATGACGAGCCAAGTGATCCGCGGGAGGACAGTGGTCGTGGTTTGGTGAAGTTTGCAGTGCCCGAGGATTCAAAGCGTGCTGAGATCCAGGCGAAGGCACGAATGGCTCAGACTCATGTGCGCCGGAAAGGCCATCGTCTCCGAAAATCCCGGCTTCGTGACGGCCAGATAGTCAAAATGGACAAGATGCTGGTGCGCGTGGACACCACTTTCTCCGAAATCGGTGAAGAATTCGACGAGAATGAAGCCCACAAGGTTGAATCGCGTACCACTGAGAAATGGCGGGAGTACATGGTCGTGTGCCGTGACAATCACGAGGCCGATGAAGATTTCCCTTTCGTACTCCAGATGTACAAGTCACGCGTAGGTGTTTCCCTTGCTTTTTGCTCTGGCGTCTTGTCTTCCTTGCGAAGCACATCCAGACGATTTTTCATCACTTCTTCAACATTTTACTGACCTTCGAAACAGGTGATTGCGGCTGTTGAAGCATCGAAAAACAAGAAAAAAGCAAAGCACGAAGTGCGACTCGGCCCTAGGTACACCAAAGTCAATCTCTATTCATCACTCGACAAGACAGTCGTCATATGGACGCCGTGGCGGAAAGGGACCAAAATCTTCATCATGCGTCCGCATTCGGGATCTAGCGCTGCAGAGTGGTACACCTTCCTGAGAAACATCTTAGGATGGAACCGAGCTTCGGAGCTGCAAGTCAATGTGCCCGGTCTCGACGTGAGTCTCCGCCTGGAGAACCCGTTTCAAGAACTGGAATCATCCAAAGAGCTAGACGAAGCTGCGAAAGGGAATGCAGAAGCAATGGTGAAGGCGGTCCAACAAGAGCAGGCTGTCGCTAAAAACATCATGAACCGTGCCATCGACATGCTAATACAGACACCTGATTACACTGAAGTCGTCAAAGAATGGACCAAATCCGGACGGATGGGACTTGCCTGGAAGCGTTATGACCGCCTGGAATGGATCCATGGCCCTAACGAGAAGAAAATGTACGGTTCTATTGCCATGGCACGAACGCATGAGCTAGAGCTACGCCCCAAGGAACATTACCCCACAAAAGCAACGACCAAAAAGAACAATATTCTCGACGAGCCTGTGCCAGTGGAAGGATTCTTGATCAGGCTGACAAGCCAGAGGGGGCTGGATAAGAGGCTCGGCCGCATGTTTTTCAAGCGCCTTTATTTTTCGACGCACGACAATTATCTAGTATTCACCCGACCAGCTAAAGCCGTTCCACCACCGCCACCAAAGCTTCCGGGTTCTTTCAACTCGCGGATACCCTCATCGAGAGAGATTACCCAGGCAGCTCCCCTGATATACGCTGTAAGTGCTCCGTAATTTTGCTTCTTCAACGGGTTCTGACTTGGAAATAGGTAAATCCTTACCCTATCAAGGACGACCAAATAGAATGGCTTGCAGAGGGCAGTGAGAGCTCCTCAGCAGACATCCGTCACCGTGATCGAGATGCTGAGGATGAGGCTGAGAGGAAGACGAACCTGCTGCTGAAATGCGATGGGTACATCAACCTTTGCAACATCCAGAAGGTGCGCAAAGTACACCGCGGCGCATCTGCGGCTGATGAGAATATGGAAGAAGGCTCTGATGTCGATTTTGATCTTGATGTGGATGACACAAGGGAGGACGACGGTACTACTCACGAATTCGATGATGACAGGACGTTCGAGCTGGTCTTGAGAAATGGTCTCATCATCCGTCTACAAGTAAGCTTACGCCACCCTTAAGAATGTTGCGATCACTGACCGGCATAGGCTTTCGACAAAATGACAAAGAAGGAGTGGATGAACCGTCTTCGCCAGCTTGTCAAATACTGGAAGTACCGCACTGCAACCGATATTCAACTCTACAAGACGATCAGAAAGTACAACCTGGACCTGCTCAACATTGACGAAGAGGCGGAAGCAATCGTGGGCCAGTTCGCACGGAAATGGGAGGTCTTGCATGCCCACGCCAGCTCGGAATTGTACAACATGTGCGGCATATCCGCATGCCGTTCCATTCATGTAAACCACCGCTGCATCATCCTCTTGATCGATCAAGCTATTTTCTAACCATCATCATCACATAGATTTCCGGAATTCTGTTCCGCAAGCCCCGCCGGCACGGCACCTTCACGCGGTGCTCGGTCATCCTATCGGCGGGCACGCTCCTGATCTTCCAAGACTCCGTCCGCAAGTCGACGGGCAAGCAGCTGGCGCACATCCACCACGAGCACATCTCGACGCTCGACCTGCGCGACTGCTACCTGTACTCGGGCCTGCTGACGGAGAACGACCTGCTGTACCAGAACCGCACCTTCGACAACAACAAGCCGGGCCACACGGCGCTGCCGCGCATCTACCTCGAGGACGGCTGGACCAGCACCGACGAGGACTACATGACGTGCTTCGCGCTGTGGCACGGGCGCAAGAAGAGCTTGTTCCGGAGGGGCGGCGAGAGCGACAAGGACAAGGAGGTGCTGGAGAAGGAAGGCGGCCGGAGGAGCCGTTTCAAGCTCGTGAGTCAGCTCGGCGTGCCCGGCAACACCATGGTGTTCAAGGCGAGGAGTCGCGCCGAGAGGGACCATTGGGTGCTTGCGATCCAGACCGAGTGCGAGAGGTTGGCACAGGCAGAGGAGGTGAGGATCGTGGGGGAGATTTGAAGGGGTCAGTATCGTTGATTGTTGCGCGGGCGTCTGGGATTGCGGGTTCCGTGCTTGTGTCGTGTGTTTGACGGGTTCTGGATGGTAAATCTGATTGGAAGATAATTTTCTTTTTCTGATGGCTGGGGGGTTGGGACTTTCGTTTTTCATATTTTTTCTTCTTCCCCTTTTCCTTCTTTGTCCTCTTGAGATTCCCTTTGGCTTGGTCCTCTGCTTTTCGTCCGCCATGTCTATTTTTCCTATTCCTGTCGAAGTTCTCATTCTTCTTTTCTTCCTCCTTTGAGAATAGTAGTCTCAACAAGTAAATCCTAATTTCAATTTCGAACCCGCATTCAATACTATCAGCTGGAGGACTTGACAGCAGCGAATATGCTTGCGAATTTGTGAGAGAATACTTGAAGAAGCCAAAGCTTTATCATTTCTCGGAATGCTACCAAAAAAAAAGCCCACAACATGATCTTGTAAGCCATCCGAAAAAGGGAAGCAAGTCCTTGGGCTTGATCTTTGATTCATAGACAAGTTACATATGGCCATGATATATCATCCAATCTCTCGGGACCCCCAACATCTCCACCCAACGTTCATTCATGCCTTCGATCCGAAAATGACCTTATCAAACGTCTCGACGAACCCCTTGATCTCGTCCTCGGTGTTGTAATGCACCATGCTCACCCTCACCACGCCCTCGGGCCCCAGCTTGAGCACGTCGTCGCAGAGGCGCTTGCTGTAGAAGTGGCCCCAGCGGAAGCCGTAGTCGGACACGGCCTCGACGGCCTCGACGACCTCGCGCGCGCTTTTCCCCCTGACGCCGAAGCTGACGGTGGGCACGCGCTTGGACGGGTCCGGGTCGCGCTCGCCGTAGATGGTGATGGAGTCGCCCTTGGAGGCGAGGTAGTCGAGCAGGATGGCCTGGAGGGCCCGCTCGTGCGCGGCGATGGCGGATGAGGCGGCGGCGGCGGCGGTGGGGTCCGGGCCGCCGAGGTAGTCGAGGATCAGGGGCAGGGTTTGGGTTAGCTCGTAGTTGGAGGCGGCGAGGCCGAGCTTGTCGGTGAGGGTGGTGGTCGGGTTGAAGTAGTGCGAGAGGGGGGTGAGGGAGGACTGGGCGCTGCGGGACCCGAAGAGCATGCTGATGTGGGGGCCGTAGACCTTGTACCAGGAGAAACTGTAGAAGTCGACGCCGAGGGCTTTGACGTCGATGCGGCGGTGCTGGGGGGTGGTGTGGTTAGATTTGTAGGGGCGCAGGAGAACGGAGGGTTCGACTTACGGGAGCGTAGGCTACGCCATCGACGCAGAAGAGGGCGCCTGGAATGGTGTGGACGGTGTCGGCGAGGGAGCGGATGTCGTGGATGGTGCCGAGGATGTTGGACGCGTGGGTGCAGGTCACTAACTTCGTCTTGGGGGAAAGCAGTGGCTTGAGCGACTCCGGGGTGAGCTTTGGGTTGTTGGTGTGCGGGACGGTCCACCATTTGAGGGTGAGGTTCTTTTGTGCGGCGATGGCGACCCAGGAAGCAATGTTTGCTTCATGGTCCAAGTTTGAGACGACCAGCTCGTCGCCCGGGGAGAAGTTGAGGGCGATGGAGAGGTTGCGGAAAAGCTGAGTAGTGGAGGCGCCAATCACTGGACAAGAATCAGCATCAGGTGCATTGTCACGAGGTTTTCAGATGAGCGTACCAACTTCGTCATTCTCGGCGTTGATATATTGAGCTCCCGCCACGAGGCCGTCGCTAAAATGCTTGGTGGATGCAGTGCCGACGGGGTAGGAAGCACCGAGCTGGACGTTGTTGGTAGAAAGATAGTCGGAGACGCTGGAGAAGGGTCAGCGCTATAGATGAGGGCCTTTCTAGTATGTTTTTCTGCTCACGATTTGATGACATCGGCCAGGGCCTGACTGCCGCCGGCATTGTCGAAGAAGACCTGCTTCTGGCTCAGAGCCGGGAACTTGGAGCGCGCATTGGCAATGTCGAAGGTGGACGGCATGATGGAGAGTGATGGCGTGGGAGAGATGGGTCGGCACCAGCAGAAGAAGGTGGTGCATCCCACCTTCCGTATCCACCCAAGTGCGGGGCAGTCGGACAAAGAATGGGATGCCCGGGATGCCCCCAGGATGCCCCCCAGTCACCAGCCGACGTTTTACTGCGTATGCACGTCGCACTGAGGCCAGGCCGTCGACTTGAACCCACCATGTCCACGTTGCAGAGCCAATCTGACAGCTGGCGCTAAGCACTCTTGGGATTGCTATCTGCGGAACAGCCAGTCGACGGAACAAGCCCAGACAACCTTGCAAGAGAAAGACACGAGCATTTTCCGAGACCTGTCTGCGATGGACGAGACTTCACGAGATGGACCGCGCCCGTCCTACCCGGCGCGCGGCCCAAGCGCGGCCTGCGCGCGATGATCCGGACAAGCGACGCGTCCCCCAGCACGCCGCCATCGCAACCATGGCATCATGGACATAAATATCGAAGAGCATACCGATGCCTTCTCTGTCCGCCGTCTCTGGCGCCCTTCGCGCTTCACCCTGCCCGACCTGCAACCAGACGCGACCCTCTTTCCTGAGCTGGAGCTCGACGGTGAGTCCAACCAGCCCGACGCCTTTGCGACTGACCTGACGCGCCAAAGTCAACGCCATAAAAATCGACAACCCCTACGCCCCCACAAAGAGCCTCGAGCACGACCTGCGCCTTCCCGATCTCGATACCTTCCAGTATGGCCCTCTCGACGACCTCGACTCGGTCCAGGAGTCCACCGAATCCGCCGCTCCTGCTCAACACCTGCCTCAACCCGAAGCTCCCGACGACCAGATTTGGGAAGATGCCGCCGCTCTGGCGCCCGCCAGGGACGATGTGAGGTTCCACACTTGGGAGGCGTTTGAGAAGCCTGACTTTCAAGAGCCCATGCATGCCTACATCGCTGAGGCTGGCCCAGAGGCTTTCGACGCCGCGCTGCTCAGGATGCAAGAGGCCGACCCCTCCAAGGAAGCAGGCAGGATCGTTAGGTCGGACATACTTCTGGGTTCGCTCTTCAATCTCGGTCTTGGCCGTTCTTCGGTGCTGTTCAGGTACGAGCAAACGCAGCATGCCTTCGCCCAGGCCATTCACGACCAGAGAATGTCTGGCTTCTCACTGGTTTCTGCCCAGAACCTGATCCGCGACTTCCTGCGCGGTGGCTCTGCTTTCAAAAGCCTTCGCGAATTCGCCGATCGAACCCGTGGAGCTCAAAATACGTTTCCGTCCAAGGTGGCTCTGGCCACTGCAATCGAAACCATCCTGTCTACAATGGAGAACCACCTCGGCAGTCAGAGGAATGCCGTATCGAGCTTGTTGCAGCTTGAGCAGCTGTTTCGTCGGTCTCACCAAATACTACTGAAGGTCCAAGCCGTTACCGACGAGGTGAAACCGCTATCCACGAACGAGGATTTGATCACCTTGTTGTACACGCACGTTCACGACATGGAACAAGACGATACTTGGTTGAGGTCCGTCTTTCTGGACATCCTCAAGAGCGTCAGCAATCCTTGGCTCGAATTTGCTGCTGAATGGGCTGGGCTTCGCCGCGGCTTCAAAACCGGTTTCACCAAAGGAGACGTTAAGCACACATTTGTTGGCGTAGAAGAGACATCGGAGGATCAAAATGAGCCTCGTCCACCACCGGAGCATTTTTACAGATCTGAGAATATGCCAACATTCATCCCCGACGAGGACGGCCGGACTCTATTCGAGACTGGGAAGAGCTTACGCTTCCTCGAAGTCCATCATCCAAGCCATCCTTTGTGCGCTCCTCACAAGGTTGGCCTACACGCCCCGCCTCTCGACTGGAAGTTCGGTTGGGAAGATATGGAGAGCATTGCCGCCAAAGCCAAGAATTACGAGAGGAGTTTGGCCGAAGCTATTAGAAAATACAAGCCTACTTCAACAGACCATGAGCAGTTCGCTAGGAGGTCTTCGGATGATGGTACGGACACCAGGCCAGTCATGGAGCCAGCAAATTATGAGCGCGAAATCCTCGACACGATTGACGTTTTCGACCAGGACCCTGCTCATGAGGAGAGTGCGTCAGCAACTACTCTGCATTCGCTAGTTCTTTCATCCATATCCCCACAGAGCCACCCGGATAAAGGCGTCTATACGTTCGCTCCGCCGATAGCGCTGACTCCAACTCTTTCTCTGACTCCATTGTTTCGTGCACAAGCTCGTCTAGTCAACGCAACAACACTTAGGCTGTTCTTTCGATCACACAACTTACGTCTCCATCTTTCTTTGCAGCGGCAGTATCAGCTCCTAGGTGATGGTATGTTCATGTACCGGCTGACTTCGGCATTACTCAGTCCGGAACTTGAGACTGCAGAGAGAAGACGAGGAACCGTGCGAACCGGAGCTCCCATGGGAATAAAGCTGGGGTCACGGTCAACATGGCCACCGGCCAGCTCTGAGCTGCGACTCGCGCTCATGGGCATCCTGAGCGAAAGCTATCACTCATCAAGGCTATACCGCTCTGCGAAGAACCACGCTTCCTACAAGAAGCAGGAAAAGCGTCTCAGAGAGACTCCCGATCTCCCGGGCAACCTCAGCTTCTCGATCCGCGTCCTCTCCAACGACGAGATCGAGAAGTGCATGGACCCGAACTCGCTGTACGCGCTCGACTTCCTGCGACTGCAATACACGCCGCCGCCGCCGCTGAACCTCGTCATGACCGCGTCGGCGCTGGACAAGTACGACAGCTGCTTCCGGCTCCTGCTCCGCATCGTGCGCATGCTCTTCGTCGTCAACCACCAGCTCCCGCGCGAGGGCGGCGTCGCCGGCGTGTGGGAGAGCAGGTGCTTCCGCAACGAGGCGCACCACTTCGTCAGCGCCGTGTCGGCCTACTTCTTCGACTCGGGCATCGGCGAGACGTGGCAGGCGTTCGAGGCGGGCCTGGACGGGCTCGAGCGGCGGATGCGCACAGAGGATGAGTGTGGTGACGGCGATGACGAGGTCGGTGGGACTGACGGCGACTCGTCCTTCGGCAGGCTGGTGGTGGAAGGGCTGGAAAGCGTGCGCGCGGCCCACGAGGAGTGCCTCGATCGCGTCATGTTCGCGCTCCTGCTGAGGCGTCGTCAGCAGCAGGTCATGCGCCTGTTGGAGGAGATCTTCGAGACGATCCTCGCGTTTGCGAAGCGCGCGAGCGGCAGCAGCAGCAGCAATGGCGGCGCGTACAGCAGTGGCGGTGCTGCTGGTGCCGCGGCTTCGGGCCCGGCCGGCGGCAGACAGGGCGGCGGCGGCCAACAGCTTACGGCCGTCGCCGTTTCCGCCGAGGAGGCGCGCGAGGTGAGGGAGATGCACATGCTGTTTAGGAGCAAGGTCAACGTCTTCATGACCGTCTGTCGCGGGTTGACGGGGAAGCGTGGATCGAGAAGGGCTGCTGCCGCCGGCCGCGGTGCTGGTGTTGGCCTTCTCCTCGGTGGTGATGGGCGTGACGTGGTGGTAGAGGAAGAGAACACGATCGATAGGCTGTTGTTGAAGCTTGAGATGAATGGGTACTATGGTGCCCCGGTCACCACGGATTTGGGGTCTTGATTGGGTGGGGGGAGTTGGATGTGAGGCCACTCGAGTCTGATGGTGGGGCTTCTACTACGTATGCTTGCTGCATCCTCTTCGAGGAATGGGGTCTGTGTGGGGAGGGGGAAAGAGAGAGAGAGGAGGGGTTGGAGGAGGCTGTGCATGGCTTCACGGAAAGGAAAGTTGAACCGGGAGAGCGTGCGTGTATGTGCGGCGCTCTGGTGGCGGATATCCAAGGAAACAGTTTCAGGCAAGGGAGCTGGATTGCGCGTTCACACATAAAACAAAGCCTGATACTTTTGCTCCACGTCCTCTCTCTAGACCAATACTCGCGCTGTGTCATGTCGTCGAATAAAAAAAACCCCCCCGCCGCTACATCAACCAACCATTCGCGAAGATCGACCAAGAACCTTGAAAGTTCCTCGACTAGGGCTGTCGTTGCTGGCTAGCTCCATCGACCCCCCACCCCTGCAAGCTTTTGCCAATAATCGGCAAACGTGACGACTGTCAATATTTCCCTCTCTCTCCCTCCCTCTCAGCCTCGGAGGTAAGCGTCAATCAAAAACCCCGAGGGTGTCAACTATACCGCTCCGAGGCGGCCTATGCCGCCAATGCCCAAGGTATAAGCGCCATCGGGGATGATAAAAAACGTTAAACCCAGCCGGGGAATTGCTTGCGAAACAAAAAAAAGCCATCTACTTTCAGCTTCCTGTCCGCCGGCCGGCAGGCAGGGCACGAGTTCTAGAAGGTCTGCGCTCTGCTCATGACGCGGTCACGGCCACGTCAAAAGCCCTCAAGCCATGCCACGTACGTACGTGGCGGGAAGGATGGGGGAGGCTTAGCTCCTCTAGGTGTACTTTCTCATCTCTCCTCCTCTCTCTCTCTCTCTTTCTCTCTCTTCCGACGAAGCCGCATGCGCTTGCAAAGGGGGGAGAGGGGGGAGTTTGCATTAATTATCGCGAGAGGCTGGGGATTCCTGGGTTGGCCGATTGCGGGTTAGGTGCGGTCCCGGGATTTTGGGAATGATGATGGGCGGCGGGGCGCAGCAGCTGCTTGTGTCTCCTTGTTCTGGAAGGGATCGTTGGTCGTTGAGCTTGTTTCCCCGTTTCGGAGAGAGAGAGATCGCGATTGGGGCTTGGAGGACGGCCAGGCGTTGGTGTACTGGGAAGTCAAGAGCAGGGAGAGCACAAGCTAGGCGTAGGAAGGGAAAGCAGTTGTGCCTGATAATAAACTGGCCGCTAGACAGATGCGTTCATGGTGCACATGTAATGTTCTCTCATGATATTATTAACTGGTCACCTCACGTGCCGAGACGTGTGTGTAGGTGCCATGGTCTGTATCTTACTGGACGTGCCATTTGCTACTCGCTGCTACTGCAAGATTACGACAAATGACTGGAGAGCAAAAGCCATAGCCGTGCCATCGGTCGCGCTTGCATTTGCGCGTGGTCTGTGGCTGAGGAGCTTTTTGTGGAATTGTTGCTCTTTGAAACGAGGCTTACGCGGCCTACTAAAGTCCACTCCGAATAACGCCATACCCAAACTCATGGAACTCCGTGAAAATCCCGTAACGTTTAAATCCATCTCCAAAACATACAAACGTACTTACCTATGCCGATCATGCGCATGCTTGCGAGTGAAGAGTAAAAATGAAAAGTAGACTATTTTGTGCATGAAATCAAGTCGTCAATTGGTTTCGTGATCTGCACAGTCGCTTCTGATGCGGCTCATGTCCGGCTCTTGGTCGTCTCCTCTCTTTTCGCCATGATGCTAGTGTGCCTCCCCGTCTTGAAACGTGAATGGGAATGAAGTTAAGAATATTCAAGAAACGGCCCATGTCAGATGAAACAGCCCCTGAGCGCCTCTAGCCTTGGCGCCACATTGGGTTGATGCAATAAGGGGCTTAGTTCTTCCTGTCGCGGTCCAGACCGGCAGACTCGACAATGTCAGACTCCATGGGCTCCACAGGCTCCCTCATAGTGTCGAAGCTGGGGCGCGGAGAGACGTCCGGAATGCTGCTCTCAGGAGTGAAGACGGTAGTGACGGAAGGGGTGTACTCGCGGAAACCATCGACAACAATGTCGCTGCCATCAGCGTCTTCTTCATACGCCGGAGGAGCGTCATCCGTGTCCACGCTACCTAGATCAGATTTGTACGAAGGAAGGCTACTCGTACGAGACATGTTGTGCGGCGGGGGCGGAGTGTACATTCCGTGAGCCACGTGATGGGGTTGGGGGAGCGGCTCCATGGGAGGTCCCGGGTAGGCGTGCATCTGAGGGTGAGTGTGCACGTGGTTGTGGGCATGAGCATTGACACAAGGACAAGTCGACGGTCCGGGGGAAGCCGGAGAAGCCCTTCCTTGCTCAGCCTGGACAATGTCGTGGGCAAGCTCATGAGCAGTCCGCAGGTGTTTGATTTCTTCCTGCATGGCCTCCTCGAGTCTGTCCTCCTGGTCCAGAATCAGGGCCCTCTTTTCTTCGTAATCGGCCCTACGGTCCCAGTCGTCGTCGCTTCCGTTCCACCATTGCTTCCAGGCGTGGCGGCGAGCAAGGCGACGGTATTGTCTGGCAGTGCGACGCTCCTCGCGAGTGGCACGACGTTCGGTGCGCTGACGCAGGGTGCAACAGTTGCGACGGATGAAGCCGAAAACGCAGGCCAGTCCAGTCAAAGAGGCGAAAGCCATCAGAACGCCGTGGACAGGGCGAGGTCCGCCATGATGGTGATGATGCCCATGGGGCGGGGGCGGAGGGGGAGGGGGTGGTCCGCGGCCGCCTGGACCATCGAAACCAGGCGGCGGGGGCGGCGGGGGCGGCGGGGGACCACCGTGGCCGTGCGGGCCACCAAAAGGCGGCGGAGGCGGCGGAGGCGGCCCATAGCCTCCTGGACCACCGAAAGGAGGGGGAGGCGGCGGAGGAGGAGGGGGTGGTCCATAGCCTCCCGGTCCATCAAAAGGAGGCGGCGGGGGCGGTCCAGGCTGGTGATGGTCGAATTTCATGGCGTGGGGTCCGGGGTGGTGAGGCGGCCCGTCAATGTCGGCGAAAGCCTGTTCGGGATGGCCGTGGTAGGGGAAAGGCGGGCGGTCCATATCGTCGTCGTGGGGGTAGTGCGGACCTGGACTCAGGTGGATGTAGATGATGCGTACAGCACCGTGAGCCTTGTGGAGGAAGGCGCCGAAGACGCAGGAAAGATTGTTGCAGGTCTTCAACTCGTCCTTTAGCGAGTGTGCATGGTCTCTCATGTGCTGTTGGATGACTGCCTTCTGCAGGCGGATACGCTCCTGTATCTGCTTCTCCTCGGCCTCGAGCTGACGCAGCGTCTCAATCTCGTCCTCGATGGAAGCGCTCTGGCGGAAGAAACCCTCGGGCAGGTCTGCGAAGTCGACAGAGACGAGGCGGAGGTCGGCGGGCGGGTCGCGCCAGTCCTGGCCGCCAAGGGCGTCCGGGAGAGAGACGGGGTTAGTGGCAAGCCTGAGGAGCTCGACCTTGCGAGCAGTCTGTTTGAAGGAGACGGAGAAACCGGCAGGGGAGCGGACGCCCTTGTCGTCGACCTTCTGGATGTTGACGGTCAAGAGTTGAGCAACATCGTCTCCGTACTCGCTGGCGTCGGATTCGGAAAGAGACTCGAACAGACAGGCGGTCTCCCAGGACAGGTCGAGGTCGTGGTCGGGCTCATGGTCGGCAGTGGCCTTGTTGGAACTCGAGATGGTGCCGTTGCCTTGGGCGCGGATGCCATTCCACTCCTGGTTCAGCTGGTGGCCGTTCAGGGTGATGTTTGCCTCGCCGCACGGCTGGGCAGAGGGGAAGACTTGGAAGTCGAAAACCTGAGGCACAGAGTCAGCATGGGCGACGGCGTGGTTTAAGACAGCGCAGCATACGAGAGATTCGTCATCGGCGACGCCAAGACAGCCTTGGCAGGGTACGCTGAAGGTTGCCTGCGCGTTCTGAGCGTCTGGCGATCATCAGCAAGCGACATGGTGGAGGTGAGGGCAACACGAGGGCATACCGAGCTCGAGCACCACGGGCTTCACGTCATCCGGGGCCTGGGAGCGGGCGAGGGCGCGGTGGGCGGGCGGCGGGAGGGCGGCGGCTGCGGCGAGGGCCGGCAGCAGGGCGAGGGCGTGCCTGAACGAAGCGCGCATGGCGGAGGGAGGCTGTCCCCGCGCAGAGTCGAGTGGTAGCCGGCACGGGGAAGGTGTAGCAAAACGTCAACTGGAACCAACACACGAACAGTAGCACAGCGACAGGCCGGAGTAGTGGAGCTGAGGAGCGGACAGTCGAGCAACAGGCAGCAGGATTGCACGGGGTAGGGCTGTGACTTTTAACGCCAGATGCCGCGTCAGCCTCGGGGGGCGAGGCGCTGTTGCAAGAGGCCCTTCGCGCTCGGGCCACTGTACACTGGCGCTGCCGGCCACACGATGCGCCCGGTCGCGCCTGCTCGAGCCCGAGCCACGCGTGTTGCGCTCGACACTCTTGTTCCGGCGTCGCGCGACCTGCGCCGCCGTGCTGCAGCCCGCAGGTCGGAGCTGCGCCGCGAGCCCGCGCAGGAGAGCCTGCTGCCAGGGGATCGCCGCTGAGTGGGTGCGCGCGCCCCCGAGAGCACGCCCGAGAGCGCGCCCTGGCCCCCAGCGCACGTGAGAACCTTGTCGATGCTGACAGTGACATCCATTCCTCGCCCGTGCCGGCAGCCCCGGCAGATGCTCGCTGCCGCTACTGCCACACTAGTAGGTAGTACTAGTAGCACCGGCCACCGGAGCCTTCGTCGGCCCGCAGCGCTCCTAGCAGCAGGTCGTCGCCCGCCAAGCCTCGAGCTGTGACGCGGGCGCGCTGCTTGTGCCCTTGCGTATAGCCATTCACCACCACCGCCATCCAACGCACCCCAGCGCGCGCGCTAATCTGCGAACCGTCTCCCTGCACCCCGCTGTCCCAGCTGCCGCCGCGCACTTCGAACCGCTCCTGAAACGCCCCTCCGCACCCCGCCAGCCCACCCTCCGCAATGGTGAGCCAACCCCCGCAGCTGCCACCGCCGAGCTTGCTATTGAATGACGCGGACATGCAGGTGCTGACTCTGCGTCTTCAAGCTGCCTTTAGGCCTTCTCAATGCCGCCCAGGGCCATCCCATGCTCGTTGAGCTCAAGAACGGCGAGACGCTGAACGGCCATCTGGTCAATTGCGACAACTGGATGAACTTGACCTTGAAGGAGGTTGTGCAAACGAGCCCCGATGGAGACCGCTTCTGGAGGCTACCCGAAGTCTACATCCGTGGCAACAACGTACGCTGCTCTGCGCCCGCTTCCTCTGCCGACCACCGCTAACCTGGGTCCAGATCAAGTACCTGCGCGTGCCCGACGAGATTATCGACTTGGTGAAGGAGCAACAACAGCGTGACCAGGCCAACCGTGGCGGCCGTGGCGGTGGTCACCAACGTGGAGACCACGGCGGACGTGGCGATAGAGGCCGGGGAATGGGCCGCGGAGGTCGTGGTGGCCGTGGCCGCGGCCGTGGCGCATGAGCTCTGGGCAATTGCAGTGGGAGGAACATATCCCCGAATTGGCTTTGGAATGTCGAACGCTAGGGCGCATGCAGCTTGCGAGACATCTCGGGCTGGGTGTTCGTGTATACCACAGGGGCCCTTCTGGTGGAAAGGGCTGGCGTCGGAGAGATCTGAATCGTCGTGGAAGAAACGTGGTGGACGCGCACATGCGCAGAAACCGTTTCTACGGGTTTGAAGGTTGGCTAGCACCAAGAAAGGACTGGAGCCGAAGCATGGCGGAAAAATTAAAGACGTTTCGGCGCACATGTTGAGTCGTTAATGTCGTCACGAAGTTTTGCAATATACCAGATCATGCGCGCATTGTCGCCGAATTGCTCGCCTTGCCAAGTTGACCCGTCCCTAAAAATACGCCAGGCGTCAGTGAGAAAGAGCCGCGGTGGATTGGGATTGTACCTGTCGATCGAATGCTTGTCACAGGCAGCCAAATGTTGCGGGCGGAGAGCTTCCGCGCCATGTTCCGCAAACGCTAGACTTCGCCTCGACAACAACAACACCAACATCCCTCCCAATGACCACGCCACCATTCATTGTTGACCGGCTGTGGCATTCGCTCTGTCCCACATATGCGCGCCTCTCCCTTGGCTTCCGACGTGCCCTCCTGAACAAGCCGACTCGCCGCCCAAGCGTTCTCTACTCGAAAAGCGCTCCCTCGCCGGCGCAATGTGCCCGACATTCGAGCACCGCAGGGCCACCACTGCGATTGGTTTCGCCCGGAGCCCAGCCCTTCCTAGGAATGAGGAAGAAACGCGCATATGAAGAGAGACTGGTTTCGGCTTCGGATGATGAACTTGATAACATCGAGACGGCGCAACTCTACACCCGCCTGCGTCGATGTGCAGCGGATGGAAACGTGGAGGCGGCCGACCGCCTGATTTTTTACCTCCTAACGAAGAGGGGAGAAACGCCGAACGTGGCTCTTTACGCTGCAGCCATCCTGTCAAACGTATCGGCGGAAAACGGTTCCGCGGCGAGAGCTTCTGCGCTGCTGAGGGAACTGGGAGAGGAAGGACTAGAGCCGACAGCTGAAATATGTCACAACATGCTCAAGGTGCGTGCACTTGTGTATGGATCATGCTTGCTGCGGGACTGACCCTGACAAAGGTCCTCGCCGCTCATCCGGACTACCTTCTTACAGACGCCATTACCGAGTACATGCGCCAGAGATGGCTCAACATTTCGGCCGCCGGCCGCCACGACGTGGTTGTGGGTCTTCTTCGGGGGGGTCAGTTTGAGATGGCGCTGAGGAGCATGGATAATATGGTTTCTGAAGGCATCCGCATTGAGAGCTGGCTATACGACATGGCAATCTACATGCTATGTGACGTTGAAGAGGTCGATGAAGCACTCCGGATTGTGCAGCAAAGAGTCGAGTCTGGCGAGCACGGAATTTCGAAGACACTGTGGTCCAGCTTACTTGATGCTGCTAGCAACACGTACAATGTGAGTTTGCACATCTACGCCGATGCCCATCCTTCCAATTGACAGATTGCTAGTTTGCGGCAATAGACTACATCTGGAGACGTCAAGTTGGCCCAGGTTATCTCAACCCTCCATCCGGCACCTGTTTCAATATTCTTGGTGTTGCAGCGCGAGTCGGGGACGGCGACCTGGCAACAGATGTTTTCCGTGTGTTGAGCCAGCGGAAAGAGGTGTTTACACAGCAGCACTATGAAATGCTCGTGGACACATACATCCAAGTTGACGACATGCGGACGGCCCTTTCGGTACTATGCATCATGCAGGCCAGTGGGACGCCGCCGGATGACTACTCAACAAGGAAGCTTGTTCGGTGGACGTGCGCGCATGCCGAACGCCCACTGCAACTGTTCGAACAGCTGCTGAAGCTAAAGGACGAGGGCTACAAGGCTCCTCTCGCAGCAGTCAACGCGTTGATCGAAGCAGCAGTCAGCCGCGACGACTTGGATACAGCGATCGACATATACAAGGCTCTGCACACAGTATGCGAGGATGGCCCGTCAACGGCAACTTTCAACATCCTGTTTCGAGGATGCCCTAAGCGCAAGGACCTCGCCATGTTCCTGGCGGCGGAGATGGTGGAGAGAAAGGTGGAACCGGATGCGCTGACGTATGACCGCCTCTTGCTCATCTGTCTGATGGAGCAAGACAAGTACGACGATGCGTTCCGATACTACGAGGAGATGCGAAGCCGCGGATGGGTACCTCGGGCCGGCACATTCCTCGCAATGGCGCGGCGGTGCGCGCGGGCGCAAGACGCACGTGCGTGGGAGGTTGTGGAAGAGATGAAAGAGTGCGGAGTGGACCCTCAGAACGTCAGGTTTGTGAGAGAGTGGTTGGACGCCAATTGGGGCAAGGCGTCAGAGCAGGACACGGAGCTCACGCGATAGGGGATTTGAGACACGGATGCAGGGAGGCACCAATGAAGGCGAACTGAGCCCTGTGACGACTTGATTCTGCAGGGTGACTGCGGCGACAAGTGACAAGCACAAGATCTGACTTCTTGGCATGGCTTGATGTGGTGTTGGCCCGGGGGACCGCTGGTCATGACGTAAATCGCGCTAAAGGCAGCCGAACGGCGCGCGGGCAGGTGCCAGGGTGCCAGGGCAGGCCATGATTGATCTTGCCCACTGAGCTCCAAAGACAACACCCATTCACCCAGCTCTCTGTCCTCACACGAGCCATGAGCCCGCCGCCCGCACGCCTTCTGACATCAACCCAACAACGCTGCGTGGCATGACCGTCATCCCTCCACCGTCAAATTTGAGAATCCCATCTCGCACCTGACCGCGTCATGGTGCGTAGCTCAGCCTTCTCTGCCAACGCCCCGTATCCATGAACCCCGAGGTTAACACAAGCTTTCGCACGATGAACAGGCCTCCCTTCTCCGCCAAATCGTCGCGGGTCCGCGCGCGCGGCACCCGGAAGCCGGGCTCGACCTGTGCTACGTGACGGACTCGATCATCGCGACGTCGGGGCCGAGCGGGACCTATCCGCAGCGGGCGTACCGCAACCCGCTCGACCAGCTGGTGAAGTTCCTGGACAAGCACCACCGCGACCGGTGGGCCATCTGGGAGTTCCGGGCCGAGGGGACGGGCTACCCGGACGAGGAGGTATACGGACGCATCTGGCACTACCCGTGGCCCGACCACCACCCGCCGCCGTTCGCGCTGGTGCCGCGCATCGTCGCGAGCATGCGCAACTGGCTGCAGGCGCACAAGGACAACGTCGCCGTCGTGCACTGCAAGGCCGGCAAGGGCCGCTCCGGCACCGTCAGCTGCTCGTACCTGATCGCCGAGGAGGGCTGGAAGGCCGAGGACGCGCTGAAGCGCTTCACTGAGAGGAGGATGCGGCCGAGCTTCGGCCCTGGCGTGTCGATCCCGAGCCAGTTGCGGTGGGTGAGCTACGTCGATCGGTGGACGAAGAGCGGTAAGGTGTACGTCGAGCGCCAGATCGAGATCCTCGAGGTCCACGCCTGGGGCGTCCGAAATGGCGTCAAGGTCAGCGTTGATGGCTTCGTCGACGAGGGCAAAGTGATCAAGACGTTTCACACCTTCAGCCGGGCGGAGCGACAGATTATCAAAGGGTCCGTCAAGGACACGGGCGGCCTCGCCGATGTAGTCAACGAGATCCTTGCGCAGCGGAAGCTGGAGAAGGCGGCCAAGGAGGACCAGACATCGGGCTCGTCTACACCGGTGGATCGCAAGGCCAACAAGGAGTTGCCGCAAGGTTCGGACGAGCAGGAGAGCGAAAGCGACAGTCCGTCTGAACACGGTGACATCATATTCAAACCGTCCAAGCCAGTGGTACTCCCGACCAGCGACATCAACATCGATTTCGAGCGCCGCAACAGTGCCTTGTACGGTTACACCATGGTCACGTCAGTTGCGCATGTTTGGTTCAACACGTATTTCGAAGGCAACGGCCCGGAGCAGAACGGAAAGGCTGATGCTTCTGGCACATTCGAGCTTGAATGGGACAAGATGGACGGCATCAAGGGCAGCAGCCGGAAAGGCACCAGAGCATTCGACAAGATAGCGGTCGTCTGGAGAGCCATCCCCGACTCAGAAACGGGCCATCCAGGGGTGGTGATTACGGAGCCAAAAGTGGGCGAGGAGGTGCCCCAGTCCAAGCCCGCCGATTGGAAAGGCGGACAGCCGTCAGCGCATACCGGAACTGCGGCAAAGGAGCTTGGCCTGCGGACCGAGACGCCTCCCGGCGGCAGCCCCAATCTGTCAAAAGCAAGCAGCGTAAAGACGCAGGACAGCGCGGGTCTGGTGACTACGGAAGACACGATCGGCGAGGCCATGGGCTTAAAGGCGCATGGGCGTGACGGCGAGGAAATCATTCAGGCTACGAGCAGCAGCTCTGAAGACGCGTCACCTGTCAGATCTCAGCAGCAGCAGCAGGCTATCCCGACCATCTCTAACCCAGAGCTCGCAAGTAACGGCATAGCGGCGCAAGACCAGGCGGCCAGCCCATCTACAGAGCCGACGGCGGGAGTTGTCCAAGGGAAAGAGCACGTTTCGACGGGCTCATTGCCAGGAGGGGTGCCGGAAGAAGAGATGAAGACGGCTCATCCACACGGGCTGGGCCACATGAAGTCCAAGAAGGACTCCCAAACAAGCTCGTGAGGGGCGGTGGATGGTGATCCCTGTCATATGAAAGGGGGAGAACTCGGGGAAAGGGGGGAGGAACGGCACGGGGAGGCGCAGCAGCGGCATTGAGATGCAGGTCGGAAGTTTTGGGAACATATGGAATGCAGTAGATGGTAATGCAAGCCTCCCGTTTGTCCATTTTCTTTTTCTCTACGCGCGCTCGCTTGCTTTATTGGGTAAGCGCTTGAGCAACGGAAAGGAGCACCCTGGTTATGTCCAGCAAGCGATGCATGGAAAGCGAGGCTGCTTCGAAGTCAGTGCTTGTGGAAGGCTGCATCGATGTGTCGACTGGGTAGCATGACAGGCCCACGGGCTCAAAATGAAGCCGGGCTTTTCGGAGATGCAGCTCCAACATCTCGCTGGCGATGCCTAGCTGCAGCACTTGCATATGCACCTCTAGCAAGCGCTGAGTGGAGGCGAAGCAACGGGCCAGAGGAACGACGGCAAGTGGGCAAGTGGACAAGCGGATGTGATATCTCGGCGAGACGGTAGGCAGCCGTGGAGTGGCAATTATCGACGCGAGACTGGGAGGCTGAGAGGGTCGAGGGCGCACATGTCGCTGGGTGGGATGACTGGATTAGCCGGACAAGGCTGCACGCCCGGTAAGCGCGTTGGTGACGCGCAATGCACGGCCATTGGCCACGCCGGCAGAGGCAGCGGTCGGGACGAGGCAGCAGCCTTGTTCAGCCTCGCGCTCGCGCACTCGAAAACGAAGGGTATTTAACATGGCGGCGCCCGGGTCGCATGTGGCACGCAAAGCTCATGCAGTAGCCACCAAACCCCGAGGCACTACAGGAGCCAGCGCAGCAAGCCAAGCTCCGGCATTCCCAGTTACACCATCCCTCTTTCTCAGCAGCGGGGGCTGCTTGCACTATCCTTCTCTTCTCACCGTTGCTTTGTTTTCCTTCTCGCCCCTACCGTCAGCAGCCACTACCGCCAGCCCTGCTGCAGCCCACCCTGCACGCGCCTGGTCTGATGACTTCAGCAAACCACCTGCCCATCGTCGTTCCGCTGGTCCAATTTCCTGTCCACGTAATAAGCCTGTGAGCCTCGTTCATCGCCGTGCCGACCGCTCCTGAAAAAGCAACATCGCCGCCCCTCCTTCCGCTTTTCCGCCCTCCCTTCCGCTCTTGTCTCCTGCCCTGCCTCACCTAATCCTATTTCTCGCCATCGTCGTTGCTCCCCCAACCCACCCATCAATTCAACTTTCTCCCGCCTCCCGTTCACTCCCCGCACATCCACAAGCGGCAGTCTCCCGACCCGCCCGCCCGGTCAAGCCACACCGCTCAGGGCACGGAAATACCGCTCTTACCTGCCGGACTGTACCAACTACCTACCACCCTCCACTATGGACAATGCGCGGGACAAACCCGCCGACGAGAATGTCGTCGTGAAGGTCGATGCCTCGGCCGAGCCGGCAACGCCGTCGTCGTCGTCACCTCCTTCCGCCACCGCCGAGCTGAATGCCGGCGGAGGCGCCGCGGAGTCCAATTCAAACGCCCAGGACGGCGGCGTCAACAAGAAGTCGGCCATGTCCGCCGCCAAGGGCAAGAAGGGCAAGAAGTCGTCGTCGACGACGAAGAAGAAGGCCGGCGGGGCGGCGGCGGCGACGGCGCGCTGCCACCACCACAAGCGCCATGGGGCGAAGAAGAAGCGGGGCAAGCATCACGGCAAGAAGAAGTACCTCAGCAGTGATGATGATGATGATGACGAGTCCGAGACGGCGGACAGTGAGGATGACGACTCGGGGGATACCGGGTCGACGGCGTCGTCGGCGGCGGATGACAGCAGCAGCGAGGATGAGCAGCAGCAGCTCAAGGCGAGGAAAAAGGCCGGGAAGAAGGAGGCGAGGGCGCGGAAGGCGAAGGCGAAGGCGAAGGCGAAGCGGAAGGGCGCCAAGAAGCACGGGAGGAAGTCGAAGAAGTACGACTCGTCGTCTTCGGAGAGTGAGTCTTCCGAGTCCGAGTCGGAGAGCAGCTCGAGCGACTCGAGCTCCGACTCGGAGTCGGACTCGGAGTCGGAGAGGGAAAAGGAGAAGACGAAGCGCTCGCGTCGGCGCCACCAGGCCGAGAAGGCTCGTCGCGCCGCCGCCAAGGAGCTGGACGAGTCGGACGCGACGGCGACGGCGGATGAAGTTTCCGAGGATGGGTCGCTGTCGGGCCATCTAGTGAAATTGTCGACCCAGCAGCGGAACCAGTTGCTGCTGCTGAAGCAAGAGCAGCAGCAGCAACAGCAGCGTAGGAGAGCGTTGGCTCCCCCGGATCCGCTTGAGCTTTCGGAATTGCGCTTGCAAAGGCTCGCTGGCGACCTCAAGGCGTTGAAGGAATTGAAAAAGGAGAAAAGGGACACTAAGAAGAAGGGGAAGAAGTCCTCTTCGTCGGGCAAGCGCGCCAGCACACTGGAATTCAAACGCGTGGACGAGTTGTGGGACAGCAAAATCCACAACTACAAACTCACAGAAAGCGCTGAAGACCCCGTGGACGAGTTCAATTCCACCATCTTCAACGTGCGCAGGAGGTTCGATTGGGAGAATAAGTACAGGAATACGGTGGTTGACATCAAGTCCAAGCTCTTGAAGGAAGCGTTGCAAGAGGTCATGAAGGATGTGAAGGGCGTCTCGCTTGTGGAGGAGCAGCCTTGCGTCGATCCCAACATGCTATTCCTCTACCTCGAAGAGCTTCGTCGCTATGCGAAAAAGACGCTGAAGTCACGGGCGAGGAAGCAGAAGAAGAAGAAGACCAGGCGGAGGCTAAAGTTGATGGCTGCCCACTGCAAGGTCATGATCGGCTATCTGGATGAGGACTACGACGAGACTAAGAAGACACTCTACCCCATGCTGGAGGCGGGCAACATCACTTTCGATCTCCTGTGGGCACTTTTTAAGCCCAACACTATTGCCTACACCACGACATACGGATCGGTCGAGGATCCGCGATGCTTCAAGGTCGACTATGCCACCAAAGAATCTTCCTTCATCCGCGGAGACTGGTATTCCATCGAAGGGCGTTATCTTGAGTATGACGGCAAGACTTTTGGGTTAGGCGAGATTGAGATCAACGTCGATGCCTTCAAGGGCCCTCGAAAGATCACAAGTTTGGCCACATACCCGCTCCGATACCACAAGGATCCGGACGGCATCAGGAAGCAACTTCTTGAGCGCGGCAAGCGCTTCGTCACCATGACTGGAATGAACTACCGGTTCCACAAGGGCTTGGCATTCGAGAAGAGGAAGAAGATGGTGCTGAAGCACAACATCAACGGGCGGGTCATGATCGATCCTGCAATATTCCGCCGCATCAACCCCAACTACCCCATCTCTGTGATCAAGCCCAAAGACCAGGATGGGTTGTACGACTTCGCCAGCTGCGGGTGTAGCGATGACGAGTCTGACGACGAGCTGGAGGGTCCTCAAAACTTTGGCGAGGAGAGGGAGGAGCGACAGAGGTACAGATTCAAGATTGTGTATGACGAAAAGAAAGAAGCACATGTGATTCAAGTCCCTATCGACGACGAGGGCAATGAGATTCAGACCGAGAAGCTGGAAAAATTGTCAGAAGATGGAGAGAGTGCCAAAGAGGGCAATGACGAAGGCAAGACGAAGCATGAGTTCACCGAGGAAGAGCTTCTGATTGCTTCTCCTGTGGTGTTGGGATTCGCTTTCTCCGAGAAGCGCTGGATGGAGTTTTCACTGTCCGGGGTCCGAGATATCGAGTGGAACGAAGGTGCTTTCGATTCCCTCGTGCTCCGGCAAGACCAGAAGTCCATCGTCAAAGCACTTGTATCGAGCCACAAGTTCCACGCGGCACAAACCATCGACGACGTCGTCCAAGGCAAGGGCAAGGGCTTAGTCTTTGTGTTGCACGGTCCCCCCGGGGTCGGAAAGACGCTCACTGCTGAAGGCATCGCGGACTACCTTAAATGCCCCCTCTATGCCGTCAGTGCGGGCGAGCTCGGGACGGATAGCTGGCGGCTGGAGCAGGAGCTGCAGAAGATCATGGATATCGCCCACAGCTGGGGTGCCATCCTGCTGCTGGACGAGGCCGACGTGTTCCTCGAAAGGCGGCAGGTGCACGACATCCATCGCAACGCGCTCGTGTCCATCTTCCTGCGGCTGCTCGAGTACTTCCAGGGAATCCTCTTCCTGACGACCAACCGGGTCGAGACGTTCGACGACGCATTCCAGAGCCGCATCCACATGGGGTTGCGGTACGAGGAGCTGGGCCACCACGCCAAGCGGCAGATCTGGCGCATGTTCCTGCGGCGGGTGCGCGAGATGGAGACTGCGGACATGGCCGAGTTCCGCGACGAGGACTACAACACGCTGGCACGCAACGACCTCAACGGGCGGCAGATTAAGAACGCGGTGCGCACGGCGCAGGCGCTCGCCGTCAACATGGGTGAGAAGCTTAGCATGGAGCACATCAAGCGCGTGCTGGCCGTCGCCGAGAGCTTCGAGCGCGATCTCAAGGGCGGCAGTGGGTATGAGGATGCGATGAGGAGCTACACTTGATCTTCTACCCACCTTCTTCCAGCCAGTTTCCCTTTCCTTTTTTTTCTCTCTTTTTTTGCCGTCCTTTGGGTTCAGCGGGCATGATAAACACGGCTGGTCTTTCGGAGTGATATACGGACGAGCATGTTCATAACGGCTTAATCCTTCATCTCTTCTTTCTCATTCATGGTCTCTCTCTTTTGGAGTACCGTGTATCTCGGTTCGGTTTTCATAGTGGAAAGATGGTGTCTAAATGCGGGTTTGATTTCGAAAAGGGTTGATACGTACATCTCCTTACACAGTTGCCGGCACCGGTGCGAGGAGGGGCAGGGGATAGCTGGTTTGTTTCAAAATGGAAACGGATAGGAACTCCCCTCAGATATTGAAATGCACACTGATTCGGACGGCTCTTCCAAGTCCCGCGAGAGAGAGAGAGAGAGACATGCCTTGTGTTTGATAAGACGTCGGTACGGTTCATCCGTGTGGTTCGGAGAGGGAGATGCTCAGTATTTGCAACAGCAAGGCCACGGGGTATGATTCGGGTGAGAGAACAGTGCGCGTTACAGGGCGTAGAAGCAATTAGATGGAGCGAGAATAGGAGGTGGTGGGTGGGGCGGAGAGCATGCTGCGCTGATTGGATGGAAAAGGGGGAAGATGATGGGGAGGGTGTACAGAGGCACCGTGATGTCTGAACGGGAAGAAGATTTAGGGGAGAATGAATTCGATACTTTGCTTTGCCCGAGAGCGATGCGGCGCATGCGTAGGGCGTGAGCGTGCGATACACTGAGCAAAGGCCGTCCTGTTTCCGGCAGCAAGCGAAAGCAGGGCGAGATCAGATACTCGAGAAGCGTCGAACCGCCTTTGCGTCTTCTCGCACCTTCCGTTCCTGAGCTCTGTGTCCCGTTTTGGGCTAGCTCCCACCATCGCTTTTCTCAACGCCGTGCCTTCTTCCCTTCCCGCTTCCGCTTCCTCTCCCCACCACAACCCATATATCCCCATTGTCTCCAACCTGCCAGCCTTCACTTGCTCGCCTTCCTGTACCAACTGAGCCCAAATCCCCTTGGCTCCAGTAACGCTGCACCCGACAGCGACTCCGAACTAATTGCGAGCCCCTTCCTCGCGTGGTTTGTCAGCCTTCGAAACGCAGCGGTTGGGGTATTCGCAGGACTGGCCTCTGGTTGAACCCTCCATATGCACTTTATTGGTTCCCCCACAAGGAAATGCGCCTGTGCTCCCACCTCAGCTGTGGGGTCAAATCTGCCAGAGCCAGCTTCACTATTTGAATTGGGTCTCGGCGATGATGAAGAAAGAGCGGGGAAGACTTGAGCGCTCCATGACGGTCTGGCACTTTGGCACCCACGTGGAACCGGGCGATCCAGCAAATCCCCTTGGGGAAGAGGAAAAGACGGACCGCCACCCATTACGATTTTCGGTCGATCATCTGACGGCCTCGAGTGTATCCGACTCCGATGGCTCTCGATCTGTTTGTTTCACAATCATGTGCACTCCTGCACCCGTCGGCATACCAGGAGGCCCAGGCGTGCTTGGTGGTGCACGAGCATGACGTCCATCCCAGTGACGTGGGGCTTTGGAGTTGACGGCGCGCGCGCCCCTCACGTCCAGCCTCCATGTTTTGACTGGCGTGCGAGGAGCAAGCTAATCACTCCGAATACCCGGGGCTAGCGGATATACGGAAGACACGTTGCCGCCGGCGTGCTTCTTGCCACTGCTCGTCGCCTTGCGCTCTGGACCAAGCGTGGTACTGCGACCCGCACTGACGAAGCTATGCATTGGCCGCCCTGCAGGCGAAGAATGGAGGCGAGCCAAGCCGGCAGTATCTCTTGCGCACTCTGGGCGCAAATGCGATACGAAGCGTGCGTCAGAGAAGGAAACACATTCTGACGCCGCGGCATGCTTCCGACTTGGCGGTGTGGGTCGCGGATGGCAGCTACACCAGAGGGTCAAGGCTGCGGTTGGGCAAAACGATCACCATGCCCAGAGATTTGAGGGCATCGTGCACGCGTCTGCTATAAGCATGCTAGCCACAGCACCGGAAAGGGGGCGGTACCTGCACCGGACAAAGCGAAGTTGGGCACTGAAGATCATGCAAAGCGTTTTAATGAGCTTACGCCTGCTGCAAGGGCAGGTGCGCAGGCGGTGGCCCAGAGGGAGCGCTCGGCTCGTGTTGCAAGATTTCTGACGGGGCACAGGAATAGCAAGGCTTACGTGACAGGCGACACGGATGATGATAGAAGAGCAGCGCGACGATGAAGCAGCTTGGCAGCTGGCAGCTGGGCTGAGATGCGGCCCGGGCAGGGGGAGGGGGAGTCCTGTGCGGATCTGCCGCCGTGGCGATCGGCGCCGCCCTCCCAACACCACCACGACGGTATACCCATGGATGCTTGAGGCAGTGCAGCTTGGGCCCACAGCAGCCGCCGAGCCCGACGCGTGCCAAGCAGAAACGTCACGGTTTTGGATTCGCTGCGCGCTACGGGCTCCGGCACTGCACTGTGCTGCCTGCCAAGAAGCGTCTGTGGATACTGGTGATGCACGAACGCGCACACATTACAGCCACGGCGGAACCTCTTGGCATCAGACGTGTGGCTGCCAAGCCCCGTGTAGAGGCGGTACGTCTGTTTCGTTTATTTGCGACGCACCGCTTCTCCACCCCCTGCTGCATCTCCTGCCCCTTTCGAACATGGCGGGAAACAAGCGGGAGCCGATCCGTCCACTGACCAGCCCATGTGGCAGCCTAGTCCCGCCGAGAGATACGTAGGTCGAGCACGACAATAATTTCACTGCCCTAATTAGGCCTGTGGACTCCGCCCATCCGGGATAGGGAGGCTCTGTAAATACAAGCGGCGTATTTGCACAACACTTGGCGCCCAACGTAACGTCTTTCACCGGGTTATGGGGCACACCGGCTTATGGGACAGCCAACAAGAGAGCCAGATCAAGTCGCTTGGTTGGCTGTCCTATAATACGGTGTGCTTCTCGCTTGCAGCCTCTGCAAACGAGTTGCAGTCCGTTGAACAGGTGGGAAAAGTGCCACCATAGAAGGTATAGCGCAAAAATCCACCCAATCAAAGTCGCAACATCTCGGTGACTAGGCCAGGGTCTTGAGCCGTTCTAAAAACTGGGCCGTGCAGACCCCCCTCCATTCCTAGAGTGTATCGTACTAATCCCCAGCGTTACAGAACCTCCCTAATACCGGCCAGCCTGCCGCTCCCGCCTCGGCCGCTCCACAACAAGACTCCAGCCGCTTGCCAACAGACATCTTTTGCGGCATTGACAAGCGTTGCCAGATGGGATTTCTGCGCGAGGGCACTCCGTCGTTTGGTGCGCCCATCGACATCTGGCAGCAAGCTTCTCCCCTTACTTCCAACCTCATACCGCACGTCCATCATGACTCTTGCGATCGGCGCTCCAAATGCGTGCCCTTATCTCGCCAAGCAGAGCAGCCGCAAGCCAACTGCGCTGTGCGCCACTCCCGGACATGGAAGCTTAACTGTTTGACACTATGACCACACCCTAGCGTATTCCATGCTTGTTTTTTGGGCTCGACCGCGGATCCGCGCGAGGAGATCGCTGGAGGCCCTTCACCCAGCCAGGTCCAGCTGGCGTCCTTTAAAGGAACACAGGGCCCGTCAAGAGCCCAGGCCCAGCGCCCATCTGCCGCCTTCGACGTTTGTCGGCTTTCTTACATCTTCTTTCTTCTAGAATCCTTTGGCATCGCCAAACTATGCGAAGACAAGATGGCCGACAACATTTCGCCCACTAGCTGCAGCACTCGCAGGACTTCGCTTGCTACCATAGACCTCGAGAAGGACAGAGTCCAGACGCCGGATTTCGGTAAGTGTGCCGAGCCAACTAGTTCCAGTTTGGGAATGTATATTGACTCGTCACGCAGGCGGAGCCGTTACACCCGCTTCACTTGAAGCTCAATGTGCAGAGCCGTTCGACTCGGACGTGGAGCTCCTCACTCTCCCTCCTATGAAGCGTTGGCAAGCCTACCTCAACCAACAGATCGCGGTCGATACTCTTCTCGAGCTTGAGCTCTACATGTTGAGTTTCGCCACCGGTATCCAGGATGCCATGACTTTCGCTTTCTACGGCGTCTTCTGTTCCAAGCAAACCGGAAACCTTGTCACCATTGCCCTTTCTGCCTTGGACTCCGAGGCTGTGGTGCAGACCGAGACGCACATTGCCGTGTCTTTCGTTTCCTTCCTTGCCGGCGCTTCGCTTTTTGGGCACTTCAACAACTTCATCGGAAGGAAACGTCGCGGGTGGTTGATCTTTGTCAACGCTTTCCAGACGCTCATGGTCATTGCAGCTTGTGTCATCAGAAAGCACTCGGTAGATAACTTTGGCGTCCTTGGAGAGGGCGGACCTGACCGATTTGCTGCCGCCGCCATCGCTCTGCTTGCCTTTGCATCTGGTGGTCAAATCTCGCTCGCACTATCAGTCGGCATGGCTGAAGTGAACACCACAATGGTATGTGACGACAAACATGCATGGCACACACGGCGCTAATTCCCTCGAACAGGTCACCGGCGCTTTGGTCATGCTCGCTCATGACCAAAAGATCCTCCACAAGCACAATCCGGGCCGCAACCGCAAGCTGTTCTTCATCGGCAGCATCCTTGGTGGATCGTTCCTCGGTGCCATTGCGAATCGCTATGCACACTCGGCTCTCTCGCTGCTTCTTGTCGCTATTTGTAAAGTCGTCGTCACTTTCATGTTCCTATGCAACCGTGGCGTCAAGAAGAAGCCCGGATCATCCGAAACCGCCGAGAGCTCCGTGGGCCTGACCCAGATTATCTGGGGTGATTGAATCAACAACTCGGGCCGGTGGGCGAGTTCAAAAAGAAACATGGACAAGGAATCTTGGCCCTGAAAGACGGGACCATGCGATACACAAGAACATCCAGGAGTCCGCAAAGAGACCAGTGGCCAAGAGTCTACCGCTTTTGCTGGCAGGCGACAGCGAAGCGAACAGCAACAAGCTTGTGCTTTCGGGACACCTTGGAACATAGTTACCTTGGTGGACGTGGAGCACACATCGAGTGCTGACGGCTGCATGCTCGACATGTGCCTGCTCACTGCCCACCTGTGACAGCCAAGGCCGGAAGCAGCGTGCCTCACCACGGTTGCACCTTCTTTTTCGATGGTCAACAGGGAAATGACCGTCACTCCGCCTCCTTCGAGCTGCGGCACATATTTCTTCAAACTTCTCAAAGCCAACTTCAAGGCGCTAGCATCTTCACTCTCCCGACATTCTTTTCTACTTTCCTTCACATATCCTCTTTCCTCTCATCCATCGGAAGCAGCAAATTTACTTGGGCTTCTCGCGACTAGCGCAGGCGTTGGGGGTTTCAATCAATCATTGACGTTCAAGGTTCTGGAAAATTGCGCATTAGGCGACGGCGTTGGAAAAGTCTTTTTCTTGTTTACTGTTCGATGCCACCATTTCTTGTTATACCCCGGTTTTTCCCATTCTCAGCGTTACTGTTCTCTGCCTACTTTTCTTAACATTCTTGCTTGATATCCAAACTTCACCAATTCTTCATCACTTGCATCTATTTCCTAGATGCCGCTTATATAACATACTGTGACCGGCTTCTCGGCCATCATGAAAAAGAAAACAAAAAAAAAACTATGCAGCTGCTTGTAGCTGTTTCTCAAAATTCTGTGCCAACCGCATTCACAGCCAATCGACGTGAACAACATGGCTCTCTAGAGTGGGACTGATAAGTCCAGACTCACTCACCCCCAGGCGCTTGAAACAAGCATGCATATACCTACCTCGTCGTCCCATGCGAAAGGCCGAACAGGAGAACTCATTGCCCGGATCTACAGAGTACATATGTACACAGTTCTCCGCGGCGAATGCGTCTCGGCCAAGCGGAGCGATACAACCCGCTCCAGATGAAGTCTTCATTCGACTCTCTCCCGTTTCGCCTAAATCCTGTTCCACCCACTCGTTCTCAAACAAGGAAACTGCGAGGCGCTAGCCAAGTCCATGAATACCCAGAACTCCTCCCCCCTCGTCATTCTCGCTTCACTTTTCCCTCCCGCCCGTTCCGGGGGCCCCGCATCGCGCGCACCTTTCCTTTCCCACTTGCATGCTTGCTTTCCTCGATTCCTTCGAGCGTATGCATGCACGTATATATGTACAGTACATAAAATGTACGCATTTTATTTCCCTTGCATGCCGCTTCGCTAAATCGCTCACTCACCCTTCAAGTTTTTTTTTTTTTTTTTACCCCATCACCTTTGTTTCTTGCCCGCACCTTGTAATAACCTCGCAACTCCTTTTTTTTTTGCTGGTCTCGCCTTAGGTCCGGACTTCAGCTTCGGAACCTCGGGCAACTTCGCTGGCTGGCTTTTCCCCCCGTCATCGCTGTGCATAATGTCTCGCATATGCATGTGTACCTTTACCCCCATTCCATCCATCTCGGGTTGAGTGGAAATAAGAGGGGGAGAGAGAGAGAGAGAGAGAGAGAGAGAGAGAGAGAATGTATGCTCCCGGTCTGACCTGGTGTATGTACCTTTCTCTTTGTGGGAGTTGGGAGTGAGTGCTTGATGCGGCATCTACTTCACCTGGTCTTTTTCTCAGTCTCCACATTGCTCGTTTCCAATTTACTTGAGGCAGATGGAGAGCCATAGGCCGAACGAAGGCCATCTCTTCCACTGTGTGAGAAAGCGCGGCAAAACTGCAACCGTTGCAACGTCAGAAAGTCACGTAGGGCAGAAATGCCAGTCAATTTTTGGATGGATGGTATTGGTATCTCCTGTGCCCCTTCCATCTATGTGCACCACCGTAAGGGCCCTGAGAGAAAATAGCAATCAGTCAATCCCCATAAACTCAGGTGAAGACGCCGAGAAGTCGAGGAAAATCGACAAGGAGAAAATGAGGAAGAAAAAAAAAAGACCCATTTTTTGGTGCTGCTGTACTCAGCAAGCTCCCCTACGCCAGTACCCCGTAAAGGGCACACGCATCATGCATGCGACGTGACTTGATGCGAGCCCAGTCGATATGCAAAACAGAATTGAAACATTCACGAAAGCAGTGCCGCCTTGGGCACGGCATGAGGCCCTGGTGTTCCGAATACCCTCATGGCCTGAAGCTTTGCGGACTGCAGGTGGAGAAGCGTACGCGGTGCGAAAATCTCAAGCGGTGACCTCCTCAGGCTTGGCCTTCTTCGCACCGTTGCCGGCAGCGTCATCCTCGGCGGGACGCTTCTTATTGGGCTGCTCGGTCGCCTCAACAATGGGAATACCCCTAAATGTGGAGTTAGTCATGGTTCTTGAGCTTGGAAATCTACCACAGTGCACTAACCTGGCGTCCACCTTCTGCTTAGGGGCGGCCTTCTCCTCATTGTCCCCCTTTGATTCACGGTCGCGGTTACGGTCACCGCCGCGCTTGTCACCGCGACCTCCGCGACCACCACGGCCACCGCGGCCACGACCCTTCTGGAACTTGTCGCGGCCCTCCTTCCAGTTGCCATCCGAGCCCTTCTCATTCCTGTCGTCGCGGCGACCACGGAAGCCGCCACGGCCGCGGCCGCGGGTAGGACCGTTAGTCGAATAGTGCGGGGGCCGGGGGGGCTGAGCCTTGATCTTGCCCTCGGCGATGTCCTTGGCCTTCATATCGACGTACTCCTTCTTGCTCATGAACACCAGCTCCTTGTCCTCATACTTGGGCTTCGGGTCGAGGGCAAGGAAGTTCTTCTGGGTCTCCTCGTCCTCGAACTCGACGAAAACGCTGCCCTTGAACTTCCGATCGGGGTGAGTGCGGCGAAGGCGAATCGACTTGAAGGGGCCGTAGGTCAGGAAGAACTTTTCAATGTTGAACTGGGTCATCTCGTCCTCCTCAGGGAAACCCTTGGCGTAAATGCTGCGCGGCTGGGTCTTGTCCTCGATGAAGCGTAAATTCTTATCGACGTAGTGGTTGCCAAACTGCTTATCGAGGGGGATTTTACGGCGCACCTCCTCGCCCTCGGTGAGCTCGAGGAAGTCGCTGGCCTTGATGGCTTCGACGACGGCCGAGTAGGGTTGGAAGCGGCGCATGCGGGTGAAGCCGTGGACAAGCTTGAGGGGAACGGGCTTGTTTTCATAGCCGGCGACGTTGTCCATGAGGTACTTATCCACAGGCAAGTTAGAGTCGGAGAAGTAGAATTCAACCTGCTTCCTGATCTCCTCGGGATCACTAGACTCCTCGCCGGCGTAGGCCGGCTTCTTCTGGAAATTTTGCTGCTTGGCGCGAGGGTTTCTGTGGTTCGTCGTGTCGTCCTTGGCACCCTCGGTAGCTGCAGAGTCGAGTTATTACGCGCTACAGCAGTCGAGAGAGCGCATGGGGGCACGAAGCACATACACTCATCCTTCTTGGACTCGGACGTCTCCTTGACATCATTATTGGCCTCGGTGACAGCCTCGGTGGCAGACTCAGTGGCAGCCTCGGTGGTAGCCTCAGTGGCAGCGTCGGCGACAGCCTCAGCGGGCTTCTCAACGGACGCGCTGGCAGTCTGCTCAACGGTGGGAGCGGCCTCGGTGGCGGGGGCAGCGGCGGGGGCAGCGGCGTCGGCGGGAGCAGCCTCAGCGGGCTGGATCTGGTTGTCGGACATGGTGATATCGACAATGGTGCTGGTTGCAAGCAGAGAGTAGAGGTGGGTGCTTTAAGCAAGCGCGTAGGCTGGGCGGGGCAAGAACGGTTAGAAGTGAAATTTCGGAAGGATGCGACCAGGCAATGACTGGACGGGCGTGACTCACGTTGGGTCAGAGGATCGGAGGCAGTGCAGCGACCCGCGGCAGGCAGTTGGAGGGCGAGCTCTGATTGTGGGTGGAGGAGCAGAGGGTGAAGAGGCAGGCGCAGAAGAAAGTTCCGAATGGAGCGCGCGCAAAGAGCAAAGACGGTGGGCGCGCGGGAGCTCGGACCATGCCAAGACTGCGAGCAGCTGCGCGGCGGATGCGGCCTCCGATTGGCTGCGGGCCTACTAGCTGCGGGCTGCGACTCCAGCGAAACTGTGAATCTGCCTCGAGCCCGTCACGACCATCGCCTGCCCGCGCCCCAGCCCCAGCCATGCGCAAGCGCTTCCACTGGCTCAAGAAGCCCGTACGCCCGCCTCCCGCCTCCCGCCCGCCTGCCTCCCATTGACGTCCGCCTGCTCACTGCTGCCAGAAAATCCGGGCCGACTGGTCCAAGGAAAACCTCTACAACCTCGCCCGCGCAACCATTCCGAACGTTGCCAGCAAGACCTTCTTCCAGCAGAAATGGAACGCCAAGGCCTTGACCCGTGCCTACCACGGTGAGCAGATCCGCGAGAAGCAATGGCAACGCATGTTCCGCCGCAGCCTGCCTGCCGTCGTGTCCATGGACCACAAGTATCTCGCCCGCACCGACGGCAGCGAACAAGCAACCGGCCGCGGCGCCGGCGAGGACGATCCGGACGACATTGCCGCCCGCCGCACCCCGCAGATGACTCCTTACATGCAAATGACCTTCTACCCCATCGAGCGCCGCCTGGACACGGCTATCTGGCGTGCTCTGTTCGCCACGAGTGCTCGCCAGGCTCGCCAGTTTGTTGTGCATGGCTGGGTCAAGGTCAACGGCAAGAGGGTGCGCTCGGCCCCCTGTCCTAGTTTCCACACGCTAACAGCTCCATGGCAGATGATCTACCCCGGCTACATGCTGAACCCCGGTGACATGTTCCAAGTTGACCCAGAGCGTGTCATGTGGGCCACCGGTGCGCGCAAGGACGAGAAGCGCCAAGTCATCAACGTGAATAGGAACCCGACCGAAAAGGCTGCCTCGAAAGACGGCCCCAAGGACGACGCACTTCCGACCGAAACGGACGCGGAAACGGAAACGGATGTCAAGGCCGAGGCCGAGCCAAAGACTAAGGATGCCAGCACCGAGGACGTCAAGAAGACCCTGAAGTCCTTGATGGAGCGGACGGAAGCCATGATGGACGACACCAAGGAGATCTCGGTGAAGCGCAAGCAAGATCTTCGCGGTTTCCGTGCCGCTCTTCGTAAGATGCTTTCCCGCGCCAATGGACTTTCGACCTCCGCCACCGATGACCTCGAGGCTCGCCTGGCTGTCATCTCCAGCAAGCTAGCCAAGCCTTCTAAGAAGGTGAAGGAGCTGCCCCCCGATGAGTTCTCCGAGGAGCAGGAGGAGTTGCTGCAAGAAGCTCTCGAGAAGATGCGCGAGAACCCCTTCGACCCAAGCAAGCCCTATCTCACTCCCTGGAGGCCTCGCGCCTTTATGTCGGCTTTCGCCTTCATCCCTCGCTACCTCGAGGTGAACCAGAACATCTGTGCTGCCGTATACCTCAGGCACCCGGTGGCAAGACCGGGTTTGGCCGAGGTCCCCAGTCCCTTCCACTACGAGACCAACCAGCTAGCTTTCAACTGGTACTTGAGGAGACGGTAAACGTATCGCAGGGGGCTTCGGGTTTGGTATGAGGCGTCATGTAGAACAAAACAGTGGGGGATTCATATATCATTGTACATTATTTGTGAAACGACATTCAAGCACTCAAGGTCAGTGGTACGTTTTGCATGCATCCGTTCGTGTCTCATGAAAGCAGTGGTTTCTCTTAACCCTTCATCTCGCATCCCGTCATTACATTACACTTTCCCAGAGCCCACCAAGACTCGCACCTACGCAGAAAGTCCCCCCTGTGATAGGTAGACCAAACCCGCCCGAGCGCTCTTCAACCCCGAGAGCCGTGCCACACTTGCTACACCGTCCTCTTCCCCGCGCAGCTCCCCCACGACGGCTGGCACCAATTCGCGGCGCCGCAAAAGTCGTCGCCGCTCCCGCAAAAGTTGCTGCCGCTGCAGCACAGCGAGCCCGCACACTTCCTGTCGACGATGGGCCCGCACGTCTCGCCCTCGCCGGCGTCGGGCTCTCGCGGCGCAGTCGTCGACGGCGCCGCGGGCTTGCTCACGCCGGCGACGCCGCACCGGCCGTAGCCCGCCTGGCAGCCGTCGCCGCAGTAGAGCGCCGCGTCCTGGATGTCGTTCTTGGGCCCGCAGTGGCCCGCGGCCGAGCAGCAGCGGTAGAAGTAGCCCTGCGCGCCCGCGCCCGGGCAGGCGACGCCGCCCTGGGCGTGGCCGCAGACGTCGATGTCGGGGACGGTGGTGGCGAAGGTGTGGGTGGCCGTCGTCGTTGAGGTGGTGGTGGTGCTGCCGGTTGACGCTGATGATGATGATGTTTTGGAGGTGGTCGTGACTGGGTTGGACTTTTTCTGGATGATGTGGTGGTCAGCTCTCGGTCCGAACGAACAACACCTAGGTCGAGGAGGACGAGGGAGTGATTTCGGTTCGAGACTTACGGCGCAGCTGGATCCAGGGCCGGAGAAGGCGCTCAGACAGGTGGCCGGGTCGCAGTAATTGGCGCCGGTATCGCACTAGAGAAGAGAGCGGGGTGAATTTTGGTCAGTCCGGTTTGTTCTCTTCGTTTCTTTTTGGATTGTTGGACCGCGATGCAACGCCGTGTTGCTGCTTTCGCTCCCCCTCCCTCACTATCTCCCTCTGGAATCAACATGCAACCTCACAATCTTCGCCGAGAGAACGGAATGCTCGCGGTGCATATCTCGGGCAACGTTTCACAGCAGACAGGAGGAAAAAAAAATAAACGTGGCAAGTGCGAAAACAGTGGCCATCTGACTCAGCGGAGTTGGCAGCACAGCTTTTGAGGCTGAACTCTCTGTAGCCGAAAGAGCAAAACAATCGAAATTGGGGGTGGAGGTGACAGCAGGGGAGGGAGGGTTCAAGCTTACCCATCCATACTGGCTACCTATGAAGCAAAAATATTTAGTCAGAGGCAGGTTGGACATGGGACAGGCATGAATGGACTCACAGCAAGTGTTGGCAGCGCAGACCTGATTGTTGTACTTGGGTCCGCAGTTTTGGCCCAAGACGCTACTCACGAGGAGCAGTAGCAGCAGCAATAGCAAAGAGATGTGGAAGAGCATGGTGACGGTGGTTGCAAGGGTGTACTGACAAACAAGGCTCAGGAAGAAAAAGTCCCAAGAGAGGTTTATATATTCCCGCACCGGCGCTCTCCCCCGGCGCGTTCAAGAGGGTCGGCTGGCTAGCTGTGTTAGCCGGCAGGATTCCATATCACCAAGATGTCTTGGCGGCGCAGGGGCGGCAACACCACACACATGCAGCGGAGTGGAGTGGAGGAGGCGGGAAGAAAAAGCAAGCAAAGGCGGGCTCGTTAGGGCATTTTACTGTGGCGCCCGTCTCGACCGTGCGACTCGAAGCGCCGTGCTCGTATTCCTTTTTGGGTCAGGCGGTCGCCTGTCCCTGGCGGCTGACGATCCAGATCAACATGGGCTGGGCGGCTACGACGCGGTGTGGGTCGATGCAAGACAGATGTTTGGTATCATTCATTGCTTATCAACTGGAACATCGGAAGTGGCTTTGGCGGATGCTCTGTGCTATACAGGTTTCTATTTTGAGCCATCTCGTACGGCTGTGGTTGCAATTGTGGATCGGCAGCGGGTCGTAGTTTGCTGCAGAGAGCATTAGTGCGGATCGTATGGCCGAGGGGCATGATCCCTGATCGCCGTGGACTTGGCCATGAGTGTTCGAGCGCAGCCTCTTCAACTTCAAAAGACTATCAAGAAAATGACAATGATGTGAGGTTGTGGTGTTGACTGTTGACCCCGCTTTGCCATGGATCGCTTCCTCATAGGTATTGCCTCGGTTCGGCTTGCTCGGACCTACCATGATGGTCAAGCTTTGGAGGCATATCTATCCTCCATCAGCCTTTGTACATACTTGATTTTTTCCATTCGCATTCTCACGTAGTATATTTCATCGAAGCAAGAACACTGACAACAATGACCGAGGTTGCAGACTGGACACATCTCGCCCAAATCGATCCCGAGTTCGAAAAAGTACATCTACAAGGGCCATCCACTCCCAAGCAAAGACTGAGATACAGATACTAAAACAGATGATTACAGCTCCTCCAGACGCTCCCTGCCCCACCATCCATCTCCGACACTGTCCGCGATGGCATTCCCGCACTGCGCACCCGCCTCGCGGCCGTGAAGCGCGACATGAACGCCAAACTCCTGGGCGACGCGCACCTCGACGAGATATCCATCCTCGACACCGCCGTGGCAGCCCGTGATGGGTACCAGATCCCCGTGCGCATCTACAAGCCTATCAGCGCCACCCACTCCCCTCCTCCCATTTCGCCAAATGACGGCAGCGGCGGAGGCCACCCCCTTGTTATCCTTCTCCACGGCGGCGGCTTCTGCCTTGGCGGGCTCGATAACGAGGAGTTGCTGTCGCGGAAGCTGGCGGCGGCGTTGAAATGTGTTGTTGTCAACGTCGACTACCGGCTCGCGCCCGAGCATCCCTTCCCAGCTGCCGTGAACGATGCATGGGATGTTGTCAAATGGGTGAGCAAACTCGGCCAACTTTCCCCATCGTCTCTTCAATATCCGTCTCACTCTCTCTTCCACTCTCATTGCTTCCCTTTTGACCTTCCCTTCCGCAACGTGCAACCCCCCCTAAACACGTCCCGTACAAGCACGCCCGTCTCACCCACTCGACCAGGCCGCCACCACTCCCAACGATCCCCTCTCCACCGCCGATCCAACCGCCGGATTCATCGTCGGCGGCGTCTCTGCCGGCGCCAACCTCTCCGCCGTCGTCGGCACACTGGCGCGGGACTTGCCCCTCTCGCCGCCACTGACAGGACTCCTCCTCTCGGTTCCGCCGGTGTTGAACGCCTACGACCCGCCAGCCGCGCACGCTGGCTCGCTTCGCTCCTTTGAGCAAAACGCCGCGGCGCCTGTACTGGACCGCGCCGCCGTCGACGCCTTCTTCGATGCCTACGCGCCCGACCGCGACTCCCCGCTCTTCAACTTGTACAGCGAACGACAGCCGCCGGTCGTCAGTCGTGCGGGGCTGCCCCCCGTCTACGTGCAAGTCTGCGGGCTGGATCCGCTGAGGGACGAGGCACTGTTGTTTGAGCATGAGTTGAGGACCGAGCATGGGACGCCGACGAAGCTGCAGCTCTACCCGGGCTTGCCGCACAGCTTCTGGAGCTTCTTCCCGCAGCTTCAAGCGAGCAAGAAATGGATCCGAGACACCCTGGAGGGCGTGGAATGGCTTTTGGATACTGGAAGGAAAGAGACCTCGTGATAGAGAGAGGCTAGATGAGGCGGAACTGCCAAGTTGGCTTTCTGTGCAAGTTTCTTTTGATCCTGTTTCGTAGTCTGTAGGTCTACCAATAAGTTATCACAATCTGATTCTCTTCAAAATCCCTGTCCTCGGCAAGGCAGCGTCAGCTTCATTGTTCCTTTTTGATATTCCTTTCTTTCTGGGGCTTCGCAAGCATTGGCTGCAGTGTCTGCTTCATCATGCCGCAGAAACTCTCGAATAGCACCTGTTCCTGCCCCTGGACCCATCTGATTAGGAGCTCGTCGGCCTGAACACTTATTTCGAACCCTAGGGCGATCTCATTACCACTCTCATCCTTGGGCTCCGCGGCTTTGCTGTTCGTTGGTTGCTTCGCTCCGTCTTCCCTTTTTCTCTTCCTCCGCGCTGATCGTGACCAGACGTTCTTCGTTGCTCTACCGTATCCAAGGCGTAGCTCCTCATTCCACTTCCATTGAAGCGCCAGGTTGTGCATCGTCTCGTCGATCGCTTTTGCGAAGCGCTCCATCGGTACATCCGAGATGGGAAGCTTGTAGTCCGTTGGCAATGGAAGGATGTGCTTGATGTTCATATCCCGGCGAGCGATTTCCTGTACCGGAATTAGCGGTCCAACGAGATTTCGGTAAATTAGTGAGCAATTATCCAGGCTCACGTACCGTTCTTGGTCGTAGATCCCGCCAACTCCAGCCTACGGCCCATCTTCTGGTCTTATGTTGTGCGCCTAGGCAGCACACCGCCCAGTTCCTGCAGCCAAGCTCCCGTAATTTCTCCACGAGCTTGACAGTACTTGATAACTTCCCCAGCATAGACGTGTACCACGCAACCTTTTCTTTGAGCACGCAGCTTTCCTCGACCATTCGGAGCACAAACCCCAGATCGCCTCCTTCTGTTACCATCTCCACCTCGGCGCCAGTGCAGACCGAATTTGGTCCCTTGTCCTTGCCTTCACCAGAAATAGAGGCTTTCCACTCGGCGATGGAGGAGAAGAAGGGGGGATTGCAGATGGTAAAGTCGAGCTGGTCAAGTTCAAGTGCCACCAGCGGAATCAGAGGACCATCCCGCTTTGTTTTCATGACATGGCAGCGCGCCGAAAATCCGTTTGCCTGGACGTTTCTTAGCGCGTGCGAGAAGTTGAGCAGATCTATGTCGGTGGCATTCATGCGCCATTTTGGCCGGGTCCGTAGCGCGAGGAGAGTGTATATGCAAGATGCTCCACAGCCGCTAAGATGGCGTAAGATTGGACACTGAGCGTTTCGGAGGCAAAGTTACGTACATATCTAAACCTATCACCTGCCGGTCTTTATATGGGTTCGGGGGTGGCGAGGTGGATGTGGTATCAAAACGATCATAGTAAGACGGATTGATTGATTCGACCAAATCTTGGATCCAGCGGACGTAGAGATATCTGAGGATATGGTCAGGAGCTGCGTATTAGAGATGATATTCCATCAAGGATTCAGATGTGATTCGCTCCTCTGAGAGGCGAGTATTCGACGCAACGGAGGCACGAGAAAGGCCAGGGTAACGGTTGGAAGAATCGAGGGGGCTCATGTGCCTTGGCTCCAGCAGCGATGGATGCTCGGAACCCCTCTCAGACAGCGGCCAGAATAGCCAGGCGCCGGCCGGGTAGAGTTGCAATGTGCTGCGGGCAGTGACAGAGCCGAGCAGTGAGGAAGACTGAAGGGGAAGGAAGAGCGGCACTTACCGGGAGGTCTGGACAATGAAACGTGGAGGTCAGTCACCGCTCGTGCGGGTCAGGTTGGTCACGGTGCAGCCAGCTTACGGGAGGGCACAGCCTGTCCGGCGGAAGGTCGACGGTAAGGTCGAAGTCGCGTCTCAGCAGCGACGCGGTCAGCTGCCTGCAGGGTGTCGTCGTCAGCACAACTAGGTACCCGGCGATGCACTGACCACGGCGCGTCGCGACAACGTACCTCACAGCGCGGGGGTCGTGGAAGTCGACCTTGTCCTTGGCTGTGGAGCGGATCTCAGTCAGATCCGGGTCTTCTTCTCCGTGGAGCATGGTTGCCCGGTAAGGGTTTGCGGCGCCGTGTCAAAGTTTGAAGGAGGATCCGCGAGCTAGGTGGGTGCTCAGCGCAAATCCCATTTCGTTAAGAGCGCCTGAGGCAGCTGCCCGTCACGCCTTACCTACCCACGCCTGGAGGCAGGAACGAAATATTCCGGGAACACTTTCACGACGTCGCTACACGTGCGCTTGGCCTTTGCTTTGCACTCCTTCTGTCGCTACCTGGACATGTAGGAAGCTAGGAAGCCGGGTTTGCCCGCCGGACGGCATACCCATGCTTCCATCATTCGAATGACAACAATTGCATGCTTCTTTGTTGATTGACAATCAAAGCATGTTTGGCCGTGTTCAAATCATGTCTCGGCCAATAGAGTACACACAGCAGCCTTCCCGTGAGCAAGCCGTACTTCAGCACCTTGCAAGTCAACCATACGACCAATCATACTCAGCACAAACAGCGCCCCAACGCCTTGCCGATAACCTATTCATAGACTGCCCCTTGTCCGCCCACTGATCGTAAAGCAAAAAGCCAACCCCCCATGTTATACAGTACCTCACCACCATCCAAACGCGCCAAACGAACCCACGGCGCTGGATTGCTCGCCGTATCGGACATCTTGGAATGATGGGACGGCATTGGGCTTGTAAAATCCCAAGAGCTTCTCCATGTCGCCTTCGTCCATCTCGACCAAGTCATTCAAGCTCCAAGTCTCGCACACCTTGGACATCCTTTGCGTAGTCAGCGAATCTGAGCCTGCCGAGCTATGAGTTGTAAAGCTCACCACTGCATGCGCTTCGGGCCCTCTTCCTGGCGCGGCGCGATCTTCCTCAGCCTCCGCCGCAGCTGGCCAACCTTTTGGATGGCGGCGCCAATGTTGGGGGGCAGAGTCGCCGCAATCTGCCTCCGCACAATGTTGGCCAGCCTCGGCCCATTGCCGTTGGTGCTGACCATTATCTGAAGCGGGCCATCGCGGTGCACGCTTCCGAAGTAGAAGTCGCACTCGGGAGGCACGTCGGCAATGTTTGCAGCTATCCTCCTCTCTTTGCACAGCCTGTAGATCTGGGACGAGGCGTCGGGGTCGTCGACGGCAGTAAGAACCATGTCGACGCCGTCAAGGTCCGACGGCTCGAATTTGCGATCGACATAGTCGACCTGCTTCTGGGCGATGCGATATGCGACTTCGTCGTTCAGGCCGTCGGCAGGCGAGACTACGGTGACCTTTGCGTCGGCATTCAGGACGTTTAGGATGCGGCCAGCAGCGACCTGGGCTTTTTGTCAACGTCAACACTGCGAGGACCGCGAAAAAGGTGAGGCTGAGCCTACCTCGCCGCCGCCTACGACGAGAATGCGCTTGTTGCGCACTTGCCACGCAAGGATGAGCGAGCCTCCGCCCTGGACCTCGGGGAAGTGGGTGGCCATGGCCGATTGATCGTATGGCGAGGTGGTGCAGAGCGTGCAAGCAAGACGCGCGGATGGTGGTGCCGATAGCGCGGCGAATGCATGGATGATGAGATCAGCGCTCGCTCACATGGAAGCCACAGCCGGCGTCTGCCCAGACCGCCGAAGTTGCCGGCGCCGTGTGCAGCGAGGCAGGCAGGCAGCTTGCGCCCGCACGCAATCGACATGGCCCGCGGCACAGAGTCGGCTCCGAGGGGCTGCAGGCACGCGCGCGAAGCAGCCCGGGCGGTGGGCTGGCGAGGGCTGGCGAGGGAGGAATGCAGCGCGGCGCAGGGCAGAGCCGCTGCGCAGCGCCGCCTCAGTGCTCCGCCGGGCTGCCGCTAGTCAGGCCCCACGCCAGCTGCACCACCGCCTCGCCCAGCGCCCGCCATGCTGACCGCGCCCGCTGCGACTCCCTGCTCAGCACCATCATGACCTCGCGCCCGGGCAGGTCGCTGGGCGGCGGACGCACCTTGGGCAGCGCGAAAGCGCTGTCGCCCGCCGCCGACCCCCGTCCTCACCAACACCACCGCAACTCCAGCTTGCTGTCGCCTTCCGAAAGCTCCGTCTCCCTCGCCTCGCAATCGTCCGTCTCTCCCGCCTCCACCATCGACCCCGAGAGCTTGACCGCCCGTGTGAACCTCGAGCATGCCGACAATGTCACCGCCGCCTCGGCCAGCTCGCGCCTCGTGTGCCCCATCTGCAACGAGGAGATGGTTACATTGCTGCAGCTGAACCGCCATCTGGACGACCTGCACCAGAACCTCGAGGAGGTCGAGCAGGATGAGATCCAGACCTGGTTCCGCACCCAGATGGTCAAGGCCAAGAAGTTCCAGCCGCTGGCTGTCCTGAACCAGAAGCTGAAAGGCCTCGATGTCTTCGAATCCAACGACTCCCCCTTCATGCCTGCCCCCGCGCAGCCCTCTGCCGTCCATACCCAACAGGAAGTGCAGCGCCCGCTGGATCCAGAGGAGTTGGTTTCGCGAACCCACTGGCAGCGTCCGTCCTACTCCGACCCCTGCAGTGAGCCCATATGTGGGAAGAGACTGGGCGCCGCCAACGGTAGCGTCAACTGCAGGAAGTGCGGCCGCCTGTTCTGCGAGGAGCACACTATGTATCAGATGAAGCTTTCGCGATCAGCCCTGCACGAGCCGGTGCGCGGCATCTGGTGCCGCGTATGTGAGACGTGCTACAAGTCAAGAGAAGGCTACAACGACCACAACGGCGCAGAGCGTGACCACACCGCTGCTTTCACCGCCATCCGCACCAAGCACGTCGACAAGGCTCATTTGGATATCGGTCGTCTGGAGAAGCGTCTCACTAAGCTCACCCAGCTGCTTGCAGATCCCCCGCCCCCTGAGCAGCAATCTGGCGCTGGAAGCCTGATATGGCCGCTTTCCGGAGCCAAGGCACAACAACGCCTGTTAGAACAATCCATAATCGCATGGGAAGACGATGCGAACGTACTGCAATGCCCATTCTGCCAGCAGGAATTCACAAGCTACACGTTCAGGCGACACCATTGCCGTCTGTGCGGCCGCGTTGTTTGCGGTGACCCAAAGACGGGCTGCTCCACAGAGGTGGGACTGAGCGTTGAAGCGCGTAAGTTGCCAGTAGCGGTCTAAGCAGGGCTGATACTGATCCCTCTTAGCAGCTAACAGATCCTCAGAGAAACCCACTGGCCAAGTGAATGTCGATGTGCGCATGTGCCAAGATTGCAAGCATACTCTTTTTAGCAAAAGTGACTTTGCTCGAGAGCTCTCAAACAAGCCCCGCGACGCGCGCTCTTACGAGAATCTGGTGCAGTTCGAACGTGGTATTCGGCTGCTCCTTCCGAGATTTCAGAAGCTTCTTGCTGCTTTGCAGTATGCACGCACTATTCAGGCTTGAGATGCCATGCTTTAGCTAATCAACCATCAGGAATCCTGAAAACCCGCCGTCTCCTGTCCAGCTGCAAGATGCGAGCAAGGTCCGGAAACGACTGATGGACGCCTTTGCTCAGTATGATACCGCGGCGCGCCGGATACGTGATCTTCCTACAGAATCGCCGACACAAGCCCGGTTACAGAAAGCTGTCTACCAGCAGGCGTACCACTTCCTCAGCCTTCACATGCTCCCTCTGAAATCATTGCCCAAGGTTCTCAAACATGCTTCTCCGAATGGGGCCCAAGCAAAACCAAACGGACGTGCCAACGGCGCTCTTGCGGCAATCAAATACAACGACAATGAAAACAGCAGCGTTGCAAGTAGCAGCAGTGCCATCTCAACCATGGAAGCAGAAGAAAAGGAGTTGCGGGAACGACTGATCGTCCTAGAAGAACAGAAGTTCTTCGTGCAAGAGATGATCGCCGACGCCAACCGCCGACGCAAGTTCGACGAGGTCAGCTCATTGGCGCAAAACGTTGAAGACCTGAGCAAGGAAATTGACCAGATCAACGGCCAACTCAGCCAACTGGATTTCGCGGCTGTGTACACCGGGGAGATGTTCCCGCAGTAGCCGCCGAACTAATACCAAAAGCTGCACTTCCTCTTATACGGCCGCTTGTTATCACCTTATCTGGTCACTGGAGCATTCCACTCCCTTCGGCCTTTGGCTTCTTCGGCCCAACTTTTTCTGTGAGGCCTTGGCTCGTTCGTTCTGAGCATTGTCCGACATATTACCTCATAATCCTCCACGCACAGTGCCGGCCCACGCATTTCCGCCTTGCGTCATTCTAGAGCTTTACTATTTCCATCGAAATCGATCCTTGATGGATTGAAGGGACCGCGTCTGAAACGAGCATGAGGGAGAGGCGTTAAGCGGTATCATCGATTTGGTTTCATTAGGCATGGAAGGGAGTTTGGATGGGATGGCTTCCTCCGTTCAGGGGTGGTGGTTTTTGGTTGGGCAGTATTTTCCTCCATGTAGTCATTTTCTCTCATATGAAGACTGAAGACCACTCACTTGGTCAATATACGTATCTATTTCCAGGAGTTTTCATGATTCCTACACTTATAGCGTCTTTGACTGATCGCTACTGCCAATCTTTCTGGAATGCTGGTGAAGTGACTGCCATTATTGCAAACTGAGGATAGCTAACCCGTTGTTGACGCTGTGGTATGAATGGTTGGAATGGCTAATTTCGTATGCTTTCTGTAGAAAATCACGCATGTCTCTTTTGCATAAGCCCAGTCCCACTGGTAATTACTTCCTAGCACACAGTCATAGATAAAGCCTTTCGAAATGACTATCTCATCAGATTGGCGCAGTCCTCTGACACGTCTATCGTCACCACAAAGACTAGTATTTGAGCCGACCCGCTAAGGATATTATGCGCTTCTAGGAGTGCAACTGAAGCGAAAACCTGCGCAAACACGTCTATACATCAACGTAAAAGTTGGAAGTTTGAAGATCGGTCTACATATCAATTTTTGCACGTACTCAATATATGTCCAGTTGGGGTGTGGTTTCACTTGAAAGTTGTGCTACGTAGATAGATATCGAATGCTTTTTTGGTGGGGCTAAAGGATATGAGCAAGGAGAGTGAGAAAAGGTTGAGAATTCAGGGCAGAGATCGCACCAAAGTTCACATTATGGAAGCAGTTCAGGATCACTGATATCATAAACGAAATCTGGATAAGAACACAGAGTCTCAAATCATCAGAACCAACAGAGTCGGAGTATCAAACGTCTACCCAATGATTACCAGTTCGAATTTGAGTCTGTTCTACGACCCTTATTTGACCAAGCCGACTCAATAAACCAGAAAAGGGGCTGGCGATAGCACCAAGAACAAGGAAAGATAACCTCATAACCATGAATGATCGTGAAACTCTAGCAAGAGCAGCAAGAGTTAAGAAATCTTTATGTTGTGTCTGAGAGCACCGAGAAACTGAGCGAGTCTTCCCGCTTTGTCAGGCCCCACCCAACCCAAGGCCAGCTCATTCAGGTTTGAAACTGACAAGTTCTCCAGAAAAGGCAGCTCATTCCTTCGGCACTAGAGGCTCAACGTTCCAGATAGACTCCGCATATTCATCAATGCACCGGTCACTGGAGAAGAAGCCCATGCGGGCAACACTGGTGATGGCTTTGGTGAGCCACTCTTCCTGGTTGCGGTATGACTCGTCGATGAGGTCGTGTGTCTTGCAGTATGAGGAGAAGTCATCTGAGACCAGGTAATAGTCGCCGTGGTCGACGATGCCATTGACCAGGGCAGAGAACGAGCCAGGGTCACCAAATGTTCCACTCTTGATCGAATCGAACACTGTTGCAAGCTCTGGATCGAGCTTGTACTGACCGTAGACGTGCGCGTGGCGGAGGTCCTCGACTTCTTCAGCCAAGTTACCGAAAAGGAAGATGTTGCTCTCGCCGACTTCGCGCGTGATTTCGATCTATTGGAAAGACAACAGTTAGCATGAAAAATATTGCATCAATGGTAAGAGAACTTACGTTAGCACCGTCACAAGTACCAATGATCAGGCCACCATTCAGCACGAATTTCATGTTGCTGGTACCGCTAGCCTCGGTGCCAGCGGTGGAAATGTGCTCGCTGATGTCGGATGCCGGGCAGATGATTTCTGCTTTGCTGACGTTGTAGTCTTCCAAGAAGATGACCTTCAGGAGATCTCCAACATCGGGATCGGAGTTGACGACCTTACCAACTTGGCAGATCAGGTGAATGACAGTCTTGGCCATCCAGTAGCCAGGAGCGGCCTTTCCTCCAAAAATGGAGACACGCGGCTGGAGTTTCTGACGCTGCTCTGGAGACATCTTCTTGATAGCAAGGTAGCGGTGGATGACACCGAAGATGTTCAGCTGCTGACGCTTGTACTCGTGGATGCGCTTGACTTGTACATCAAACAACGCCTTAGGGTTGACACTGACACCGGTAGTCTCCTTGATGTACTTGGCAAGGCGGACCTTGTTTGCGTACTTGATTTCCTGGAACTCCTTGCGGAAGTCGGCATCATCGACAAATGCCTCGATCTTGTGCAAGAGTGTCAGATCCTTCAGATACTCGTAGCCACCGAGCTTTGAAGCAATAAGCTCGGACAAGCGAGGATTGGCCTGGTGAAGCCAGCGACGAGGTGTGATGCCATTGGTGACATTGGTAAACTTGTCAGGGCCGTAGATGGCCACAAAGTCCTTGAAAATGGTCGTCTTGATCAGGTCCGAGTGCAACTCGGCGACACCATTGACCTTGTGCGAACCAATGACGGCGAGATACGCCATACGGACCATCTTGGGCTGCGACTCCTCAATGATGGATACCCGTCCGAGCATTTCGCGTTCCTTGGGGAAGCTACGCTCAACAAACTGCAAGAACTGCAGGTTGATGTCGTAGATAATCTGCAGGTGACGAGGCAGCAGGTGCTGGAAGAGCGGAACAGACCACTTCTCGAGTGCCTCGGGAAGGACAGTGTGGTTGGTGTAACCAAAGGTCTTGCTGACAATGTCCCAGGCATCGTCCCAGTCCAAGCCTTCAACATCAACAAGAATCCTCTGCAGCTCGGGGATAGCCATTGTCGGGTGCGTGTCATTTAGTTGGATGGCAACCTGGGAGGGGAAGTCCTTCCAGGCCCTCTTGGTTTTCTTGAAACGACGGACGATGTCGTACAGAGAAGCAGCACACCAGAAGTATTGCTGCTTCAAGCGAAGCTCTTTGCCACGGTCCAAGCTGCCAAACCGTTAGAACCATACCAGCAGGGGGTCGGGGCGAACATACTTGTCGTTGGGGTACAGGACTGCCGAGATGGTCTCAGCCCGCTGTTGGTCAGCGACCGAGCTTTCATACTCTCCAGAGTTGAATTTCTGGAAGTCGAATTCGCCCGAAGCTGCCTTGCTACCCCACAACCGAAGGTTGTTGGTGGTCGAGGTCTTGTACCCAGGAACTGTTTCTCACGTCAGCACTCTGGTTGTCAATTTACTGGAAGCACATACTTGGAACATCAAAGGCCAGAGCCTGTACGATTTCTCCACCCTCCCAGACTGATCGCTGCTTTCCGCTGTCGTCACTGCTCTACCGGTTAGCCTTTTACGGGAGCATTTATGCATTCGCAAGCCTACGTGTATTTGTTGACCTGGCCATAGAACTGGATGTCGACTGTGACGTCGTGCCTGCAGAACTCCCATGGGTTGAAGTCAAGCCAATAGTCGGGAACCTCGACCTGGTATCCATCGACGATCTCCTGCTTGAAGATACCGTATCGGTAACGCAGACCATAACCCCAGGCGGGATAGTTCAGGGAGGCCATGCTATCGAGAAAGCAGGCAGCAAGGCGACCAAGACCGCCATTTCCAAGGGCAGCGTCATGCTCCTGGCCGATCACGTCCTCGATGCGGAAGCCAAGATCCTCAAGGCCCTCTGTGGTGGAGAGATCAGTTGGGGCGAAGTGCGGAAATGGCGATCTACTCACGCTTTGCCACATCCTTCTTCCCGACGTTGAGCATGGCATTGTCAAGTGCCCGGCCCATGAGAAATTCCAGGGAGAGATCTGCCTGCACATCAGCATCTGCGCCACCAGATCTCCAGATATGCCGCACAATAGATTCGCTTCTGATCAGCCCACGTCTGCTCCTGCTGCGTCTTGTTCCAGTCGAGGATCAGGCGATCCCTGAAGGCCAGAGAGGTGCCCGCATAGGTAGCACTGCATCGAATAAGCTCCTGCCCGAGAGCTTGGTATGGTTGCAGTCTTACAAGTCATCGCAGTTGTACAGCGAGCGGGCAAGGGTCGTCTCGATGTGGCGGATGGCTTCTTTCTGCCCAGTGTCAGCGGCGGAAGCAGCAGGTCAGCAGCTTGGTCAGCGCACCTCGAACTCTTCGGTGGTCTCAAAGCCCTTGGGCGTCTGCAGTGATGCTCATCAGCTCCCGCGTTCCGCACGTTCCGGATGGTGGGGGTGCGGGGCTCACATTCTTGGTCCAGCTGCAGCATCGGCGTCAGCCCTACAGTCGGCAACAAAGGGTCAATTGGGAGCTTACGCCTGTCTTGCCGGCTCGGGAATGGCAGCCTCAACAGCTTTGATCTCGGAAGGGCCAAAACCAGTGGCGGTTCTCTTGTGCTTTGGCCTGCTGAAGCCAGGACCAATGGGGCCCTGCAGATCAGAAAGTGGGGCACTGGTCGAAGGCCGGCGCTCGCGGGTCGACATGGCGGCAGATCAATTGGCACGGAGAGGGGGGAATAGAAAGGGGAGAAAGGCAGACGGGCAGCAAGAGAGGTGGCAGCGGGGTTTATGTAGGAGCAAATGTCAGAAGACGCGGTGGGACGCGAGCGCAGGATGCCAGCGCGCGCTGGGCTGATGCACGCGGTGGACTGATGGGAAGCAGCGACCGGGGTAAGCTCCAGCGCGCGGGCCAACCCCGGGGTGAGCTGAGCGGGGAAGTGAGCTGTGCCCTTCGTTCCAGCCGCCGTGCCGCCGTCCTCTCATCAACGATGGCCGCCGCAACCAACGCCATCAACGCCTAATTCAAGCCATCTCCAAGCCTGCGAGCTTGCACTTCGCCATGTCTGCCGTCATTGCCCATCCCGTCGTCTCGGTGCCGGCCGGTCCTGCGGCATGTCACGACATGCGCCGCCCGCCCCATATCGTGCTACCGATTGCCTGCTAAGCGCCGGGGGCATCGATGATCGAGTGGGGCTGCTACGAGCTGCGCACATGGGCCGGCTGCTGGGGACCGCAAGACTTACTTTTGCTTCTCCGCATATTTGATTAGCTTCCGCACCCCAAGGTACACTTACAACGGCGCCGCGGCCGCTATGTGGCATCACGAGTGCTCGAGTCCATCCTCCTGCAGTGTGCCGTGCCCCATACTGCGTTGCTCTTGGGACGACGGCCAGGATGTTTGTACCCCAGTAGTGCCCTGATAGGCGAAACTTTCAACACGAGCACCGTTTCTGGCCTGATTCAAGCCACCAGAAGACGGGAGTGGCCGAGAAACGAGGCACCCACACAGCAAAAAAAAAAAAAAAAAAAAGAAAGAAAGAAAGAAAGAGGTATGCGGTACAAAGGATTTAAGTTGTAGAATTAGAGACCTTTCGATTAGGCTGTTATTATTTGGTCGTGCTCTCCTCCATGATGTGCTCGAACCAGTCCGTAACCGCGGCCCCAATCATTATCGACCTGTTCCCTTCCCTGGGCTCAGATGGCCGTCCAAACATTAGGATCCTGTAAGTTGCTTTTCCTCCATGTCGCCTCTGTTCCGTTTCTGCAATGACATGATCAAATGCTGCGCGCGAAAGCGCACAGCTACAAAAGGGGTATCTTTGAGCAGTAACCAGAACCGTAAACGCCCGCTTCCAGATGATTTACGAAAAAGAGATCAGGGATATTTTTTTTCAATCCCAGGCATGGTCGAGAGCCATGACGCTCGGGCTCGGCTCCGGCGTCGCAATACCTTTGAACCACGTCGCCGAGCCTTGCAGCGATAACGGCGCTGGCCGGTTCTTTTCACCGGTTGCCGCATATGGCTCTTCAGCAACATCCTTCACAACGGCTACCGTGGTAGTGGCGGCGGCGGCGGCGGCGGCGGCGGCGTTTCGGCGGCTCTGCAGGCTCGCGCGGTGCATGTCCTCGATGGAGTCGCGAATGAACTCGAGAGTGAACGAGTGCAGGTCATAGTCCAGGTCAATGAGCACGCAACGCTGGGTAGTGGAGAGCTCGCGGGCGGAGAAGACTCCGCAGGAGATGCGCTGCGCCCAGTGTTGCAGTGACACCTGGTGGTCGTCGAGGTAGCCGGTGGCCAGGGCCAGAGCAGACAGCACCAGCAGCTCCGGCTCCGCATGGCTCTTGATGGCCGGGTTCAGGACGGGAGCAGCGGTCATGAGAGCGGGAGACGCGGGAGGAGAGATGGGGCCATTCGCGGCGTCGAGGAGCGGTGAGGCGGCGGGCGTAGGCTCGTTGAGGGTTAGGGCGTGCCGCCATTTTTTGGCGAAGCGCATGCTCAGAGCATCGAGGATGCACGCTGTCAAGCCGAGCACTTCGAAGGGCAGATTCGAGCGCTCCAGATAGTCCTCGATGACGCTCACGGATGGGCGACGGCTGCAGGCGTTCGAGGGAACAAGCTTGGCGAGATGTGAGGCGGGGCCTGGGGTTTGCGTCAGTACGTGCTGCAGTTGCGTCAAGGGAGCCGCAGGGCACTCACCCCGCAAATCGTTCTCGTCCACCAGATGGCCAGCCAGACTCCTGGGGGCCTCGCTCCAGGACGCCCCCGCCTGTGCGGGCGGCGGAGTGGGCAGGTTGGACAGCGGCACGTAGTTGGCCAGGTAGTCGTCGTAGTCCTCGGAATCAACAGAGCCGCGGCGGCTGCCGACGGACAGAGGCGGGCTTTCCATTGCTGCTGGAGGGTCTTCGTTCGGGCAATTGCGTGGACGACGACAGCGATGGGCTCTCGGGCTCTGGGACAGCGCTCGTCATGGGCGAGGTCGCCGGGCTGGGCAGGCCGCGGGTGTTATATAGAAGGTCAGCGCGCAGAGCTCGCGCATTGGAGGCTTGGAGCAGCCCCTAGCAGGACCGCCGAACCCCGTTTGCGCGGGACCCCTTCCTGGCTCTTGCGACCTCCTGCCTAGCCGTTCGCGGAGCTTGGGCTGACGTGACACCCATGATCCGAGGCCAGGTTCATCGCGACAGCTCGGGCGCGCCAAGCGGCCAAGGACGGCCTGCGAAACAGACATGGGTGCTGCTCCACTCGCGCCTGCTTGCGACGGCGCGAGGCAGGACCGCCAGGCACGCGAGCCACGCGCTGCGCACTCTGCTGGCCGCTCGTCATCCGCACCAGCGCGCCGTGAGCCGCTCCTCTAGCCCACAGCCAGCCAACCATGAACCGTCCAGGACTCCAGCCAACCCCGTCCAGCCCGCAGTGCCCCAAGCAGCGCCCCAGGCAGCGCCGCCCGATCGCTGCCCGCCATCGCCTGACGCGATCGTCCTTCAGCCTCTTCCCCTCCTGCAGCGCGCAGCATGCAGCCGCGTAGGGTGATGCCGCCGCCGAATGCGGTTCTGCTCTGCAGCCGCGGGCCCGACGACACGAGCGGCTGCATCGCGGGTGCTTCTGGCCTTGTGCGGTGCTGCAGTGCTGCAGTGCTGCAGTCTGCTCCTCAGCTCACGTCGAAGCAACGGGCTGTTTCAGCGTCGACCAGCCCTAATGGCAGTCCGGCACACCGACGGGGTGGCATTGCCAGCCCGCCGCGGCGCGCTGCATGAAGACCACGAGCTCACTCCTGCACTCACTCTCTCCAGGTGCCAATCTCCACTGTCAGCAGCAGAGGTCGGATCCGCCGGCGGCAGCTTTCACCGCTCCGTCCTCGGCGGATGCGGGCTACCAGGTAGTGCTAGTCCCCAAGCTGCCGCTCGTCGCCAGATAGATTGAGATTAAGCTTGCCTGAGGCACCCCCTCACTAGACTACGGACTCAGCCTCCTCCCGGACCGGGCCTACTCCATTGGAGCACGGGCGCCAGTGGAGAAGCGGCTTGTGCCTGCTTGGCTCCTGAGGATTCTCGTCCGTTCCGCCTTTCTGATGCGGCGGCGCGAGTGGCTCTCGGCTCCGGCGCGGCCAAGGTCCGCTGCTGCCGGCGCGCAGAGCGCCTCATGCCGGCTCCGTCGGGGCACAAATTAACCTCCTCTGTGGGCGGATTGGGGAGACAGACGCGCACACCACATACGCGTTTGGCGAAGAGATCCGCGATCTCTAGTACCACGCTGGCCCCGAGCTCCGTCGCGCCCTGCTGCTGTGGAAGCTTCAGGCCAAAGTCTAGAAGCTGCGCGCAGCCTGCCATGGCCTGCAGCCCGCCGACCGCCCGCCCATCATCCCCTAACAGGCGCAGCACTGTCGTGATCTTTGCTCGAGGCTATCTCGTCTCATCCTCGGATGAGCAGCCGAGTCACTAAGTAGTCCCTGACCGCAGACCTCACCCGTAGGTGCAGGCCGGCCTCTGATCCCGCGCCTCCCCCGGCGCCCCTTACAATATCAGGACAGCCTTTCCCATGAACCGACCTGCTCCAAAACGTATCGATAGGCGGCAATCGATATTCCCACTGGCCACTTTCCTAATCCCACTATTCTTGGACGCTTCGCTAGCTTTGAATCCGTCTGTCGCTCCGAAGCACTGTCGCCGCCGGCCACCTCTTTATCCCCATCCCCATCCTCATCCCCACCCCTTTTGACCCGGCCAGGCCCCCTCTCGGCTCCAGACGGCGCATCGTTAATATCTTCGCGGTGAGTGCCGTCTGGCCCGCATCCACCCGCGTTTGTCCGACCAGCCGACATTGTACATGGCCATGTACGGAGTACGGCTCGCATGCGCTGCATAAAAGGCCGCAAACCTGCACAAAAGCAGCAAAGACTAGGCGACCAATGGCTTTAATGAAAGCAAGACAACGGGCATGGGCTCTTTCTGCTCGCCGTCGCCGTCGCCGCGGTCGACTGCCGAGCCGTGGCGCACAGTTGCAATGACGACTTCAGCAAAAGGCAAGAGAAACGCCGGTGACGCCGTGCGTGATGAGCCATTGGCTTTGCACTGCCACAGCAACGGATCACGACAAGGAACCAAGGAACCCACACCTCGTTTTTCTTGACGCCTTCTCTAAGTCCGACATTCCGAGCACAGAGCTCCATCGCTGCTGGCACCCTGTTCATCCTCGTTCTTTTTGCCTATCACCGTAACGACCGGCGCCAGCACTGCCGCACTAACTTCGGCGGCAAGCAGCCAGATCGACAAACGGCAGGGCTTACTGCGTAGGGAAGGAAAAAGCGGGAACGCCGACTCAATTATCACGAACGTCGCTGTATGATTCCGCTGCGCTCGACGCGGGAGAGAAACGAGAATACGAGATCGGCCGGTCCAAGCCAAGCGGTAAGGCTGAATGCTTGAAACCCGCTCCGCTTCTCCAACCAACCAGCTACTGGCGCTGAAGTATGGACTGCCCAGGAGCGCTAGGAAACAGATACGAGAATACGATTATCGCACGCGGGCAGATGGATCTTCGTGGTGGGCTGATGTTTCGCCTCCCGCTTTTTTCTCCCGCCAAGCCACCCAGATGACAAGAAAATTTGAGAGCGTGAGAGGCTGAGACGCGGTGAAACTTACCAACTGCGCCAACGGTAAGGCTGTGCCAGAAAAATCAAATGAAGGAAGCGGGGCGGTCGAGGATCAGGCCGGCCGATGCTGATGAGCCAGGTCTCATCAATCGTAGATAGCCATCTACGGGGCCCGTTGAAACGGCGTCTCATGGGTGGGTGCGTGCACCGGTGTAGATTTCGATTCTCTTTTGATTCAGACGATGTGTTTTGGCAATAATCCTGCTCCCTTCCTTTTGTGGCGAGGGGCGCACAGCAACCACCGGCCGATGACAAGTACTGTCAGGGCTACCCCAAGGACGCCCGCATACTCTCTCTGAGCCCAAAGAAGCCCAACAGCCTGCCTACTGTTGTTTCCGTATTACCGCCGCGCGCGCCCCCACCACCTTGACGACTCGAGCAATATTCGTTTTTCTTCGGGATGCTCTTGTGATGTCATTTCGTAGCCTAGAAAAGCTAACGCATAACAGCTAGGTTCACACTACCAGTACCAAACAACAAGCCGCGTGGTGCAACCAAAGGACGTCAGAAGAAAGGGATGGCGGGGGCGGCCCAGAATGCAAAAGGCACGTCACCCCGCGTTCCTGGGGGCGAATGATCAACCGGGAACGTCAAACAACCCATTTCTCTGGTTCCTACATTGTGAAAGATGTCATGAGGAAGACCGCTCGCTCCTCGATTGACGCCAAGTCATGACGTGGCGATGCGGTATCGAACAACGGCCCGTTGCCCAACCAGCCTCTCTACCTAGCACGAATCTCTTGGGGCTGCGCTAGCGGGTTTCCCGAGCCTCAACCGGACAAGGTAGGTAGGAGGAGGAGGAACCGGTGTTGCCTTCATCATGACGGGACAAGCTTTCAGCCACACGACAATGACACAGCCACCGCAAACCGGGGTATCCCAAGCTTCACTAAAACCAAAACATAACAAACAGCTCGCAATCTCCTGCGACATCCGTCCTTCTCGAATGATTCGCGCCGGCTATGGCCGGCTGACGTGCTCTCCCGCCTCATTTTTAGTCTTTTCTAGCCACCGATCCAACCTCTCGTGCTTGGGCAACCGAAATGAAGAAGTGTCGGATGGAGAGTATGTGTTGTTGCGATTGTTTGGACCATGCCTATTTCAACCGCATCAGACACGCTGGCAATTTGTGACGCCGTTAGGCTTGAGGCCCAATATATCTTCAAGCAAGCCCGACAATAGCATGTCTCGTATAAGTACACTGGTCTTGCACCAGGACCTTCGTGACTGGAGTGAGAGCACTCTCTCATGCTGAAGATGTACTTCGATAAGCCAACGCTACCATGCACCGAACCACTACAGATTCTTCAACGATATCGTATTCCCAATCGAACGTCTGCGCGTTGAGTCCAGAGGTGTGCCTCGCGTAATTAAAGTGCGTCGACCGCAGCTAATCAGGGTGGAGTCTGAAACCCCTCCTGCTCAGTCGCCGAGCTATAGCTTTAACGGAGCAACCACATCACATCCTCCACAACTACCCCGCCATCGCCATGGAGAATACAGTCAAACTCCGGTGGCTGTAAAGCAGGCCAAGTCCGTGTGAACGGGAAATATTGATGGATCCACAATGTCTGGACCCAGTCGATTGCAAGGCTGTGCAAACACATGCGATAATTGCTGTGCATCGCTAGTCAACCTTTTCACCCTTGATCACGAATTCTTCCAAGCAAAGTGTTTAGTAACTGAACCAGGTACACCCCACTGTTGATGCATATTCGGTGTAGATTATCATGGCTCTGTGTGTGAGATCGCTGATACTATGGTCCTCGCTGCATTGGGTCTGCAGGGAAAAAAACAAGGACAGGCAGGCAGGTGATGAACATCTAGATTATTTCGCTGCCACCACACTCGACAACTGCACGAATTGGGATGTTCTCTCGGGAGAGAGCATGTACGCATCGAAAAAAATGATCATTTACTAGAAATCAGTGCAAAGCCGGAATGGACGCGCTCACAAGGAATATAATACCATGACAACAGGAAAATGTTGGTGGAAAAAAGGAAACTAGGACAGGCCATTTGATACTACAAAGAGCCCCTCTGGGAGACGACTGAAAACCAGCACCTCGCCATCGAAGCTACATGAAGGACCGCTGAAGGTCTGCCAAGAGAAAAAAGAAAAAAGAAAAGAGCACAAGAAAAGCCAGGCCATAAATGAGGATTCTTTTGTTCCACCGGGGTGTCATTCGTTTCGACAAGAATGTCTACTCGTTCTCCGTAACGTCTGGTGCCTGCCTCATTCAAGACTCTCCAGACTATATGTCATGACCTACGCCACTGGTACTTTCCGTCCATCCGCTGAGTACCAAGAACGGTCCAAGGGTGTGTCCTCAAGCTGCCAAGGACCCTCTACCGCTTGCTCCACGGAGCGCGCTCGGCGCACCGTTTGCCTTTCTCACCAAGTACATTGTAGCAATAGCATAGGATGTGTAATCAGGCTCTCCGAACCGCCTTTGATTCCAAGCAACCGTAGAAATTGCCACGCGGGTTGTTTCGGAAAATGCTTACTGAGCCTTCTTGGGGCCAGCAGCTCCACCGGCGTACTTGTTCAGGTCAGTTGCGTCAAACGCCTGCTTGGCAACGCCCTTGACGGTCTCCCAAGCCTGGCGGGCAGGCGGGGGAGTGCTCTGCTGTTGCACAAGGGCGTCGGCGCGGGCAGTAAGCTGCTGGATGGCAGACTGGACGAAGGTGCTCTGTGAGATGCGAGCGCGGAAGAAAGCGGTGTAGAAGATAAGGAGGGCCCAGGAGCCACGCTGGAAAAGAATAGCCGATCCGAGGACGCGGAACCACAGCGCGATCTCGAGGACAGCGACCAACGTCATGCTCGTGTCATAGTACTCCTTGACAAAGCGGCCGATGGTGTTGGAAATGGCGGACTGGTTGGGCTTGGCGCCCTCGGCGGCCGGAGGCTGCGGCTGAAGAACAGGCAGCAGGTTCGTGCGCGTGTATGTGAGCACGTGGAACACGGAGTAGACGGCGAAGGGCAGAAGAGCAAGGGGAACCTGGAGCGAGTTGTACAGCCAGAGGAGAGCCATGACTACAGGGGAAAAACTGATTAGAATCAAAGCAGAAGCCATTGACAGCGGGGCCGGGGCCTGGACGTACTCAGATACTGAACGTTTTCATCGGCAATCATGCTGAGAGCACCGCCCTGCTTGCCGGCCCTGACGCGCGCGCGGTATGCCTTGTAGACCACGATGCCGTACGTAGCCGCGGCAGCGACGAAGGCCAGGCGGTAGGAGAAGCGGGCCATGCGGGAGTAGAAGTTGAAAGTAAGCCATGACAAGCCGTAGCGCAGGGTGCAGAACAGCAGCGTCAAGTGGCCGCCGAACCAGGCAAACTGCAGACTCTGCGCGAGCTGCAGCAGCCTCTGCTGGAGAGGCATGGAAGCGGGGGGCGGGGGAGCCATGGATGCGGCGGGAGAGGTCTGTCGCGTGAGGTAACTGAAGTGGTTCTGCGGCGGGTTAGTTTTGCGAGAGCGCAGTGGAAACGGATGGGCGGGTGTCGGTGTAGGTTGTGCGGTAGAGGGGAAGACGCGATAGCAGAGTTCGCTTGACGGCGGCCTGGCACTGAGAACACCTGGCGAGAAGGTGGCTGGGCTGGTGCAGCGCAAAGGCAGCAGCCGCGCAGAGCTAGCGGAGCTCACGCGAACGGAGGGGCAGGCATTGTGACTTACAGCAAGGGTCTCGCGCGCTGGGGAGGGGATCGCAACGAAGGCCTGAGACGTCGAGGTCGCGGTGAGGTTTTATGGTGATCTCTGACGTGAACACGCAGAGCGCAGACCGAGATCAGGGCAGCGCGTCGCCGGTGACGAAAGTGCCGCGCCCTAGCTTGAGCTCAGCTCGCTCCTTCCCCCCAAGGGTCACGTGGGGCGCGCCAAAGATAGAACTGGCGCCACAATCGCCGAGGCCGCGCCTCAGCTAGGTACACAATATCGCTTGCCTGCGCGGGTCCTCCCGCAGTGGTTTAAGCTTCAATCCTGAATTGCTACTAATATGAACTATACCTTCTGACAAGGAGATTAAATTGAATACTGGACGTGTCGGTGGTAGTAGAATACATGGGAAGAAGCAATCTGTAGTCCCTGCCACCTACTGCCCTCCACAATGCGATCTACTTATGTGAATAGCTGTCGACGTCAAGGAGATTGCAATGCTGGAGGTATCAATCAAGCAGACGCAAAAGGAAAAAAAAGAGCAGAGTAGAAAAGGGGGCCGCAAGCATAAGAACAGAAATAATTGAGCCAGTCCAATGAAAAACCCCCGACGCGCTCGAATCCCCCAACTCGCATCGCCAGTCGTTGAATTAAGTGGTCCCTACGGTTACCCCAGAGTGTCGGAAGACGGAAAACGGGTTTAATGAGCGTTCGTAGAATATGATAGTGAGACAAAGAGAGGCTTTTGGTCCAGTGGTGAGTGTGAGGCATGTCGTCTCAAAGCCAGGGCGAGCGAGATCGTCCTATGCGTGGCCGCTGTTGGGCTTAGCGCAGAGAGAATCCCTTTCTCTTGCCCTTTTCTTCTATCGGCCTGCCGCTCTCGATCCGCCCCTTCTTCTCCTCGAGATCTTGCCGCTGCTTCTCGAGCTGTTCCTTCATCTCCCGGTGTCGGGCGTACAGCTCCTCCTCGCTCTGCCGCAGCTTGCTCTCCTTCTCTGCGACCTTCTGCTGGAACACCATCTTCATTTCCTGCTCCATCTTCTGGAGCTTCTGCTCGTGCAGCGTGCGCTCCTCCTCCTGCTTGACGGCAGGGTTGACCTCCTTGAAGACGCTCGGATCCTGCGAGACACCCATCGAAATGAGCTTGTCCGAGCGGTAGTTCTCGTACAGCTGGTTGTTCGTGTGCTCCTTGAGCTCCTCCATGTGGGTGCGGATGAGCATCTGGCGGAGCTTGACGAAGTCGCAGTGCTCCTCGTTGTCGACTTCAATGACACCCCAAGGGTAACGTCGGCCACGGACCGTCCGGCCGTCCGAAGTGGTCACGTCGGTGTTGGCACCGACGACGGCGAAAGGAACCTTGGACATGATCTCTTGGTTCTCGGCAATCGTTTCCTCGTCATCCATCTCATAACGGGGACCCTCGAAAATCTGGATACCGTGGTGCGAAATGTCGGACAGAATCTATGGCACACGGTCAGAAACATTTCGCTACCCAAGGTCGTGCGGGACTCCTACTCTCTGCTTGAAAGCGTTGATCTCATCATCGGTCAAAGTGTCAGACTTCGCAATAACGGGAATCAAGTTGACCTTGGTGTGAAGCCTGCGCATAACCTCGATGTCGAGGGGCTTCAGGGAGTGGCCGGTGGGCTGGATGAAGAAAACACAAGCGTGGATACGGTTGTCAACAATGTTCATACGGTTGACCTTGTTCTCCGCATCGAGGTAAGCATCGAAGCGCTGCTCAATGTTCTCGACGATAGGGCGCCAGGAGTCATCGTTGTTGACAAAGTCACCAAAACCGGGGGTGTCAACAACCGTCAGACGGAGCCTAACACCATTCTCCTCAATGTCGGCGCTAATGGACTGGATAGCAACGGTCTTGGGAATGATGTCGAGCGACGGGGGCTTGCGCTCCTTCGGGGGGTAGAGAGAGGTGTTGAAGAGCGTGTTGACGAGGGTCGACTTTCCGAGTCCAGACTCGCCTGTGCGTTCCGTTGTCAGCCGTTCTGTCAATTCCACAAAAAAACATGTCAGGATCTACGCACCAACGACCATGACATTGAAGTTGAAACCCTTGCGAACACTCTTGCGGTGCCACTGGTTGGGAAGGTTGGCAAAACCGACATAGCCCGTCAGCTTCCTCCTCACGATGTTGCGCATGTCGGTGGCAGCCTGAGCTGCGGCCTTCGGGTCCTTCGAGGAGACAGTCTGGGGAGAGCTGCCCTCCTTGCCGGCCATCATGTTACTCGACTTGACGTCGCTACCGGCGGGTGACGAGGGCTTGCCGTTAGCGGTGGGAGAAGTGGCCGACGGGACAGGAGAGGCGCGCGTGGGAGCGGCGGGGATGGGAGCGCCGTTAGTTGCTGTAGAAAGAACCGGAGTTAGCTTGCGTGTCCAATGAATTTGGCCAACGTCATCCGATGGGCATCAACGCGGCAGCCGAGTGGCAGTTGGCGCCAATTGCCCATAGACGAGGGCATCGATCCACCGTAGCCGCGTCGCTGCGCTGGCGCGGAGGCATTGTTGCGACAGCGGCGCGTCGACCGCGCCACCCAGCCGCCGGGAATGGATACGGGGTAGGGGTTGAGGATAGCTTACCCATGGCGAAGTGGAGGTTGACGTCGACGGTGGACTTCGAAACGAGAGACTACTGTTGAAGAGGACCCAGCATCAGTACAGGAAGCGGCGGAAGCGCGCGATGGCGGCGGAGAATTGGTCAGAAGCCACTGGAGGGCGCTCGAGCGGAGACGGCCTCAGTGCGTCCGTGGCAGACGGGGTAGGACGCGCGACATACCAGTCAGTCTAGCTATGCTAAAGCTGGGTGAGGAAACAGTGCCAGAGGACGGCGAGACGGGGCAGGGTGTGCTGTGAACAGTCGCCGACCGCTGCTGCTTGGTTGGGTGCTGGCTGAGCGGGCTGGGGGCAGGTGTAGTACTGCAAGTCTGATCGTGGAAAGGGGTCCTTGGGGCAGGGATTAACTTGATTGGTCTTGGCGTCGTCGGGGTCAAATAACGGGGGACGAGCGTTGTGCAGCGGCGTCCGCGCGCAAAGTCGAGCTAGCAGCAACAACAAAGTTACGAAGTCGAGAGAGCCGCACACTGCGATTGAGGGTGTGCAGGTTAGGGGGGCGCGGTCGCAGCAGCTGCGTCTCGGTCGTGGCCTGCCTGCCGGCACTTGCGGTCGCACCTGCCTTGCCCGCCTACCTGCGCAGCCCATCAGCCTGTCCGCAGGGGAAATTGCCTTTCGCGTCGTCGTCGTGCCACGACAACCGACTGCACGCGCACCAATCACGCGTGCGCGCTGGGGAATCGCTCACTCGCCGCTGCCTGCCCACGTATCACTACTGCATCAATTCTCCGATCAGCCTGGTAGCCTGGGCCTCGCTGCCCGCCCGCCCTGCGACGTTCCGTGAGACAAGCATCGCTGATGTGAGCGCCCGGACAGGATCTGCGAAATTACATGTACATATAGTATTATCCAGCCAGTGTTCGCGATAATGCAGCGCAGTGAACATCCGTACGCCATAACCGCAAGAGGGTATACCCAGAACAATGAAGCCGCAGAACGAACCCCCACTTTAACCCCTCACGCCAAACCCGCCAGCGTCGCTGCCAGCTGCGACTTGTCGTATTTGACATACTTGCCCTTGCCCTTATCGATCTCGTGATACCGGTCCCAGAAGCGCCCGTACAGCGGCTCGATCATAGTCTGCACCTCGCGCGCCAGGTGGGCCTTGACCTCTTTTTCCATCGCATAGCTCCTGTGCTTGGCGATCAGCTCGTCGAAAGACGTATTGAAGCTCTTCCACTTCTCCTTGACGTTGTCTTTATCCTTGGAGCTGAGGTTCTTGACCACGGACGCGGAATCGACGGATCCCGCACCCCCTGAGTGAGGTCTTCCTCCGCGGTTTGTGTACTGAACGTCAAGAAGACAGCCGGAAGGCTCCTTCCAAGCATCCAAATACATCTGTGTGGCTCGTTTCCGCCACGTTTCGACCAACTTCGCTGCGCCAGCCAGCAGAATGGCAAGGTCCGAGGAACGGATCATCCTTTCAACAATGGCAACGTTGTTAGCAATAAAAACTCCCTGCAATGCCTTGCCTTTGTGCAGCATGCGACCCTTGGCATCGAGCTCCTTCAACTGAGTCTCGATCATTTCCATAGCATAGTGAGCAAAAAGTTGCCGGCCGTCCGCTCCAACGTCGAACGACTTGCTTAGAGAGGTTGTCGACGACGAAGCAGAGGCTGTGGACCAGCCTCCATCCCCCAAAGATATTAAAATCGAAGCCAAAGGGTCAAGGTAATTGGTCATCTGCTGAAGGCGTGCCATCATCTCATTGGTGGTGTTGGAAGCACCACCATCGATGGGAATAGCAATCAGCGTGGCCACCTTGTTGCGTGCCTCTTCCATCAGCGTGCGCAGCGAGACTTTCGCGGTTTCGCGTATAGGCTTGACTGAGTCGGCAATCGGCCGCTTCAGCTCTCCCGTCTGCTTCTCCAGGCGCAGCGAGAGGTTAGAGACAATGTCAATAATCTCATACGCAAGGAAGCAATCAGTGGTCAGATTACTCTTGACATGATTGTTGAGTTCCCTTAGTGTCTTAGCAAATTCGTTCAGGGCCATCTGACACGCTTGGGAGTAAACACGAGCCCAGTCCTCACGCGCGAAGATTGGACAGATGTTCTCGTACTCGGCCATGAAAAGTCCCTCCAGGCCAGAGGCATAGGTTCCGATGCCATTGGTACCTTGGCGGTATATCGCATCAGCGGTAGTCTTTCTGGCGGTATTGATACAAGCAGCGGCCAGGTTACGCATGGTGTTCGTGATGTACTCTCCACGGACTTCGGCATAGATCTTCGCAGAAGGCGTTTCCCGCGCATCAGCTTGAGCCATCTGCGCAGCCGAGGCAGCCATGTGCGAGTTGATGGTTCGCAGGTTCGACATCTTCTCCTGAGGTAGCGTGGGGAACGGCAGTTCTAGTCCAGGGGTCAGTGTGAGTGGCAGCGTAGCCCAACACCAGGATGACACTAACGCTTTGTAATGTAATGCAACGGCTCCACAGGACGTGCATCTTCCCGGAGGATTTCTTTGAAAACATCCTCCAACTGTTTGGTGCCTCTCTTCAACAACGAATTCAACTCGGCTATGGCCTGTTGGTTCGAACGGAGGTTCGAGTACTTGAGGTCGCCGAGGGCCTGAGTGGTGCGATCCAAGGAAGCGATGAAGTCCCCGAGGCCTGCTTTCTTCGGACTGGGGAAGGTCAGCGTGTGGAAGGGTGGGTGGTCGAAGTTGCGCTCACCCAGCATTGATGATCTGTTCTTCGCGACCCCTCTGGTCGAGCGGCTGCCGTATCCGGTCGATGGCGTCTATGATTCGGTCCACGTCTGTGCAGAAATCAGTAGCTGCAGAAGCGGTCGGCGAGCCGCAAATACGTACTCGAGTTGGTAGTCTGCAGCTTCTGCGTGTTTCCGTAGATGGGCCCAATGGCCTCCTGAACGCTCTTGCCGCTGGTCTCCAAACGGTTCAGCGAGCCCTGAATCTTCTTCGTCAAGCCCTTCAGCTTCTCCATGTTCGCAAAAAGGACCTCGACCTCGGCGCTCTCCTCCGCAAGCGCGGCTTTCTTGACGCCCACCATGGTGTCGGCGAGGGCGCGACGGGCGCGGAATCAGCCCAACGGCGGCGAAGGCGTAGTGGCGGGCGGAGTCGAAAGAAAGGGCGCGAGCAGGGTTAGGGTAGCGAGCATGCGGCGCGGCGCAAGGGAGTGTTCGGGCGGAGAAGGTGTTAATGGGGGGTGATCGCTCTGTGCATCGTGGGGCCTGAGCCAGAGCTGCCTGCATGGAGCTGGTGACGGAAGCGCTGGGTGCCCGATGCCGAGAATGCGGGCACTAGTCGATCGGGCATGGAATCCCCGGGCAGCCAACCTGGACGCCAATGCCGACGTAGCTATGACCGAGTTCAACAATTCCTGTTTCCTCCGCAATGCCGTTCTTCTCCTTTCCATCGCCCTAGTCGCTGAAGTCTTCCGATCCTCCGGTCGCGCCGAGCAATTGTCACCACGCGCAACACTCCCCGCCTCGAGAGTCGCGCTGAACATGCCCTGAATCCATCCCGATCCGTCCCGCGATCCTGACCATTGCCATGGCTCGCATGTCTCAATTGTCAAAGCGCTCAGTCGCGGGACTCCACGGCCAGCTGTAGGTTTGACCAAGCGCATCTGATCAAGCGCGACGCTAATTCTCTCCAGAACGAAAGGCGGCGCACTCCAGATGCGTCGCATCGCAAATGTCACCCGTAGGCCCTCTTTCCAGCGCACAGTCAACGCGCTCGCACTCGGCTCAGCAATCGCAAGCCTCGCAGCATACAGTTACTCGAATCGCACACATTCGGGCTGGATTACCGGCCGGTATTTGCACAATGACAGCTCCACCAACACAGCCGATTGGCCCCGGGGCCCCCCAACGATAGAAGCACGCCAGCAAGCCAGGGACACCGGGGAGAAGGGCCAATTCGGCAAGGATGAAGGCAAGCCAGGGCAACAGCCTCCGCCGTCTCAGTCTCGGATGGCCACAGAAAAGGGCGAGAAAGAGCAAACTGCCGAGTCTACCTGGGATGGGATCATGATGTCTATTTCCTCCATTCCAAACACGCTCTCTGCCTTTGGCGGGTCGCTTTCAGACTACCTGGTTCCGGACTGGGTCAAGATACTGCCAGAATTCATGAACAAGCTCCAGACGGAGCTTTCAATGGCGCCCGGGTCCCTGGCCGACGAGATCTGGCAGGAGGCAAACGATCCCGAGATCAACCCCGAGATCCTATGGGATGCGCGCGTCCGTATATCCCACGAGCTGTGCGATGAGGAAAAGGCGTTCTTGCGGAAGCGTAAGTTGCGCGTGCGCCGCGCTCTCGCCCAGTATCTAGGTATGGATGAGAAAGACATTCACCCAGACGACGTGCCGACCATTGCCATGTGTGGGTCTGGAGGCGGCTTGAGGGCGCTGGTGGCCAGCTCATCCTCATACCTTTCCGCTCAAGAAGCGGGGCTGTTCGACTGCATTACCTATACTGCTGGGGTCAGTGGCAGCTGTTGGCTCCAAACCCTGTACTACTCTTCTATTGCAGGGCAAAACCATGAGCGACTGATCAACCATTTAAAGCATCGACTTGGTGTGCATATTGCTTACCCTCCTCCGGCACTATCCATGATAAACAGTGCTCCCACGAACAAGTTCCTTCTCAGCGGTGTCGTTGAGAAGTATCGTGGTGTCCCGGGGGCGGAGTTTGGGATAGTGGACATCTACGGTCTTCTCCTTGCCGCACGCCTCATGGTGCCGAAAGGAGAGTTGGACCTTGACGACCGTGATTTGAAAGTTTCGAACCAGCGCCGGTTCGTCGATGACGGCGCACACCCACTGCCCATCTACACGGCTGTCAGACACGAAATACCACACGACGATGGCACTGCCCAGACGGATAATAAAGATGACCAGATGAAGGGGGGTTGGTTCCAATGGTTCGAGTGAGTGTGAACGATATTGCTCATCGAACTTGCACATTCCTAATTGAAAACAGATTTACACCGTATGAGATGTGGTGTGAAGAGCTCGCAGCCGGAATTCCCACCTGGGCGGTCGGACGAGAATTCAAAGATGGCAAGGCCGTTTGGAGAGAGAACGGCCTCGCTCTCCCAGAACTTCGCGTGCCGTTGTTTTTGGGCATCTGGGGCAGCGCTTTTTGCGCAACGCTTTCGCATTACTACAAGGAACTTCGGCCAGCGATGCAAGGGTTGGCTGGTTTCATGGGAATTGACCAGATGATCATGGAGCGCGATCACGACCTGGTCAAGATGCATCCCATTGACCCTGCGGTTATTCCTAATTACGCCCTCGGATTGCGCGAATTGCTTCCTCAATCATGCCCGGAGAGCATGTTCACCGCATCCAACCTTCAGTTGATGGATGCTGGCATGAGCAACAACCTACCTCTCTACCCGCTTCTCCGGCCAGGTCGCGACGTGGACATTCTTATAGCCTTTGACGCTTCGGCTGACGTCAAGACCGACAACTGGCTCAAAGTCGCAGAGGGTTACAGTAAGCAGCGAGGGATTGTCGGCTGGCCCGTCGGTGCTGGTTGGCCGCCTGCAGACGAAACCAAGGAGCAGATCGGCGAGGAGCTGAAGGCAGCACAGGCCGGGACAGAAGAGCAGGCGGCAGAGAGGCTTGCCGAAGCTCAAGAGAAGCAGCTCTTGGACGACGAGAAGGGTCCCAAGAAGGGAGGTCACGATGATCTGGGCTACTGCAACGTTTGGATCGGCACGACAGGGCAAAGAGTATCAGAGGAAGAACCGTCGCCATCAACGGCCAAGCAAGTGCAGGAGGACTGGGAGCTCATGAGGCCTGACGCAGGCATCGCCGTCATCTACTTCCCTTTCCTCGCGAATCCCAAAGTCGAGGGAGTGGATCCGCGCAAGTCCGACTTCATGTCGACTTGGAATTTTGTGTACACGCCAGAGGACATTGAGAAGGTGGTGTCGCTGGCACGGGCGAACTTTGAGGAAGGCAAGGAGCAGACGATGCGCACGGTCAGAGCCGTGTACGAGCGGAAGAAAGCCAAGAGGCTGGAGCGGGAGGCTGAGGACAGGGAGCGGCGGCGGCGGTGGAAGCTGAGGACGGGCCGGACTGGCAAAAAGCTTGGAGAGGGCGACCACGGCGACCAGTTCAGCTGAAGACGTGTGAGGCGTCGGCATGTGCGACACATAGACAGAGCGTGATACCCCCGGGCGGAGTAGATGAGTTGAAAATAGAGAGGCGCCAATGCGGCATGACATCACTGCGTTGGCTGGATCGCCCAGCCCCGCGACGCGCCAAACAGAGGGGCAGGCGATAAGACGCGCGCAGCAGCCTGGCAGGGCCCGTCGCGGATCAAGCAGGAACGCGGCGCTCAACAGGGATCACGACAGCTTTTGCAACGCGAAGACGGCTACCGGCACGAGCGCAGCCAGCAGCCTCTTCTGCCTTAAATCCTGCGAGCGCGTCCGCCCTCCGCCCTCCGTCGCCCATTGACCCCTCACCCCGCCCGCTCGCTCCGCACCCTCGCTCCGCTACCAGCCAGCAGCACCATGACCTCCCCGGCACTGGATGCAGGCTCGGCGGCGGCCACCAAGGACGCCGCGAAGCACGACGAGGAGTCGCACAATCCCTCAGGCCTCAAGGGGCACCTCAAGCACCCGTTCCCCGCCCTCCGCGAGAAGCTCAAGAACACGCACCTGTACGACCTGAAGGTTGAGGCCACGCACCTCAAGCACAAGCTCGGCAAGGTTGGCAACATCATCAATCCCAACCACCGCCACGACGAGGAGCACGAGAAGGTCACCGACCAGAAGCGCACCAAGATTGGCGAGGGCCATCGTTTCCAGAGCTTTGCGCCGGAGCACGACGGCAACCTGATCAAGTGGTATGTCGACGGCCGCGACTACTTCTGGGCTGTTTCCGTGGCCCTTGAGCGCGCCAAGGAGACCATCTACATTGAAGACTGGTGGCTGTCCCCGGAGCTGTTCCTGCGTCGGCCGCCTTACTACAACCAGGAATGGCGCCTCGATCAGGTGCTGAAGCGTCGCGCCGAGGCCGGCGTCAAGATCTATGTCATCGTGTACAAGGAAGTCAACCAGGCCATCACCTGCAACAGCGCCCACACCAAGCACGCCCTGCGGAACCTGTGTCCTCCAGGCTCTCCCGGACATGGCAACATCCACGTCATGCGCCATCCCGACCACAACATGTTCGAGAACCTTGGCGACATGACCTTTTACTGGGCTCACCACGAGAAATTCATCGTCATAGACTACAATCTCGCCTTCATCGGTGGCTTGGATCTCTGCTTCGGTCGTTGGGACAACAAGCAGCACCAGATGGCCGATGTGCACCCTGCTGGCGTCCAGCACGAAATCTTCCCCGGCCAGGACTTCAACAACAACCGTATCATGGATTTCCAATCCGTCGAAGACTGGAAGTCGAACGAGCTCTCCAAGGCCGACTATGGCCGCATGCCCTGGCACGACGTAGCCATGGGCGTCATTGGACCTTGCGTCTACGACATTGCCGAGCACTTCATACTGCGGTGGAACTTTGTCAAGCGTGACAAGTACAAGCGGGACAAGCGTTTTGACTGGCTTACTTTGGAGGGCAGGGAGGGCGAAGACGAGGATCTGGTCGCTGTACAGCGTCCCAAGTTCCCTGTTGGAGAGTATATCCATCATCCACTCAGCCCGCTCAACACGAAGCAGCTGGACGGCACCCAAGGCACGGTGCACGCGCAAATAGTCAGGAGCAGTGCCGACTGGAGTAGTGGAATCTTGGTGGAACACAGCATTCAGAACGCATACTGCGAGGTCATCAGGAATGCTGAGCATGTCGTGTACATTGAGAACCAATTCTTCAGTAAGTATCGCCAATTACCGCTGATGTACATCCCGCTGACAGTTCCAGTCACCGCCACCGGAGAAGACCAGGCGCCAATCCACAATCAAATTGGAAAAGCAATCGTCGATGCCTGCGTCAGAGCCGGCAAGGAAGGCAGGAAATTCAGAGTCATCATTGTCATTCCAGCCATTCCTGGCTTCGCTGGAGACCTTCGTAGCGACGCAGCTACAGGAACTCGGGCAATCATGGACTACCAGTTCAAGTCGATCAATCGTGGAGAGCATTCGATCATGGGCCAGATCAGAAAAGCAGGATATGATCCCGCCCAGTACATCTTTGTTTTCAATCTCCGTTCTTTTGACCGTCTCAACACTACCCCTGCAATGAAGAGGCAAGAAGAGCAATCTGGGGTGAAATACCAGGACGTTCAGCGCGCTCAGGCCGACGAGATCATGTCCACCGGTGTACACGGCGTCAAAGGCGACTCTAGCAGCGAGGGCGGCTTCGACTCTGATTCCGATGACGACAAAGAAAGACAGGAGACTGCGGACCGCAGACGACGCTTTGAGGCCGAGAGAGAGAATGTTGGCTTGTGGAAAGATGGCAAAGAGAATGTTCTCAGCGCCGACTCGCTCGCGCATGCCGCCATGAAGGACGGAAAGAGTGTTTCCGAGGAACCATGGGACCCCGAAGATCCCGATTCGGAGAAGAACAATTTCGTTCAGGAGGAATTGTACATTCACGGGAAGCTCTTGATCGTCGATGACAGGATCACCATCTGCGGTAGTTCGAACATCAATGACCGCTCCCAGCTTGGCTATCACGACTCGGAGCTCAGTATCGTCATGGAGGACACGGACATGATCGAGTCGACGATGAATGGCCAACCCTACAAGGCTGGGCGGCATGCTGCAACGCTTCGCCGTATGCTGTGGCGCGAGCACCTGGGTCTTCTTGCAGCACAGGAATTTGACGCCTCTGAGGATCCTAATGCGCAGCCTCCAGGCGACTGCCCCAACGACATCCAGGACGATGATCCGAGTTACGAGTTTGTGGCCGATCCTCTCGGCGAGGATGTCTGGGACATGTGGTGCGGAAGGGCATCCCACAACACGGAAATTTTCAGAGATCTCTTCCATGCGGACCCTGACGACAACAGTAAGTACCCTTTTCCACGCTTGCGTTTGGCCAATAGCTAACAGAAAACAGTCAAAACCTTTGATGACTACGCCAGATTCCTGCCGCCGATTGATCCAAATGACCCCAACGCCGCGCACAAGCAAGGCCACATCTTCGACCTTCACCGCCGGACTGCTGACATCAAGAAGACGCTTGACGAAATCAAGGGTCATCTGGTCTGGATGCCTCTTGATTTCCTGAAGGACGCCGAAATGGCCGAAAAGGGTTTACAGGTGAACGCATACACGGAGAGCATATACACTTGAGAAACGACGTCTTGAACATGGCGCATGGCTTTGGAGGGGTCGTTGACAAAGACATGAGGCTCGGATGGATGGATGGAGCAGGGATGATATTCCTGATCCTTGCGGCTGGTCTCGCAATCATTCCTGATACCTGCTGTTTTTATTCTTAATACTACCACGATTTTACTGATTTCCTAGGAAATAAATAATGCGTTAAACGAATTCATACAACAACTGCTTTCTTGGACCGTCACAAGTTGAAGTTGTAATAAGCTGACGGCAACTACGATCGGAAGTCGCCAACCCTAAGGCTGGGAAGATTGCAACTCTCTGGGCATGGTTGCTTTATTCTACGGGAACAGAATTACGCAGTAGGTCTATCCAGCAACAACTTCGGCTTGGACAGATCATTGGCACCCGTCGGCCCCGGGTAAAAAGGGCCCTTGGCAGTGGAGATGTATATACAAATCAGGCTAGCCTTTCCTTGGAAAGTCCATCCGACTTCGCAACCCACATACGGCGGCACTCCACTTCGCTCCACGCCCTTATCGGAACTGCCCAGGAACTGGCGTTATAAAGGCCGGAAACGAGGCCTCTTTGCTTCCAAGCGAGTAAACCATAAATCCCACTCCCCTTTTTCTTCCTCGGGCAAACCGACAGAAGCCCCGCCATATCAACACCGCTCTATCGGCCAGCCCCACATGGCGACCACCACCGTCTTCCAAAACGGTCGTTTCTTCACGGCATTGGGCGGCCCCAAGCAGCCGGAGAAGCCATCTTTCGCCGAGTGCATGATCACGCATGGCGACAAGATCTCCTTCGTCGGGCCAGTCTCCAGCGCGGCAGTGCAGGACGCTCTGGCCGCGGGCGCCAGCACGCGCGACGTCGGAGGCCGGGTGGTGGTGCCGGGCTTCGTGGACGGACACATGCACCTGATGCTGATGGGCCAGGCGCTGACGGCCGTGGCGCTCGACGGCTGCAAGAGCCTCGACGACATCCGGGCAGCGATTCGCGCGTGGGCGGCGGCCAACCCGGCGGCGTCGCTCATCTTCTGCTGCGGCTGGATGCACTCGATGACGGGCGCGGCGCCGCCCACGGCCGCGCTGCTGGATGACCTCGACCCGCGGCCCATCTTCATCAACGCGAAGGACCTGCACTCGTCGTGGTGCAACAGCGCAGCCCTCGCCGCCATGGCCATCGACGAGCATACGCCCGAGGTTCCCGGCGGCACGATTTCCAGGGACGAGCGGGGCAAGCCGACGGGCTTGCTGAGCGAGGCGGCCAACATCAACCTGGTGTGGCCGTACGTGGCGCGCGTGGCGACAGTCGACGAGCGCGTGGAACGGCTGGAGGCTGCGTTCACGGCGTACAGCGCGGCGGGCTACACGGGCTTGGTGGAGATGGCCATGGACGAGACGGCGTGGGGAGCGCTGCAAGAGCTGATGCATCGACGACGCGCGAACGGCCTGCCCCCGCCTCCCGTCCGCGTAGCCGCACACTGGTTGATCAGCCCAAAGGACACCGAGGCCGAAAACGTCGCGCAGGTCGACCGGGCGGCCGAACTGCACGCGCAGTTCAACCTCGAGACCTCGCCCTCCTTCCGCATCGCCGGCATCAAAGTCATCTGCGTAAGAGCCGAACCAATCCACTCCCCCCTACCTCTTGTCTCACGTCACAAGACTAACATCAAGAGACAACCTTGCCTGCTTCCCACAGGACGGCGTCATCGACGCCTGCACCGCCGCCCTCTCCGAGCCCTACTCCAACAACGTCGACTGCCCCCCCATCTGGTCCCCCGCCCAGCTCCAGCCCGTCGTCGACCGCGCCGCCTCGCACGGCCTGCAAGTCGCGCTCCACGCCATCGGCGACGCGGCCATCACCCTGGCCATCGACGCCCTGGAATCCGCCTCGACTTCTTCCTCCTCTTCCCCTTCCCCTTCCGCTTCCCCCCCACCCCCCCTCCGCCGCCCCCGCATCGAACACCTCGAGCTCGCCTCCGCCCGCGACGCCGCCCGCCTCGGCGCCCTCGGCATCACCGCCTCCATCCAGCCCGGCCACGCCGACCCGGCCATCCTGCGCGCCTGGCCGCGCCTCCTCGGGCCGCCGCCGTCGCCGCCGCCGCCGCCGTCGCCATCTCACCACCACGGCGGGAAAGAGGGGGAGGAGGGGAAGGACCGCTGCGGCCGCGCCTTCGCCTACGCCGACTTCCTCCGCCACGGCGCGGCGCTCGCGCTCGGCAGCGACGCGCCGACGGCGCCGCACGCCGTGTGGGGCGGGTGGTACACGGCGACGACGCGGCGCAGCGCGCGCGAGCGAGACTATGGGATCGTCGTCAACGAAGAATTCAAGCTGGGGCTGGCGACGGTGGCGGCGGCGCAGACGGCGGGCGCGGCGTGGAGCTGCTTCGCGGACGGCGTGTGCGGCAGGTTGGAGGTTGGGCTGAGCGCGGATTTCGTGGTGGTGGACGGGCTGGAGGGGTGGAGGCCGGAGGAGGTGGCGGACGCGAGGGTGAGGGAGACGTGGTTTGAGGGGGGGTTGGTGTTTGATGCTGCTGCTGTCTCTGCTGCTGGAAAGGGGGCGTAGTGATGGGACTTTTCTCAGCTCGGGTGGATGTTTCAGGGGAATTGGGTCGGGTGTGACTGACAGGTAGGCATTCCTTCTCTCAGGCCAGAGTTGTTTGGTTATATCCAGTTAGCCAGGCAGGAGCGGGGTATGTGTCCTATGTTTGTCTGCTGTTCTTCACTGGATCATCCTGCTTCGTTCTTTACCAATATATTCAAAGTTGAAACTGTTAACTCGTCAAACGCTCTTTTCCATGCAGTCGTCATCTTTCAGTCTCTTCCCAACACTTTTTTACAACTCACGCCTGGTCAAGGCAGTTTTGAATCTAGTCGTACATTCGTATAAGACGGGGGTTCCTGCGTGCCCGGGACCAACCCCGTTCAGCACCGCGAGCGGTGCCCGCTCTCTTGCAATTGATAGAGAACACTGTTCGCACCCACAGCCGGATAAAGTGTGTCTACCTGACTTTCAACACCGTCGCACACGCCTTTCGCGAGCGCGTCGTGTACGAGCTGACATTTCTCCACACCGAACCGGACTTCCGGCCAGTGCTACTAACGTTACCCTCCTCAGCATCCTCGTCGGCCGTACTCCTAGTCTTGTGCATGCGCGGCATCATCGCCCAAACGATCAACAAAGCCGCCAACAGGGCGACGATGACAGGCTGCAACACCTGCACGCCCTTGGTCTGGGCCAGCACGCCGACCGCAAACGGGAAGATGGCGGCGCCGCTGCCCCCGAAGGCGGCGGCGAAGCCAATGGCCGAGACGTGCAGGTGGGCGGGCAGCAGCTTCGTCGTGGCGACGACGGCGGCGGGGAAGAGCGGGCCGAGGAAGAAGCCCTCGACGGCGACGGCGACGGCGGACACGACGAACTGCGGGACGAGCCAGAAGAGGAGCTGGAAGCCGATGGCGGCGGGCACGTAGATGGCGACGGCCAGCTTCTCGCCGATGCGCGGCGTGACGAAGCCCAGCGCCACGCGGCCGGCGGTGATGCCGATCCAGAAACCCGTGGCCACCATGCCCGACTCGAAGTCGCCGCCGTCGCGCTGGCGCGTCATGAAGACCACGATCCAGCCGCCCAGTGCCACCTCGACGCCGACGTAGCCGAGCAGGAAGATGGCGGCCACCCAGCTGACACGCGAGCGCAGCGCTTCCTTGAGCAGGCTGCCGCTGCTGTTGCTGTCGTCTTTTGTCGTGCTATTGCTGCTGCCGTTGTTGTCATTCGAAGGAGGACGGGCAGCGGTTGTGGCCTTGAAGTGAAGGCTCGTGGCGCCCCAGAATGCGGCCACCGAGGTCGTGAGCTCAAGAGTGGCGGCACCGACCATGAGGTAGTAGAAGCTCCACCAGCCCCAGCCAGCCTTTGTGATCAGGCTGGTGGCGATCAGCGGCGACAGCACGGCGCCGACACCGTACAGGCCGTGAAGCAGGCCCAGCAGCTCGTTCGGATTCGCCAGCTTGCCGATCCACGCGTTCCATGCCGCGTCCTCGATGCCGTTGGCGAAGCCGGCGATGAGGAAGAACACGATGAGGGCTGGGTAGGGCGGGTGAGTTGCGATGCCTATGTATGCGATGAGGTGACAGAAGGGACCGAGGAAGGCGACACCCCGTTGGCCGAAGCGGTTGTGGATCCAGTTGTTTAGGAGAGCCGCGGCTGCATAGCCGCCCAACGGCGAGAAAAAGACAAAGGAGACGATGGTGTAATTGAGGCCATAGTAGGTTTCGAGCTTGAGGGAGAAGGAGTGTTAGTAACGGTTGAACACGCAGAGGATTCGAGAGATTGGGTAGAGATTTTGAGGAGTGAAGGGGGATTGCATTACATATGGGATGATGGCCTATTTCACCAAGTTAGCACTCATTTCAGGATAAACAAGGGCGAGTGACTGAGGACATACGCCGTACGCGGCATCATTTCCGCCCATTACCATAAAGGCCCAGAATGTGGCGAGCAGGCGGCAGGTGTTTGTTGGGTTGCTGTTCCACTTTTCCACCACAGGCATCGCTATATCTAGCGGAGAAGTGGAGTCTCGAGATGAGGATGCGGCATCACCGCCGTCTCGTACGGATTCCGACTTTGGGGTTGCAGCTGGCAGAGGCTGCAGCTCAGTGGTGTGATCTGACTGACCCGAGGAAGCCATGGTTGAAGCTGCGGAAGACTTTGTGTGGAAACAGTCCAAAAGGACTATGCAAAAGGCCAATTTATAGTTCCATGGCGCACGTTGTGTCATGCAGCAGGGGGCAGGCTGTGGGGCGCTGTGACCAATGGTGCGGGCAGACCTGGGGGGTCGCTTGCCCTTTTTGGCAATACTCAGCGCTGCGCCCATCGACAGCTTGCGGGAAAACGCCGGCGGGAGCCCAGGCAGTGACCTATCCACCCGTTCGCCACACTCCTTCACCGTCTTTCCGTCCCCAAAGCGGAACTACAGTCCTCAGTTGTGAGTCTTCAGCCGTCGCCTGCACCGCGCGCTGAGAAATCAAACGGAATATTGACCTGTGACTATTCGAAGCTGCCAGTGTCTTTGGAATTAGCTGACTGTTGGACACAAAGGTAGGATGCCTGATTCAGTAGGGCTGCCAGCCACGAGCTATGATTATCGACGTCGGAGGACAGCAAGAATGGGGCCCTTTTACACCGGGGGCTGCGGCGACCTGAGAGGTCTCGCTCTCCGAATGCCTTGGCGCTGCGTCAAGAAAGACAACATTCGCCCCTTTCCGACCGCACTTTGATCGTTTTTCTCCTCTGTAGTCGATGAGCCGTTCTCCCTCGCCCGACCAGGAGGCACGATGCTCAGGCCGCCGGGTTTTCGACCTCGGACGGATCCGATGCTCCCCTTCCGCGGTGACCTCTCGCTGGCAATGGTGTTCCGCCTCAGAAGATTGAGCATAGCCTTGAAGCCGAGCTCAAGCTCTCGTGCGTTGATCAGAGCGATGATAACGATGAGAAGCGTGACGGCGGCAACGGCGATGGCGCCGACAACGGGCAGCCATTGAGGCGTGCCGTCGCTCATGCTGAAGATGGAGATGGCGAAGCCGAGCGGCAGGAAGAAAGCGGTGATGTAGGTGAAGAGGCGGATGTCTTCGGCACCGCGCAGGTTGAGGTCGTCGCGAACGCGGTCCAGGCGGTCGGTGAGCGACTGCCCAAACGAACGGATGCGGGCCCGACATCGCTCGAGCTCCTGCACCCGCCGCTCGTTCGACACTTCCAGCTTCGTCACTGCCGACCGATACTTGCGCTCGTCGTTGCGCGTCCACCGTGGCCTTTCCGGGCCCCGGTCCTTGTCCCGTCGCTGCCAGCTCGAAATCTTCTCGAGATTCTCGCTCAGATCCTCCTCCAGCACTTGCAGAATCCGCTCCAGCATCGCCCACTCCTCTCGGAAAGACAGGTACGCATCGCTGTCGATCCTGAACAACGAGATCGAGTCCGTGAGAGCGTCTGACAGCGTATCCGAACGCGCCTTCAAGACGGCCATGTCGCTGCCTCTGCGCACCCCGAGATCCTGCTGCACCTTCCATTTCGCCGCTTCCAGCACCTCGTTCGCGCTCTGCGTCATATCGCCTACCATCTTATCGAACAGGAGGAGCTCGAGCACCTTCCGCTGCCTCCACAGAGGCTTGTCCCGATCGGCTTTGGGCAACCGCTTGTCGAAAATGATGTCGTGTATCCGTGTCTCGAGCTCCTTCTCACTCAAGGAATCGTCTCCTGGCCTGCGTTCCAGGAAGTGACATGTCCAGTATCGGTCGAAGAAGTCACCGTTGAATCGGAAGCCCACAGCCGCGCGGTCGATCTTCCTACCCTTGCCCGGAAACCCGTCGACTTCCAGGGGCGACATCCGCTCGTCTACCTCCAGTTTGCTGGGGGCTCTGTCTACAAGCTGGTAATACGACAGGTGGAATTCGGTTTCCCATATGTTCAACACCGATGCCACGTCATCCAAGAGGTACTTCTCGGCCTTGGAGTGCCTGTCGAAGAAGGACGACAGATTCGGCTTTTCGGCACCAGCCGCCGCCAAGCAGCAGAGTATAGTCGACCCGTGGTCGACACGGGGCAGCCAAACGAGCCGCTTCTTCGCCGAGTCAGCCGTTCTTACCCTGTCGAGCGCTTCCCTCAATTGGGAGATGTGCAGCATGCGGATATTGCGGCCAGGGGCTCCAAGCTCATGGTGAGTATGGTGATGGTAAATGTGCTGCTCTGACTGCGCCTGATGCATAAAGCCGCACCTCGCCACATCTAACACGGTGCCTCTGACGCCGTCTTCGTCGAAGAATATTCCGTTGCGCTCGTGGCAGCTCCGTACAGCCTCCCACGTCTCGCTTCCCATCTCGCAGAGCCACCGGGCCACATCGTATTGAACCCGATCCTCGATGCGAATATCGTCCCACATATTGCTGTCTGGGGAGAGGGAGCGGAGGCGGTCATAGAAGTTGAAATTTTGGTTGATTTCGTAGGGTTGGAAGCGGCTCAACTGTGGATCAAAATCAAGGAAGGCCGGATAGTTGTACAACCACTCGTCGGCGGGCTCGATTATGTTTTGGTGATCGAAGAGATCGTTGAAGGGCACCGTCTTCTTCATGATCAGGCCATGTCTTTTTCCACCACTAAATGCGGTGGTGTTGTGCCCGACCAAATCCTCGGGCTCCGGTATCGTTTCGAATACGAGTGGCTCGATGTGAGTACTGATGACGGTCCTCTTCGGATGTTGGGCGAGTGCTTGCACTCGGCTCTTCCCGTACTTCAGCAGCACGTATGGGATCTCGAAAGCGGCGTGCCAGTAAAAATCCCACGTTCGTTTCTCCTGTACCATGTCCGGCTCCTTGGTAACCTCGTCGAGCTGGCCTGCGAACAGCCCACTTGGTGAGGAGCTTCGAAGCAAAACCGCTGTTGCCACGTCGCACATGTTCTCCGCCGATCGCTGGTTATTGATCGCATGCCCCTTCTTACCCATGACGATGGCCAGCGCGTACCGCAGTGGGTTATCCCACCCAGCGTCTTCGTTTTCCTCGTGGTGGCGCTGGGACTCGATGGTGCGCTCCCACGCTACGATCTGGTTCTGCCCTCTCGAGTTGTCCGCCGCTGCCACCTCGAAGAAGGCCGAGTTCATGTCGTGGAATAGGGCTGTGTCGCGGGAGAAGAATAGAAAGCGGCTCTCCCCGGCCGAACGCGACACGGCGAGCATGCGCTGATTCATCAGGACGGGGTTGTCCGTCGTGAATCTACGAAGCATGTGGCGCTGCGCCTCCCCAGAAGAGAAATCCCTCGAGGGTTGCTGATGTTTTCCATCCTCGCTCTCCTTTCTCTCAATTCGCCGCCCCGGAATGCTTCGCGTAGTTCTCTTTCTCCTGGCCTTGACCGTCTGGGGCTTCAATTGCATACCGAAGCCCAGATCTTCGATGCATCTCAGGGCCTTCCATATCCAGACATGGTCATCCAGGCGGTACTCCCCCGTGAAGGCGCTGGTTGGCCGAGCGAATGCGAAGCACTTCCGTCGATCCAGCCCATCTAGCATCCCAATCCACGGACCAATGCACTTGCGCACATGTTCGCGGAAAGTGTCGTCCTCGAACGTTTTCGTGAACTCAGCCACCTTGATGATCTGGAAAGGAGTGTCGGTCAACAGTCTTGCGCCTAGCTTCGAAGAAGCAGACGACGCCATCGATTCCGAGATGAGCTTTCCAGTGGCCCAGTAGTGCGTTTCGAAGCAGCCGTGCTCTCCCCTTTCGGCCGTTTCGAATACCCATCTCAAGTGGCCTTTGCAGGTAGCTCGTATGCGCCCCATCACTTCAACAACGTACGCTTGCGATCCGACGGAGTGTCCACCAGGCTGACCGAGGGCAGTTTTCAGCTTCTCGTAGACGGTCAACAAGAAGGTGAACGCATAGAAACTAGCGGCTGTGACGATACGATGACCTGAGAAATCTCCGCACGTGAAGGCGACAGCTGGACAGTCATCAGACGACGCCATCGTATCCCCACCAGACACTGGAACACTGCACACGGAAAGCACATGCTCCAGGTTCCTCCTCAAGACGTAATTCTCGTGCTGGCTCGACGAGAGTGAAAGGTGTCCGAACGGGGTCGCGCAGAAGTGCCGATCCATGGCCCACAAGTCGGACGCAGAGACCAGGGACGACCTCCACTGGCCGTTGTTGCGCTCTGCTGCCGAAGTGATCTGCAACCGGTAAGCCAAGGTGATCTCCACCCGGCCCGATATGATGAAATCGGCTTCGGCTTTGTCCCTGTCGGCAATCTTGTACCACTTGTTCTCCACTTCTTCGATCCGCTGCGGCACGCCATTGACGAAGAGCGCCAGAACCAGGCCGGCGGAATCGGACAACCCCTCACGTCCATTGCCATCCAGCTGCTCCGGTCCAGGAAAGAGGTTAGCCGTGGAGCCCTCGGCTGATCTCGAAGACGAGACGCCAGAGTGATCGAGAACGAGGCTGTATCCATGCGGGCCGAGCGACGTCGAATACACCTCAGCAGCCGATGATCCGTACGTCCCTCCTCTCCCCTCGTCCCCCCCACCACCGTCGCCGGGGCCGTCTGCCGCCGTGAAGTCCAGCTGCCGGATCAGCACATCCGTGTCGATCATGACGTTCGGCACCACGACGACGTGCTCGTCCAGCCTCCGCCCCGCCTTCCTCTCAAACACATGCTGCTGGAAAACCGTCCCGTCCCGCACGAAATACTGCACCGAAAGCGTAAACGGCGGCGACGCGCGGCGCGGCGGCTGCTCTCCTGATATTGATCCCGCACGGTCACCATCACCATCACCATCACCATCACCATCGTCGTCGTCGTCGTCGTCGTCGTCGTCGTCACAAAACACAAACCGCGGCCACCGGTCCCGCACAGACTCGACGCGCGGCTTGCGCCCGTCCAGCGCGCGCACCACGTCCGACTCGTCCTCCATGTACAGCCCGCACAGCGTGGCGGCCGGGTTCGTCGCCAGGTCCGCCAGCGCCTGCGCGCGCTCCTGCACCAGCGGCGGCGGCGGCGTGCCGGGCAGGTCGAGGGAGAGGAAGCCGGAGCGGCCGCCGCCGCCGTGGATGTCGCCGCCGCCGCCTAGGTAGCGAGAGAGCTGGATGAGGTTGCCGTAGACGTTGACGGTTGCGGTTGTGCCGGTGCCGTCGCCGAAGGAGGTGTAGGCGTCGGTGTGGGGCTGGTGCTGTTGTTGTTGTTGTTGGTGTTGCTGGTGGTGGTGGTGGTGGTGGTGGTGGTGGTGGTGGTGGGGTCTGTGACTTTTGGGGCGGAGACTCTTTCGGATTCCGGGAAGGGGTATTTGGGGGACTGATGCTCGGGCAGTCCTGGAGTCGGGTTGTCGGCTGACTGGTGAAGCTGCGGGTACGAGGGTCTCGTCTTTTTATACCCACCGAATAGGTAAGACTTGAATTCCTCGCTGCCTTCGTCCGGGAGCGCATCGAACGTGGTGGCTGGAACCGAGCGGCGATCCTCGCCTGAAGACATGGACCGAAGGCGTGGCGAATGTCCTGAGCTCATGGAAAGGGATGGAGACGACACGCCCGGTGAGTTGGGGCCGCTGATTGCGCTCCCGGGCGGCAGAGCCGCGACCATGGATATGCTTGGGAACATCACGTTTGCTCTGGCTTATTGCGAATGAAGCTCTTTGCGGTACGGCACGCGTAATAGAGGGTCAGGCTTCCAGGCGCCTTTATGTGAGTGGGGTTGGATGAGTTCCCGGCACTGTTCCGCAGAGCCTCATCTCCTATGGCTTGCGGATACCCTCGGCATCGGTGATGGTTCCTCTTTTCTGGGAGGGCTAGGTAATTGGTGGAGGTTCTTGCTGCAGGACGGGGAAGAAAGCAGTATCTCCAGACGAAAGGCTGGCCCAGCCCCACTAATTGATCAACGTGTTCACCGTAAGATCGAATCTCAAGCAGCAGCCGAGAATACCAAGCTCCAGCATCGATCTCCCGACTCTTCATCATAAAGAGATGCAGAGCCCATACTAGTGGAGCAAATTCCCACGCAAACCTTGCCCTCAGCTTGACCGGTACCGCCGAAGTCCCGGATGTTGGCATTGGTCGCACTGTGTACGGAAGCAGCTCCCTATCGGACCATGCAAGAACAGGCATCAGCTCCGCTGGGCTACCGAGAAAACGGAAAGCTGGTACTTGACAGACATGTCGTGATTCGACGAGCGACGAAAAAGATCTGGGACCCGGCGATCTTCAACGGCTAGCCCGAGAGCAATGACACGTCCCTCAACCCCCACTCTTTTTTCCCCCACTGTTTGCGCTGGCCTCCCCCAAATCTGTCAACGCCGTAGCACAAGGCTTCAGCAAAAAGCAATTAAAAATTCTCTTTCAAACCGCGGATCTTTCCAAACATGCGCCATTGAGGGTCGGAGGAGGACGACATCGATCGAATCGACAAGTCCATCATGGAACTCGGCCTGAAGTTGTCGGAACAAATCCCGAGAGCAAACCAACAAAAACAGCATGTCTGATGAGCGAGGCTCCCGACGAACCTGATAGCGCGGCAAAAATAAACAATAGAAGAAAGGAAAAGGTCCGGCCCGCTCGGCACGGCACGGAATGACGCGAGAAAGATGAAGATGAGATAGCCGCGTGCAACGTGGATGGAAAAATTGGAACCCGGTCCCGTTTAACTGGGGAGCAACGCAACCCCCGGCCATGTCCCAAGGCCGCGCGCAGCAGAGGCCAGCAAACGCACACGAGGGATACGGGAAAGTCCGCCGGCTGATCGGATTGCAAGACTACCGTCAAGCTTGCTTGCATCTGATAAAGTAAGATGGTCACATGGGGAGGGATTGAACACTTTGCTTTTGTTTGAACTCATGACACTGATTCACTTTCGATATTTGCAACAAGTTGCTCCGAGTATCCCGCCAGCCCCTCAAGTATATACAGAGAAGAATTGCCTGACCATAATATTCACAGGGCGAAAGAAAAAAAGAGAAGAAGGGGGGAAATTCATCAGAGGGCGCCGATGGCGGCGATGCCGGCCCTGGCCTTGCCGGAGCCGTCGACGAGCAGGTTGTCCGGGCAGCTGGAGCCGAGGGCGCCGTTGCCGATCCAGCCGGGCTCCCAGTAGTAGAGGCCGACGCCGCCGGAGACGGCCTTGACGATGGCGCCGACGTCCTTGATCCAGGTGGCCTGGCCGGCGGCCGACTTGGGCACGTAGCTGGTGTCGGAGGGGAAGGCGTAGGCCGGGTTGGGGCAGCTGGCGGGCCAGTTGGTCTCGGCGACGACGAGCTGCTTGCCGTACTTTGCCGCGAGCTGCTGCAGCGAGTACTTGAGCGAGCCGAGGTAGGCGTCGGCGTTGTAGAAGGGGTAGTACGACACGCCCATCATGTCGAAGTCGGAGGCGAGCAGCGGGCCCTGGCCCAGGATCTCGCCGTACCACCACAGCTGCGTGGCCGAGTCCCAGCCGTTGTCGAGGTGGATCATGATCTTGGGCTTGGGCGACAGGTTGCTGTCCTTGATGCCCCACGCCGCCGAGTGCAGCAGCGCGGCGATGTTGTAGTAGGACGAGGTGCCGCCGAGCGGCCACAGCAGCCCCGCGCGGATCTCGTTGCCGATGGAGATGATGGACGGCGCGATGCCGGCGCTGGCGTACGAGTTGGACACGGACTTGGTGTACTCGTAGACCTGGTTGGTCAGGGTGCCGATGGTGGAGTCGTCCCATGCGCCGGGGGTGGTCTGGGAGGAAGTGAGTGTCAGATCGGTGCTGCTTGTTTACCACTACTACTACTGCCCCTCTTTTTTTAAGAAGAATAAAAAAAACTCACCTGGTGCGAGGGGTCGGCCCAAGTGTCGGACAGGTGCAGGTCCAGGTAGACGCCCATGCCGGCGGCCTTGACGCGCTTGGACAGCTTGAGGTTGTAGTCCAGGTTGTAGTTGCCATCGGACGGGTTGACCCAGATGCGCTGGCGCACCGAGTTGACGCCCGAGGCGGCGAGGATCTTCTCGAAGGCGGTGGTCACGCCGGCGGTGGTCTTGTACGTCTGGCCCTTGGCCTCGAGCATGGGCAGCGACGAGATGTCCACGCCCTTGTAGGCGATGGTGTCTCCGAGCACCGCGCAGGGCGCAAGGATCAGCAGGGAGAAGACGGCCGCCGCGGAGAACATGACTGCTGTGGGCGGAGAGGGGAGTGAATGGAACGAAAGAAGCCAGAGGGAACCAGGGATCAGCGCCAGATATAACGCATCATGCTGGCGGGAGGTCCGGGACGGAGCTGGAGACCAGCATACATGGCTTCAGTCCTTCGTCGTCCTCGGCAGTCTTCAGCTCAAAGGGCTTGTTTCACACTTTCTCCACCAATTGCGCCTTGAAACACACTCCCACATGACCTCTCGTTTTGCTGCAAGCGATGAGGGCGCGGAGCCATGGCCAGAATACCCGGCCGTGTTTCCGTCGGGGCAGCGAGCCGTATGCAGGTTAAAATCAAAGGAACGATTGCCGGATGTGGCAGCTTGTCGGGCCGTGCGGGGGCGTCGGGTTGATGCAAGCCGTCTCAGAGCTGATCGCTTACAGCCCCGATCGGGCAAACCCCCTGAGCTCCGTCTCCGCCGGGCCTTTTTTCTTCTCTGCTCGCTTCCCCGATCGTTCGAAAGGAGCCATTGGAGCGCCGCTGAGCCTCGGTTGCGCCCTGCGAGCCTCCTGTGGCGTCGGAATCTGTTGATCAAGGACGGATGCATGAATGCGGCATATTGCCGACAAATAAACATGCATACATCCGCACCTAAGCTTTTTGCCTGGCCGGCATACGGCCCATGGGCTGCTGGTGGACGCACTGATTGGTGGGTATTGGCCATATTGGGTCTGGGATTGCCCCGGCAACCTCATCAACAACCGGTAGTCGTCAATCTATGTATATCTACTACATGCTACCGTAACTCGTAATTCATAATCACATACCACTCAGGCCTAGCAGGGTATCAGAAAAAGGAAAAAGTCTTCAACCGCACCTCCTTCTCACGCGTGCGTGCCTCGGCTCAACGCTCAACCCCCGACGCCCAGCCTTCACCCGGGGCGGCAGAGCTGATCACGACTGCCCTAGGCTCCACCCTCTTCGACGATGCGCTTGGTCGTCGCGGCGGCCTTGCCCGACTCGGCGGCGGCCTCTTCGACGACGATGCCCAGCTCGGCGGCGATGGCGAACAGGCGGGCCTTTTCCTCGTGGGCGGCGGCGTCGCCGAAGACGACGTCCATGTCCTCGAGGCTGCGGCCCTTTGTCTCGGGCACGCAGAAGAAGGTGAAGGCGAGGGCGAGGGCGGCGAAGGCGGCGAAGAAGACGTAGGTGCCGTAGCCGAGCACGTCGAGCATGCCGGGCGTGACGAGGCCGACGACGAAGTTGCACATCCACGTGGCCGACGTCGTGACGGACATGGCCTTGGACCGGCTGCCGAGCGGGAAGATCTCGGCGGGCAGCACCCAGCCGATGGGGCCGAACGAGTAGGAGAAGTTGACGTCGTACATGTAGACGAAGGCGATGCCCGTCCACCCCGCCGCCGGGTGCGCCGCCAGCGACGACCCGTACCCGCCCACGATGCCCGCCACGACGACGAGCGACACGCACGTCCCGAACGCCCCGCTCATGAGCAGCGGCCGCCGCCCCACCCGGTCGATGAGGAAGAGCGCCGGCAGCGTCGAGAGCGTGTTGACGACGCCGTAGACGCCCGTCGCGAGGAGCGACGTCGTCTTGCTCGACAGCCCGAGCTGCGCGAAGATGGTCGGAGCGTAGTAGATGATGGCGTTGCAGCCGATTGCCTGCTGAAAGAACATGACGCAGCAGCCGACTGCGAGGCGCTTGAAAGACGGCCAGCTGGCGACCAGGGCGGCGTACTGGGCCAGGTAGAGTGACAGGCCCGACTTGCCCGGGTGGTTGTCCCGCGCGTACGACTGTTCGAAGAGGACCTCGGCCTTGATGGCCAGGTACTCGCGGCACAGCGAGTCCGAGTCGATGTGGGCGCGGCGGATGCGGGCGAGGGCCGACAGCGCGCCGTCTTCGTCGTCGCGCATGAGGCAGTAGCGGGGCGATTCGGGGTAGAACAGCATGCCCAGCCCGAGCACCACGGCGGGCACGATCTGCAGCGCCAGCGGGAGCCGCCACGATGCGTCGCTCTGGCCGGTGCAGCCGCCTGGGCCGACGTCCGCGACCGGGTCGAACTCGGGTGCGGCGGCGGAGCCTGCGGTGTAGGCTATGGCCGGGTCACAGCGCGCGCCTCCGATGAACTGCGTGCCGTACTCCAGCCAGTAGCTGATCAGGATGCCCAGGGTGATGCTGAGTTGCTGCAACACGACCAGGGTGCCGCGCACGGCCGGGGTCGACACTTCGGACATGTACATGGGCACAATCATGGTGAGCATGCCGACGGCGAGGCCGGCAATGGCGCGGCCTGCAAAGATCATGGCGAGCGAGTCGGCGCCGGCCTGCAGGGCGGAGCCCAGGGTGAAGATGACGACGGCGACGAGCATGGAGCCCTTGCGGCCCACGCCGTCGGCGACGGGGCCGTTGACGAGCGAGCCGAGCCAGGCGAACAGCAGCAGCGTCGACACGAACCAGCCCTTGAAGCTGGTGTCCAGGTAGATGCGCGGGAACTTGGCCGCGAACGACTCCATGGTCAGCACCCCCGACACGACGCCCTGGTCGTACCCGAAGAGAAAGCCGCCCAGCGACGCGAACTGGAACGTCAGTCAAGAGGCGGCATCGGCGGTGGCTGGCTGGCGCTTACCGATGCCAATCCCAGGATGTACGGGTTCTCGCGCAGCTGGCGCCAGACGCTCTTGTCAGGCGCGGCGGCGAAGAGCTCGTCGCTGGCACCATCTCGGTGATGCATGATGCAGATGCAGGTATGCGGGGATTGTTGTCTCGCGCAGCGTGTGGCGGCATCTGGCTTATGTATGCCGTGTGGGGAGACGGCCTCACCACTCCCGTGACCATGTTGTTTGCGGGGAATGACGCTGGTGTTGTGGGGCGTGGGGCCCCGGGTGGGATGCTGCCAACCTCGCCCGGCCAATCACGCTCCCCCACACCTGACCCGGTCACATCACCGGTGAATACGGCCGTTGCGGCCACGGCTTCTAGCGCCCGTTGCTCGTGACCCTTTGCCTTGCTCGCCGGTGAAAGCCTTGGATCGGAAATGACCTCCATGCTCCGTCTGTGGGTCGGTGCATGACTTGAGAAGCTTACCTGCCATCTGTTTTTCCTTTACACTGCACCAGCCCATGCTCGTCGCGACAGCAACGATTGATACACCATGTCGGGCCAAGGTGGTGCTGGCGACGAGGTATGAACGTCCGAAACTTTTACGATAATAGTTACAGTATCAAAACAAAAGCCAGACTTTCCGAGCTTCTCCTCCTTCGAGCATGCTTTTCCACTGTCGAACATTTCTCACCAATTTGTCCCAACAAGTGACACACCAAGTTACCGCCAGACTCGAGTAAAATGGGCGCTTAAAATACATACACCTTTACCACACTTTTGCCCTAGTCGGCATTGACAGCAAATACTAGGAAGGGTTTGGGCGTTTGCTGGCGGAGCGTGGACGGCCCGCACAATCACTACAGTACAGCTATTGTTGCTCCTTTCAGAGATTCCAAGCCGTAGATAAGTCATTCCCTTAGTCGCTTCACGGCCCTGTAATGGCCATATCTTGTCTTTTTCTCTACAAATGCATGTACGTTCTATCTGATGAGGAGGAAGTTAATACTGGCAGTCTTCCTGGTATCTTTTCTCCAAAATGTGCAGAAGCAGCTTGACTAGCCGCATGGGGTTTCCCAACATTATTATCGGCCCAGTGACTAAAAGACATCACAAGACAAGAGACCCAAAACGCAAGCCTGGTCTATAACCCAACCGTCACCGCCCATCACTCACCAGCCTCATTCGCTCCTCCTCCCCTCCCACCTCGGCAACCCCTCCCAGTACCGGCCCTCCTCCCCCCTATCCCTCCCCTCCTCCCTCCCCACTGCCATCTCCTCCCCCTCCTCCCCCTCCTCTTTCTCCGTCCTCCCCCCCACCCCCATCGCCTCCATCATCCTGCCCTCCACCCCCGCCGCCCAACCAGCCACCCTCCTTCCAACAACCCTCTCAAACAACCCCGCCGCCACCCACGCCACCCCCCACGCCGCCGCACTGCCCACCCCCGCCCCGACCGCCCACCTCCACCACCACCACCGCCACCGCTCCTCATCGCCCCCGAAAGCATCTTTCTCGACCGCAACGGCGCCAGTTCCACCACGGACGTCGACATCAACAACACCCAGCGCTCGCCACGCCCTCGCCGCGACGCCGAACCCGACGACGTGCAGCACGGGCCCGTGCACGAGGTAGAGGGGGTAGCTGCGGGCCGCGGCCGACCGGACCAATCTGTTGGCAGCGGCGGCGGCGACGACGGTGGCGGTGGCGGCGGTGCGGGAGAGGACGATGGCGGCGGCGACGAGGAGGACGGCGCCGAGGCCGTGGAGGAAGCGTTTGGGGTCGGTGATGGTGCGGGGCACGAGGGCGGCGGCGAGGAAGGGGTAGCCCGAGGGTGGGGGGTTGTGGCGGATGCGGAGGTTGGGGGTGGAGAGGAGGTAGAGGGATGGGAGGAGGAGGAGGAAGGTGGTGGCGGCGAGGGTGGTGGTGGTGGTGGTGGTGGTGGGGTGTTTGCGTTGGGTGGGAATTAAAGACATTTCGAGGTCGGCGAGCAGGGCGCCGGCGAGGAAGAGGGCGCATTCCCAGCGGTCGAGGCGGCAGCAGAGGACCATGGCGGCGAGGACGAGGGCCATGCGGAGGGCGGGGCGGCGGCAGCGGGAGAGGGCGAGGAGGGTGGCGGCGACGGCGAGGGTGGAGCGCATCTCGAAGGGGAGGTACCAGAGGTGCGGGTCGTAGGGGTTGTAGTAGGGGAGCACGAAGCCGTCGTTGTAGTAGCTAAAGATGCGGGCGAGGCCGGCGGTGGCCCCGAGCCAGCGGCTGAGCTCGGCGGGCAGGGTTGGCGCGCGCGGCGGGTGCTTGTCTGGGTAGTTGAAGAGGCGCGGGTTCGCGATGAAGCGGCGCGGATACTCCCACAGGCCGAAGTGGAGGGTGAGCATGGAGACGAAGGTCATGACGGCTGCGGGCAGGTAGAGGCGCACCGCCTTGCGGAAGACGAAGCCGGCGAGATGGACATGCATCTTCTTCACGTCGCGCGAGCGGATGCGGCGGAGCGGCCGCAGCGCCATCACGTAGCCGCCGACGACGAAGAAGACGGGCACCATGGCGTGGCCGGCATGGAAAAGCCGAACAAACGGCAATTGGATGAAATGCCGATTCTTCGCGCCATCGCCGTAGCCGTACTCGACGAGGCCGCAATAAGCCCACAGCGTGTGGAAGGAGAATACAACCAGGGCAGCGATGCCGCGGAGACCGTCCAGATAGGCGGTGGATGGAGGCTTTCCCTGTTCATGCATTGGCGAACGCGGACGAGCTGGCTGGATATCTCGGTGGGGTACAAGCAGCTGCCATGGCGCTCATCGGGTCATGACGATGTCGGAGATGTTGTTGGGAAAAAAGTTCGGGCGGCGGGAGCTAAGCAGATAAAAGGTGGCCTGCTAGCCGTCATTAATAACACTCGTCGATCTGCGCAGATCAGGCCCTCTGCGTGGCGTTACGAATAAGAAGCTGCCCACTGACCAAAACAGCAGGAGCTACGCAAGTGGTGTCCAAGGCCATCGTATTGCTTATGCACCGCCAACCCCATTTTACTTTATCTCGTCGATGAGTTTGAATTACTGCACCGAGCATCGAACAAGGCTCTGCCGACTCCTGTCGTCCATTTTCAATAAGCGGATCGGACTGGAGTATCGCAAGGGATGGTGTACGAAGAGCTCGAGAGTGTTGCGCTGCCGACAAGCGATTAGCACAGAAGACTCTCTTTCCCGATAGAAGGTTCCGTCTTCCATACCGCATCACGCTCTTTCCTAAGAATCATGCTTTGAGGTGGGTCCGTCAAAAGAACGAAGGAGACAAGGAGAGACACAAGGCGAGGGTGGTGTGTGTAACTTTCAAACTCCGGACACGTGGCCAGGAGAAGAGCGTTACTGTGCCGGTACGGTCGCCTCGGGCGAGAGCTGACGTATGAACTGAGGGCAAATATGTCGTGTGAGCTGGTGAGAGGGGTGAATGGTCAGCATAGCTAGATCCCTTCAAGGTAACCACCAAACCTCAGCCTTGCAGGGCGAAACCAGCCCAGTCCCTTACTCATAACGCGTCAGTAACACAAGCCCATACACATTCCACTCGCAGCAACAGGGCGGAGGGTGAAAATATACGAATTCTTCTCCAACGTCTGTATTGTATTCGAAACCGTCTGCTCAGTGCCACGCCATTGCCACCAGCAAATGCATGCCGCAACACCTGCGCTGTGTTTGACCCAACCCCACGAAACAATGGGCGAGCGAGCCGCAGAAACGCCGACTGATGTACGAGGTAGAGAAGAAGAATGCAAATGCAATGACTCGTGCCAATAAGAAACTCCAAACGCGAACACCAGTCCCTCCTTTTCCTGTAAACCCCAATGTGCCCTTATCAATCTGAAACCAAAGGTAGGTGAAAACGCCTCCGAGTGACACACGCCACGTCTAGTGGCCAGCCTGGCTACCCGTCTCGCTCTCAAAGTCGCTGCCGACATCGGTCCAGCTGTTGGGCGTGCGGGTGCCAACGTCGGAAAAGCTGTCTTCACTGAAGCGGTCATCCTCCTCGAAGCCAGCATTGTTGTCGAATGGATTGGTGTTGGCGTCGCCCTCTCCGGCAGAGGACAGGCTCTGCTGCAGACTAGATAGAATAGCGATGTCATCGGCCCCATGGCCCACGAGGGAGGCATCGGTCGAGAAGTTGTCCTCGGTAGGCGTCAAAGTACCGGTGCTTTCAACCATTTCGTCATCATCCATATCAGCGTCGTTGCCGGCATCGGCCGCAGGACCCGACATGGTGGAGTAGAACGAGGCTGTGGCGTCCTCAGCCTCGGCGGGCGGGGCAAGCTGTGACTGCTGGAACGGAGCGGAGAAGGGTTCGAAAAGATCAACCAGTTGCGGTGCGGGCTCGGCTTCGACGGTGGCGGTACTCTCGCGAGATGGGGTGGTGAAGTCGTGGGGCACGGGCGCTTCCTCGTCATTGTCTCCATCGACCGAGTTATCCTCGGCACCGATCAGGTCGCGGTCGAACAGAACAGAACACTCGTCGGCGAAGGGATCAGCATAGGAAGAGCCGGTCGCAAATCCACGAGCACCGGAGCCGCGGCTCCTCAAGCCTTGCGCCGCGCTACTGTCTACGGCGGTGGCGGCGGCGGCGGCGGCGGGCTTCTCGTTCAGCGTGGCGCCCGATACTGACTCGCGGAGCACGCCGTGCTCGTTGACCATGTCGTCGAAGCTCTGGCCTCGCGGCCGGTTGTGTTTCTCGTCGTACTCATCTCCGATGCGAGCGAGCTCGTCCAAGTCGACCGCCACGCCTTCTTCCCGGGCTCGTCGTACGAGGTCGTTCCTGTTGCGTCGGATGATGGATTCGCGGCGTCGGCGCTGCTCGTCGGCTTCGTGGGCGTTCCGGTTGTTGCGGGAGGGCGAGGGGTTGATTTCGTCGCCGAGGCTATGCAGGGCGATGGCGATTTTGCGGCGTCTGGCATCAATCCACCGCTGGACCTGCGGGTTCTGGTAGACGGCAATGCCGGCGGCTACGATGATCGACGCCGCAATGAAGGCGCCTGAGAGGGTGCGGTTAGGGAGCGCCATGATCATGGAGGGATGAGGAGAACGAGAGAAGGGGTTTTTGGAGCGGAGGAGAGAGCGTGGGAAGGGACACGCGGTGGATCAGGCGTGCGCACAGAAGGTGTTGCCTGAGGGTGGCGGCGCCGATCTTACCTTTGGCTAGTGGAGCTGGCATGGTGGGGTGGCGGTGAATGCGTGATACGGGGAGGCCTCCGAGTGCGGATGTTTCAGAGAGAAGAGGCCAGGAACCGGATAAAACGACGAAGAAGCCAGGTCGGGCTTCGAGGGGAGTCGAAGGAGTCGCTGCCGTCACCGTTCCCGGCCGGGAGCAGCTTGGTTATCGGTAGCGCTCGAGCCGCCGCGCACCGCCACATCAAAAGGACGCCCACTGCGGGGAACGCCCGCGCCCGCTTGGCGCGCTAACAGGGAAGCCCTTGCCGCATGGCAGCATGCAGAAGTCGATCGGCGCCTGTGAGACGCAGCAAACATGTACATTTTGGACCGCTACGAAGCACGAAATCATTTACAGTTGCTCGTTGACAAAAAGACCAGCCATACCCATACCCGTCCCGATGCACATGCTCGTCAGGAGAATCTTCTTCTTCTGCCGCCGGCACTCGCTAAGACCCGTGACAATCTGTCTCGCGCCCGTGCAGCCCAGCGGGTGGCCGAGGGCGATGGCGCCGCCCCGGATGTTGAGCTTCTCGTGCGGGATCTTCAACGTGTCCTTGCAGTAAACCGCCATGGAAGCGAATGCCTCGTTGATCTCAACAACGTCGACGTCGTCGATGCTAATGTTGAGCTGGGTCAGCAGCTTAGGGATGGCGATCGACGGGCCAATACCCATGATGCGGGGCGCAAGCCCTGCAACCGTCGCGGCGACGTATTTGCCGAGGATGGGTTGGCCGAGCTGCTCGGCCCTGGAGCGCTTCATCAGCAGCACAGCGGCGGCGCCATCAGTGACTTGGCTGGAGTTGCCGGCGTGGCTGCGGTCGCCGTGGGGCAGGAAGGCCGGCTTGATCTTCTGGAGCGACTCGAACGTGGTGCCGTAGCGGGGTCCCTCGTCCTTGGAGAGCGTGACCTTCTTCTCCTCGCCCGTGTTGGGATCCTTGACCGTGACGCTGATTGGGGCGATTTCGTCATCGAACCAGCCCGCCTTCTGCGCAACTTCGGCCCTCCGGTACGACTCGGCAGCGAAGCGGTCCTGCTCCTCGCGCGAGATGTTGAAGTCCTTGCCGACATTCTCCGACGTCTGGCCCATGGGCTGCATGCAATCCGAAGCCTCCTGGTTCTTCAGCACCTCGCCCCAGAACGGACGCTCGAGGCGGTCACCACCCATTGTCATCGACTCCACACCCATGCCGACGCCAACCTCGATGTTGCCGGCGGAAATCGCGTTGGCAATGTCCTGCACAGCCTTCAATCCGGAGCTGCAGAAGCGGTTGACCGAAGAGCCAGCGGTCGTGTTAGGGAAGCCAGCAGCGAGCATGGCAGCGCGAATGTAGTAGGCAGCCTTGGCGTCGCTGACCTGGGAGAGGGAGTGTCAGCAGCAGCAGTCAAGGGGTCAAGGGTTCGAGTTGGAGGCGTACATTTCCCACGCAGATGTCCTCGACCAGAGCAGGATCCAGCTTCGACTTGGCGACGACCTGCTCCAGGATCTTGAGCATAATGCCCTCCAGGGGAGTGTCCTTCAGGCCGCCCTTCTTGCCCTTGGTCAGCGGGGTGCGGATGGCGAGGGTGATGACCACATCGTCAGGGTTCTTCTGGGTGCTGGTCGAGCGGATCAGCAAACGCGGGGTTGGCGGGAGGTCAGCACACAAACATGTGGGCGATGCCGGTCTTGGCGGGCGAGATGTGCGAGACGATGGACTTGAGTCTTTCGGTGGCCATGGTGAAGTGGTTTGGGGTTGACGGCGTGGAGAAAGCGGAGACGAAGGAGCAGCTTTAACGGGGCGGGACGGTGGTTCCTGGGGCAGCAGCTGGGCCGAGGCTGTCGATCGACCTCGGGGCTGCCGGCAGTTTCAGCACTTGCCGGTGCAGCCCTCGCCCGCCAATGCAGCTGCTACCATGGCCATCCTCACGGCCAAGCGCAAATGATGAATCGGACGGCGGGGAATGCGATGCGGTGCTCAACGGTCGGGCCGAAGCATGACACCGACCTCTTTCGGCAGTGGACGCATGCTGCCATTCGACCCGGCTAGCACGAAACAGACGTGTAGCGCAACCAATCATTGTCGAGCTCTGGCACGCAGCAAGAGGAGGGAGTCGGTTAAGAACTCGACAACGGAATGCGAGGCGAAAGATGTCTCTCTGGCGCCATTGCTCCCGTGCTTGCGACGCAGTGTACACGACGAGCCGTCTTCATTGGCCCAGAAAACGAAGACAGTTTGCAGTAGAGTACAGGCCTGCATGCTTTTCAGCTCTTGTGGAAGAAAACATGGTACTTCACGCTATTTGTGGTTGGTGGTACCTGTAAGTGGCCTTGTCACATGCTAATAATGGCCTGTCTAGTCAAAACCGTTGGGTAAGCTGGCCGCGCTGTGTCGGCACTGCCCACAACCACAGTACATGGTAGTACCTAGTTGAGGGAACACCAGAACAAAGTAGATGCAAATGCGGAGTGGGCGGTGATGAGGATGGACTATATATGCGCACTGCGGATGGACTGTGCGCAACGTCACGCGTATCATCGGTATCGTACTGTATAACCACCTTCTTTTCCTCGACGCTCCTCTCCAGCATCTCTGCAGACGGCCACGATGTCTCACCCCCACCAGACCATCAGCTTGTGGTCCAGTAGTTGCGGCCATGGCCGGGCGTTGGCGCCATAATCCCCGTTCCTGCGACGGCAATGAAGACACGGAGACGGAACCCCCGGGTGCGCCTGGCATCTAGGTAGTGGGGTTGAAGCACGCGGTTTCCTCAATAGCTGACCCGTTGTCGGCTGGCCGGTGTTGAAGAAATGGGCAGGCGCGGCTCGCTCTCGGCCGTTTCGCGAGAGCGCGACGGCTGCTTCTCTACTCGGACATGGGCAGGTATAAACGTCATTGCGATTCGCCCCAAGGCCTGTTGCTGATTGCTGCACATCCAAACAGTATACACCCGTCATTCAATACCGCCAGTCCTATCGCAGTGCAAACTAAATCTGCATGCAAGCATACAACATGCCGCAGCTCGAGCACGCAGACGTCGGGCCCGAGGACGACAGGCCTACGCCCTCACCCTCCTCGAAATCCTCCTTGACCGACATCGGCCCCTCTGAAGACATCCCTATCTCACCCGTATTGGACAAAGCTGAGCCCATCCACCCGGTCAACAGTCGACAACCCTCACTTGGCAGTCCCGTCCTCTCCAAAGTCCGCTCAAGACGCCCCATTGCACCCTTCTCACACCCTCGCTCCCACGCTAAAACCGGTCCCGACGTCATTGTTGACTTCGATGGCGACCATGACCCCTACAGACCGCTCAACTGGGGGAACCGAAAGAAGGTTCTCACCACCCTTCTGTATGGCTTGACAACCATGGGCTCCAGTTTTGCCAGCAGTGTCTACAGTCCCGGTATGACACAGGTTGCGAACGAGTTTCACGTCGAGAAGATGGTCGCCGCTCTTGGTACTACGCTGTTTCTATACGGGTTCGGCATCGGTCCGATGCTATGGGCTCCCTTGAGTGAGGTATATGGCCGCAAACCCGCTGTTTTGATCCCCTACTTCATCTCTATCATATTCGCCTTCGGAGCCGGGGCCGCCAACGACATACAAACACTCCTGATCGCTCGTTTCTTCGCCGGCTTTTTTGCCAGCGCCCCGGTAACGAACACTGGAGGTGTCCTCGGAGACATCTGGACCCCTAAGCAACGAGGTGTTGCAGTTGTGGGCTACGCCATGGCTGTTGTTGGTGGCCCGACACTGGGACCCATCGTCGGTGGTGCAGTGGTGCAAGCGAGTCATAATGGTTGGAGGTGGACACAATATGTAAGTCCATGCACCCATGCTGCCCATGCTGCCCATGCTCCTCCTTGCTGATCATTCGACAGCTCACCGGCGTTTTTCAAATGTTCGTCCTTGTCCTTGATATCATCTTCCTTGACGAGTCCTGTCCACCGAAACTGCTTGTCTACAAGGCGCGTCGCCTTAGACACGAGACGGGGAACTGGGCCCTGCATTCCAAGCACGAAGAGTGGGATGTCAGTCTCAAAGAGCTTGCCCGCAAATATCTCGTCAGGCCGTTTCAATTACTGTGCACCCCCATATGCTTCCTGATCGCCCTCTATGCCTCTTTTGTCTACGCAATCGTCTACGCACAACTTGCCGCGTTTCCTATCGTTTTTCAAATAGCCCGCGGCTGGAACCCAGTCGTTGGCGCGCTCCCATTCCTCGCTTGTCTCGTTGGCATCCTCTTCGGCGCCTGCATCAACTTGCTGAACCAAAAATACTACTTCCGCAAGCTGCAACAGAACAAGGGCAAGCCCGTACCGGAAGCGAGACTGCCCCCGATGATGTTCGGCTCCGTCTTCTTCGCCGCCGGCCTCTTCGTTTTCGCGTGGACGGGCGAGGTCAAGACGGTGCACTGGATCGTGCCCGTCATCGGCGCGACACTGGTCGGTATCGGCTTCTTCACCATTTTCCAGGCCGCCCTCAACTATCTCATCGACACCTTCCGCCAGTACGCCGCCTCCGCCGTAGCCGCAAACACGTTTCTGCGTAGCGCTCTCGCCGGTACCCTCCCGCTCATCGTCCACCCCATGCTGCGCAGTCTCGGCATCGGCTGGGGCGTCAGCATCTTCGGTTTCTTCGCCGTTGCATTGATACCAATTCCGTATCTGTTCTTCACTTTTGGCAAGAGGATTAGGGCCAAGGGCAAATTTTCGAAGGCTTCGACATTGTGAGCTGACGGATTGGGATTGGCCTCTTGCGGTGGGTAGAGGGTGTGTTTTGTGCCTTCATTAATACACCTAAACGTACTTCTCGATATCCATAAGCCTTTGTCCGATACTGCGAGATTGTGAGTCTATGCCACGTGCGTAGAAGTCGACGTCATGCCCGCAGTGTTCAAAGTGACTTGTCAAGGGTTGACTGAGCCGGGAAGTTACGCCGAGGTTGTGGCATGACTGCTCATCATAACTCTGCCTCGATCGGCCCCCAAAAGTTGGGTATATTGCTCTGGCCCGAACTCAATCGATACTCACGTCAGGGGCCCCACCTTATTCAGGAACAGGACGGCAGCCATCCAATCCCCCGTTGGGCATTCCGGATCCTTCGGCTCGTGCGCCGGCGCCTAAGCGAAAGGGCCCTGGCAAGGGAAGAACATCGCTCTGCAGGCTTCCCCGGACTCAAAGAAGATCATGATAAGCATAATGTTACGGAGTAAAGTCAACCGAATATTTATCATGTTGGCCATCCTGGTTTCAGCAGCTGTGACAACCTATCATAAGCTTTTGGCACCAGCAAAGGCCCCACTCAAGTCCTGTCACTCTTGATCCGTGCAGGCCGCCTCCCGGCCCGTCGTGCCAGCGGTTGAAACTGGACATTCGACCAATCTGGTCATTCTGTATAGCCGGGCGAATCTTGACTCGTGTTGGCAGACCACATCGTGCGAGATATCCTGCCCCTTTTTCGAATGACAGCAGTGCCCGCCAAAATCAACCATGGCAAAATCGTCATATAAAAGACATTCGAGTGTCCACGACTAGGTGAGATCGAGGGAACAAAGACAAACATCATTCCACAAGCAAACGGCTCTCCTTCAATTCTGTAGCCGTCTTGAAATTTCCCCAAATAATCATGTTCCCACTCAGCTGGACCATCCCGGCCTCCATCCTCCTCGGGGGGGCCACCACCGTCTCGGCCGCCAGCACCGGCGTGACGACGCGGTACTGGGACTGCTGCAAACCGTCCTGCGCCTGGTCCGAGAAAGCGTCCGTCACCAGCCCCGTGGGCACCTGCGACATCAACGACAGCCCAATCACCGATGTCGACGCCAAATCGGCCTGTGACGGCGGGGACGCGTACTACTGCTCCAACCAAAGCCCCTGGTCCATCGACGACACGTTGTCGTACGGATTCGCTGCAGCCAAGCTGTCCGGAAAGTCCGAGTCCGACTGGTGCTGCGGATGCTACAAGTGAGTTCTCTCTCTCTTTTTTCTTCCCTCCCTTCTTTTTCGTCAACTTACTTGTCTTCAACCCCTCCCCCTTCCTTTCCCACCCACCCACCTACCCAGCCACCACCACCACTAACCACCCCCCCACCACCACAGACTGACCTTCACCTCGACCGCCGTCTCGGGCAAGTCCATGATCGTGCAAATCACCAACACGGGCGGCGACCTCGGCGACAACCACTTCGACCTCGCCATGCCGGGCGGCGGCGTCGGCGCCTTCGACGGCTGCTCCAAGCAGTGGTCCGGCGCCGACCTCGGCGACCGCTACGGCGGCTTCTCGTCGGCGGCGCAGTGCGACGCCCTGCCCGCCGCCTTCCAGGCCGGCTGCCGCTGGCGCTTCGACTGGTTCGAGAACGCCGACAACCCGGCCGTCGAGTGGGAGGAGGTCGACTGCCCGGCTGAACTGACGGCCAAGACGGGGTGTCAGAGGACTTGAGCTTGAGAGAGAAGGGAGGGGGGAGAGCCGTAGATGAGGGCGGGTGATGGGGGGGTGGGAGGGGAAAGTGTGGCGAGGGGTTTTGCTTCGTATCGGGCGGCGGCGGGTATGGATTGTATGTACGGGCAGGATATGATTGATGACTGTACTTGATGGGTTGTCAATCTAGGTTTCATGACGTTTGGGTAAAAACGGGGCGTGTGAGCAATGAATGGACCTTGGGCAAGCCGTAGGATGATTTCCACAGCTTCCTACTTGAAGTGCCAGTATCCCAATTCACTTCCCATTTCTGCTTGTATATGATCAAGTTGATCATGAGGCGTATTGATTGATCAGCCTGATGCTTGCGGGATCGAGGCTGTATTCCCGCCATGAAACTATATTCAAGAAGGGGAGGACTCTATGTATGATTACCCAACTAGAATGTTTTTGAACAAATCTGCAAATGACCTACGATATAAACAATTTCGCCCAGCTTCATGTCCCCAATGCTGTCAATGCATGCTCTCATCCGCCAAATCTGTCTGTGCTTCGTTCCTCTAAGATTCCCGAAGGAGAAATAATAAGGGAATCTGTACACTAGTCTTACATCTCGCGTCATCTTGACATATCGCTGTCTATACCATCACACACACACACCTACACACACGCTCAACCTTCTCCAAAAGAAAAGCAAAAGACGAACAAACACGCTATCAATCATCCCTCAAAAACTTCGTCTGTAGATCGTCGTCAATGAGCGGCATAGCCTGCAGCGCAGCCATGGTTCGCGGCGCCGACGACCTCAGCAGCTCCTCGGTGAGCGGCATCCCATCATCATCACCCAACGCCCTTCCACCGCCGACGGCCCGCAAACGCCTGACGTACTTCAGCGCCGCGGCCAAGAAAACCATGGTGCGGTACTGCGGCATGACGACGTTGGGCTTGGTGCGGTTGGGGTTGATGTTCATATACTCCCAGCCACGTGTACGTGTGTAGCGGCGGCGCAGGCCCTGCTCGGAAAAGCGCCACCCGATCCACTGGTCCATGAGGTATTGTTCGCAGAGGCTGAAAGCCAAGCTGATGCGGCCGGTGCGGGCCAGGAGCTGGAGGTACAGGTTCCACGCCAGGTTGTCCAGCGTGTACCCCTGGTCCAGCAGCCCTGAGACGACGCGCTGGGCATCTGCATACCTGCCCTGGAAATGCAAGGCGCGGAGGTAAATGACCAACGGCCGGCTGAGCAAGTGACGACGTGTGGGGGACAAAGGGTTGGCACGCGGATACCTGTGCTCGGGATGTTTGGCTGCTTCGGGAAGAGTCTGCTGCGTCATAACCGCAGCTTTCTCCACGGCGAGATTCCACAATCTTTCCACATCTTCGTAGACCCCTGCCTTGAACTGTGTATTCATGAGGGAGACCAACATTCGCAGTGGGGGCGACATTGCCACGGCCGTGTAATTGGTGTCTGGGTCTCTGAGCTTTTCGCGCTGTTCTCCATACACCTGGTAGAGTTGCTCGACAGTGTCGAAAGCGCCCTTGTCTCCCTGGATGAGCATGACTATGTCAAGGTAAGCTCCAGCCGCCTCGCCCAGGCTTCGGAACCCAAGACCAGTCTGCGGCTCCATGACCCATTCCCACGCGCTCTCTTTGAGCACCATGTCGGTCACGACCTTGTTCGTGCGCGTGAAGTCTGACGCCTGCCTCTTCTTGTATCGGCCAATGTGTTCTGACAAAGCCACAGCCTTCGCAACGGTTATTCGAGTACTCGTACTGGGACGGATGCCCCGCATCTTGCGAAGCCTATCGACCGCGGGCACTTTCTCGTAGCTGCCCTCGTTGATATACCCAGCCATGACAATGGCGTAATGGAGCGCCATGGGCTTCGCCGGTTTCGTCGGGATGACGAGCCGGAGGATCTTGTGTGCTGCGTCTGTGTTGCGAGTCAGACACAAGGCTTGCAGCAGTGCAGCGTACGTCATCTCGTCAGGCGCTGTGTCGTTTGACTGCATATCCTCGTAGATTCGCCGAGTCGAAGCGACGTCACGTCTTAACGCATAGGCGGTTGCAAGAAGGTTCCAGATGGGCCTGAAAGAGCCTTGCATTCGGCCGGACTCCCTGCGTTTCCATAACTGCTCGGCAACCATCTCGGCAGTGTCGAGGTCGTCGTTGTTGATGAAGGCGGTGACAAGATATCCAGCCACGTCGGTTGATTTGGTGATGTCCGGATCAACGTCCGAGGCCAAGGCAAACATGTCCTTGACACCATCAACATCACCCCTCTGGGACAACAGGTCCAGCATTGCAGTGAAACTGTATGCATCGGGTCGGATGGATGATTCCATCAACTTTTCGAAGACTCGGTTGGCACCCACGAGATCGTCGTCCCTGGCAAACGCATGCAGTAATGTGTTCCAAGCTCTCACATGCGGTGTCCTGCCCATTTCCTGGGTGAGTTCCTCAAACATTTGGGTGGCACCAATGGTATCTCCACGCCTGGCGAATGCCTTGAGCACGTACTCCCAATGCCACGGTTTGCGCTGCGGGACTGGAACTTGTCTGAAGTAAACCTTCGTTTTTTGGACGTCCCCGACCTGGGAAAAGGCGTCCATGAGCAGTTCCAATATCGCATTCGGCGGTCGCTCGAAGAAATGAGCTGCAGCATCGACGACATGGCTGATGTCCAGACGCGGTCCTCTTATCCGAGAGCCCTGGGATATATTCATTGTTTGCTTAATCGCGTAAAGAACCGTATAAAGCACCCTGTCATTGACAGTGATGGACGGGTCGGCCTTCGCAATCGCGATATACTTGTGGAACAGCTTCCGGACCACCAAGGGAAGTTCTCCAGCTTGCTTGACACTTTTCGATCCTAGCAAGCCTTGCAGTGCGAGTTCGAAATGACGTGCCTCAAGAAAACCATCTCGCCTCAGCCTCATCAGGAGGCGATACAAGTTGAGTCCACTTGCTGCACTGCGTGCATTGTGTGCAAATTGTTTGATCGCTCGTGCACCGAACTCTGTGGCGAACGCATGGATCTGGTCCTGTTCCTCCGGTTTTCTCCCAGTCAACAGCCGCATTCGCCGAAAGTGAATCAAGAAGGACTCGGTGAGAAAGGGAAGCTTGTGGTTTTTCTTCACCACCGACCAGAACTCCAGCTGGGGTCCGATCAGGGATCCCATTGCTGTGTACGCCTCGATTGCCAACTGCCACTGTCCTTGCGCGATTGCGTGAGCTAGGAGATCCGAGGTGGCGATGTTGCCGCCCAGAGCTTTCCTCGATTCAATGCCTTCCTCGTGGACCAGGGCTGCTTTCCCAAGCTTGCCCATCCGGAGATATGAGATGATTGCACCCTTGTAAGACGAGGCTCGTCGGTCTTGCATGGCCAAGGCATTGAAAATGGCAACGACTTCATCAGCAAGGGTCCGAATAAACGGTCTCACGGAGACAAAATATTCCAGGGCAGAAGCTGCCAGTTCCGGTGGTGGATCCGCTTCCCGAGCCATTTTCCAGAGCTTCCAGACTACCTTGCTGTCACTATCAGCATCTTCCAGAAGGAAGCGAAGCTGTTCAGACGGATTTTCCACTCGTTGCACCCATTCTTGAGCATGTGTGTCCAGATCTTCCAGGTAGTCGGAATCGAATCCGGACATGTTGCCCACCGGCATGGGCGATATGTCCTGGAAAGGATCGTCGCGATTGGGACCAGGGACATGGTCGCCGGAGGCTGGGATAAAGTCGCCATAGGCATCGGCATAGGCATCGGCATTGGCATCGGGACCAAAAGCGTCAGACTCGCTGGACAAATCTTCATCTGGGAAGGGAGAGGTGGCATTGGGCTCGTTCTCGTTCCCAGGACCCGTAGTTTTGGAAGAGTAGTGCCGCACCCGTCCCGTGGTCGCCACGCGAGTCTGATGGGCCTGCCAGCCTTCCCACCCGCAATTGGAAAGGCGGTGCATCAAAGCCAGAGTCTTAGCGGGGTACAGGAAGTCCAGGAACAGCCCATCTGGCGCTGGGGTTTGTCTGGCAGCATTCCTGCCGCTTTCTTCCGGAGGATCGTGGAGCTGCGAGTCGGGCGCAGGGGAATGCTGCAGCGCCGACGCCCACCATGTGGGCAGGTCGAGGTCACCGGCGCCGTGATGCCAGAAGGACGAATGCAGCATGCGACGGCTTCGGAGATGGGATTTGGGACCGCGCAGAAGGCATCGTCCTCCGGATTCGAGACATAGCGGCGCTCGCTCCAGCATACCCTAGCGAGCAGTTTTGACGAGAGGCTACCGACGCGGGGGAGTTCTTCGAGATGGTGCTTGGAGAGCTGGGATTAGTGGGTGGCGGGAGCAGTCAAGTTGCCGGACATACAGCGCTGCATAACGCCCCGGGAGGTGTGAGGCGGAAGACTCGGGGGCGCGCGAGAGAGGGCTAGCTGGAGGCAAGCGGACGGGGTGGCACCTCGCGAGGGAGAGGCGGCTTTGCAGCGGCAATGGCAGTAGTGGCGGATGTTTCTGCGCGCAGCACGTCGGCCGTCGAGCCACTGGATGGATGGACGGGTCATGGAAAAATTGGCCGGCCAAACCATTTTCCCGCGCGCGTCATTCTACTAACTATGAAGTGGATGCCGCCTGCGCGCCGACCCCGCGCTCCCGTCTTGCGCGTCTGGCAAGCTGCTGTGCTTTACCTGACAGCCTCCCACCTCCAATGGACATCACCGCCTTCGTCGTCGCCCAGCGCGACGAGGCCCTGTTGTTGGGCGACTACAACACCTACCGCCAGACCTGCTCGCGCCGCATCCTCACCCTCCGCAAACGCACCGGCCGTGCCACGCCCAAGAATGCGAAGTACAGCGCAAAAGCCCCCGTGACCGCTGAGGATATTGCCAAGGGCCATGAGTACGTCAATCGCTCCATCAGCGCAGTTTGGTCTAACCCCAGCCGCCAGCTTCGTCCATCTTGTCCTCTTCACGGCCGAGCGCGCCTGGGCCCATGCTATGTACATGAAGGCTGTCCATGCCGAGGACAACGCAGAGAAGGGCATCACCGGCTCCACCCGAAAGCACATCATCTCGCGACTGCACAAGGCCGCTCATACGGCGAACGAGCTTGCTTCGCTGCTGGCCGACCAATCCACCGGCGCCACCACTACCGACCTGCTCGAGGCTCAGGCATACGTATGCTCGCTCCGCGGCGCCGAGGAGTTTGAGAAGCAGGCCGAGGGTGTCCATTCCGATAGCGCCCAGCCACCGGATCAGAGGTGGAAACCGTGTCTGGTGCACTACTCGGGTGCACGCATCATCTACAACGCCCTCCTCCAGACCACCAAGAAGGACCTCTACAAGGAATTCCTGGCCAGCACCGTCGACCCGAGTATTCGTTATGCCGCATACCAGTCTCGCCTCCCTCGAACCGTTTCGGTCGCCACAGTCGCCCGCCAATACTTCCCCAAGGAGGATGCTGCCCTTCTGTCTGCCGTCGAGAAGCTCTATCCTGATGCTCTCAAGGACGAGGCAGTAGCTACTGGTATGTGCAGCTAGAATCAGGGCCAAGGCGCTTTTCACTAACAGGCAATGCAGGCAAGGGTGCAGATGCCATCGAGAAAATCCCCAATACCATCACGTGGCGCTCGCGGACTGCCAACATCGTTGACGCCGCGGTTGGCCAAGCTCTTGCAGCAGTTACGTCCGCCGAGGCCCGTCTCTCCGCATTCCTTGCCTCTGCCTCGCCCGAGACGTCTTTCCGGGATAAGGCAGCTGCATACGATGAGGTTCTCATTGCCAGCCAGGACGCTTCGGACTCGACCCGGCACGCTATAGAAGAGCTTGAGAAGGAAGGCGTCAGCGAGGGAGACTCGCGTATGCAGGATCTCCGTGTGACAGACCTGGCGGTCAATTACGCTCTTATCGGCTGGCGTGTGGGGAGGAACAGAGTGCTCATTGGCCTCGAGGACGGCGCCGTTTTGCACTCTGAAAACATCAAGAAGCCAAAGAAGCCCAGGAAAGATGGCAAAGAGTGGGTTGAAAAGGAGGAAGGCACTGGCCGCAAGATTGCGAGGATACGGGAGCGCAATGTGCTTTACGACTCGATCCTTCAGAGCATCGATTCGGTAAAGGATCTCAGGGGCGCCATGCGCGATGCTGCCTTTATCGAAGAGCTAGAGGGCAAGAGGGCGTACTACCGCGCTCTTAAATGCCTGAACCTTGGCTATTCCCACACACTCCTCTCCCAGTCCAAAAACGCCCTTGCTCTGTTTGCCCGAGCACTTGAACTCGCGACCAAGGCCGTAGCTACGGGCACGTCTGAATCGGCGTCCAACCCCCCGAAGCTAGACATCTCCCGCGAGCAAGCCGACGCCCTTCACCATCGCTTACAGGGCATTGTCCAGCAATATCGTGCTCTCGTTGACCTCCAGAGCTACGCAAAGGGCGACTCGGCGAACAAGAGTGCCGTTCCGACCCCCATTGTGGAGCGTCTCAACCAATATCCGTCCGAGAGCGTCGACCTCCAAAACCTTGTCGAATGGCCGCCCAAGCTGCAGTCTGTCCCCGTGAAGCCCCTTTTCCTGGACGTGGCGTTCAACTACATCGACTACCCTGGCAGAGCGAAGGCGGCTGTGGAGAAAGAGGGAGGTGTCAAGTCGGAACAGGCCCCGTCTCAGGGGGAGGAGCCGAAGAAGAAGGGCTGGTTTGGTTTCGGTCGGTAAAAAAGAATTTTGTCCATGCTCATGACGGATTCACGAGACTTGCTAGGGAAGAAAAGACAGACAAGAATAATGATCGGAAACATCTCGAGACCTTGAGTTAGTCTCCTAAAGGAGCTATGCAGTATAGCAATGTGTATAGACTCGTTAGAGCACGGTGGTGGTGGCGGTTGGGAGGTGGCCGTAGAACGGCGGGGGAGCTTGAGGTCATCCATGGCTACGAATTGTGGTGAGATGTGCCGCTGTGACCGTCAGTATTTATAGGCAGGCGCTACCACCGGGGTGCGGTTCCCTACTGACCCATGGTAGCGCGCCTCCTTATTCGCTTAGTCCACTGAGGAAAGTCCATTCGCTACCCGGAGTTGTCGTGACCATTCTGCGAACCTAGTGCGCCATGTAGGTCCATTATGACCCTACCGCCGATGCCAGAGGACAGCAAAGTGGCAAGGGAAATCCCGATCAGCGGCGCCACGAATGCTGCTCCGACCTTCTGGAAGAGGATATAAAGCGCGATGGTAGCACTGACGGCAACCTTCCAGACATTGTGCAAGTCTTTGAAGGAAAATCGACGCATGATGAGGCTATGGAGGTGTTTGTCGTGTATGCCGCAGGTAAGAAGCCGAGCGGGAGCCAACAGCAGGAGATGCGCCTATAGCAGTAGACCAAGCACGCTTTCCTCAAAAGCCAGGGCGAAGTCAAAGCCTCCATGGCATGCGCCCACTGTTGGCCCGAACGAGCCATCGGAGCCGCAGACACTTCAATCACTTTGGTGGGCTACTGCCTCCCATATCAGCAACACAGAGAGTAGCTCTTGCTCCTGATATTTTTCGACCGGTGAGTTGGTGCCTGGCGGTGGCGATGGTGATAGTTGGCGGAGGGTTTCGCGGGATCGGCAGCCATTCTCTTTCCGGAAACGATACCTGACGTAGCCTCCTACGCAGCTGCCTCGCGGGACCGCACAACCTCCAAACAATAAAAACCCACTGTTGCCTCTGTGCCTCCTCCAAGATTCAACCATCCACACCATCAACCTTCCGGGCGCCCACTCTACTCTGCACTGTCTGACCATCGCCGCCACCGTGCTCCGCATTCACGTAAGTACTCGCCCATCCGTCTTTCGCACCATCTAGCTCACCCGTCTTTCTGCAGCATGGGCTTCTGGGGAGAACGACTGTTCCAAAATGACCGTGACCTTGATCTTGTCTGCATTCTCTCCGAACACCTCGGCGTCGACGACATATACATGCCTGATGACCCCGAGAAGCTACGCGACGAGCTAGACAGCGGCAAGCTTGAAGCCGAGTTTGTCAAACTGCGTGACGGTGCCTACGCCTCGGATGAAAACCTGGAATTCTTCGGCGTCAAGACCGCCGTTGTTGTCCTGGCTGCCAGCGTCATGCGTCACGGCGCCACCATCTCGGACGACTTCCGCCAGCACGTCAGGAAGTGCCTCAACTCTCGCCTTCAGATGTACCAGCAGGCCAAGGACGACATGGCTGCTGCTATCGACGTCTATCGCAACGGGACCCCGCTCGATATCGCCGGCATGGGTCTGTTTGAGCTGGCGAACAGCGACGAACGCCCTCAGGGAGGCGGACTCAACTTGTTGTCCCCTCAGATGTTCAACGTCTGCGAGACGGTTGAGGATGAGTGCAACACGTGTGGCAAGCAGAACGATGCGCTGCTGCACTGTGGCCGATGCCGCAAGGCTCGTTACTGCAACGCCGAGTGCCAGAAGAAGGCCTGGAAGATGCACAAGCCCGCGTGCGCACCTGCTGCTTAGAAGCTTGCTTCCTCTTACTCGCGGACACCGAGATGGCCTGTCGAATGGACTGCGTGAGAGGATTGGTTCCTAAAAAGGTTAGATAGGAACAATAATGACGATGTGACTGCCCAAACTCGAAAGCAAAAAGTGGTTGCCGCCCCGCAATGCCAACGCTTATCGCGCGCGTATCGCGTGCGACATCCTCACGTCGCCTACCCACCCCTTCAACACGCACCATGTCCGCCTCTGGGACATGCCGGCTTCCGCCTGAGCTATTGCTACATATCCTTGATAGCCTTGCGCCTCCGCCCGCCACAGTCGCTCTGCGTCTCTCCGACCCGGCGGCCAAAACAATTCATGCCTTCACTCGTGTATCGAGACTGACTTACTCTACCGCTCTGCGACACCTCTACTCACGTTGCCTAAGCATCGATTCTGAAACACGTCTACGCCTCCTTCTTATATCACTGGAGTCTCTCACTGCTCCCAGTCGCTCTGAGGAAAGCACTCTACCACACGTGGAAATCAAGCCGCTTCTGACCAGCCTGTACCTCGCCCCGTTTCCGCCCCACTCCATCGACAGCCAGCCAATTGCTCAATGGTGCTTTGAGCTTCTGTCCATCACGCGCTTCACTCTCCGACGTCTCGTTGTTGACATACCCTTCCACACCATGGCACCGCACATGGACCATCTCAGTGTCTTCCCGAAGCTCAACACCGCATTTGACCAGCTCTGGAACCTGGAAGAGTTCGTCAGTTGTGGCTCATTTCCCAACCTTTGGTGGACACTTTGGCCAGGCTTGAAAAAATTGGCTCTTACTGCCACAACTTTGGAAGACCTGAACGATACCCTTTCCAAGGAAGATGTCATGGAAGACCTTGAGTGCATGCTACTAGCAAATCCGTCCTTCTCTACCCCCTCATCAAGACGGCTGTTCTTTCACCGAACGGCACAGAGCAACACTTCAATAACCATATTGCATCAAAACGACGGTTTTCGGACTCGTTGGAGTGCTGCCGACCTGTGGCTATCCATGGGCATGGGAGAGCTAGCAAATGGAGCTCGTGACCATCGCGACGAGTGCCTCGAAAGTTTTTGCCTACCTCTCGACCACACCCTCCGCCGCGACTGGCTCTTGAGTAAGGCGCTTCGCGGAGAGTTGTGGACAGCAGGAGAGGACCACGAATCACCATCAGGATTAGATGCCCCACTTCCGGAATCAGCACCATCAGCTCTTGTTACCTCCGACCAAGCATGACATGACCACTTTTGATGCATGTCCTTGTGACTCAGCTTCAGAAATAGAATCAGAACCACGACGGCGTCGTCTTTCGCACGATGAGAATGCATCCCCCAAACTATACCGAGTAAGACTTACAAACAAGCAATGGTCTTTCACTGAACCCGACCACGGAGTTGACGGATATGTTCATAAGGGCGGGAGTGCGGCTCCACCATTTCTTCACGGTGGCTGCATCGGTGCAGTGGTGCGGCGAGATCTTTTAGTCACGTTGCTGGTAGTGATTGCGACTATCGAAGGGCTGTACGGTGATGGTGTTGACCCTGTCGTCCGTTCAGAAAACGCCGGGTCAGCATCTCCAATATCCAGCAGCGTGCATTCAGCCAGTCGAAGATTAAGAGAGAAAAGAAAAAAGAAAATGTCAGAGAGGGAACGGTGGATATACAGGCCACTTCACGCTCCTCACCCCCGCCACGCCCGGCACCACGATGCGCATCGGGGCCCCATGCGCTGCCGACAGCGGCTGCCCGTTCGCCTCGACCCCCACGACGACCTCGTCCTCAAGGCTAATCGCCCGCGCCAGCGGGATGCTCGCCTTCCTGACACGCAGTCGCATGGCACGCAAACTCCACGTGCAGGGCCCCACCTCCATCTCCATCTCCACTTCCATATCCGCATCTCCCACCCTCGTCCACGCCGCCATCCACCCGCTCCCGCGCCAGGAAGGGGGGCCGTGATGATCGACACGATGATGATGATCATCATCATCATCATCATCGCCGCCGCCCCCGCCGTCATCGTCATTATTGCCCCCACCACCCCCACCACCACCGCCACCAACACCGCCGCCGCTGCCCATCCGCTGATCAACACCAACACCAACGCCGCCAAGACTATCAACGCCCCCGAGCCCTGGCTGCCGCGGCGATCAGCAGCAGCAGCACATGGCCGCCCCGCCCCCGCCCCGCCCGTCGCCCCGTCGCCCCCAAGTCGATCCCTCCCCCCCTGACCTCGCGCAGCCGCGTGCGCATCCGCGTGCCGCCGGTTGCCTCCGCGCGCACTGCGGGACCGCGGCGACGGGGTGCTGGGCTGGGGGAAGCGGGTGAGGAGATTGGCGGGGGCGGGTGAGTTTCAGAAGGGTGGAGGAGGTGGTGGTTTTCGCCTCTCACTCCTGTGGCGGATGTTGTTGTTGCTGTTGGTGGTGGTGGTGGTGTTTTTTTCGATGTTGATGGCGACGGTGAGGGCGTGGGCGGCGGGGTTGATGTGAAGGATCGGTCTGGTTTTGTTGTTTTTATTATTCGATGTCGATGTTAAATTCTGGAGACGGGGCGGTTTTTTTTTTTTGGGCGTCTCACCCTTTAAGATCAGGCAGGTGGGAGCTTATGTCGGCAGGGTTTTATTTTAGGTGATTGAAAAACAAAAAGGAAAAGAGAAAAATAAAAAGCTCGTGCGGCTGGCTCAGAGTATTCAAATGGAAAACAAAAAGAAAAGAACATATCTAGGATTCCTCTCGAAGTTTCCAGACTTGGTGATGAGCTATCGTGGTTTTCTACCAGTCAGAAGGGCTTGCTGGATCTCTCGTTCTCTCTCTCTCCCCCTTTTCACCGGCTAAGTGGTGTGTGGGGCAATCGAGCACTCACGAGGATATCAGTTCATTAACAGGAGGCTCGCGGTTCAGAGGCTCCTTTACGGAGTGCTCGTATCTGATCTGGGACGATGGTCAGGAAAGCGAAAAGGGGGACACCGGATTTGAGTCTGTCACGGGAGTAGTACAGCCGTGCTACCGATATTTGCCATTCTTAGAAGAGGCGCAGCAGACGGAGGTAAGCGGGGGGGAAAGCTACGTGTCGAGACAACGAAACAAGACGGGAAGATGTAGCGTCGGGACATAGCAGCTGTAGCGTGGAACATGCATCTATTTATGGCATCAGGGAGCCGTGGCCGGCGAACAGCGTCACTGGCAAAAAGTATGTTTCCGTGACCTAAGAAAATTGAAAACGGATACATTTACCACCTCTCATGCATGGCTTAGCAGATATGAGTGGTCGGTGGGCTGCGTAAATGGCGAATGTGGCTCGTGGACGTTTGCTGCTACACTGGTCAAATGCGGCACCAGACGGATATACGCATCCTACCGTCAGCCAAGCTTTGGTTCCCCCTGGCACACTAAGCCGCCGTAACCCGCATCGGGAAGCTTATATCATCATTTCCCCTCTTTATGATGTCTTAGCTGCATAGCGATAGTAGTAGTAGAGCATGTCGATGTGGACTTCTCTTAGTCAAAGACTGTCCGAATCAAATCCACTTAAGCTCCGCAACAGCTCATTCGATTCCACCACTACCATGCCGCAAAAGCCGGAAATGGCAATGCTTACTCCAAAAGCCGCCGGTTGTAATAGGTGGCTCGACAGTTTAAGGTCTCTGGAAGCGCACAGCCGTACAGCTGCAACGCGCACGTCAGATTGTAGAGGGGTCACCTCCTTGGACGCGGATAGCAGCAATCATGGCCTGAAACATCGAGGCTCTGTCGTTGGTGAAAATCTCAGCATAACCTAGAGTCAATGCAACATGAGCGTGGCGTCTTCGTCTCTGGCACCATGAGCGAACTGGGGTTCCCAAGAACCTGGACCAGCATAGATAGCCGCTCCAAAGAGGCTCAAGCAGGTCAACCCATGAGCTCGTTATCAATTTCAAGGACCTCTTGGGTGAGAGACTGCACTTCATCTTGAGAAAGCATGCTCACACTGCCCTCTAGGTCTTTGACTACGTGCTCAAGTCCGCCCATTAAGGCCGCCAGCTCGGCACGTTGAGCCTGTATCTCTGACAACAGCTGAGTGTTCGCTTTCTGGGTGGTCGACAACTGCGATCCGAGGGTGTCGGCTTGGGAGGAGAGGAAAGGCTGGAGGTGTGCAAGAGCGAGTGTTTGCGCGGGCAATGTATGTGGTCTCTCTTGAGTCAGCAAATGACATTTGACGAATTGCCGGCGTTACACTCGCACGGGCTTCGCCGCCGAACAGCTTCTAGCGCCTCGTATCGAAGAACTCACGGGGTAGGTGGCTCGATAGCGGCGCCGTTGGCCTCTGCCTCTGCGCGGTCTTTGCACTTCTTAGCGTCCTGAACGAGGGTGTCGAGAGAGTTCAAAGACTGGATGACATTGCGGGAGGCAAGGATCTGGTCGAAGTTGTTCTGTAGCACAGCAGAAGTCACGTCAGCCAGAATGATCGCAGGACTGAAACGTGGTGGAGATGGCCTCTTCCGACCGGCGGCACCCGCGCGATGCGGAGCTCTCCAGTGCAGCAGCACTCACCCTGGCAGCATCTCCCACTCGGCCGGTAAAGTCGCGCCAGAAAGCATCGAGGTTCTCCGGGACATATTGGGCAGGGGTCGGGAAGCAAGCGGCAAAGTTCGCGTAGGAACAGCGCTTGATTGTCGCGTCGAGGGCTTGGGCGAAGATGTTCTGTAGGGCTGTCGCGCGCGGGCCGGGCGAGTCGGCTACGGGAGGGGCGGGGGCAGGGGATGGCGAGTGCTCGTGGGCGGTGCGACTCGGGCTGTCATGGACGGCGGCCGGCATTGTTGTGCGGCTGCGACGCTGGATGGAGAGATATTGGCGATGGAGCAGTGGGCGGGCGTCGGCGCTTGTTTACAGTTGTCGGCCTATATTTGGGTCGCGCTCTCGGCAGCGTCGGGCCCTTGGCATGACAACCGCGAGCCGTGCCCGCCCTGCCTGTGCCTGTGCCGCTGTGCTCAGGCCGCTGCCTAGTCAGGGCATGCCCGGTGCCTGGTACCAACTGAAACCCAACACCCTTTTCCCTGCTTCTCCACGCACATTGCACCGCGCCTGCAAGCTCCCTGCACCAGCGGCCGCTCCTCTCGGTGCGGCGCAGAGCATCTCTGCGTGCTCGCCGGACCCGTCACGAGTCTGCCTTCACGCTGTTTGTGCCTCGCTCTTTAAATTTAAAATTGCTTTCAGTCCCGCCCTCGTATCCGCCAGTTAGCCTCGAGTGGGCCATGTGCGGGCACCACCCGACTAGGCAATTTTTAAAGCGCTCGTGGGGGCTAGGGTGCGGTAAGCAAGGAGGCTATGCGGCAGGGCTGAGGGCACGACCACCCCACGATCCGCACGCCAAGCCCGACACCAACAGAAAGGCTGTTGTCGGATGCTTCTGCCTGCTACTTAATAGTCAGCGCTGTACCCTACCGCTTGAGTCTGCACTTCCCTCAACTCAGTCACTCGTTAAGTCAGTTGATCCGAAAGCCAACCACAATGGACGCCCGCGCAGAGAAGGAACAGCTTGCCATGGCCTACGTATGATCCAACCTCTTCCTCAGCTTGAGCCAGCAGTACTGACGGATCTCTTACAGGCTCAGACGTACCCTACCTGCACCGAGACCGGCGGGTTGATGCCTGTTCACACATCGAGCACGCACCTTAAAGTCCCTCTCCTCGTCGCCATTCCTGCAACTCTGGCCCCTCGCGCCCAACGCCGGCAACTCATCTTCGACGAGGAAGCCCAGGAGCTTCTCTTGGCCGAATACACGCCTTTTACTCAGTGGGCCGCCACTTTTCTCATTTGTGTTGGCCTGCTGGTCTGCAGTGGGGTCATCTATCTCGCCATTTGCGCTTCGGTTCCGCTGCCTCCGCAAGGCCTGACCGCGGCCTGAGCGCATCAACCCCATGCGGCCGCACGAGGCGGCTTGCGATCTTTCACTATCGCATACGAGACCGGGAAATGCCACCAGGGTTTATACTACACCGGCCTCATGACAGACTTTTTGAGACAGCCGGCGTCAATAGGGGCTTTCTACCACTGGTCCCACCCGAGAAGCGCCTAGCTGCCCTGGAGAGTTATGTTCAACATGGCACCCTAGTAGCGCACCGCTCAGGAAGGCACTTCGGGACGCCCGCCCAGGCCACACGGCAAGCTAAGCCCCGTAGAGGGCGCTTCACTCTTCCCGCGCGGATGGGCGAATCCTATACCTAGCTACGTTTATCTCCAAGATTCACGACGTCCGAACGTTGGATCCTTATGTAGAGGATACAACATCTCTGTGGGACTGGGGTGAGAGGGGCAGATGGGAGACCTCGTGGCACTTCGCCCGAGCGGGAAGGTTTGGGCATGACATGCTCATGGGTTTGTGGATGGCTTGCGTCTGGCTGAGGGGCTCTGGCGAGAGAAGGATATGAGTGCTTTCCGCACCGATGGAAATTGCGCAGAATGTGCGGGGGAAGACGTCTACATGGGCTGGGCTTAGCGGGTTCCTGCCACACGTGGGAGGGCGTTTGCTTGAGGAAGTCGCGCGTTTGCGACTTCCCAAAACGGTTAGACAGCACACTCCAGATATTGTTTACTTGAGTCTCTTCAAAACAACAAAACTCTTTTACCTCACCTTCGCACACTTGTCAACCGCGCTTCAAGTGACCGGAACAGTCTATCCTTGCGGTCGCTCGCCTTCGAACAGGTATGCCGCCCCATTGCGCGCGCTCAAACGGCGACAACACTTCACGCTTCCAAGATATGAATCAGTCCGTCTCGCTCAGTCCCGCTGACATTCCATTGCACAGATTCCGGCCAAGCTTTCCGGCAGCTTCCGTGCCAAACAGCAACCATGCGGAAGAGCAACGACACGATGCTCGATAGCCATCGATGGCAGGCTCACAAGGAAATTGCTCCCCGCTGGACTCTGTGTGAGACTTGCGATCGCAACATCGAGACCAAGGACTGGAACTCCCACCAGGCTGGCAAGCAGCACCAGAAGAACAAGAAGGTCATGGAGGAGAAGGAGGCTACTGAGAAACCCGTTGCCGAGCAGCAGATGACGACGGAGTGGGGCGACGAGGTCAACAACGACGTTGCTCAGCAGGAGGACACCGACTGGACCAACAAGAACGGCTTCACCAGCGCTGCTCCTCCTAAGAACAAGGGCGGCAGCGGTGGCGACCGTGGCTGCTTCAACTGTGGCAAGACTGGTCATATGAAGGCCGACTGCCCCGAGCCTCCCAAGAGCGGCGGCGCAAGGCCGTGTTACGGCTGCGGCGGGTTTGGTCATCTCAAGGCCGAATGCCCCAATCCGTCCCAGGGCAGCGGAGGGCGTACCTGCCACAACTGCGGCGAGCCTGGTCATCTCAAGAGCGAGTGTGTCAACCCGACGAACCCTGCCGCTGGTGGTGGAGACAGTCGTCCTTGGTAAGCCCTACCTCAACGTGGATAAGGGACACCCACACTGACTCTCTTTAGCTTCAAGTGCGGTCAGACCGGCCACATGGCCAGGGACTGCGACATCTGCGCCAACTGCGGTGAGCAGGGCCACAACTTCTTCCAGTGCGACAAGAAGAAGGATTGGTCAAAGATCACTTGCTCTGTCTGCAAGGAGAAGGGACACACCAAAAAGAAGTGCCCCAAGGCTGCCGAGATGGAGGCTGGCGGCGGCGGCTTCGGTGGCGGCTTCGGTGGCGGATTCGACAGCGGCTTTGGCGGCTCGACTTCCGGTGGCTGGGACGCGGCCGGTGGTTCAGGTGGTGGTGGTTGGGACATGGACAGCGGTGCTGCTGCTGGTGGTGGCGGCGAATCCTCCAACGGCTGGGCTGGAGACGTTTCGGCTTCTGCCAGTGGTGGCAGCGACTCCTGGAACGGTCACGGCGGCGCAGGTGCTGCTGGCGGTAGTGGCTGGGACAACTCTGGCAACTCCGGCGACACTGGCGGCTGGTAAATCCTAGCTCTATCTGGGACCAACCAGAACTCTCACGATGACGACCCCTACGATGACGACGTTCAAGCTCAGCTTCACCAAGGTTATTTCTACGCCTGAGGTAGAACAACACCTGTGGACAGACTACCGTCATGTTATGCGAGTTTAGTCCCGGTTAAAGGGTCACGGTTGATTAGCTTTTCCATAGTAAATCTTCCAAGCCTTTTGATGTATGTGACTCCGGCGACTATTGTATTGTACGATATCAATGGATATGCGAAGTTCGGTAAGCTGCTGTGTGCTGTGGGGATGCCTTAGCTATACTGATTTATGTAAGTAGCTCGAGGGCACATTGGTTTAGACAACGCCACTACACCATCAAAGAAGTACGCCCAGCATTTGATACTGTGGGTTGGTAAGAGCGAATGGGAGAAAATAATCTCTTTCCATTTGGACAATCGAGTAGGCCTCAGTTGATGACTCGCTATGGCATGCTTACAAGGGTCGTGATCTACGGTCAAGTATTGCGAGATCCAGCCAGCCCATGATGATAGTGAGGGCTAAGCCCGTGAGACCGCGGGATAGTTGGAAGTGTGCGTTGACGAAAACTTCTGGAAGTTTGACCAAACCCCCGTAGGAGTTAGCGTCATGTTTTGGCGAGAGGCCGTGTTCATTGTACGGTTGTCTTAACTTTTAGTGAACACCGCGGTCTGAATGGGGCCTGATCTATGTCGGATAGTTTTGATGGGCAAGAAGACACTTCGCCTCGCAGCAAGGTTGCTGTTATGGGACACGCAAAGCAACAGCTCCCTCCAGGTCGCCATAGCGGCTCGCACCAAGCAACACAAGCACCGCTGGGGCTGCTGACGGCATGCTCTTGGACAGCCTTTCGTCCGGACGTATCCCGGGGCTCTTTTGACCTCGGCCCCAATGCCCCACAGGCTGGGGTCGCGAAGCATACGAAACACGAACACGAAATGCCATGTATAAGATGCGCGCACATATAGACTCGGGCCGACTGTTATGATGCGCACATATAAGGACAGCGACGTTCGAAGAAACGCCTAGAACGAATCGAAAGCCATGAGTATATTAAAGCTGATGAAGTCGGCCTGGGCAACTGGGGAAAGAAGTGCATGGCCAGCACGTTGGTTGCTGTTTGGAGTAAAGATTCCCCGAACTACCACCTCCGCGCCCCCCGCTGTAACCTCCACTACCTATCACGTACTTGACAAGGCGTGGCCGGATGTGTTTTCATCAAGGTGTCTCTCCCAGAACGCTTCCAAGCCTGGCCGTTCACCACACGCCCGGTCTGCCCATGTGGTACTCGAATGCTCGGTGAAGGATGTGGAGGATATCCATCACTGACATGAGTGGCACAGGCAATCTTACTGTTAGCACTATGGATAGGTCGGTAGAGATGGGTGGGATCTGCGGCGGACAGGGCATTCAAGTATGCCGATGAAGTCGACCGCTTCGATCATGAAGCGAGGCAGTCCGCCGGAATTTAAAATCTCCACATCAAAGATATCGTCAGCCGGCTCACCCAAGTCCTCAGCAAACAGATCGTTGACATGCTCCTTGTTGTCACAGATGCAGTCGCCACTGACTTGGGTTGAGTTTACTGGAACGAGTTCCATAGCCAACAAATTTCTCGTATCCGCGTAATGTACAGGAGGGGCTTGGTAAGACCGCATGTGCTGTATGTAAGACATTGACATGGGGTTAGCCGAGGCTTGGAGGAAGAAAGCAGCAGAGTATGGGACCCGTCAACGCTGCCGGACAGTCTCGCAGAACGGGCTGTCGCAGCTACTCGCAACCCTAGGCGAGGAGGCTCTCTGTAGCGTCAAGTCCTACCGCATCCCATCAGCACGGTCGTTCCCCACAATTGCCGTGAGGATAAGCGCGCGATTCCGGAGATCACCACGAGGGAGCTCATGTCGGATAATTACTGCAACTGAATCGTGGCTTCGCGAGTAAATAAGCGAACAGCCTGGATTCTCCGCAAACACGTCAGTATAAGGCCCAGAGTAGAAGTTCGATCCTCCGCTACGCTTAGCGGGGTTCAAGCAGCCCGGGTTGGATCAGGTTCACGAACTGACAGACGGTAGGACGGCCCTGGCTGCTTTGGGCGTCGGATGTTGGGGGCGCAAGTGATCAACACGCAGCTCATGGCCATGCCCAACACGCTTTACTGTATGCATCTTCGGGAATCATGCACGGCCGTGCCGCTCTCCCAGGTGGAGGGGGCTTACTTCTATAAGATCGGCTACCCGGTCCAGACGACACCCATAAATCCGAGAATCAAGGCCAGCTCCACGTGCGTGTCAGACACTTTGCCGATTGCCGAGCTGACTTCCAGCAGGGGTCCGGTGCCATCTATAAGCCGTAGCAACTGGTGGCCAGCGCGGTTTAGCCCAGGCAGGCACCACACTGGCTGCCCTCTACTGGAGTTGAAACACGGGATCGTCGTTGATGTCGATCTGAGAATCCTCTCTAAAACCTGAATTGGTACCGGTTTTAGTGTTTACTGAAGACTGCTGGCCTACTTTTGACCGACATTTCCTCCGCACCTATAGATGTTGCCAGTGATCAAGTATAACGAATGAAATGAAGACGATAGGAGAAAAAGAAAGAAAAAAAAAGGACATGGGGCAACTTGTCGCTTTGATGTAGGTACACAAACGTGATTGGGGTGAGACGGAGTGGGGACAACATCTCAGATAGACATGCCTTACTATTGGAGTTATACGCACATACACGCTCTGATACCTCTTTAGGTGGTTGCCACTTCGACGCACAGATCGAAGGGGAAGCGTGGATAGCATGAGGTCTAAGCAGATAAGCAGAACAAATCATCACAAGCCCATGCCAAAGTCTAGATCGTTTACGGACTGAGAAAGCAATAAGCCCGGAGCGTGAGGCGTGGTCGATGGTGTTGATGAGCCCCTGCTTTTTCGACGAGGGCTTGCGATAGTGCTCACCGCTGGCGCTAGGGCGCATATCGAGGATATCGACGGCAATGCCACATGGCAGTTGAGATCCATCCGGCATGGTTTCGGGGGGAACGACTCGAGTTTGGCGACAAGCTCCGTGACTAACGACGTGGCACCGACTGATAAGATTCAGATCAGCAATGCAGCAGCAGCAGGAGCGTTCATGGAGAGAACATACGGTCAAAGTGGGCACGGCACCAGCAACCATTGGTGCCGGCTGTAGGGCCGGCAACGGCGGCGTTTGCCATGACTCGGCGAAAGGGGCGTAGGGTGGGCTCTCCGCGGCCGGTGACGTGAAAGCCCTGGCAGCGCCCTGGCAGCTAATTCCGGGTAAGCCATGCGCGCGCGGACCCGCCGGGACCCTGGCACATGGAACGGCTTGTGCCTGGCCAGCCCTGCCCAGCCCTGCCCAGCAGATACCAACATAGGGACCCTTAGGGACCGCTGCTGATCACTTAGCCTGTATCCGTATGGCTCTCGACGCTCAACGTCCATCTTGCACAGTTTAGTGAGTCGAGGCAGAACACCGGTATCGCATGAATCGTGAAATTACTCAGTGTACGAGGGCCGTTCTCTCCCTGCCCCACAAATTGGCTCGTGGATTCACCGCCAAGGCGTCGATGAAAGGCCCCCACGCTTGTTCACTGCTCGATCAGAATTCCTGGGCACCGGGAGGTCTGGTCATCCTTTCTTGACAGGTCCACGGCAATGGCGTGCCTCTGCTGCCCAATTGGGGCCCGGCGGCGCGATCAGACCCTGTTTCCGACTGCCCCGAGCCGGCTCACAGGCCGTGTACGCGATGACTGAGCCAAATCGGAGCTCAACAAGCCCATTTCCGAGTCATTCCAGTCCTCCGCAATCCCTCACCAAGAACGACCATGGATGCGCAAGGGGGGCAGCGACGATCGGCCTACTTGGACAGGCCTCGAGGGTCTTTCTACCCGCCCCCGCCTGCGACTTGATGCCGGAACACCTTGGGTTACCAACAAAGCTTGCAGCGGTCCCGGCATGAAGTTCGCCCTGTGGTTATCAGCCTTGCTGGCGGCCGTGATCCCCACGGTCCAAGCAGCCAGCGCTGCCGAACTGCAACAGATTGTCTCGGTTATGCCGGCATGCGGAGTGCGTAGAGCTCCTCGATACGCTACGTCCGTACCTCAGACTGACAATCGTAGTTGCTCTGTCTCGAGAAGAACATCGCCGCATCGCCTTGCGGACTGACAGATACCGAATGCAGCTGCTCCAACTCGACCCTGAACGCTCAAATAGAGCTTTGCGTCGTATCGTCCTGCAAAGTCAAGCAGCAATTGGGTACGTCGAATCCTCTGGAATCCTTGTTCTCCGCTGACCTGTCCAGCAACAAAGAATGCCACCCAGACTTTGTGTGGCGCGCCAATTCGGGACAGAACAAGCTCCGTGTCTGTTTCTGGCATTGTTGGGGGTATTTGTGCGTTGCTCGCCTATATCCTTCGCATGATCTCTCGACTCCCTCAATTTGGCGGCGTCATGGGCTGGGATGACGCCATGATGACTGTGGTCGTCCTTTTGGTCGCGCCACTCACTTGCCTTTCGGTCGTCTGTAAGTATGACCGTGGCCGAAACGATGTCCAAATTCGCCGCTAACAGCTCTGTCAGTGGCAAACCTGGGACTGGGTAAAGATATTTGGACATTACCATTCGAAAACATTACCCACATCCTCTACGTCAGTATTCCGGCCCCGACATTACCTGCACAGCCTGCTCAACAAATCTTCAGATCTACTACTTTGACGAGGATCTGTATCTCTCTGCACTTCCGTTGCTGAAGATTTCCATCCTGCTCTTCTATCTGCGAATCTTCCCAGAAAAAGGCTTTCGCAAAATGGTATTCGTGACCATTGGGCTCTGCGCTGGATATTGTATCGCCTTCGTACTGGTCTCCGTCTTTCAATGCCGCCCGATACGGTATGCCTGGCTCCAGTGGGATGACGAACATAAAGGATCGTGCAACAACATCAACGCTCAGGGATGGTCCAGCGCAGCGATCAATGTTGTTCTGGACATTATTGTCATCTTTCTTCCATTGCCCCAGCTATGGAAGTTGCAGCTGAACAAGCGTAAAAAGTTCCTGCTGCTTCTTATGTTCTCTGTCGGCTTCTTGTGAGTTGTAAATGTCTTGTGTTGTGACAAAGATGAAACGGCTGACAACAGTCTAGCGTTACCATCGTCAGTGTCCTCCGCCTCCAGGTTCTCATTCAGTTCGGCAGCACGCAGAATTTGACGTGTAAGCTGTGCCATGCCATTCCGTTTTCCGTTGCATACTTACCAGCCAAGGGGACTACACTGCCGTTGGCTATTGGTCAACCATTGAGATCCACGTGGGAATGATATGTGCATGCGTAAGTTTCTCCGAATCATCTTCCGTAGAGCAGGCGAAGTTGACGGCAGACACCAGATGCCGGCCATACGCGCGCTCCTCATGCAATGGATGCCCAAGATCATGGGTCAAACAACCAAAGACAAGTCCTACGGTGCAACATCATCAGCCATCAGTAACAAGTTCGGTGGCAGCAATGCCATAGCGAAAGGCAGTCAGCTCTCAAGTCGACCAAAAGGCGAAGATGATGGCGACTTCATTCCGCTAGTCGACGTCGAGAGTCAGGCGGGCACATCCGTCCACGGCGGACAAAGTCTGCCGCCCACCAGAGCCGGGTACCATGCAACGTAGGACGGACCCAAGTGCTGGTTTTCGATACCCTTCTTCTCTTTCTTTTTCTAACTCGCGAGGGACTCGTTTGTAGTGCAGACAACAGGAATAGTCTCGCAGCAGACCAGCATAACCCTTATGAGGAAAAGCTAGATCTGCCGAGTTTTTCACCCATGAACTTTTCCGTCTTGAATGATGGCAGTGGGGCAAACATGCTAAGCGGGAAGGGCGGCAGTGTCAATTACGAGACGCATCATTGAGTGTTCGTTCGTTTCCATATCTCTTTCTTGATATCCAGGTGATTTGGACGAGGTAACGATTCTGAGTGTGGCGGTATTTGGTTTAATCGGACAAGGTGCCTGCAGTCTTTCAACACCTGGTGTAGCATATGGACATGATTTGCTCGATCCTAAGGAGCACGATGATTGGCTATCGGGATGGTCCCATTGAGAAAGACATCCCCCGTGGCAGCTTGGCATGCGCCCGTTCGCTAGGTAGTCCAGAATGTCGTCCAGGCACACTGGAATCTGCACCAACTCATTCTAGATCTCTTCGGACGGTGGGTCTCCTACCGGCTCCTAGGTTGACGGATCTTGATCTCCAAGACATAGGGAAGGAACCATGGAAGTTGGTCGCCGCCAAGCCAAGCTTTGGGCGTATGCATGCTCGACCTTGTCTCAAAAGTCGGAAGCCCATTGGTCAGGTGTTCTGCAATCCTGCAGAGCATCCGAGATTTTTGCAGACCGGTGGTGGGTGTAGCTGTGGATCTTTCATGCGAGCTGGAAAGACGTATCGTACAAGTGGCAGGGGTCAATGTGGCTGCCGCCGCACGCCATTCTGCCTGATCAAAGCTTGACAGAAAACGGTTGGCATGGAACAACAGGCCACCTCCACGGCCGATCGGAATTTTAAACTGGAGTGGCCCGTCAAGAGCTTCGGCGCTGCGTGCCACGGTGCGGCAACGTTTCGGCGGAAGAAAGCCGTCGGATAGAGTATCCCTTTCCCTGAGCTTTTGAGTATTCCCTGCCGGCTGACAGCCTGTGTCAGGGCAGCTCTTGTTCATGGCTCATGTGTTTCCGTGCAAGCCCCACTGCAAGCGCTCTCACCGGGCTAGAAAGAGACGGGATGTCCTGACGTGGTGCACACTGCGTGAAGCATGCCTCTTAAAAGTGACCTGGAGGCCAAAGTTTTGAGAGCAGGCTGCCAACAAGCCAGGCTTGGGACTTCACTGGAACGCTTCTCGATAATCCGTGGTGCAGATGAAGTGATTGATCAAGGTTGGGGCTGATGGCGACAGAGATGGAGAAGAAAGAGAGAGCGAAGGGGAGGAAAGCGCGACGAGCATTGGACCGAGGCTCGTCGGAGCGATGACGTTGACGGCAGGCTACGGCCTCGATTCCGGCGCGCCAGAAAAAAAGTTCCCCGCGTCACTCGTCTCCGGCAAACACAGCTTACCCCGCCGTCATGGACGCTGCATTGAGCGCCTCTCCCTCTGAAGTCGACCTTTGCCTGCAGAATCTCACCCTCACTGTCGTCTCATATGTTTCGAGCCACGAGCCTTCTGCGACGGCCGAAGCCGGCTCTGTGGCTGCGGCATTGTCCTCCTTGAGCGTCAAGGTACGGCTGCAACCCTCCAACTCGCCGCCTTTAGGCCACTGTAATAAATTAATTTCTAGGTCGCCGTGTAGGATACACCTTCTATCCCAACCTTGCTGCAGCGTCTTGAGCACCTTCGGGCCCGCATCGCCGAACAACCTTACAGCATCTTGCTCCGCCTCCAGGTCGCCGAGCTATACCGCGCCCTTGGCTTCCCAGATCTTGCCGCTGCTGAAGCCTACAGAGCACTGTTGCTCGTCGACGAAGTGCTAGACGAGTCTGGGGAATATCACGACGACGCTTTGGAGGAAATCCAAGACGAAATTGCTTCGAAGCCTGCCTCGTGTCGGATTGACTTGGCCCAAAAGCATGCCGACAGGTTTCCCGGCGTATCGCAGCGTCTCAGCAGTTTCAATGGCTCCGAGGAAAGATGCGACGTCGAAGCGGACGAGGAGGAAGCCTGCCTGTGGGCTCAGACCATCTGGACTGACGCAGCGTATGTCTGTGTCCTAATCTTCGACGGTACCATTTGCTGAGAATATTCAGGTATGCATTCGTCACAGGGAACCTGTTAGCATGTGCATGTCTCAAAAGCGCCCACGACTTTTGCTCACGGGGCTTGAAGGCCAATCCGGGAAACAACCATCTGCTCAAGTTCCGCGACCTTCTTACCCAGCGCTTGACCCATCACTTCGCCTCCCGTGGCTTCGGCCTTGACGACGAAGATATAACTCCTGACGACTATCCCGACCGCACCTCTGTGAGGCGTGAGCTGTACCCCTGGAATACCTCGGAACCGGATAGATACTCTCCCGGCTCCCTCTCTCTGCTCAACGAGCAGATCGGTTCTATTGCACCGAAGCTCGAAGCCCGGGTTACCGAACTCCCGCTCCTGACGCCTGACGTGGATTCAGCCACCGGGTAAGTTCGCATCCTTCGTTCCTGCCGGCATGTTCAATAAAGCATATCTGCATTGTCCACCAATATTCGAGTCTGCTATCACAACCACGACTCAGGAGACTGATGATGGAAACAAGGCGCGATCCTTCCAGCGAGTCAGAGCCGGCGACGATCAAGCAGCTCGGCGTGTTCGCACGAGAGGACGTGGCTCCGGGAGAGAGGATTCTCGACGAAAAGTCCCTGCTCACCGCAAACGCCCGACTCCACGACTCGTACTGCGATGCCTGCAGCGCTCCGCTGCCAGATCTGCGCAATGGCTCCGAGGCAAGCCAGTGCGCCTTCTGCGAAGATTGCGATGATATTGTATTCTGCAGCCAGGATTGCCATGATCTGGCCCAGGAAGCATATCATCCTGCCCTGTGCGGCAATGATGTCGAGGCCATTGCCAAAGATGCCCCCGCGGCCGAGGCGGCTGATGCCCTCTACTCACTCCTGCTGCTCCGTGCCTTGGCAATGGCCGAGACCCAAGAAGTCCACCCGCTCGAGCTCAAAGAGTTAAAATACATATGGGGCGACTATCACATCCCGCCTCCCGGCACTAGCATACCCCTTACGCCGTCGCCACTAGGGCCGGCCAAGGACGCCTTCGGCGGCGCCCCACGGACGTTGCCGTTTTCGTTCAGCGCTAACGTCCTGACGCCGCTGCACATGCTCGAGAAGATGGACGTCAACATTTTCACCACGTCGGCCAAATATGACTTTTGGGTGTTCAACACGCTGTACGCCAAGTTCCGCGGCACGGCGTCGGCGCGCCAAGGCCGCGACGGCAAGCCCGACGTGGGCGCGGTGCATCCGCTCTGGTGCCTCGCCAATCACAGCTGCGACCCCAACGTGTCGTGGGAGTGGCAGGGGAACATGCGCTTCTGGGTTCGCAGCGAACGAGTGGCCTGGAAGGGCCGGAAAGCCCAAGACGACGACAGCTCCGAGAGGAGGAGCCAACCGGGCCTGCGGAAGGGAGATGAGATCTTGAGCCACTACTGCGACGTCGATCTTTCTGTCACGGATAGACGCGAGTGGGCTGCCGGCGCGCTCGGCGGCATGTGCATGTGCGAGCGGTGCGTTTGGGAGGCGGCTCGCGCGGATAACTCGTAAAAACGGGAATCCATGTTGATCTGCAGTCCCCGGCTGGCGATATGGGGACAGATCAGCGGGAGGGAAATGCGTACGCGGGGTGTAGATCTGATGCCGACGTTGGCTGCTGGAACAATTGATGTCCGTGTGTTGGGTATGCGGTCGGCAAAAGTCCATGGGTTTCGACTTCTGAAACTGAAACCAGAGCGTATCTATGTACCGGCCTTTTAGATCCAACGGTATTTGTTTCGAACTCGAAACAGAGCGAGTCGTAACCCAGCACTAGAATTGAAGATGTATAGCACATTATCGTCCTTGTGTCGTTCCTCCGCCACCTAATGACTTCGTGATCCTGTCCTAATAAGTTCAGTTGCCATGTTCTTCGCATGGCGGGCTACTTTCGTCTTTGACTATTTGACGAAAAAATATGTGGCAGGGATACTAGGGCAGGGCAAACGATATCACAAATGGTCAACAAATCATTTTCTCTGATTTGACTTCCACGACGAAGTCAAGAATATTTTCCCAACGACACCCATACTCAACCCGCGCTCAAATTTACCTCCTGAAGTAGTGATTAAAACGAAATAAAAGAAGCCACCCTAGCCAGGGTGGCCATAGAGATACAGCCAAGTAATGCATCATTCGTTCATTGACGTTGGTCTTCCCACGTGCTCCAGTACTCCAGTCCCATGCAGATAATATCATGCAAATAAAGCGTTGATCAACTCAGTAAAACCCAACAGGCCCTCTGCGATCCTGAGGTACTACGTAGTCCAGCTTCGTTGATGCATCTTTGGAATCGTTTGCGGGCGTCGAATCTCCTGCGGATATGGCAGGTGGCGCGGTTTCGGCAGCAGAAGCTTTTCTCCGCTTTCGAGATTGCACTGTACGCTCCTCGTCCTCGATCTCTTTTACCGCTGTTCGGACTGTCAGCCTCGCTCCCTCCAACCACGTGTGTGGCCAGACCCAATCAACTACGAAGAGGGAATTGAGCCGCCAAACGAGCGGAAAAGATCCACAGCAGATTGCCAGGAAAGCAGCAGCAAATGAAAAATCGGGGTGCGCCTACCTTCCTCCCACTCCCTCTCACTCTCCGCCTGTCCCGTGCCGAGGATGCGTTCGACGTCGACGTCCTCCCCCCTCTGCACCTTCTCCAGCACCTCGCGCAGCAGGGCGATCTTGGCGTCGGCCTTGCGGCTGAAGTCGGCCGTGTCGCGCCGCAGCACCAGCGTGTTGATGGCGTTGGAGCCGACGAGCAGGCCGAGCGCGATCCACACCGACGCCGGGTTCCACGGCTTCGCCTTCCACTCGGCCCACGTGAACGGACGCTTGTGCTTGGAGCGGAAGTGCTTGGGGACCAGGTTCTGCCAGAGGCTGGGCTGCGCGATGCGCGGGCGCGGGACTTCGCGGCGTTTGTAGGGCACGTAGGGCACGGCGGCGTAGGCGCGCCGGGTCGTGGTGGTGGTTGTCGTTGCCGTGGCGCAGACGAGGCATCGCGGGCGCGCTGGTGCGGGCGGTGTGGGCGCGGAAGGCTGTACGGAACGGGCGGGCGGCGCGCGACCGAGCGCTCGTGTCGCGCGGGAAAGGAACGCGTTGATGGGTGCCATTGGGTTCGTCCGAAGTGGTGGTTTTGCTGTGCAGGGAAAGTTGATGGCCGGGGAAGATTGCCGTTGAGCTGCGGTGGTGCGGCGCCGAAGACGGGCCGAGGGAGAGGGTACCGCACGTGATGCTGCTCCATCGGAAGTGACTTATCGCCGGCGCATCGGAATTAAGATGGTGGATGAGTGGGGTCGGAAAATACGACCATCGTCGGCTTTTTGGTGATGTCTTTTCTGCCCGGGCACTTCGGCTGACGCAGGGCGCATACCCGACAATCTTGTAACTTGGTAAGCTGGATCGTAGATCTCGACAGCCCTGACTGCATGTTCACGCCAGGAACAGGGAACGTCGAAAGACGTTGCCGTTTTTCAGCATTTCCAGTCAGATGTTCTTCGGATGAGCGTTTCGAAACAACCACGATCCCGAGCGCTGTCCGAGATGGCACAGAGACGGCATTTATTGTTCGAGCGCATGCTCCGCAGCAGAGCAACCGGGGCTGCCCGTCGAGGCTTGGTGTCTCCACGCTGACCACCATAACACGACGATTATCGACGTCGCAAAGTGACCCATCACATTAATGTCACCCATTACACGTGTAGAGCAAGAGAATCGGCTGAATAGACTTCGCACAGGATGAATACGACTCGTTACAGCCAGTGACACGAGCTTTGCCACTTGAGGCGCAACTCGCCTCTGATGACGCCAGCGTGGACTTGAAGGGATCCCTGGGTGGGCAGACCAGATGACGAGCAGATGATGAGGAGTGGCATGGAGTGGTATGAAAGCGTGCGGGCAGCTTGTGAACCGGCGGCCAGCAGTTTTCGGAACCAGTCACTGATAGGATGACGTCTCACCGCCCAGGGCGATGCATCGCTGGACGAATTTCACGGTGCGGTAGCTGCGGGCGTTAGTCTTCCAGGAAACACGGCAGTGCCCGAACGGGGATGGCTCCGATAGGGCTTCCGGCCGGGCGGTCCTGGTAACAGCACAGTTGAGACGGCCAAGACAAAGGTGTGCCGAAGCAGCATGCGGCCGTCTGCTGCGTGGAGAAGCGGGTTCGCAACACATGCGGTCTGATGTAGAGACTGGCCCGTTGCCCTTTCCCTTTTGTTTTTTCTGCCGCGGGGCAGCCAGGGCCACTAGCGCTCACTGGGGCGCACATGTTGGCGGAGCAGGGCCGGCCGACGTCATACCGTTCTGCGGCGGATCGCCGCGCGCCAACGCCTGCTGGCTCCAGTCTGGAAATGGACCGACACGGCCAAGAAGGTGGCCCTCCCGACGCAGGCGCCGCGAGATACCGCAAGTAAGGCCGCCATTGTGACACTGCCCGCGGCCCCTCATCCATGGCGCGCGCGCGCGGCGTGGCCGCCATCGCGTGTGCGACGTGAAGGCCCTCAGCGCGGGGCATTGGCATTGAGCTGGAGCTGGGGCGCGAAGGGAGAGCTGGGCGCCTCACCACCACGCGGTGTCCGGCGCCGCACCGCCGCAGCGGCGGTGGAGCCGGGCGCGGCGCGCCAGCCCAGCAAGGCGTTGCTGATTGTGCCAGATGCCGCGCGGGTGAACCTAGCGAGGGGGCCCCGTTATCGCCATAGTACAGTATCCGTACGGCGCGTTTGCGCAGTGCGGGACCGTCGTCATTGATGGGGTGCTCGTCCGGTACAAAATCGACAGCAAGCGCACCTTTCCAGAACGCTCTATCTGCCACACCCACCGCTGGCCCATCTGCCAAACACATCGTGTACCCACATTATTCCCTTGGCCGACTCGCACGCCCCGAGCCCGCAGCCTAGCCAGCCCTACTTCTCGCCGCCGCCGCCCTGCTGCCCGCCGCTGCCCCGCGCCTCTTCTTTCCCTGCGTCTTACCACCTCCACGCCGCGCACACCTCACAATGGGCAAGCCTCCGAATCTCTACTCCTTCCCCGACGACAACGAGCTCGCCAGGAGCTTGCGCGTCTATGTCTTTGACGCGCAGCGCAGCGCATTGGAGCGCCACGGCATCTTTCGCCTTGCCGTGTCGGGCGGCTCGCTGCCCAAGGTCCTGGCGAAGGCGCTGCTGTCCCAGGGCGAGGGCGCCTTCGACTTCTCGAAATGGGAGATCTTCTTCGCCGACGAGCGCGCCGTTCCCCTCGACCACGCCGACAGCAACTACTGCCTGCTGAAGGCTGAGCTGCTGGACAAGATCCCCGCGGAAGTGGGCAAGCCCACCGTCTTCCCCATCGACACAAAGTACCTCAACGACGTCCAGGAGCTGGCGGATCAGTACGAGCAGACGCTCGTCAAGGCCTTTGCCGCGCGCGACAGCGTCAAGATCCCCATGTTCGACCTCATCCTGCTTGGCTGCGGCCCCGACGGCCACACCTGCAGCCTCTTCCCCGGCCACCCTCTGCTCCGCGAGACGGATGCGTGGGTCGCGCCCATCGAAGACTCGCCGAAGCCTCCGGCCAAGCGCATCACCCTGTCCCTCCCCGTTGCCGCGCACGGCATCAAGATTGGCTTCGTCGGCACCGGCGCCGGCAAGAGCGAGATTATGCGGAAGATTTTCGACACGGAGGAGGGCCACGCCCTGCCCTGCGGCCTCGTCAACACCATGGCCCAAGAAAGGGTTACGTGGTTCACGGACTATCCGGCGGTGGAAGGCGTGCAGTTCCCGGTCAGAAGAAGCAGTTTGTAAAGCGTGCAAGGCCGGGTTGGTGGTGGTGAAATGGGGACGGATCCGAAAGCTCCACGAGCTACGTTGTGATGTCTGGGCGTCTTCTGGCGGGTTGTTCTCTCGTTTTCCTTACCGATGGAGATATCCAAGCTTGTTTTTGCGACGGTTGGCTCGGTCGATGTTGGCCTGACATAGTCCCCCCTATACCAAACGTGCTCGCATGGCTATAGATTTGGATGCTACCGGGCCGTTCACTACTGCAATGTCATGGTCTCTCACAATACTTGCCTGCGTGCCACAAGCGAGCACATCACATGCCTCTATGGACCGGGACCGGCAGTTTGAATCGTCCTTTGTGAGTGTAGAGCTTAGGGAATGCTGACGGCGTGGCCCAAAAGGGTGATTCGGGCGCTCACGTGCAGCGCGCGGCCCGTTTCCCTGTGGACGAGCGGGCAGCAAGAGCCGCCAAACAAATAGGCCGGGCCGCTAAGATCAACACCACCGCCTGCAGGTTCACACGCACCCCTGCTGCGCACCTGCCGCGCACCTGCCTTCCGCTCCGCGCAGTCGCAAAACGCGATCGCAATGGGAAACGGAGCTCAACAACTCCTACTTCACCATGTCCTTCGTATGTGCTTCCAACGCGCGTCGCATGCCCCTCGTCTTCCGCTCACTCACACCCACAGCTCCCTGAACCCACCCGCAGCCCCGCGCAATCATCCCCGTCGCGATTACCTACCTTGTCAAGACGCCCCACCGTTGGCGCCGCAGACAAAGAGCATGGAGCCAAACGACGGAATCAACTACCGCAGCCCTCGGCCTCGAAGACAGCCGCTACCGCGACGCAGGAAGACCGCGGCGCCGGCCAGTCCAGCCAGCCCGCGGCGCCCCAGAGCAGACCGCTGAACCGGACGCAAAGCGTCGGCGCAAAGCTGGCCGCCACGAGAAAGACGGGGGATGCTGCAAGAAAGGAGATGCCTCCCCCTCCGGTACCTTCAGGCGTGACTCGGACGCGGTCACTGCGGAGACCTACAGGTGGTCAGAATGCCGCGTCAGGACTGCGCGCGCCGGCCTTGACCGGCGCTTCCTCAGGCGCTCCAAAGAATGCTGGTTCCGGAAGCACCAGCAGACCAGGTTCATCGTCAGGGACGTCGTCCAAAAACGCCGCATTGCAGAAACCGGGTCTGAGGGAACGAACGAGAGCTGCCACAGTGTCTTCGCCCCAGCCTGAGCGGACACGTCCGGCGGCGGCGTCCCAAAAGATTCAACATGCGTCCAGCAGCGGCTCGAAGATCGGCGGCACGGCCCTGAAGCATACGAGATCAAGGTCAGACCTCCCGGGTGGGGCAGGGCGGACGCAGACAGGCATTGCATCCTCCCGGAGCGCAATGGGCTCAGAAAAAGAGCCCAAACCGGCGGCCAAGCCGGCTTTTTCCACGTTGCAGCAGCACTATTCTCCAAAGAAGACGTCGGAGCCGAAGAAGGCTACGTCGGCCTTTTTCCATGCATCATCAGTCAGCACCGGGGGTACGGACGCGCTTTCAGCCGAAGTGCTGGCGCTCCAAACAGAACTCCTCCAGCTACACATGCTGCACGAGTCGGCAGCGGACGTCCGGACGCAGTGGGAGCGCAGCGCAGAGCACGCACTCCGGCTCCAATTCTACGAGGTGGCGACGGCGCACCACAACATGCGCAAGAACGAGAGCGAGGTGCAGGAGCTGGTGAACCTGCATGCGCTGCAGGAGTGGAGCAGTGGGAACGCCACGTTGGGGCTCGCGGAGAATATCCAGCTCCTTGGGCCGCTCCTGAACGAGCTGCGGGCGCTCACGGACGCGGGCGGACGACACACGAGCGCGGTGCAAGAGTTCGAGGGGTGGAGCAGCCGGGCGGAGGAGGTGTGGATGCAGCGGGAGCGGGAGCAGGAGCAGGGGCGGAGGGTGAGGGTGGTGGAGGGGCTCGGGGACGGATGGAAGGTGGAAGTGGCGGCGCTCATCCGCAAGGTGACGGCACTGGCACGCGACGCGGACCGGCTGGTAGAGCCGGCGGCGGGATCCAGCATCAGCACGGTGGTAGGAGGGTGCCGGGCGCTGGTGACGGGCATCATGCACGAACTGCAGCTCATGAGGCGCATCGAGGCCGAGGTGGGGCAGAGCGAGGCGTGGTTTGTCGAGCAGTCGCTGCAGGGAATGGACGCAGAAACGGAGCTGGCGCAGGGAACGGGAGCGGGCGGCATGGTGTGGCAGCAGGTGTAGAGTGTGTAAGCAATGCAAGCGAATCTGCGTGGCGTCACCAAGCATCTGCGTGGTGTGCATGCGGGCTGCCAGGGCAGGTGAGGCAGGCGAGGCAGGTGAGAGCACTGCGGGCACTGCGGGCCACGTCGCCGTCATGACTGATGGAAGACGCGAAGTCGCCATGGAGCAATCTTACCAAGCAAGGCGAGCATCGCGTGCGGCTGACCTCAGCGGGCCTCAGCGGGCGTCGGCGGGCGTCGGCGGGCCCTCGCCCTGCCTCGCCCTCGACGCAGCGGCCACGCCGTCTCTTCCGGCCGCTCCCGCGCCCCTACCGCCCTCAGCGAGCCAGGGTCGCGTTCCTGCTCCCAGCAACATGGTCCCCGCCAAGCGGCAAGCAGCGAGCAGCAAGCACCAGCCGTCAGACGGCGGAAATAACCGTCCGTGAGCATATACGCAGTAGCGCCGTCCCGTTTCTCGCCCACCACGCACGCCCTCTTGCCTGCTTCATTCTGTTACGTTAGCCCCGAAGAGTCAGCCAGCCAGGCCCACCGCCCGCCCGGCTCCCGCCCGGACGCCAGAGCTCTCCAGTTTTCCCCGTGTCCGCGCTGCTCCACGAATCTGTGCCGGAACCCACTCCGACCGCCTTATAGCTGCCGCCCGGCCATACCCTGCGCCCACGAGCCCACGCCCTTCCTCTGACCACCGAATGGCGGCCTGCACAGGCCTGCCGTTGCACTCGTCGCCTGGCGGCACCTATGGATTCTGCTGCTGCTGCTGCTGCTGCTGCCCGCTCCAAGAGGCCGTGGGAAGAAGAATCCCATGCTCTCCCCAACCATCACCCACCCCACTCCCACGCCCGCTGCGAGTGCTCCACGCCGCTCGACCATAGGCCGCCACACGCCCTCCACCAAGACCCCGGATCCGCCCAGCCATGGCCCTTCCGCCCCGACGCGCGCCGCGAGTCCGCCGTGCGCCAGCTGTATTTTGCCGACTCTCCCTCGCCCCAGGACCTGCAGAGTCAGGCCGATGCCGCGCAGAACAACAAGAGACGCCGCCTCTTCTCCCCCCATCTACCACGCCCTCCCGCTGACTCAGCCGGCTTCCGTGGAAGCGGGGAAGACCACGATGGTACATGCATTCCTCTTTCCCAGTCCAGTCCTTGCCCTTCTTTGTCATCGACGTAAGCCCGACTGTGTAATTGACCGCTGCATCTGCTGACACGCCTTCTGCCAGACGAGCCTGGCTGTCAGCAGCCGCCTGCATCGCCCACCATGTCGTCTGCCCATCTTGACCCGCGTGGCTTCCCGCCTCCCGTCTTGCCCCAGGACGACAGTGCTTGCTGCGAGACCTCCTGCAACGGCCTGGCCTGTACGAGGCGGCGAGCCCTGATCAGCGATCTTGTCGCCGAAGTCGACACGCTCAATTCCGGCTTCCAGCGCTTCGTCCTGCAGACCAACAGTCAGCCACGATCGGTGAGGAGTTTGCCGTGCCCTCCTCGTTCGGTGTCACCCGCGCCTTCGGGCCCAGTACTGACCACCCAAAGCATTCTTTAGCACTTGCGAGACTGGGAACAGACCAGGCCCTCGCCTTTGCCGTCGACCTCCTACGAGCGAACGTTGCCAGTCTCCGAGATCTGACGACCCCCCTTCCGCTTCCCTCCGGGGCAGACCATCACTCCGCTTCCACTGCCGCCGCTACCGCCGAAATCCGCGATGTCATGAAGCGCAGATTTGACCCCATCACGAATCAAGAAGCCCCTCCCTTCCTGTCCCGGCCGACGAGCGGTGGAGACAGGGACCCGTCTCGCACAATCCCTCCACCCGGCCCTTACGATGATGTCCGGAGAAGCTTCCAAGGAAGTAGGGATCCTTTATCGCCGCACCACTCTCCTCCAGGAGCATACCCCATCCCCACTAGCGGAAACGCCTACCACACACGACCTTCGTCACCTGTTGCTCTTCACAACTACCACCACCCTCCGCCACATCGAATGCTCCCCTCCCCATCCTCTCTGAACATCCCAGCACCATCATCCATCCTGTCTCTCGCCTCATCTTCACCTTCCCTCCTCCCCCAGCCTTCCTTGTCGTCCTCGTCCAACGCCGCGCACACCGCCCACCTACAAGACCTTCAGCATCAAATCTCACTCAAGACGCTAGCGCTCCAGACGCTCCGGCAGGAGTACGACGCCCTGCTAGCGAAGCTCGACCGCCAGCGCACCAAGTGCGCCACGCTCGAAAGAAAGTTCGAGGTCACCGACGTCGAGATCAACGGGCTGACGACGGAGAAGGAGGAGCTGGAGTTGCGGGTCGCCGCTCTCGAGCAGCAGGTTGATGAGCTAAGGGAGCAGCGCGACGACGCGCGGCGGCGGGAAGTGCGTACGGGCGAGCAGTACAGGAGCATCGTGGAGATGGCGGGCAGGCTGCAGGGAATGGCAGCCGAGGAGAGGAGGACATGGGTGCAGGAGAGGGAGGGGCTTCTCGGTGCTTTGGGATGGAACGGTGATGGTGGAGGTGGACGAGGGCCCGAGAAAGTAGACATGCGAGGCACCTTCAGACATGCAATGTCTTCGACCGGCATGGACGATCCAACAAGAGGAGCGACCTTACTCGACACGGCAAATCTTCCGCCTCCCATTCGAGATGCCGACCAGCACGCCCCACCGATCCCGGCTTCTGCTGCTACGTCTCAAGTCATCGCCGCACTACGAGTCGAGGTGGCTCAGCTACGCTCTCGGACGCAGACTCTCGAAGCCGCCATCAGATCCATTTGCGACCAGGGTACCGGGATGGAGGAAGCCTCTCAGGCCATCGTCGAAGCTGGAAGAAGGATGAAAGAGGCGGCAAGGGAAGCAATCGGTGGTAGATGACACTTCAAGGCATGTTTGGGGCAGAAGACTGCCCTAGACATAAAAAGTTGGGCTTATGTCTCCCTGTGATACCCATGGGCTGAGTTTTTCATTTTTTAAATATTTTTTCTCCTTCAACTTGCAGCATGCTCTATTTTCCATATTCGCATTTGGGAAAAGCTCATGCTATTTTATTCGTTCTTATCCTACCAGCGCGGACTCGTAGAGATTTGGCATGGCTGTCTTTCCTTGGCAGAGGAAATAATATTGGGAACCAAATCATCGGGATGCAACGTCAACGGCTACAGCATATATACGAGCACTCTTTTTCTTTCTTCAGTTTCATCTTCTCAGGCAAGATAGAGTAAAAGATGGGCCGTTCTGTCTGGAAAGCGTATGCCTGGAAAAAGCAAGGACCAAGCCTTGAACTCTATGTGAGTTTCGGAACGAGAAAAACATCCACGTCGTGATCGCCGAGCGGAAGAGCCGGGGCCGCTTCCCTCCCGATGTTCGCCGATGGGTCAAGGGCATTTCCAAGCTACAATGCTACGCCGCAGGGCTTGATTCGAGCGGGGTTAACGACAAGCAGTCTAGGTCTTCTTGGCAGTTTTACTTACAATACGAGCAGAGCAGGTTAGGGAGGGAAATTGGCTTGACTGGGAGGCTTTGTCATGCGTGCATCGGAATTAGAGAACTTACATAAATGATGGTTAATCCGACGCGCAGCGCAGGCGGCGGGCCTTAATTCTGGCTTGCGGCGCAGCGGTGCGTCGGGACTAATTATATCCACCGGTGTCGCGGGATGCCCATTTGCTCTATAGTAATTGCAATATTATCGTCGGGAGCAGCGCATGAGTAATTGCTGATCATGCCAAGGCAGTGCAATGAGATACTCGTACCACGTCGTATATTTAGATATTGGTTTGTACCCTTCAAGAAAGTCAAGGCCCTGGGGTAGCTTACGGGTCTCGGATAAGTGATTGTATGTTGAGCGCAAGGCGCTGTAATTGGTGTTGTTTTGCGGGAGCGAGCGGACGGGTGGCATGTCGCGGCAGTCTGACTTCGACACTGGCCGTGCTGACAGCACGCCACTGAAGATAAGAAGGAAGAAAAAGATAGCCAGACGAGTGAGGGGAAATGCGGTAGATAGTGTTAGTGTTAATGATTAGTGAGTGGATCGATTGGTGCGACGGTGGGAGGATCTCCAGAGGTGTGACGAGAACATTTCACCAAAGTAGAACTTGATCTTCTCCGCATGGCTCCTGCTTTCGACCTGCCCCATGGGAACTAGAAGTCCATACTGATCCAATCGGGTACTGTAGGCAACTCTCATAAAGCTGTCGGGCTGTTGTCATTGAACTCCCGAGTCCCTACCCTACGATCATATCTCTTTCTCTCCGTCAGCCTTGAGCTGTACCGACATGACTGTTCCCGTCCAACAGCCAATGCGGGGACTTGAGAGCTCAGCTACGTGTCCTTTGCCTTCTCTGCGTACTTGCAAGAGCGAGCAACCATCGGACTCAAATGGCAGAAACCATGTTAGGCGGCCAGGTCGATGCGGCGTAGAACAACAAACGGCGGTCAAGCGGCCGCAAGGTTTCTGTTGAATAGAACGCGAGTCAAGCTCAGGGATTAGTGTGCGAGTCGGGGAAGCCGGAGTTGCGGAGTTGCCGCTGCTAGAAGCACCGGGCCCAACGCACGCTCCACAAGCTTTTAGCCACGCTGTCTCTCCCTGCTGCTCGTCAGCGGTTGAGGAGTTCGTCCGTGTGCCTATGTACAGCTCGCATGGAAGCACCTGCGTCAGAGCCAATGCTTCAACTGCGGCTATTCAGTGTAAATCGAAGTTCATACTTCACTGTCAGTTGAGGAGTTCGGCCGGACATGGATGAATGCCGCACTCGAGAGCACTCGAACTCAACGCTTCACCTACTAAAGTCGTGTTTGCATAGACGCACATCGCTTATGAGCAGTCGGAGAGTTTGTCTAAAGATTCGCGTCTGGATAAACTATTCAAGTTCTGACATCTTTTCCGTACTAAAGTACATCTCTCGTCGGTGCTTGCAGGATTTTTACGGATGTAGCGAAGCTTCTAGCAAGAATCTGCCTCCAGAAAACGGCCTCAATTCCGTGTGCGTCGTAGTTGTTTGCCGCCCGTTATCGATTTCTATTTCGCTTCATAAATCACATCAGCCTCCTTGGAATTCACACAAGTATGAAATTTGCATTTGTTGGGCATGAATAGTTTCTTATCAAGACATGGAGCTTCCAAATTAGCACATATCACAGAAAGAGAATGAAGTGATTGACTCATTTCATCGCACCCGCACAGATCGAAGTATTTTGTGTATGGGTTTTCTATTGTATGTAGAGGAGAGTGGGTTAAAGACTTCTCCCCGCAAGTAGGAAAAAAGCACAAACAAGCCGACCACGCTGTGTAATATTTGGGTATCATAGAAAAGAGAGAAGCCAGGGTATCATGCCCAAGAGTCCGGCGACCGGGAAATCCCCAACACCACGCCAAAACGAGAGTGAAGACTAGGGAAGAAAAGAACAAGACAAAAGCAAACAAAAGGAAACAAAAGTCAGAAGCAACAACAGCCGACGACCAAGATCCAGGCTAAAACCCGCACCAGCCCCAACCCATAGGTATATCCCACCAAAACCCCTCCCTTACGAACCATCATCCCCCTCCCCTTCCCCTTCCCCCCCTCAATCCACCCACTCACCCACCCACCCAACTCACCCAACCCACTCACTCACGCACCCAATACACATGCGGCCCGAAATCCGCCCACCACGCCGCCACCACCTCGGGCCCCACCTCCGCCTCGGCCTCGCGCTCCCGCCTCGCGTCATCCGCCGCCGTCTCCTCGCCGCACAGCGCGCGCAGCGCCCGCGCCCGCTCCGCCGCCATGCGCTTGCCCTCGAGCGCCGTGTCGTGCGCGTGCTGCGCCGCCGTCTCCGCCAGGTGCGTCAGCAGCGGCTCGCCCGTGCGCGGCGGGACCGGCGACGGGAGGACCGACATGCAGCGGCGAGGCTTGCCCCTGGTTCCGGTGTGGGGGGAGAAGCTGCCCAGGGTGAGGGGGGAGGGGGTGGGCGGGCTGGGTAGGGGGCGGAGGCGCTTGGCGGGGTTAATGGGGTTGGGGTTGGGGTTGTTGTTGTTGTTGTTGTTGTTGTTGTTTGTGCCGTTGGCGAGGGCGGTGTCGATGGGGGAGGGGGCGCGGGCACGCTTTTTGCTGGTGCCGTTGCCGGTGCCGGTGGTGGGGTTGATCGTGGGGTTGATGCTGGGGGAGGCCGCGGGGCAGCGCACCGCCTCGGAGAAGGGGTCGTCTGGGTGTTCGTCCATTTCGTCGGCCAGCTCGGACTGCAGGTCCATCTCGTCGTCGTCGATGTCGGTGAGGTCATCGGCGTCGATGTAGGGGAGGTAGTTGCAGACCTTGTTGAAGTCGATGGTGCGGGGGGCGTTCTCGATGGGGATGAAGATGTCTGGGGCCGCGATGGTCGAGGGGCTCTGCTGCGGCTGCTGCTGCTGCTGCTGCTGCTTCTTGTTGTTCTTCTTTTCCGCCGCCTTGGTCTGTTCCTGCTTGGCGACATATTCTAGAAAGTCGGCCTCGTTGGCCTGCTGCTTGTCGTCGAAGACGCTGTATGAGGGCGAGATGTTGTGCTCGTAGAGCCAGACGGCCAGGCACGAGGCGTTGGCGTGGCGGAGGTGGTGCAGCAATGCGGACGCGAAGTCGGGCTTGTCGAGCTCCGGCGTCAGGCCCGGGTACTTGTCCGTGTCCAGCTGCGTCTCGTCGAAGGGGATGGCGTTGAGCCCCTTGCGGATGCTGCTCGCGACGGCAACGAGGTCGCGGTTGTGGATGTACGTGCCACTCTTCACGAAGACCTTCAAGTTGTGCACCGTCTTGAACCTCATGAGATTCTCCTTGCGGATGGAGAAGTCGAGGGTGGCCATCAGAATCGGGTCGGCGAGGGCGGCCCAGTGTTGGTAGAGGTGCTCGACCACGGTCTGGAAGGGGAGGTGCTCGGCGAACTGAGAGTAAGGAGCCAGGCGTCCGGCGGAGAAATCCCTGTAAAGCTCGCGGTAGAGCATGACGATGTGGTAGACGGTGATGTACCAGAGGTCCTCATAGTTGTAGAGAAGCTCGTTGATGGAAACCTCCGTGGTGCCGTCGGGACCGACCTCGACGTTGATGACATTCTTCAGCGCGAGCCTGAACAAATGGTCGTGGAGTCCGGCAAGCTCGGGGGCGCCATCATCGAAAGAGATGGTGTCGAGATCGGAAAAGTAAGAAGCGGAGCGCTTGAGCTGCTGGATCTCCTTGGCGGTAGCGTAGATGATGTCGCGAGCGCAGTCGAGAGGCATGCGGGCAGACCTGCGGACCTCGTCGATGCGGGGAAGGTAGGCAAGCATAGGCATCTTGAAACTCTTGTAGGAACCCGGGGTGGTGGGATCACGAGTCATGTTGGGCAGACTGTGAGCAAGACCAAGATGGAGTGAGGTCAGGTCCGATATTTGGCCTGACTGAACTTCTGCGAGGCGAGGGGTCAGGTACAATGGTTGTCCTGACTGACTTTGGGTGAGAGGGGTGAGCTGCTTGATGGAAGAGCCGGATCCAACGTCCAATGCTTGGCCGGAGTGAGATTGAGTGAGGTGAGGTGTCGATCAGGGAAGGGCCCGAATCCAATGACCAATGCTTGGTTCTGGCCGAAGTGAAGTGAGACGGTCGACTGCTGGACGACGGCGTGAGGTCGAGGTCTCGAGTGAGGGGGGACTCTAGTTTGAGCTGAGCGGAGGGCCCGACTCGAATGAGAATGGAGTGAGAAAGAAGCTGAGGAGAAGGTGGGAAGTGCTCTTTGAAGGTGGGGTGTCGTCTTGGGAGGTGGGCTTGATTCGAGACGCACGGCAAAGAGAGCTGGACGAGGAGGAGTGGAGTAAGAAGAGAGGGAGAGGCGAAGAGCAGAAGATTGCAGCCTGTGAACCCGAGCATTAGCTAAGCAGGTAAGCCGTCGCTACGGTCGGCACATTACCGGGCCCGTCCCAACGCTGGCCAGGCATCGCGAAGTGAGGTGAGGTGTTGCAGAAGCCAAAGTGAGGTGCCATGACAACCACTCCCCAAAAGTATGTCCGAGACGCCCAGGCGCTATTGCATGGAAATCGGCAGTGCCAAAAATGATGAACAGGCAATTTTGAGATGGGCCGCTGGTCGGAAGCGCTCTGGGGATGGGTTGTGGTTGCGATGCGGGTTTCGCGGGTGGACGTTTCGAGGGACCGCCCGCCCGCCTTCGACCATTTGCCGCAACAATTGCCAACAGTTGAAGCTGTAAGTTCAGAGAGAGGTGAAAATTACAGAACGATGCGAGATCACACTCTTAGATTCAAAGGAAGTTGATGCATTGTCTCGCTGGAGCGTTAAACTACCTGGTGAAGCCGGTGCACAGAGCAGAGTCCTCCTCTGCCGAGAGACATATGAGGTACATGACCGAACCCAGCCGAGTCCATATCTAACAAAGAAGCAATCCCTCTAGTATATGTGTCCCTCTTTAATACAGGGTGGAAATATAAGGGCAGCGAAAAGCTTGAACGAAGCGACGAACTCTCACAATACACATCATGCCTCGTCATCTACGTAAGCGGGGTCAACCTCAATTACAGCTGGCATCGGTCCAAGGTCCGCGATGTTGGCTCCCGGCAGCTCGACGTGCGGGATGTGCCACGACTCGTCGTTCAAGCGCTCGACCGTGCTGTTCGTCAGGCCCTTGCAGCCAAGTAAAGACAAGAACTGCGGGGACATGTTAGCCGCGGTCGCCCAAAGACGAAGACCATGCACGAACCTGTAAACTCGGCAAACCTCCAATGTGCGCCGCCGTCTCCGCGTTGATCTCGCCCGCGAGATCGCAATCGACCAGGCCCAGCGTCTGCAGACTGGCCCTCCCCTCCCACTCCTCGTCCAAAAACTTCAGCAGCTCGATGCCGACGTCCGGGCACTTCTTCAGCCACAGCTCCTTCAGGCCGGGGTTCCTCTTCAGGATCTGGCACAGCTGCCAGTCGCTCACTTCGGCGCCGATGAGCCGCAGCGTCTCCAACCGGCTCCACGCGGCGGCAAACTTGTTCCACTCGGTGCCGGTGCCGGCTTCGGGCATGGCGCGGTACAGAGACGGAGGCCGGCGCGACGGGCCGCGGTCGTCGTCGTCGTCGTCGCCGTCGTCGTCGACATCCACAGTAGAGCCCCAGTTGATGATCCAGCGGCGCAGGAAGCCACGGCCGAAGGGATCCTCGACACGCAGACACAGGGTGCGCAGGTTCTTCAGCCCGGCCAGGGCGTCGGCCACAGGCGGGGTGAGTGTCCAGATGCTGAGTTCCAAGTGGCGCATGGACAAGCAGTAGCGGGTCAAGATGGACGAGATGAGGGCGGAGTGGAAGGCCAGCAGCGTATGAGGCCGCAGCTCCGACGCCTGCGGAATGACATGTGCGACGGTGCACGCCTCGTTGAAGAGGTCAGATGCTGAGGACGAGGGCGACTTGGAGCTACACGACGACGAAGCGGGGAGAGAGCTGGCGCTGCTGCTGAGGCTTCTGGTGCTACGGGAGTACGGGGATGCGGTGGGACTGGTGCTCGAGAGCTGGCTGATCAAGGAAGAGACACGGGTGGGATAGACGCCCAGCGAGAGGGTTTGCAGGCTTGAGGAAGCGAGAATGTACGCGGATCGGCTAGCTAAGGAAAAGGCAAGCAGGGAGCGGATGGGCAAGAAGCTAAGGATATGGAACAGGAGCTCCGACGGCAACGAGGTGAGGTGGGCCATGGTAGGTTGGAGGGTGCTACAACAGATGCTCGTCGGCGCGGGGGGAATTATCGCGGGAGGAAGAGGCAGAGGCAGAGGCAGAGGCAGGCGCGCGTCGGTGAGCGTGCCCTAAGCCGCTGCTGAGTGAGGTTTATTCAACGAGGAGCGTCTGGGGCGAGCGTCAGCCACTTTATCTCGCGGGCTGGCCAGGGCGGAGGAGTAGCAACGTACCTGCGGTGGCTCGCGATGGCTCGCGATGCATGGCTGAGGGCGCTGCGCGATGCCGGGCGCGAGGGCCACGGCAGCGCTTCTTAAGTCTCAGCTTTTTCGTGGGCGAGAAGGCGTGCCTGGGATGCCGCGCCCACGGGAGCGCCCCAGCTGGCCCAAAGGCAGATGCAGGCGTTGCTTTTGTCGAAACGCGGCCTATCGCATGTGCGCAGCCGCCGTGACGCCGCGAGCCCAGGCAGCTCGTCACTCGCGGCGTGAAACACTGCCCCGTCTGCCCGTCTGCCCGTCTGCCCCGTGGTACGCGCTGCGCGCCGCGTCCAGTGGCCAGGTCGCGGGGCAGCTGCGATCCGGAGCCATGGTGGATGACGCAGGTTCGTGACCTGCGAGCCAGAGTGCCAGAGTCAGCAGGCCCGCCGCGCGATGAAACCGTCAGCACATGCGATTGCGCAACCAGATGCGACCAGATGCGGCTGCAGCTCATCTCCCACCCGGACCGCGGTGCATCGGACGATATGCTGCATTGCTTCGTGGCTGCTTCGTGGCTGCTTCGGCTGCGTGCGTGCCTGCCTTGCGTGCGTGCGTGCCTTGCCTGCCTGGCCAGCGCCGATGCAGGAGCGCCATGTGGCACAACCGCCTGCAGCCTGCAGCCTGCCCGTCTATAAGGGCGCTGCGCCTCGGAACGAGCAACACGTCGACTTCTTTCTGTCCCTCCTTCCTGCTGCCTGCCTGCTGCTGCCCCGACCGCATCGACAGCGCACCGCCGCAGCCGCCTCGCGTCCAAGTCACCACTGGCCGTGACGCCGACTCGACCCGGATCCGGCGCCGCATGTGCGACCACGTGACGCGCCCGTTTCCGCCGCCGCCGCTGCGCTGCAACAGCCGGCCCGCCGTGGCCGGGAATGCGTGGCCTGCGGAGAGAACTACGACGACTGCGTGGCAATAAGAGACGAAGGAATGACGATGAGTGGAAGACGTCGGCATCGTCGGAATCGTAGCGCGCCCCGCCGGCACCGGCACCGGCACCGGCACTGGGCGGTACAGAGCGCGGGCGGAAGTTCCCCGCCTGCTCCAGCCAGCCAGCTGCTGCTCCGCTGCCTAGCCACCCACCCACCGCACCGAAATCCGTTACTATCTCCAGCCGCGAGCGGGAGCTACACGCCTGGCAGCGACGCCGGCGCGCGCGACGGCCTCTGGACCTAACCAGCCTGCGCAAAAACCTCGGGCCCCGTGCCTGTGTCTGCGCTGCGCCCTATTTCCGTCGCGCGCCTTATGCCCACCCGCCAGTCCGCCGCTTCCCTGGAGCCTCATGTGAGCCTGCCACTCTTCCTTCCGGTCCTCCAGCCATGTCCGCCGTCATCTGCCGCCGTCTCCTGGCCAGCGTAGGGCTGCCGCCAGACCCACCCTCCAGCCACCGCCGCGTCACACCAGCCTACGCATCGCCCCTGGCTCAAGACCGGGGCTAGGGCTTAGGCACCACGCCCTCCCCTCTAGATCGTTGCTGCAAAGGCATGTTCCAGACGCCGGGACCCGTCCTGAGGCAAGGCACATCACCCGCCCGCCCCATCAAAGGGTCCTCTTCCGCCTGGCGCCGCCTGTTTAGCGCCATGACTAACGCTCAACGACCCATGACTACAATCAGGGCGGAAAAGAGACAAGGCTCCTACGCCATCGAAACGTGCGGGAATGCGGCCAGGTTTAACCTTCTTCAGAATCACGGACGCTGTGGCTCGCGCAGGGGTTGTGCGGACGGGGCCTTTGCCTACCAAAGCAGCCGAGTCCATGGTAATTGTCTCGCCCTGTACACAACAGTAAACCTTTGGCCGGTTGGGCATGGTGGTGGGAAAAGCTTCATCTTTCTCCTTGGCGGACCCTTGTCTCGCAACCACTGGCCATCCGTCTCTCCCCATGTTCTCCCTTGGACACATCCTCGTCAGGAAACTAACCGTCATCTCGTGCTGCTTACCCCACTTGTCGACTCGCCCTGCCTCCTATGGGTCCAATAAGCTGAGCTGAACCCCAGGTCTTCGCACGTTTTTAGAGCAATCTGCGCAACAAACTTTCTGGCGTCCGCCCGTCCCGCACCATATGCTGCACCATGTGTCCCCAGAGATCCCTTGCTTTGCTTATCCTGCTCCCCTCATTTCCTCAATAGTTCCTGCGAAAACGATTATCCGCTCGCGAAAGGAAAACCACGCTTCGACGGGGAAGGCCCGCGGCCAAGGAAGAGGCGCTAGCGTTGATGACCGACTCAAGCTAAATGCGTTAAGGCGCCCCCTCAGACTAAACAACAGGGCGCCATCGCGCGATGGCTGGGCCGCCGCTGCGTCAGGTCGAGGCGGGAGATATGGGGCACAGGCCGCGACGAGGCGCCTTGTCGTGGGCGTTATTGATGGCGCGCGCCGGTCCGCGCAACTTGTTGGTGCTTTGCGGTTGGGACGGCAGTGGTAGCAATATGGAACCGGTGTAGGTCGTCATCCGCGTTGGTGGTCGTTGCGTAGTTGGCCGGGATCGTCGATTGAGGCTGATAATCGCGATAGCAAGAGAGGTGCTTTTGGCGGGCACAGGTAGTAAGCACAGTAGCGAGAGAGGCGAGCTCGTATCCACCATGATGAAACGCTTCTGCTTCATCGTGGGGAGTGTCTGGAACTTCATGCCACAGAGTCAAGTGAAACACTCAGCATGGACGACTACGCGTACGCAATATGCACAATACCTCAGGCCTCGCGGGCGTGACAATAATCAACAGAGATGCGCACACCGGAAAGCAGGGAGGGTCTCTGCAAGGATTCCCTCGGGACTAACCCAAGGGGGCAAGAAAATGAGAGAGCGAGCAGTCAGGGCCAGGGTCGATGCAGCTTTCCCGACCAGCCCTCTGGAAGGAGGCTAAAAGCAGAGCTGCCAGAAAATTATGACACAATGACACGCTTACACAAGAGTCAGGAACCTTGCCGCAGCTCCATCGCTCCACAAGCTTCCCCCGCTCCGCTCTCGTGTGTGGTTAGTTGGGCCCATGGCCCATTAGCTGCCGCGTATCGTTTTCCGCGGACGATCGACCGCCGTGCGCGCTGAGTCGCAAGTGCCCGGCATGACCCATGCCCGCAACCTTGTTCTTCAGCTTGTCTTTTGAAATTTTCCCTTCATCCCTCCCCTCTTCCCATTAATTGCCAACGGCGTGGTGATTTCGCTAACGCTTACGCACGAGACGTGGGCAGCCTTGACATGGGAAAGAGTTGGATCTTGGCTCATCCCGGAGCTCCGAGGAAAAGAAAGCGTGGGTGGTCGTTTGGCGCACAAACCTTCCATCTCATGTCAATCAGCCAGCGTTCCTGTCCCGAGTCAGGACAAGCTTATCTGGAAAGTCGGGACGCTAGAACGTCGCTAGAAAAGAAGGGTCAGCCAAAAGCAAAAAAGCAAAGTCAAATATAATAATGCTCCACGAGGACCAGGGCTCAAGGCAACGCGTGAGCCTCACCAAAGGAAGGTCCAAGCAAACATCTAGGTACCTGGGCCACATGGCCTAAACGGTGACAAGAATTGGTGGTGAGGGGCCGCCAAGCTCGGCTTTTGCCTCCGCTTACCGCCTTCCGCTCTATCCCGTATACGCCGTGGCGCCCAGCCTTTTTTTTCAAACTCAAGATCCAATCCTGTTCTCCTTTTGGCGCTGCGCCTGCCAGAAAAGGATGGTAACTAGCATTTTTGATGCAGTGCTAGTAGATGGTCAACACTGCAAAATAAATTAAATGCGCAAGTGCACTGGCGGTATTCCACAGGGCCGCCTCATTTTCTTTGAGAGGGGGGGTCTTGACGCGGACGACGTAGACACGAGAGCGCTAAGAATCGTCTCATATGGGAGGAACCGCATGAGGTTGGAGGAAAAGGATGAAGAGTCGACGCACAGACGCGTACCAACTACGTACACTCAGGTACTGTCAAGCACGCCTGCACGGCGCTAGCCATCTCCTTTCTCTGTGTGCGCGCGCGTCCCCGGTGCCAACGAACTAGATCAACTGGGAGCCATTTCGCGAGATGCGTGCACACATATTCATCCTCAGGGCATGTGCCGTAACGGCGGAGGGAGACCGGTCGGCATGCGCCTGAGCGGCTGATGAAAACGCCCACGGCGTGGCGGATAGATTTCGTTATTAATCAATTCAGTTAGCAGGTGGACAACCGAGTGTGACGCAGGGATGCCATTGCTATACCATGTACAGCCACTGTGGTTGGTTCCTCACCTCCAAGCCTACGATAGCCACAGGTACTACGGACTACTGTGTAAGGCGACATTATTGCCGGCCCACAGCCACAGGGTAAGCTCGACCGACGGTCGAGCTCCAGGAACGTGCTTTAGGCAGAACGCTCCGCCTTGCGACGCCAGTCTAACGCCAAATGAGGCCCGCGATTCATGATTGACGGCGCGAGAACTAACCGGTCCCACATGGCGAGAGCGAGTAAGTCTTGATCCGTCGGCTAGGGCAATCGACCGTTTTTCTCCTAGGGCTGACAGTCCAATGACGAGGCACGGTCGCCAACAACACTCCAGCATATCCCACAGGTCAAATGATGGCAAAAGGGGGGATGCCTCTTGTTGCCACGTGGAAAAACTTGGAGAGTAGCGCTGACGAAAATTGGACCATACTATCCATGATTGAGATTCTGACAATGCAGGTGAGATGGAACCTGCCGGCCACGTTGTCAGCATGCCGACAATGAAAGCCGAACCCAGCCTGCCGTGCCGTTTCCGTTGAGCGGTAGATCGGGAGACCGAGCGGGAGCATCCATCATGCATGACTGCG